GCCCGCTGTCGGCACCACCGTGCCCGGCGGCGCGACCTTCCGCGAGGCGCATCTGGTGATGGAGATGCTGCATGACAACGGCCGGGTGACCTCGCTCGACATCGCCGAACTGAACCCGTTCCTCGACGATCGCGGCCGCACTGCCCGGCTGGTGGTCGATCTGGTCGCCAGCCTGTTCGGCAAACGCGTGATGGACCGGCCGACGCGCGCCGCCTGACACCGCTTTTTCAAGGGAATCCGCCATGACCGCCATGACATCGACACCGTCAAAGCCCGCATCGCAGACGCCGCCCGGACCGCCCGAAGGCTCCAATCTGGTGCCGTTCGTTTCGGTCGACAACATGATGAAGCTGGTCAATGCGATCGGCGTCGAGCGGGTGCTGACGGAGCTTGCCGATTACATCGAGGACGACTTCCGGCGCTGGCCGCATTTCGACAAGACGCCGCGCGTCGCCTCCCATTCCAAGGTCGGCGTGATCGAATTGATGCCGACGTCGGACGGCGAGTATTACGGCTTCAAATATGTCAACGGCCATCCAAAGAACACGCGCGAGGGACTGCAGACCGTCACCGCTTTCGGCGTTCTGTCGTCGGTCGAAAACGGCTATCCGCTGCTTTTGAGCGAGATGACGATACTGACGGCGCTGCGCACGGCGGCGACATCGGCGGTCGCGGCGCGCCATCTGGCGCCCAAGGGCGCGCGCACCATGGCGATGATCGGCAATGGCGCGCAATGCGAGTTCCAGGCTCTGGCCTTCAAGGCGATGGTCGGCATCGACGCGGTGCGCCTCTATGACACCGACCCCGGCGCGACCGCCAAGGCGGCGCGGAACCTTCAAGGCACCGGCCTTGCGGTCACCTCCTGCACGAGCGGCGAGGAAGCGGTCGAGGGTGCGCAGATCATCACAACATGCACCGCCGACAAGCAATATGCGACGATTCTGACCGACAACATGGTCGGCTCGGGCCTGCACATCAACGCGATCGGCGGCGACTGCCCCGGCAAGACCGAACTGCATCGCGACATCCTGCTGCGGTCGGACATTTTCGTCGAATACCCGCCGCAGACGCGCATCGAGGGCGAAATCCAGCAACTCGACGACGACCATCCGGTCACCGAATTGTGGCAGGTCATCACTGGCGACACCGCCGGGCGTACGGCGCCCGAACAGATCACGCTGTTCGATTCGGTCGGGTTCGCGACCGAGGATTTTTCGGCGCTGCGTTACATCCATGACCGGCTGCGCGGGACCGGCTTCTTCGAAGAGTTGGACATGCTGGCCGACCCGGACGAACCGCGCGATCTCTACGGCATGCTGATGCGCGCTTCCGCAGCTTCCCGATCGGATTGAACCGCTCTACAAGCCGGGTGCAACATCCCACCTTCGGCAAGAGCCATGAACATCATCATCAAGATCACATGCCCGGACCGGATGGGCATCGTCTCCGCCCTGTCCACGGCGCTCGCCGCGCATGGCTACAACATCATCGAGAGTTCGCAGTTCCACGAGCCGGCGCCGGGCACGGCGCGCCGCGCGGGCGAGGGACGCTTCTTCATGCGCGTCGATTGCGTCCAGACCGCCGACGGTGCCGGGGCCGAAACCAATGCCGCCGGCCTTGCCGCCTTCCTCGACGGGTTCCGCAGCGAGTTCGATGCCCAAGTGTCCGTCGACGACAAGGACCGGGTGATCCCGGCGATCGTCATGGTCTCGAAATTCGACCATTGCCTTCAGGACATCTGGTACCGGGTACGCACCAACACCCTGCCGATCCGCATGGCCGCGATCGTTTCCAACCACACCGATTCGCAGGCCGATGCCGCGCGCTGGGGCGTCGATTTTCATCATCTGCCGGTAACGCCCGGGACCAAGGCGGAACAGGAGGCGCGGCTTGAGGCGATCATGGCCGAAACGGGCGCCGAACTGGTGGTGCTCGCCCGCTACATGCAGATCCTGTCCGACGGGTTCAGTTCGCGCCATTTCGGCAAGCTGATCAACATCCACCATTCCTTCCTGCCGGCCTTCAAGGGCGCCAAGCCCTATCACCGGGCATGGGACCGCGGCGTCAAGCATATCGGCGCGACCGCCCATTATGTGACGCCCGATCTGGACGAAGGGCCGATCATCGAGCAGGGGACCGAGCGGGTGAGCCACACCTCAGACCCCGACGATCTGGTCATGCGCGGGCGCGATGTGGAGGCGCGCGTCCTGTCGCGGGCGATCCGGCTCCACGCGGAGGGGCGCGTCTTCATCAATGGCAGCCGCACGGTCGTGTTCGAGCCGTAAGGACCGCCCCGGTTCAAAGCCGGTCGACGATCCGCTGCATCGCCGCCTTGTAGCGCCGGCTGACATCGTCGCGCGCGATGTGCCGTCCATCGCGGACCACATGCCGGCCGGCCGACCAGACATCGCGGACCGCTTTCGATGCACCGGCGAATATGAACCCGTCGAGCAGCTGACCGGTTGTCAGCGGCAGCAGCGTCTCATGGTTTCGATCAAGCGTCAGAAGATCGGCGCGCATGCCCGGCGCGATGGCGCCGCACTTGCGGCCAAGCGCTCGGGCGCCGCCGGCGAGCGCCGCGCGGTAAAGCGTGTCGCCCGTCGATGTGCTGCGTCCGGCGATCACGTTTCGGGCGCGGTGGTGAAGGCGCTGGCCATATTCGAGAAGGCGCAGTTCGCCCGCCAGCGTGATCTGCACATTGGAATCGGTGCCGATGCCGAATGCGCCGTCGGCAGCGAGATAGTCCGCCGCGTTGAAAAGCCCGTCGCCGAGATTGGCCTCGGTGACCGGGCACAGGCCCGCCACCGCGCCGCTCTGCGCCAGCCGGCGTGTTTCCGCAGCGCTCATGTGCGTGGCGTGCACGACGCACCAGTTTTCACCGATGCCGACCCGGTCGAGCAGCAGTTCGATCGGCCGTGCGCCATGGGCCGCGACGATCGCCTCCACTTCGGCGGTCTGTTCGGCGGCATGGATGTGCAAGGGGCCGTCCGCGAATGCTGCCTGCAATTCGGCGATCTGGTCGAGCGTGACGGCGCGCAGGGAATGGGGCGCGATGCCGAGCGCGCCGTCTTCGGCAAGCACTGGCCGCGCCGCCTCGGCGATCCGCAAAAGGCTGTCCGTGTCGTTGCCGAAGCGGCGCTGGCCGCCCGACAGCGGCTGTCCGCCCGTGCCCGCAAATGTGTAGAGAACGGGCAACAGCGTCAGGCCGATGCCGGTCTCCGCGGCGGCACCGATGATGCGATGGCTCAGTTCGGCAGGGTTTTCGTAGGGTGCGCCGCCCGGCTGGTGGTGCAGATAGTGGAACTCGGCCACGCTGCCATGGCCTGCTTCCAGCATCTCGATGAAGGCGAGCGCCGCGACGGCGCCGATCTCGTCGGGTTCAAGCGTGCCGACAAAGCGGTACATCAGGTCCCGCCAGGTCCAGAAACTGTCGTCGGTCTCGCCGCGCCGCTCGGTCATGCCGGCCATCGCCCGCTGGAAGGCGTGGCTGTGCAGATTGGCCATGGCCGGCAGCAAGGCGCATCCGGTCAGGCGCCGGTCGCCGTGCTCAGCCGGCGTGTCCGCGACCACCGAGGCGATTTTTCCGTCTTCGACGGTGACGCGGACGTTTCTTGCCCACCGGTCCGGCAACATCGCTTCGGGCGCCCACAATGCGGTCATGATGCCGTCTCCGATTGGTGCCATCGCCGCGTCGAATGCGATTGACAGCGTCATCAATGGCTTATTGAGTTGGCCGCGTTCAAGCCAAATCTGCGAGGGGAGGGCGGATGGCCGGGCCGGTCGACATGGTGATCCGCAACGCGACCCTCGCCACCATGGTGCCGGGCGGCGCGCCCTATGGGCTGGTGCGCGACGGCGCCATCATCGTCCGGGATGGTCAGATCGCCTGGGCCGGGCCGGCGGAGGAATTGCCAGATGCAGGCGACGCGACGATTCGTGATCTGGGCGGGCGCCTCGTCACACCGGCGCTGATCGATTGCCACACCCATCTCGTCCATGGCGGCAACCGGGCGCGCGAGTTCGAAATGCGGCTCGAAGGCGCGAGCTATGAGGAGATCGCGCGGGCCGGCGGCGGGATCGTTTCGACCGTCTCGGCAACACGTGCCGCCAGCGAGGACGAATTGCTTGGCGATGCGCTGCGCCGTGTCGATGCGCTGATCGCCGAAGGCGTCGGCACCGTCGAGATCAAGTCGGGCTACGGGCTCGACGCGGACACCGAACTGCGCATGTTGCGGGTCGCACGGCGGATCGCGCGGGACCGGCCCGTGCGGGTGAGCACGAGCTTTCTTGGCGCTCATGCGGTGCCGGCCGGAATGGAAGCGGACGCTTACATAGATGATATCTGCATTCCCGCGCTGCGCCGCGCGCATGCAGACGGGCTGGCCGATGCGGTGGACGGGTTCTGCGAAGGGATTGCGTTCTCGCCGGAACAAATCGCCCGTGTGTTCGATGTGGCGGTGGAACTGGGCCTGCCGGTCAAGCTGCATGCGGAACAATTGTCCGATCTGGGCGGTGCGAAGCTCGCTGCATCCCACGGCGCGCTGTCGGCCGACCATCTCGAATATCTGGGCGCCGACGGCATCGCCGCCATGGCCAAGGCCGGCACGGTCGCCGTCATCCTGCCCGGCGCCTTCTACACGCTGCGCGAGACGCAAGCTCCGCCGATTGCCGCATTGCGCGCGGCGGGTGTGCCGATGGCGGTGGCGACCGATGCCAATCCCGGCTCGTCGCCGATGGCCTCGCTGCTGCTCGCCATGAACATGGCCTGCACGCTGTTCCGCATGACGCCCGAGGAAGCGCTGGCAGGCACCACGCGCAATGCCGCGCGCGCTGGGGCTTGACGATTGCGGCACGATCGCGTCCGGCCTGCGTGCCGATTTTGCGGTATGGGATGTCGAAGAACCGGCTGAACTCAGCTACCGGATCGGCTTCAATCCGCTGTACAGACGGATCTTGGGAGGCCAGTTTTGACACAAACGTTCGAGCCCGGCCGTCTGGACATGGCGCAGATGCGCGCTTTTTTCGCCGGCGGGCGGGCGCCGGGCGTCGATGCGCGCGCGCGTGCCGGCATCGACCGCGCCGCGGCGGTGATCGCCGATATCGCGCGGGGCGATGTGCCGGTCTATGGCGTCAATACCGGGTTCGGCAAGCTGGCCTCGATGCGGATCGCGCCGGACGACACGGCCCGTCTGCAGCGCAATCTGATCCTGTCGCATTGCGCCGGCGTCGGCGATCCGCTGCCGCGCGCCGAAACGGCGCTGATGATGCTGCTCAAGGTCAACTCGCTGGCGCGCGGCGCATCGGGCGTGCGGTGGGAATTGATCGCACTGCTCGAAGCGATGCTCGCCCATGACATCTGGCCGAACGTGCCCGAACAGGGGTCCGTCGGCGCCTCGGGCGATCTGGCACCGCTTGCGCACATGGCCGCAGTGATGATTGGCGAGGGGCAGGCTTGGGGTGCCAAGGTGGACGGTCATCCCGTGTCCGGGAGCGAAGCGCTGGGGAACGCCGGCCTTGATCCGATCGTGCTGGGCCCGAAGGAAGGGCTCGCGCTGATCAACGGCACGCAGTTTTCGACGGCGGTGGCGCTCGGGGCATTGTTCGACCTTTGGCATCTGGTCGAAAGCCAGATCGCGGTGGCGGCGCTTTCGACCGATGCGATCATGGGTTCGACCGCGCCCTTGCGCCCGGAGATCCATGCGCTGCGCGGCCATCGCGGACAGATCGAGGTGGCAGCCGCGATGCGCGACCTGCTCGAGGGGTCGGAAATTCGCGAAAGCCATCGTGAGGGCGACACGCGCGTCCAGGACCCCTATTGCATCCGCTGCCAGGCGCAGGTGGCGGGCGCCGCGCTCGACCAGCTGCGCATGGCAGCGCACACGCTCGCCATCGAAGCCAATGCAGTCACCGACAATCCGCTGGTGTTCGAGGACGCTTCGGTCATCTCGGGCGGCAACTTCCATGCCGAGCCGGTCGCCATGGCAGCCGACCAGATCGCCATCGCGATCGCGGAGCTGGGCGCCATCGCGCAGCGCCGCATCGCGCTGATGGTCGACCCGACATTGAGTTTCGACCTGCCGCCGTTCCTGACGCCCGAGCCGGGGCTCAATTCCGGCCTGATGATCGCCGAGGTCACGTCAGCCGCGCTGATGAGCGAGAACAAGCATCTGGCCAATCCCTGCTCGACCGATTCGACGCCGACATCGGCCAATCAGGAAGATCATGTGTCGATGGCCGCCCACGGCGCGCTGCGGCTGCGGCGGATGGTCGACAATCTGGCGCATATTGTCGGCATCGAATTGTTGTGCGCGGCGCAGGGGGTCGAGTTCCGCGCGCCGCTTCAGACCAGTGCGCCGCTGCGCGAACTGGTCAAACGACTGCGAACGACGGTGCCGTCGCTAGGCGAAGACCGGATGGTGTCGGCCGATATCGGCCGGGCCGCCACGCTGTGCGCGACCGGGCTCGATCTGTGTTCCCTGGAGATGGGCGAGAGCGCTTCGTTATGAGATCGGAACAATTCTGTTTGCCGACCGGTGTGGCGATCCGCCAGGAGAAGCGTGCGGCGCGTAGCGGGGCTACGGGCAAGCGGTTTGACGTCGCGGGTGTCCACCGGTCGCAAACCCGAAGGGCCGGGCCGGTTTGGTCCAACTCCGGCGGCCTTCGGCTCGGCCGTATCCCGATACGACCATCGCCAAAGCCCTTGGCCTTGAACCAAACCCACACCGGCAGAATGGTTCGATCTCATAACGGAGCGCTCTAATGACCGACCCGCGCCACAATGTCCGAGACGTGTTCCCGCCGACCGGACCGGAAATCACGGCGAAAAGCTGGATGACCGAGGCGCCGATGCGGATGCTGATGAACAATCTGCATCCCGATGTCGCCGAAAACCCGCACGAACTCGTCGTCTATGGCGGCATCGGCCGGGCGGCGCGGACCTGGGGCGATTTCGACCGGATCGTCGATGCGCTCAAGGGCTTGGACGATGACCAGACGCTGCTGGTCCAGTCGGGCAAGCCGGTCGGCATTTTCCGCACCCATGCGGACGCGCCGCGCGTTCTGATCGCCAATTCCAATCTGGTGCCGCACTGGGCCAATTGGGACCATTTCAGCGAACTCGATCGCAAGGGTCTGATGATGTACGGCCAGATGACGGCGGGCTCGTGGATCTATATCGGCACGCAGGGCATCGTGCAGGGCACCTATGAGACCTTCGCCGAGGCCGGCCGGCAGCATTATGATGGCGATCTGACAGGCAAATGGATCCTGACGGCGGGCCTTGGCGGCATGGGCGGCGCGCAGCCGCTGGCCGCCGTCTTCGCCGGCGCGTCGTGCCTTGCCGTCGAGTGCGATCCGACGCGCATCGATTTCCGCCTCAGGACGAAATATCTCGATGAGAAGGCCGAGACGCTCGACGAGGCGCTGGCGATGATCGATGCATGGACGAAGGCGGGCGAGGCCAAGTCGGTCGGCCTTCTGGGCAATGCGGCCGATGTTTTCCCTGAACTGGTTCGGCGCGGCATCCGGCCCGACATCGTCACCGACCAGACCTCGGCGCACGATCCCGTCCACGGCTATCTGCCTCAGGGCTGGTCGGTCGCCCAGTGGCGCGAAAAGCAGGAGAGCGACCCCAAGGCCGTCGAGGCGGCCGCGCGCGCCTCCATGAAGGTGCATGTGGCGGCGATGGTCGACTTCTGGAACGCCGGCGTGCCGACGCTCGACTATGGCAACAACATTCGGCAGGTCGCGCTCGAGGAGGGGCTCGAAAACGCATTCGCCTTTCCAGGGTTCGTGCCCGCTTACATAAGGCCGCTCTTCTGCCGCGGGATCGGCCCGTTCCGCTGGTGCGCATTGTCGGGCGATCCCGAGGACATCTACAAGACTGACGCGGCGATGAAGGAACTGTTTCCGGACAATGCCCATCTGCATCAATGGCTGGAGATGGCGCGCGCGCGGATCGCCTTTCAGGGGCTGCCGGCGCGCATCTGCTGGATCGGGCTGGGCGACCGGCACCGGGCCGGTTTGAAGTTCAACGAAATGGTGGCGAGCGGCGAACTCAAGGCGCCGGTTGTGATCGGCCGCGACCATCTCGATTCGGGCTCGGTCGCCTCGCCCAACCGCGAGACCGAGGCGATGAAGGACGGCTCGGATGCGGTGTCGGACTGGCCGCTCCTAAACGCTCTTCTGAACACCGCCTCCGGCGCGACATGGGTGTCGCTGCATCATGGTGGCGGGGTCGGCATGGGCTTTTCGCAGCATTCGGGCATGGTGATCTGCGCCGATGGCACCGAGGACGCCGCGCGGCGGATCGAGCGCGTCCTGTGGAACGATCCGGCCACCGGTGTGATGCGCCATGCGGATGCCGGCTATGAGATCGCGCGCGACTGCGCGACCGAACACGGCCTCGATCTACCGGGCATCCTGTAGCGGTCATCCCGATGCCAGCGGGCTGACATAGCCGGGGGGCTTGACGGTGAGCACCGAGCAATCGACCGCATTGAGCACGTCTTCGGCGGTATTGCCGATGATCAGGCCCGGAATTCCGGTGCGCACCAGCGTGCCGATCACCAGAAGGTCGACGCCCATCGCATCGACATGGGCCGGGATGACATCGCGGGGCCGGCCGCGCGCCAGATGAGGCACGATGGCGGCCGGCAGCGCGTCTTCAGCCATGTCCTCCCTGGCTTGCCGCGTCAGCGCATCGAGCGCCTTGCGGCGGGCCGCTTCGGTTGCGTCCAGATAGCGGCGCACATCGCCCGAATCATTGGTCCAGCGGCGCACCAGATCCTCGGCCGGCGCGTCCCATACATGGGTGATGTGCAACGTCGCGCCGCTTGACGCCGCGACGCGGCAGGCGGTCTCGACGATGATGCGGTTGAGGGCGTCGTCCCTGTCGCCCTCTTCGTCGTCGAGATCGACGGCGGCCATGATCGTCCTGGGCGGCTGGGCGGCGCCGGGCATGGCGAGCCAGACCGGGCATGGGCATTTGCGCAGGAGGTGCTGGTCGGTCGAGGTGAACAGGTAGCGGTGCTTCTGGTCGAACGGCTCGGCCATCTTGATGACGAGATCGCGTCCGTTCTCGATTACATCGCCGATGATCTCGCGGAACGGCCGCCCCAGCCGGGTCTCGATGGCGATGGTCAGGTCGTCCGCTAACGGCGCGACCCTTTCGGCCAGTGCGGACTTGAGCGCATCCATCATTCCCGCTTCGATCTCGGCGGCCTCGACGCCGGCAAAGCGTGCGAGATGTTTGATCTCCGCATGGTCGTCACCGACGGCCAGCGCCGTCAGCCGGGCATTGTTCGCGCGGGCCAGATCGGCGGCACGCGCCAGGCTTTCGGCGCCGCCGTCGCCGGTTTCGCAGACCGCAACGATGTTGGAGAACGGCGCTGCCGCCGGGCGGTCGGCCATCACTGGACCTCCTCTTTCTTGGGAGCGGGCCTGGCGGGTTCGCGCGCCTGCGCGCGTTCGGTGCCGAGCACCAGGCTTGCGGCCTGCGAGGCGGCATCGCGATAGGGATTGAGCACCAGATCGGCGCCGCCCTGCTTCAGCCGTTCGGCATTGTCTTCGCTGTGTACCGCAACAGCGGTGCGGCCGGCAAAACCGGCATCTTGCAGCGACCGGATCAGCGACCGGCGCGGATCGTCATGGGTGATGCCGGTATCGTGCTCGGGCACCGCCGAGATCGCCCAGCGAACCGGGGCCAGCGGCAGATGGGCGATGAACTCCGGATCGGTGGCGTCGCCGAACATCACGTCGAACCCTAACTGACGCGCCTCGCGCACGGCAACCGGATTGAAGTCGACGCCAAGCACCTTCAGCCCGGCGCTGTCGAGTTCTTCGGCAATCGCCAGGCCGTAGCGCCCCAGCCCGAAGATGACGACATCGTGCCCGTCGGCGCTCGGCTGCCAATTGTCCTCCTCGGTGCCCGCGCCGCGCCGCTCGAACGGACCAAGGACCGGCTCGACGAACCGGTAAAGCTGGTGCGACCAGGTGATCATGTAGGTGGAGGCGGCGATGGTGATCAGGCCGACCAGCGTCACCAGCCCCATGGCGTCGGCTGCGACATGGCCGATGGCGACGCCCATGGCCATGAAGATCAGCGAGAACTCGGAGATTTGCGCCACGGTGAGGCCGGCGAGGAAACCGGTGCGCTTGCGGTATCCCATCGCGCCCATGATCGCGAGCACGATCAGCGGATTGCCGATCAGCACGAACAGCGAGAAGACGATGGCCGCGCCGATATTGTCGCCGAGCACGCCCAGATCGAGCGACGCGCCCAGCGCGATGAAGAAGAACAGCAGAAGAAAGTCGCGCAGGCTGGCAAGCCGCGCGGCGATCGCTTCGCGGAACGGTGTCGAGGCGAGCGAAACGCCGGCGAGGAGGCCGCCGAGCTCCTTGCCGAAGCCGAAATAATGGCCGAGCGCGGCCAGAAGCGCGGCCCAGCCGATGGCGAAGGAGATCATCAGTTCGGGCGCCCGCGACAGCCTTTCCATCAGCGGGTTCGCGGCGTAGCGGATGAACAGGCCGACGGCGGCGAGCATCAGCGCGCCATAGCTGAACACCGACAGGATGTCGGTGAGCGCCGAGTCGCTCTGCGCACCGACGCCGAGCGCCGACAGCATGATCATCGCCAGCACGACGACAATGTCCTGCACGATCAGGAAGCCGAGCGCGATGCGGCCGTGCAGCGAATCGATCTCGCGCTTGTCCGACAGCAGCTTGACGATGATGATGGTCGACGAAAATGTCAGCGCGATCGCCACATAGATGGCCGTCACCGGATCGAGCCCGAGACCCAGCCCGATCAGAAAGCCGAAGATGGTTGTGAACGCCACTTGTCCCAGCCCGGTCAGCAGGGCGACCGGCCCGAGCGTTCGCACCAGATTAAGGTCGAGCTTCAGCCCGACGAGGAACAGCAGCACCGCGATGCCCAGCTCCGCCAGAAGATCGATATATTCGTCCGACCGGGCGATGTTGAGCACGGACGGGCCGGCGACGATCCCCACCGCGATGAACGAGACGATCAGCGGCTGGCGCAGCAAGAGGCCGACGAAGCCGACGCCGGCGGCCAGCACAAGAAGGGCGGCGACCTCGTAGAAGATGTAGTCGGTGATCGTCTCGGTCATGGGCTATCATCCACGCGCCTGGGCGCTTTTTCCATGGGGCGCACTGCCGCGCCGGTCGCGCCAGGCCCACATGGCGCGCTTTTCCAGTTCGAGAATGACCAGCACGGCGACGCCGACAAGGACAATCTGCAAGCCTTGCAGAAGCGACAGGGGCCGGGTGTCGAAGAAGGCTTCCATGAATGGTGCATAGGTGAACAGAAACTGCAGCGCGGTCACGGCTGTGATCGCGATCAGCACCGGCCGCGTGCCGAACAGGCCGCGCAGCGTCAGTGAGGGTTCGCCCAGATAGCGCACCGAGAACAGGTAGAAGATCTCCATCACCACCAGCGTGTTGACCGCGATGGTGCGGGCTTCCTCGACCGATGAGCCCTGCGCCTGTGCGAGCGCGAACTTGCCGAAGATGCCGGCCATGAACAGGACCGAGACGAAGCCGACACGCCACAGCACGAAGGGCGACAGGATCGGTTCGGAGGCAGGACGCGGCGCGCGCGCCATCACGCCCCTCTCGGCGGGCTCGAAGGCCAGCGTCATGGCGAGCAGCACCGAGGAGACCATGTTGACCCACAGGATCTGCAGCGGCGTGATCGGCAATGTCAGGCCGAGCAGGATGGCGGCGACCAGCGACAGCGATTCCCCGCCATTGACCGGCAACAGGAAGATGATCGCCTTTTTCAGGTTGTCGTAGACCGTTCGCCCGGCTTTGACGGCGGCGGCGATGGTCGCGAAATTGTCGTCGGCGAGCACGATTTCGGAGGCTTCCTTGGCCGCCTCGGTGCCCTTCTGGCCCATGGCGATGCCGATATCGGCGCGCTTGAGCGCGGGCGCGTCATTGACGCCATCGCCGGTCATGGCGACCACGGCGCCGCCGTCCTGCAGCGCTTCGACCAGGCGGAGCTTGTGCTGGGGGCTGGTGCGGGCGAAGACATCCACTTCCGCCACCCGTTGGCGCAACTGCTCGGCGTCCAGCGTGTCGATCTCGGCGCCTTCCATGACCGTGGCGGTGTTGGCGAGCCCCAGTTGCCGGCCGATGGCGGCGGCGGTGCCGGCATGGTCGCCGGTGATCATCTTGACGTCGATGCCGGCGGCCCGGCATTCGCGCACCGCTTCGATCGCCTCCTCGCGGGGCGGGTCGATCAGGCCGACAAGGCCGACCAGCGTCAGGTCGGTGTCGACATCGCCGAAATGCAGTTCGCCATGGTCCCCGTGGGTCGGCTTGAGCGCGATGGCCAGAACGCGCTGGCCCTGGTCCGCGACGGCGGCGGCCTGATCGCGCCAATAATCGGCATCGATCGGCGCGTCGGTGCCGTCCTTGATGCGCTGGGTCCGGCACATGGCAAGGATGCGCTCCGGCGCGCCCTTGACGAAGATGGTCGCATGGCCATCGTGATCGTGGCGCAGGCTCGCCATGAAGCGGTGCTGCGCGTCGAACGGTATCGCATCGGTCTGCGGCTGGCGGGCCCGTTCGGCGTCCGGCTCGAAGCCGGCCTTGCAGGCAAAGGCGACGAGCGCGCCCTCCATCGGATCGCCGATCACCTGCCACTGGTCGCCGGCGCCGACGAGGTCGGCCTCGTTGCACAGGAGCGCGGCGCGGCCCAGTTCGGTCAGAACAGGATGGTCTGCGACGCGCGCTTCGGCGCCGTCCAGCACGAAGCCGCCATGGGGCGCATATCCGGTTCCGGTGACGCGGTAGGCATGGTTGGCTGTGATCACGCCGGCAACGGTCATCTCGTTCCTGGTCAGCGTTCCGGTCTTGTCCGAGCAGATCACCGAGACCGAGCCGAGCGCCTCGATGGCAGGCAGGCGGCGCACGATCGCGTTCCTCCGCGCCATGCCCTGCACGCCGATGGCGAGCGTCACCGTCAGGATCGCCGGCAGGCCTTCGGGAATGGCGGCGACCGACAGGCCGACCAGCGCCATGAACAGTTCGGTGAAGCCGTAGCCGCCGAGCGTCAGCCCGAAGACCAGGATCAGCGCGCTGAAGCCGACGATGAAGACCGTCAGCCACTTGGCGAACACCGCCATCTGGCGGATGAGCGGCGTCTCGGTCGAGGGGACGTCGGCGATCATGCCGGAAATTCGACCGATCTCGGTGTCCGCACCGGTGGCGATGGCGATGCCGCGTCCCTGTCCGGCCGCCACCATCGTCCCGGAAAAGGCCATCGAGCGGCGGTCGCCGAGCGGCGCGTCCGCCGCCACCGGACCGGTCGCCTTGTCGACGGGCACCGATTCGCCGGTGAGCACCGCTTCCTCGATCTTCACGCCGCGCGTTTCGCAAAGGCGCAGATCGGCGGGAATGCGGTCTCCCGCCTCGACGATGACGATGTCGCCGGGCACGATGTCCTCGCCCGGAACGGTTCGGCGGCGGCCATCGCGCAGAACCGTGGCCCTGGGCGCCAGCATGTCGCGTATCGCCGCCAGCGCGCTTTCGGCCTTGCCTTCCTGGACGAAGCCGATGATGGCGTTGACCATCACGACCGCAAGGATGACGGCCGTATCGATCCAGTGGCCGAGCATGGCCGTCGTCGTGCCGGCGGCCATCAGAACGTAAATCAGCACATTGTGGAACTGGCGGGCAAAACGGGCGAGGGGGCCCGCCCGCTTTGGTTCGGGCAGCCTGTTGGGCCCGTAACGTGCAAGGCGTTGCCGCGCACCGTTCTCGTCGAGCCCCTGCTCGACGCGCGTGCCGAACCTTGTCAGCGCTTCGCTGAACGGTTGGTCATGCCAACTCATCATCGTGTCCTTTGGTTTACCGTTGCGACCCGCTCAGCCCTTGGCGCCGTCCGCCTGTTCCCAGGCCGGCGGCCGCGTTGCGTGGGCGTTGACGAACGCTTCGAGATCCCTGACCGCGACGCGGAACTCCCGCCCGAGCTTCACCGCCCGCAGATCCTCGCCGTGAATCCATGCCCGCACCGTGGCCTCGTTCACCTTGAGCAGTTCGGCTATCTCGTGCGTTGTCATGAAGGGTTTGCTCAGCATCGATCGGCTCCACTGAAGTGATTTGAGCATCGGTCAGATCGTCTCAAGCCGCTTTGACACCGATCAAGACGGTTGACGATCGATGGGCCGGGACATGCAGGGGGGCGCGCAGGGTTCCGATGCATCGGGTCGTGCCGGTTGGCTGTTTTCTGTTTGCGTGCACTGCAGTATGAGGGGCTGAGGTCCCAACCCCGGAGAGACGCCCCGTGTCCCATAAAGTCCGCAAAGCCGTCATCCCCGTCGCCGGTCTCGGCACGCGCTTCCTGCCCGCGACCAAGGCGGTGCCCAAGGAAATGCTGACGGTCGTCGACAAACCGGTGGTGCAATATGCCGTCGAGGAGGCGCAAGCCGCCGGCATCGAGCACATCATCTTCGTCACCGGCCGCAACAAGAACGTCATCGAGGATCATTTCGACCACCAGTTCGAACTGGAGCACACGCTCGAACAGCGGGGCAAGGACGAGCCGCTGGCGATGCTGCGGGCCGACCTGCCGCAGGCGGGCCAGATCAGCTATACGCGCCAGCAGCAGGCGCTCGGTCTTGGCCATGCCGTGTGGTGCGCGCGCGAGATGGTCAGCGCCGGCGAACCCTTCGCCGTGCTGCTGCCCGACATGGTGATGACCGGCGATCCGGGCTGCCTGTCACAGATGGTCGAGGTGCATGGCGATCGCGGCGGCAATGTCGTCTCGGTGGAATCGTGCGATCCCGACCAGGCTCACAAATACGGCATCGTCTCGATGGGCGAGACGTTCGACGATGGCTCGTTCTCGATCACGGGCATGGTGGAAAAGCCGGAACCGGGCACCGCGCCGTCGACCTATTTCCTCAACGGACGCTACATTCTCGATGCGTCGATCATGGGGCTTCTGGGCCGGCACGAAAAAGGCGCGGGCGGCGAAATCCAGTTGACCGATTCGATGCTGGCGCTGATGGACGCGCAGCCATTCTACGGCGTGCCGTTCAACGGCCGGACCTACGATTGCGGCTCGAAACTGGGCTTTTTGAGCGCAAACATCGCGCTCGGCCTTGCCCATGACGAACTGGGCGCGGATCTGCGCACCTTCATCAAGAGCCTCGATCCGTAAGGCCTATTCGGCGGCGATATCCAGATAGCCCATCGGATTGCGCGACTGCCAGCGCCAGGCGTCGGCGCACATGTCGGTCAGATCGCGCTGGGCGGTCCAGCCCATCAGCGCCCTGGCGCGTGACGGGTCGGCATAGCATGCGGCGATGTCGCCGGCGCGCCGTTCGGCTATCTTGTAGGGTATCGGCCGTCCGCTGGCGGCCTCGAAGGCGCGCACCATGTCGAGCACCGAATAGCCCTGCCCGGTGCCCAGATTGACCGCCGTGCATTGCGGTTCTTCGAGCATCTGCAGCGCGGCGACGTGGCCTTCGGCCAGATCGCAGACATGGATGTAGTCGCGCACGCCGGTGCCGTCGGGCGTCGGGTAATCGTCGCCGAAGACGCTGAGGTGCGGGCGCCGGCCGACCGCGACCTGGCTGATATAGGGCATCAAATTGTTGGGCACGTCGGCCGGGTCCTCGCCGATCAGGCCGGACGGGTGGGCGCCAACCGGGTTGAAGTAACGCAGGATGGTGATCGCCCATTGCCGGTCGGCGTCGTAGAGCGCGCGCAGCATGTTCTCGACCACCAGCTTGGTGTGACCGTAGACACTGGCCGTCGACAGCGGGTGATCTTCGGGGATCGGCAATTGCTGCGGGTCGCCATAGACCGTCGCCGACGATGAGAAGATCAGTTTCTTGACGCCGGTGTTCCTCATCGCGGTCAGGAGCCGCTCGGTGCCGCCGACATTGACCTCGTAATATTTGAGCGGCTCGGCCATGCTTTCGCCGACCGCCTTGTAGCCGGCGAAGTGGATGACCGCCTCGCAGCCATGTTCCGCAATCGTCTTTTCCAGCGCGGGGACATCGCGAATGTCGCCCTCGACGCAGGTCGCGGTCTCCTGAAAGAGCTGCCCGAGCCGGTCGAGCACGCGCGGCGACGAGTTGGAGAAATTGTCGAAAATGACGGGACGGTGACCCGCCTCGCGCAGCGCCAGAAAGGTGTGCGACCCGATATAGCCGGCGCCGCCGGTGACGAGAATCTTCATGACGGCTGTTCCTTGCGGTTGGGCCGAAGCTGCGGCCAGCCTGTCACGCAAGGGTTGAAAAAGCGTTGGCGGCGCCTGTGCCGCTATGAGCGCCAGACGGCGGGGAGCGGCGCGCCGTCGCGCAGGATCGATAGCGCTGCGATCGCCAGAGGCCGCACCCGGTAGGCATCGGACGCCATCAGCCGGACGATGCATTTGCCGGCAAAGGCGCTGACGCCAACCTGTAGTGCGCCGGCGGTCATCGGCGCGAGCGCGGCCCGCAGCCGTTCGGACAGGGCCGCCCGCTGTTCGTCGTCGCCGGGCGCGACATGGACCAGCGTGGCAATTGCCGTGCAGCCCGCAAGCGTTGCCGGGCCGTCTGCGAGCGCCGTGACATCGCCATCAAGGCGCACATTGTCGGCATGGATCAATTGTCCGGCGCGGCGGATCCGCCAGCGGTCGCGCAGATGCGTGCGGCGCACCGTCTCTCCCATCGCCGCGCGGCCCAGCACCAGCGTTTCAAGCCCCACGAAAGCGGCGTCCGGGGCCATGTCGATCTCGATCGACCGGTCGAGCCCGCTGTCGTCGAAAAGGATCGTTTCCTGCGGCAGCCAGTCCAGTCGGGCGCCGGCGCCGACATCGAGCCGGGTCGTCTGCTGCGCTGTGCCGCCGGCGCTCTTGTAGATGCGCTCGCAGGCCTGGGTGGCGATCGCCAGATGCGTGCCCGCGCCCGCCGCCGCCGACCAGTCGAGCCGGTCGCCGCCGGTCAAACCGCCGGCGGTGTTGATCAGCACCGCTTCGAGCGCGGTCCCATAGGCTTTCGGGATGCGGATCTTCGCGTTGGCCTTCTGGTGGAGCGCGTCCAGCCGGGTCCGGCCGTCCGGGCCTGCCTTGACCGCGATCCGCCCGGCGCCGACCGAGCGCTGCATCGCCGCCGGTTCGATCCGGCCCTGTTCAACGGTCACCGGGCTGGCTTCCGTCGCCGATATGCCGTGTGCCGCGTTCGCGGGCCAGTTCCACCTGCCGCTGGCGTTCTTCGAAGCGGGCGCGGTCCGCTTCGCTCATCGTGCCGGCGCAATGGCCGCACTGGACGCCGGCCCGGTAATCGGGCGAACGCAGATCCTCGGGCGACAGCGGAGCGCCGCAGGCGCGGCACAATCTGTGGGTGCCCTGCGCGAGGCCCTGGCCGACCGAGACGCGCTCGTCGAAGACGAAACATTCGCCGCGCCACGCACTTTGCGCTTCGGGCACCGTTTCGAGATATTTCAGGATGCCGCCCTTGAGGTGGAAGACGTCGTCGTGGCCGAGCGATTTGACGAAGGCGGTGGCCTTTTCGCAGCGTATGCCGCCAGTGCAGAACATGGCGATCTTCTTGCCGCGCAGCGCATTTTCGTTGCGGCGCACCCAGTCGGGGAATTCGCGGAAGGTGGCGGTTTCCGGATTCACCGCGTTTTCGAACGTGCCGATCTTCACCTCGTAATCGTTGCGCGTGTCGACGACGATCGTGTCCGGGTCGGCGATCAGATCGTTCCAGTCCTCGGGCGCGACATAGGTGCCGACGATCCTGGTCGGGTCGGTGCCCGGCACGCCCATGGTGACGATTTCCTTCTTCAGCCGCACCTTGAGACGGTAGAAGGGCATGGTGTCGGCGAAGCTCTCCTTGTGTTCGAGGCCTGCCAGTTCGGGCCGGGCGCGCAGGAAGGCGAGCATCGCGTCGATGCCCGCGCGCGGGCCGGCGACGGTGCCGTTGATGCCCTCGGAGGCGAGCAGCAGCGTGCCCTTCAGGCCGGCCTTGCAGCACAGCTCCGCCAGCGGCTTTTGCAGCTCCCGGTACGTGTCGAGCCGGGCGAAATGGTAGAGGGCGGCGACGATGACGGGTTTGTCGGTCATGGCGGCGTTCTAGCGATTGATGGCGATGGCGGGAAGGGGTTCGGGGTTCCGGGTTTGTGTTGGCGTAGGGGTGCTCCTCACCTCCCCCTTGAGGGGAGGTCGGCGAGTGGCGAGTGTGAACGAGACAGAGCCGGGTGGGGTATATGTCAGCTGCGGCCTTTGACTGTCACCCCCACCCGCTCGACCATCGCAGGCTCGGTCTCGCGTGCCTCCCCTCAAGGGGGAGGCGGGCGTGTTCAATCCCTCCGCACCTCCTTTGGAAGCCGAGAGCTTGAGACATCTTCAATCGCCCTAGAACTTGCGCTTCCCCTCGGGTTGAGCCCGAGGGTCAACGTGCGCCCTGGGCAAACGCAAAACGCACGTGGGCGCCAGCCCGCGCAAGATTTTGCGCCAGCTTCAAAAAGTCCAGAACAACGGGCGGTTTGGTGAGCCGCGATCCGTAGTTATGTAAGTTGCGGTCGCCAAACCGCCCGTCCGGCGGGCTTGCGGTGATCGTCATGTGAAGCGCCGGCGCGAGGCTCACGCCCTGCCGTGGCCGGCTGAACCTTTCGGATTGCCACAGGACCCGTGGCGTCCGGTTGGTTCGGTCGGCCCCGTCCGATCCTGATCGCCGGCCGGGTCTGGCCGAGGACAGGCGCGGACGGACATCGCACACCTTCATTCCGCCCTGCCGTGGGGGTTCATCACCCAGCAACGCGACCGCTCGCATCGCCCGGCAGGCCACCGCCGCGCCCGCCGAAGGTGGTGGCCATCCGACGTTCCGATGGGCGCGGTGGCAGGAGTATGGGGGAGGTGTGAAACGGTTGGACAAGTTTCCCGTCCGGTCCGACTTATCGAACCGCCCGCGCAGCGGCCAATACTGGACGCCCCCAGCCAGAGGAGCGAAAGGTGGCGGCATTTTCCGACGAGACCCTTCAGATCATCGAGCGCGTGGCGCGCGACAACGGCATCGAGCCGGCGGCACTCAAGGCGGTCGCCGAAGTCGAATCGGGCGGCCGGGCGTTTGCCTATGTCGGCGGGCGCAAGGAACCGCTGATCCGCTTCGAGGGCCATTATTTCGACCGGCTGGTCGGCGAACACCGACGTGCGGAAGCGCGGTCCGCCGGCCTTGCTTCGCCCCGCGCCGGCGCCGTCAAGAACCCGCGCGGACAGGCCGGGCGCTGGCAGATGCTGGAGCGCGCGGCGCGGATCGACCGGGCTGCTGCGCTGCAATCGGTGTCGTGGGGTATCGGCCAGGTGATGGGCGCCCACTGGAAGCATCTGGGCTTCGGTTCGCCCGAGGCGCTGGCACGCGAGGCGCGGTCCGGCATCGAAGGCCAGGTGCGGCTGATGCTGCGCTTCATCCACGCCAACCGGCTGACATCGCTGCTGCATGCGCGCGACTGGGCCGGGTTCGCGCGGCGCTACAACGGCCCGGCCTATGCGAAGAACCGCTACGATGTGCGGCTGGCGGCGGCCCATGCGCGCCATCGCGACGGGCGTCCGTCATCGGTGCCGGCAACGTCAAAACGTGGTCGAAAGGGCACGCTGCTGCGGCGCGGTGACCGGGGTGACGCGGTGCGCGACATGCAGCGCATGCTGACCGCGGCGGGCCATCCGTTGCGCGCCGACGGTGTGTTCGGCCTGCGCACCGAAGCGGCGCTGCGCGCGTTCCAGAGCCGTCACGGGCTCGCCATTGACGGCATTTACGGTCCGGCGAGCCGGGCCGCGCTGTCCGATGCACTGCCGAAATTCGGCTCGTGGCGGGGTCTTTTGACATTTGTGGCGCGGCTGGTGGCCGCGTGGTCCGGCCTGCGGCGCTCCTGACGGACGCATGGACAGGGATGTTCAACCGATTTAAAGACAGCGGGATATAGCGGGTTTCGGGGAAGGGAAGACAGACAATGGGTCAGAACGTAGCGGCGCTTGCGCCGATCATGACCGGCCAGCCGGTGATCCCGGTGATCGTGATCGAGGATGCGGGCAAGGCGGTTCCGCTGGCGCGGGCGCTGGCCGCCGGCGGGCTTCCGGCGGTCGAGATCACGCTGCGCACCGAGGCTGCGCTCGATGCGATCGAGGCGATCGCGTCCGAGGTTCCCGAAGCGGTTGTCGGCGCCGGTACGGCGCTGAACGCCAAGCAGTATGAGGCGTGTCGGGCGGCCGGCGCGCGCTTTGTCGTCTCGCCGGGTTTCACGCCGGAGCTTGCCGAAGCGGCGGACGGCGCCAACGTGCCGCTCCTGCCGGGATGCGTGACGTCCAGCGAGATCATGGCGGCGCTCGAAGAGGGCTACACCCATCTGAAGTTCTTTCCGGCCGGACAGGCGGGCGGCGTTGCCTATCTGAAGGCGCTCGCCTCGCCCTTTTCCGCCGTCCGGTTCTGCCCGACGGGCGGCGTGTCGCCCGACAATGCCGGCGATTATCTGGATCTGCCGAACGTTGTGTGCGTCGGCGGCTCGTGGGTGGCGCCCAAGGAGGCCGTCGCGAGCGGCGACTGGGACCGCATCACGGCCCTCGCCAAAGAGGCGGCCGGGCTGGGGTAACGCCGTCTTACCTCCCCCTTGAGGGGAGGTCGGCGATCGACGAGCGAAGCGAGACAGAGCCAGGTGGGGGTAACACCCACCGATCGTGCCCAATTGTGACCCCCACCCGATCAGCGGCCCTTCGGGCCGAGCCCGAAGGTTGCTTCTCTTGCCTCCCCTCAAGGGGGAGGCGGACAAATCATTCTTCAGACAACGAAAAAACCCGGGATGTTGCCATCCCGGGTTTCGCGTGTCGGACAGTCGCTGGCCTCAGAGGCGGCCGGCGCGCTGCTGCAGCATGAGGAAGGTGTCGAAATTGTATTCCGACAGCTGCATCCACAGATAGGCGTCCTTGCGGTAGCCCATGTAGCTGTCGTGCACCTTCTTGAACATTTCGTTCTCGGCGGCGATTTCCGCATAGGTCTCGTTGGCCGCCTCGAAGCACGCTTCGAGGATCTCCTGGCTGTAGGGGCGAAGCTGCGTGCCCGACGCCGCCAGTTCCTTGAGGACCTGCGGGTTGAGCGTGTCGTAGCGCGCCATCATCACCGAGTTGGCCATGGCGGACGCGTTCTTGACGATGCCCTTGTAGGTGTCCGGCAGCGCGTTCCAGGCGTCCAAATTGATCATGTTGAGAAGCGCGACGCCGCCTTCCCACCAGCCGGGATAGTAATAGTACTGGGCGACCTTGTTAAAGCCCAGCTTGGCATCGTCGTACGGGCCGACGAATTCGGCCGCGTCGATCGTGCCGCGCTCGAGCGCCGGATAGATGTCGCCGCCGGGCAGGCCCTGCGGAACGACGCCGATGCGCTCGATGATGCGGCCGCCGAAGCCGCCGATGCGGAACTTCAGGCCCTGCATGTCTTCAAGCGTGTTGATCTCGTTGCGGAACCAGCCGCCCATCTGCGCGCCGGTGTTGCCGGCGGGGAAGGCGATCATGTTCTGCGTGGCGTAGAATTCGTTGAGCAGTTCGAGACCGCCGCCCTCATAGAGCCAGGCATTGGTCATGCGCTGGTTCAGGCCGAACGGCACGCCGGTGCCGAAGGCGAAGGTCGGGTCCTGGCCCCAGAAATAGTAGGAGGCGGTGTGCGCGCACTCGATCGTGCCGGCGGTGACGGCGGCAGCGCCTTCCAGCGCGCCGACGATTTCGCCGGCGGCGAAGACCTGGATGTTGAACTTGCCGTCGGTCATCTCGCTGACGGCATCGGAGAACACTTCCGCCGCACCGTAGATCGTATCCAGCGCCTTGGGGAAACCGGACGAACAACGCCAGGTGATGCTCGGCATTTCCTGCGCGATGGCGGGCGCTGCCAGGGTGGTGGCGGCTGCCGCACCCGCGCCGGCGACGCCGGCCTTTTTGATAAATGAACGACGATCCATATGATCCTCCCGTGAACACAATGGGTCGAAGGCGGCAAAATCTCCTCTCGCCATCTTCAACAAGCCGCAAACTTGCAGCTTTCGCGTGCGCTGTCCACTATCGGGACCCCAACTGGTCAATATTTTTTTCCACTTAATCGATTTGGGTGCAGGAGCCCGGACTTCGAGGGTTATTCCGTCCGACCGGCAAACCGATTATGGGGGAAGCGAGCCGGCACCGGATGCCGGCCCCGATGCTCGTGATCATGAAGCGGAGCCCCCATGCAGCCAATCGTTGCCGTCGTCTGCGATGTCCGGCAGTTCGACACCTATACCTGGCACGCAACGCCGGAGACCTATCTGAAGGCGGCGCTCGAGGTGGCCGGCGTGCTGCCGCTGATGGTGCCGGCCTTCGGCGAGCGGATCGACATTGACGGGCTGCTGAGCCGCGTCGACGGCGTGATGCTGTCGGGCTCGAAGTCGAACGTTCATCCGGGCCTTTACGGCGCCGAGCCGGGACCGGCCTACGAGCCATACGATCCGGCGCGCGATGCGACCAGCCTGCCGCTGGCGCGGGCGGCGGTGGAGACGGGCGTGCCGTTGCTTGCCATCTGCCGGGGGCTGCAGGAGCTGAACGTGGCGCTCGGCGGGACGCTCGCGACCGAGATCCAGGAGCTGGACGGCCGCAGGGACCATCGCGCACCGCAGCAAGAGGATCACGACGAGCGCTTTGCCATCGTCCACGATGTGGCGCCCAGGACGGGCGGATGTCTGGCGTCCATCGTCGGCGGCGGTCCGGTGCCGGTCAATTCGCTGCACCGGCAGGCGATCAGCGCGCTGGCGCCGCGGCTTCAGGCGGAGGCGGTCGCAGAGGATGGCACGATCGAGGCGGTTTCGGTGATCGACGCACCCGGCTTTGCGCTCGGGGTGCAGTGGCACCCGGAATATTGGGCGAAGTCCGACACGCCCTCGCGGCGGCTGTTCGAGGCGTTCGGCGAAGCGGCCCGCGTCCATGCGGGCGGGCGGCTGGCGGCGGCTCAGTAGGCGGCCAGCGACACTTTCACATTGTCCGGCTCGACCACTTCCCAGGCAAAGCCGTCGCCGGGGGCAAGGCGCATCAGGGGCGTTCCGCGATGGTCGGTGACCGTCACCGTGCCGCGGCGCGATTCCTGCCAGGCGCGGGCGCGGGCGAACAGTTCGCCCAGGCGCGCGCAGGAGGAGCCCGGCTCGACCCGGTGCACGTCATAGCCGTCGGCGCGATGCAGGGTGAAACTGCAACTGATGTTGGTGCGGTGGTCGAGCGCCATGAAACGGTCGCCGCCGGCGGCCGCGGCCGATGCCACCGATGCGGTCGTCACCGGATCGATGCCGGACGGCGCCGAGCCGGGCGCGCCGGCACCCGCCGCGATAATCATCGCAGCGGCACCTGCCACGGCAAACCCGTTCAGCCATTGGGTCGTGTTGAACCGCATCGCATTGCCCCCTTGATCGGTGCGGCGAGCATGATCGGTCAGGGTTAACGATTTGCTAACCAATGCGACCGAAGCGCCGAGGCAGGGGGTCAGCGGGTCAGGGCGGCGGTCTCGGGCACCGGCGTCAGCGGCGCGTCGCCCGCGAACCAGGCGGCGAGATTGTCGATGACGAGCTGGCCCATGGCCTGCCGGGTGGCCACCGACGCAGAGGCGACATGGGGCAGAAGGCAGGTGTTGGGCGCATCGAGCAGCGCCTGCGGCACGTTCGGCTCGTCCTCGAACACGTCGAGACCGGCGGCGGCGATCGCGCCGGTGTGCAGGGCGTCGGCCAGCGCCGTCTCGTCGACCACCGAGCCGCGTCCGACATTGATCAGGACGCCGTCCGGCCCGAGCCGCTCAAGAATGCCGGCATCGATGGCATGGCGCGTCTCCGGTGTGCCGGGCGCGACCGAGATGAGCGTGTCGCAGGCTTCGGCCAGATCGGCGAGGCTGGCATGATAGGGGTAGGCGACATCGGCGCGCTGCGAGCGGTTGTGATAGTGAATCGCGACGCCGAACCCCTCCAGACGCCGCGCCACGGCCAGGCCGATCCGTCCCAGCCCGAAAATGCCGACGGTGCGGCCGCGCAAGGTCAGCGGCGTCAGCGGAAAGTTGCCCTCGGTCTGCCATTTGCCGGCCCGCAGCCAGGCTTCGGCACGCGGCAGTTCGCGCAGCGTGTTCAGGAGCAGGCCGATGGCGGTGTCGGCCACCTCGTCGTCGAGCACGTGCGGCGTGTGGGTGACGATGACGCCCCGGCGGGCCGCGTGCGCCGCATCGACATGGTCGTAGCCGACGCCGAACGAGGAGACGATCCGCAGGTTGGGCAGCGCGTCGATCAGTGCGGGCGTCACCGGCGACATCAGCGTCGCGAAAGCCGCGATGCCGGCGCGCGCATCTTCGTCCATCGCCATCACATCGCCGGGCTCGGCGACGGTGCAGTCGAAACGCTCGACAAGCCGTTCGCGCGTCCAGGAATGGCCGCGACTTGAGACGAGCACGCGCCCGTTCCGCCGGTCCGGCTGCGTCATCGTTCAGGTCTCCACGGGATGGGTCGTCGATTGGCGCACATGCAGATCGGGCCGGACCAGATGCAGCGTGCCCTCCAGCGACTTCTTGCCCTCGATCCTGTCGAGCAGCGCACGGGCGGCGTCGCGGCCGACATCGCGCTGGCCGTTCCACACCGTCGTCAGGGCCGGCGTCGCGATCGAGGCTTCCTCGAGATCGTCATAGCCGGTCACCGAAATGTCGACGCCGGGCGTCAGACCGGCGCGGGCGATCCCGTTCATCAGGCCGATGGCGACCAGATCGTTCCAGCAGACGGCGGCGGTCGGCCGGTCGCGCAGGGCGAGGAACTGGCTGGCCGCCTCGAAACCGGCCGCCTTGGTGCGCGGACCGGGAATGCGCCATTCGGCTTCCACCGGAAGGCCGGCCTTTTCCATCGCTTCGCGATAGCCGCGGAAGCGGTCACGGCCCGTCGAGGTCTTGTCCGATCCGCCGATCATGGCGATGCGCGTGTGGCCGAGCGAGATCAGATGGTTGGTGGCAAGGCCGATGCCGAATGCGTCGTCGCCCCTGAACACCGGCACATCCGCGCCCTCGACCGAGCGCGCGATGAAGACGAAGGGCAGGCCGTTCCTGATGCCCAGTTCGATGTCCGAAGGCGGGGTGTCGATGGCCGGCGACATGATCACGCCGTCGGCGCCGAGCTGCATCAGCGTTTCGAGAAAGGCGCGCTGCTTGTCGACCGAGTCATAATGGTTGGACAGAAGGAAGGTCTGGCCGGAGCGGTCGAGCTCGGTCTCGATGGCGCGCAGGATTTCCGCATAGAACGGGTTCATGATGTCGTGCACGACGACGCCGACAATGCCGGATTTGGAGGTCCGCAGGCTGGCGGCGCGGCGGTTGTAGATATAGCCGATCTCCAGCGCATGGGCCTTGACCCGTTCCTTGGTGGCCTCGGCGACAAGCGGGCTGTCGCGCAGGGCCAGCGATACGGTGGCGGTCGAAACGCCGAGCGCTTCGGCAATGGTCGACAGTTTGATCTTCTGCAAGGCGCGCCCTTCAAGGAGCCGTTTAAACCGGTGAAAGACGTTTAAATGGCTTTAATCGGGCGGTAAAGGGCGCTGCGGCGCGTCAGTCCCGTTCGCTCTGTTCGTCCTCGCCGGTGTCCTCGCGGACGATCAGATTGCCCTCGATCTTGCCGAGGATCTTTTCGAGCTGCTTGCGCTCTTTCTTCTTCAGGCCCTTGAGCGCCTGTTTCTCGGCCTTTGCGATGGCCTTTCCCATCACGCCCAGAACGTTGCGCCCCGCCTCGGTCAGTTGCACGAGAACCTGACGGCCGTCCTCCTTGGACGCGGCGCGCGCGACAAAGCCTTGCTCCTCCAGACGTGTGATCGTCTTGGTGATGGTCGGCGGGCGGACGTCGAGGGCCCGGGCGAGGGCGCCGGGGGTCATCGGGCCGCCGGTCGCAAGCGCCTCGATGATCTTTTCCTGGCCGGCGTAGAGCCCGGTCTTGAGCAGATGGCGGGCATAATGGGTCCGGCCATGGCGCGCCACGTCCTGAAGGCGCGCCAGCAAGCTGCCGCCTTCGGTCTCTTCGGCGGGGATGTAGAACCGATTCATGGCCGCACGATAAGCCGCCGGGCAACCGCCGACAAGCAAAGCCGGCAAGGTTGGCGCTTGGCCGGGAGCTGGCGATGCCGTAACGCTGGACGAACCGGTCGGGTGAACCGTTTGGAGGACTTCGGATCGATGAACGACGGCAATGGGCGGGCGCTCTGGATCCGACATCCGCTGGCCGCGCTGGTGCCCGACGGCGTCGATGCGCGCGGCGGGCTGCTGGTCCGGGACGGGGTTATCGAGGCGGTGATTGCGGCCGGCGAAACACCGGCCGAACCGCATGACGTGTTCGACGCTTCGCGCCATGTCGTGCTGCCCGGGCTGATCAACACCCATCATCATTTCTACCAGACGCTGACGCGCGCCCATCCGGCGGCGATCAACCGGGAGCTGTTCGACTGGCTCAAGGCGCTCTATCCGCTCTGGGCGCGGCTGACGCCGGACCATCTGCGCATCGCCACCCGGCTGGCGCTGACCGAACTGATGCTGTCGGGCGTCACCTGCGCGTCGGACCATCATTACGTCTTCCCTGACGGGCTGGACGAGGCGATGGACATCCAGGCCGGGGAGGCGGCGGCGCTCGGCATGCGGATCGTGCTCAATCGCGGCTCGATGAACCTTTCGGTGCGCGATGGCGGCCTGCCGCCGGACAGCGTCGTTCAGGATGCCGACACGATCCTCGCCGACTGCGAGCGGGTGATCGGCCGCCATCACGATCCGGCGCCGGGCGCGATGACGCAGGTGGCGCTGGCGCCATGCTCGCCCTTTTCGGTGACTCGGGAGCTGATGGCCGAGACCGCCGCGCTAGCCGGCCGCTGCGGCTGCGCGCTGCACACCCATCTGGCCGAGACGTTCGACGAAAACGCGTTCTGCGAGGCGACCTATGGCTGCCGGCCGGTCGACTATCTGGAAGAGACCGGATGGCTGACCGACCGGACATGGCTGGCCCACGGCATCCATTTCAACGACGAGGAGATGGCGCGGCTCGGCCGCGCAGGCGTCGGCGTCTGCCATTGCCCCACCTCGAACATGGTGCTCGCCTCGGGCCAGTGCCGGACGCGCGAACTGGAGGCCGCGGGCGTTGCGGTGGGCCTTGGCGTCGACGGCTCGGCCTCCAACGATTCCTCCAATCTGATGGAGGGCGTGCGGCACGCGCTGATGATCGGCCGGCTGACCTACGACGCCTCTCTGACCCATCTGGACGCGCTGCGCTGGGCGACCGAAGGGTCGGCGCGGTGCCTGGGACGAAGTGACATCGGCACGATCGCGCCGGGAAGGCAGGCCGACCTGGCGCTGTTCACGCTCGACGAATTGCGCTTTTCGGGCGCGCACGACCCGCTGGCCGCGCTCGTTCTGTGTGGCGCGCACCGGGCCGACCGGGTGATGATCGCCGGGCGCTGGACGGTCGAGGACGGCGCGCCGGTCGGCGTCGATATCGCGGCGCTGCGGCATGCCCACGGTCAGGCGGCGCGGGCGTTCATGGACGGCTGACCCCGCCGCGCGGCGCCCTATATGCCCTGGCAAGCGAGGGACCATGACACAATCGGTAGCGATCATCGGCGCCGGGCTGGCCGGCGCGGTCTGCGCGCGGGCGCTGGCCGATGCCGGGCTGGCGGTGACGGTTTTCGAGAAGTCGGGCGGCACCGGCGGGCGCCTGTCGACCCGGCGCAGCGCGGCCGGCAGCTTCGATCACGGCGCACAATATCTGACCGGGCGGAGCGCGCCGATGCGGGCGTTGCTGGACCAACTCGGCGAAGAAGGCGCGGTGGCGCCGTGGACGCCGGAAGGCAAGGACCGGCCGGGCGACTGGCATGTCGGGCTGCCCGGCATGAGCGGGTTCGTCAAGCCGCTGCTCGCCGGCATCGATGTGCGGCTGCGCACACGCATCGACGGCATCGGTTTCGACAGCCAGGGCCAGGTCCGCGTGACCGGCGCCGACGGGCTCGATCACCGCTTCGGGCGGGTGGTCGTCACCGCGCCGGCGCCGCAGGCGATGGCCCTGACCGCGCCGCTCGACCGCGGTTTCGAAGCCTTGCGCGATATCGTCTACGCGCCGTGCTGGGCCGGCATGTTCGCCTTTGCCGAACCGGTCGCCGATCTGCCCGACCTGACGCGCGGTGACGATCACGGCCCGGGCGCGCTGATCGTGCGCAATTCATCCAAACCGGGCCGGGACGGCGCGACCTTCGTCGTCCATGGCGGCGGGGCGTGGAGCGCGCAGCATCTTGAGCATGAGCCGGAGGCGATCGTGCCGCATCTGCAGGGCGCGCTGGAGCGCTGCGCCGGGCAACCCTTGGCACCGGTCCACGCGACGGCGCACCGCTGGCGTCATGCGCGGGTTGACCGGGCGCTCGGCGAATCCCATCTGGTGTCGGGTTGCGGCCGCGTCGTCGTCTGCGGCGACGGTCTTGTCGGCGGCCGGGCGGAAGCGGCGGCGCAAAGCGGATGGGCGGCGGCGGCCGCGATATTGGACCGATAGATGCCGCCTGGCGGCGGACGAACGAGACTGAAGGGTTGGGGACCGGACAATCATGGACACGCTGACCCGGATGCGCGCCTTCGTGGCGGTGGTCGACAATGAGGGCTTTTCGGCGGCGGCGCGGGCACAGGGGCGCTCGAAGGCGCTTTTGTCGAAATATGTGCGCGAACTGGAGGACGATCTGGGCGCGCTTCTGCTCAACCGGACGACCCGTCAGTTCTCTCTGACCGAAGCGGGCCACACCTATTATCGCCGCGCGCTCGATCTTCTGCGCGAGTTCGACGATCTGCGGGACGAGATACGCGACACCCGATCCGATCTTGCCGGACCGATCAAGATTTCCGCGCCGCGTTCGCTCGCCGATGCGGCGATCGGTCAATCGCTGGTCGATTTCGCCGTGGCCCATCCGGAGATCAGGCTCGATATCGATCTCGACGACCGGTTCGTCGATCTGGTCGAGGAGGGGTTCGATCTCGCCATCCGCATAACCCAGCTGGAGGATTCGACGCTGATCGCGCGCCGGCTGAACCCGTTCCGGCTGGTCCTTTGCGCCACGCCGGCGGTGATCGAACGCCATGGCACGCCCGAATCGATGGCGGAGCTGGCCCGGCTTCCGTTCATCGTCGACACCAATGCCCGGCGCCGCAACATCATCCCCTATCGCGACGATGACGGGCAGGCCACCTCGGTGACCGTGGACGGGCGGATCAGCGTCAACAGCCCGCTGGCGGTCAGAATGGCGGGTCTCGCCGATCTGGGCTTTTTCGTCTCGCCCGACTTCATCGTCCTGGAGGATTTGCAGGCAGGACGGCTGGTCGAGCTGATGGCCGGCCAGCTCGAAAACGATGCCGGCATCTATGCGGTTTATCCGCACCGGCGCTATCTGCCGGCCCGGGTGCGGGCGCTCGTCGACTATCTCGCCGACTGGTTCAAGTCCAACTGCCGGACGCCGCGCGGCAACGGGGCGTCATAATTCGGCCCGCTTCGCGTGGCGCAAACGATCCGTGCCGGATCAGGGGTGACGTGATTTGACCCGCCAGACGATGTTCGCAGCCTTTTTGGCGCCGGTGGCGTTTGCCGTGCCGGTGGCGGCGCACGCACATCCGCATGTCTTCGCAGAAGCGCGGCTCGAAGTGACGGTCACGCCGCAGGGCATGGTCGACCGGCTGCGCCATGTCTGGCGTTTCGACGATCTGTTTTCATCGACGGTGCTGTTCGAATTCGACACCGATTCCAGCGGCGCGCTCGAGATTGGAGAGCTGGAACAGGTGGCCGAGGTGATCGTCACCTCGATCGCCGAGTTCGGCTACTTTCAGTCGGTGACGGTCGGCACCAAGGAGATCGCGATCGCCGAGGTGACCGACCTGCGCGTCGACATGGTCGACAACCAGCTGCTCGTCCTGTTCACCTCGCAGCCGTCCGAGCCGGTGGCGCTGGCGGACAATCCGTCCTTTGCGGTCTATGATCCGACTTTCTATACCGCGATCGATTTCTACGAGGACGAGAACATGGTGCTGATCGGCGCGCCGGCGGGCTGCGGGCACCAGATGGTGATCCCCGATCCGGACGAGGCGATCGCCCAGAACCAGGACACGCTGACCGAGGCGTTCTTCAACGAGCCGGACGGCAATGACTGGTCGAAGATCTTCGCAACGCGCATGGAAGTGCGTTGCTCGTGAGACGCGCGGCAACCATCGCACCGGCGGCCCTGATCGTGCTTGTCGCGGCGGTCGGCATGGCGGCGGCGCAATCCTCGCTCGGCATCGGCGTCGCCGAGCAGGCGCCGGCGTCCGACAGCGGCCTGTTGGGCGGCTTTTTTGCCTGGATCGCCACCCGGCAGCGCGAATTCTATGACGCGATGCGCGCCGCGCTGACCGCCATGCGCGATGGCGGCCCGGGCGCATGGCTGCTGGTCGGCCTGTCGTTCCTTTATGGCATTTTGCACGCGGCGGGGCCGGGCCATGGCAAGGTGGTGATCTCGTCCTACATGCTTGCCAACGAGACGGCGCTGAGGCGCGGCATCGCCCTGTCGTTCGCCGCCTCGCTCGTGCAGGCGCTGTCGGCCATCGTGATCGTCGGCCTCGGCTTTCTGGTGCTGCGGCAACTGGCCGTCAGCCAGACCGACACGACCCGCTTTTTCGAGATCGCATCTTACGGGCTGGTGGTCGCGCTGGGGCTGTGGCTTCTGGTGCGCAAGCTGCGCGCGCTGCGCCCGGCGGCGCCGAAACCTGCTGCCCTGTCTTCGGCGGCCGTGCACGATCATGGTCATCATCATCATCACAACGACGACCGTCACGCACATGATCACCATCATCACGATCATGCGCCGGGCGAAGTGTGCTCGACCTGCGGTCATGCCCACATGCCGATGCCCGACCAGCTTTCCGGCCCGATGAAGCTGCGCGATGCGGCGGCGGTGGTCCTGTCGGTGGGGCTCAGGCCCTGTACCGGGGCGCTGATCGTGTTGACGTTCGCCTTCCTGAACGGGCTGTGGGCCGCCGGGCTCGTCTCGGTTCTTGCGATGGCGCTCGGCACCGCGATTACCGTCTCGGCGCTGGCGACGCTGGCGGTGACGGCGAAGAATGTGGCGCTGCGGATGTCCGGCTCGTCTGCCCTGTCCGGCCCGGTGAGCCACGCCATCGAGATCGGCGGCGCGCTTCTGATCATCGCCATGGGCGTGATCCTGCTGGGCGGCGCGCTCGGCGCCTAGGGAAGTCTCCTCAGCGCAGCTTGCGGCGCGCGCGGCCCCGAAGCCACAGACCCAGAAACGGCAGGACAAGAACGGCGGCGACCGCCGCGCCGGCGGCCCAGGGATTGTCGCCGCCGATGGCGGTCATGATCGCCGGCAGGAAATAGAGCAAAAGCGCGAAGCCGACGAAGATGCCGCCGGCAATGAGCAGCGTGCCGCGATCATATTCGGGCGGTTTGGGCGCGCCGTTTTCGTCGTTTTCCGGTGCGCTCACAGCGTCCAGCCTCCGTCGATCACCATGGTGGCGCCGGTCACGAAACCCGCTTCGTCCGACGCCAGATAGACGGCCATATCGGCGATTTCGCGCGGCTGCGCAATGCGGCCCATGGGCTGGCGCTGAAGGAACAGGTCGAACGCGGCATCATAGCCGCCCATCTGTTCGCCGAGCGCTTTCATGCGCTCCTGAAGCGAAGGCGAATCCACCGTGCCCGGACAGATGGCGTTGCAGCGCAATTGCCGGGCGGCGAAATCCGCGGCGATCGCCTTGGTCATGCCGATGATCGCCGCCTTGGTCGCGCCATAGACATAGCGGTTCGGCGCGCCCTTGATGGAGGAGGCGCCCGAGGACATGTTGACGATCGATGCGGTGGAGCCGGTCTGTTCGGCGCGATCCAGCATGGCCGGCAGGAAGGCGCGGATCGTTCGGTGCATCGATTTCACGTTCAGATCGAACGAAAAATCCCAGTCATCCTCGGTGCAGTCGAGCACCGTGCCGTGATGGACGAAGCCGGCGACATTGGCGAGCACGTCGACGGCGCCGATCTCGGCCGCATAGGCGTCGACCGCCACCGTGTCGGTGACGTCGAGCACGCGCGCATCGGCAAAGGCCGGGTTGGCCAGCTTGGCCGCGTCGAGATCGCTGGCGAAGACCCTGGCGCCCTCTTCGGCGAAACGGTCGGCGATCGCCTTGCCGATGCCCTGTCCTGCCGCCGTGACGACGGCGATCTTTCCCTCAAGCCTGCTGGGCATGAATGTCGCTCCTGATCTCCTCGAGCCGGCGCTTCTGACCGCCGTCGGCGTCGAAGTTTGCCGGATCGAGCCAGCGTTCCATCGCTTGTTTGGCCGCCGGCCATTCCCTGTCCAGCATGGAATACCATGCCGTGTCGCGATTGCCGTAGGGCTTGACCTCGTGCTGGCGGAACACGCCCTCGAAGGTGAAGCCGAACCGCCGCGCGGCGCGGTGCGAGGCCGCGTTGGCATTGTTGAGTTTCCACTCATAACGCCGGTAGCCCAGATCGTCGAAGACGCGGCGCGCCATCAGGTAATGCGCTTCGGTCGCTGCCGGCGAGCGCGCCATCGGCGTGCCGTGGGCGACGGCGCCCACCTCGCAGACGCCGTTCTTCTCGTCGATGCGCATATAGCTCGCCATGCCCATCACATCGCCCGTGTCGGGCTGCGTGAAAACGCAGGTGACGAAGCCGCCATGGTCGTTCAGCGCTTGGATGGTTGCGCCCAGATCGGCGGCGCTCTCCATGCGCGGCCAGCCGAAATGATGGAGCAGATCGTTGGTCGCCATGCCGCCGAAGGCGGTCCAGAGCCCGTCCTGATGGGCGACGCGGTCGAACGCAACGATCGCGACATGGCGGCCGGCCACGCGCCCGTTGGTGGGCCGTTCGCGCGGGGTCCAGTCCGTCAGGTCGGTGATCATGGGCGGCGTGTCCGGGCTTGCTTGACTTGCAATGCGCGGCACCTCATGCCGGGCGCGGGAGGAAGCCATGCACGACATCAATCCCTTCTTCAACCGGATGGGCGAGGAAAACGCCTTTGCCGTTCTGGCGCGGGCGACACAGCTTGCCGCCGAGGGCCGCGACATCATCAATCTGGGCATCGGCCAGCCCGATTTCGCGACGCCGGCGCACATTGTCGAGGTGGCGGTCAAGGCGCTGCGCGACGGAGCGCACGGCTATACGCCGGCCAACGGCCTGCTTGCGACGCGCGAGGCGGTAAGCCGGCGCATCCACGCGCTGACCGGCGCCGACGTGCCGCCGGAAAGCATCATGATCACGCCGGGCGGCAAGCCGGCCATGTTCGCCGCCATCCTGATGTTCGGCGCGCCAGGCGCGGAGATTCTCTATCCCGATCCGGGCTTTCCCATCTACCGCTCGATGATCGAGGCAACCGGCGCGATGCCGGTGCCGGTGCCGATGCGCGCCGAAAACGGGTTCGCTGTCAGCGCCGACGAAGTGGCATCGCTGATCACGGATCGAACGCGGCTTTTGATCGTCAATTCGCCGGGCAACCCGACCGGCGGGGTGACGCCGCCCGCTGAGATCGAAAAGCTCGCCGCGCTGCTGGACCGGCACCCGGACATCGCGATCCTGTCGGACGAAATCTACGATGTGATGACCTATGATGGCGAAGCGCACACATCGCTGCTGGAATTTGACGGCCTGCGCGACCGGCTCATCGTGCTCAATGGCTGGTCGAAGACCTGGGCGATGACCGGCTGGCGGCTGGGCTGGTCGGTCTGGCCCGAACCGCTCTACAACGCGGTGCGCAAGCTGGCGGTCAATTGCTGGTCCTGCGTCAACGCGGCGGCCCAGCATGCCGGCATCGCGGCGATCTACGGGCCGCAGGACGATGTGGCGGCGATGATGGCGGCCTTCGACGCGCGGCGGCGCTTTGTGGTCGAGCGGCTGAACGCGATGGCGGGCGTCACCTGTGCGACGCCCAAGGGCGCGTTCTACGCCTTCCCGGACATTTCGGCGACCGGCTGGCAGGCCAAACAGCTTGCCAGCGGGCTTCTTGAAGAGGCCGGCGTCGCGCTGATCGGCGGGCCGGATTTCGGCATCCTCGGCGAGGGGTTCGTGCGCGTCTCCTACGCCAATTCGCTGGCCAACATCGAAGCCGCGCTCGACCGGATGGAGGCGTTTCTCAGCGGATGAAGGCAGGGCCGAGCGCGAAGGCGGGCACGGCGTGCACGGCGCGGCCGGCGGCGATGTGGGCGACGCGCGGCGCGAACGGGCTTGCCAGAAGGGTCAGTCAGCCGGGAATCGCCGGGTTTGATGCGGTGGAAAAGAGCGTGTCGAGCGGGATGGATGGCCCTTTCTTGCCAATGTCAAGATGGAGGGCGGCACGCATATTGCCGGCTTCAAGACAACGTTTTGACACTGTCCAGATCGTCGCCTAGACTAGGGTCAGGACCCATTAATGTGATTGAAATGGCGGTCGAGATGGCAAGCAATACAAGAAAAAGCACGAAGAGCGGGGTCCGTCCCCCGGTCGAGAGCTTTGACGCGGTAGGGCGCGGCCATATCGACCGTCCTTCGGATCGGGCGGATTTGCACGGCCTGCCGTGTCGCAAGCCCTTGAAAGTCGGAAGACTTCCTGCGGCCTTGCTCCGTGCATCCGCACAAATTCGCCACGACCAATTCAACCAGATTAATGGGTCCTGACCCTAGCGCCATGACCGTTCGGGAAAAGGCCGCCGGAACAATGCGCTATCACCATGGCGAACTGCGCGAGGCGCTGCTGGCCGCGGCCGAAATGGAGTTGACCGAGAAGGGCGAGGACGGGTTCTCGCTGCGCTCGACGGCCAAGCGCGCGGGCGTCAGCCATGCCGCGCCGGCGCACCATTTCAAGGATGTCACGGCGTTGCTGCAGGGCCTGGCGCAGCGCGGCTTCGAACGGCTGACGGCGACGATGAAGGAAGAGCAGGCCAATGCGGGCGACGATCCCGAAGCGCTCTATGTGGCGGCGGGTGTCGGCTATATCCGCTTTGCGGCCGAAAACCCGGCCCTGTTCCAGCTCATGTTCGGCGGGCGGTCACACCATGGCGTGCCGACGGAATTCGCCAAGGCGGCCGATGCGAGCTTCTCGGTGCTGGTCAACGCGGTCGCACGTCTGCGCGGCGCGGACGCTCTGAAGGCCGAGGAAGGCTGGCGCGATGTCGCGGCGGCCTGGATGATGCTGCACGGCTATGCGCATCTGGCGATCGGGGGCAAGCTGGGCTGGCTGACCGGCCAGCCCTTCGACCGGCAACGGCCGGTGATCGCGGACCTGGCGCGGCGGGCGCTGCGGCTTTGACCGGAGGGATTGGGATCAAAAAAGCGGGCGACGGATCCTCTTGGATCGATCGCCCGTTTTCCGCAGGGCCGGGGTGGGAGGAGGAACCCGACCTGCTTTATGCCCATGTATCATGATGGACCCGATGCGTTAACGAATGGTTAACGCGTGCAGCGGCCCGGTTTGCACGCAATGCGACAGAAGGCTGGCATGGCCCGTCCGGCCATGCAGCACGATGGGATTGTGCCCGCTACGCGGTCGCGCCGGCGATCGTCGCCTCGATGTGATCGACCAGCGGATCCGGCAGCTGCAGGCGGCCGGCCAGCATGTCCAGATAGCCGCGCTCGGCGCGGGTCCTGGGTTCGATGGCGAGCCTTGAAGCGGTGTAGAGTTCGACGCGCTGCGCCTCGGTCCGGGCGGCTCCGACGATCGAATCGAGATCGACGGGCTTGGCGAGTTCGGCGCGCACGAAGCTCTGCTCGTCATCGTCGATGCCGCTGACCGCCAGCTTGTCGATGATGCGGGCGCGTTCTTCATCGTCGATATGGCCGTCGGCGCGGGCGGCGGCGATCATGGCGCGCACCAGGGCGAGCGGGAACTCGCCGTCCTGGCTGTCGGCCTCGATGTCGAATTCCGAGCCCTGGGGCGGCGGCAGCACCTCGGGCTCGGCGGAGCCGGCCTGTTCGACGGCGCGGCCTTCCTTGTAGTTCTTCCAGGCGGTGTAGGCGAGACCGCCGACGGCGGCCGCCGCGCCCAGCTTGACCGCCGAGCCGGTCAGCTCCCGCCCGACGCCGGTGCCCAGAAGGACCGCCGCGATGGCGCCGGTCGCCAGCGGATTGTCTTTCGCCATCTGTCCGGCCTGCCCCGCCCGCTCACGCACGGTTCCGCCGGCGCCGGGTATCCGGCTTCCCAGAAAATCGTTGAGCAGCTTTTTGGGGTCGAGCATGGGTTCCTCCTTTGGCCGGACCGGGTCGTCGTGCAGGTGGGTATTGGGGAGACATATGGCAAGGCGATGACGACCGCGGAAGCGCCGCTGGCAGGACGGACAGGCGGGTGACGGGCCGGAAAAACTCTGAAATCATGGCCCGTGCCTTCGGGAGGCTGGCGGCGCGGTGGCCGCCGGAAAGGCAGGGCAGGGAGGAACCCATGGGTTGGATGAAGGACGAGACCGGGCTGGAAAAGCGGCCGGCCAATTTCGTGCCGCTGACGCCGTTGTCGCATCTGAGGCGCGCGGCCACGGTGCATGCGAAACGCGAGGCGATCGTCTATGGCGATTTCCGGACGAGCTATGCGGAGTATCATGTGCGCGTGTCGAAGCTCGCCTCGGCGCTGGCGCAGATGGGTGTCGCGCCGGGCGATGTGGTGGCGACGGTCCTGCCCAACATTCCGGCCCATGTGGAGGCGCATTTCGGGGTGCCGGCCTGCGGCGGCGTTCTTAACGCCATCAACATCCGGCTCGACCAGCACACGATCAGCTACATTTTCGACCATGGCGAAGCGCGGGTGGTGCTCGTCGACACGCAGTTTCTCGGCGTCGTCGAGGCGGCGATCGCCGAGATGGAAAACGAGGCGCAGCCAACGATCATCGAGGTGCCGGACGAGCAGGCCGGGTTCCACGCATCGGGCCGGCACCTGACCTATGAGGCGCTGATCGCCGAGGGCGACCCGGACTTCGACTGGGTGATGCCCGCCGATGAATGGGAGAGCATCGCGCTCAACTATACGTCGGGCACGACGGGCCGGCCCAAGGGCGTCGTCTATCATCATCGCGGCGCCTATCTGATCACGCTGGGAACGCCCATCGCCTGGCGGATGACGCTCTATCCGCGCTATCTGACGATCGTTCCGCTGTTTCACTGCAACAATTGGTGCCATGTCTGGACGATGCCGGCGGTCGGCGGCACCACCGTGTGCTGCCGCGATATCACCGCCAGGGCGATCTACGACGCCATCGCCGACGAGGGGGTGACGCATTTCGGCGGCGCGCCGATCGTTTTGAACATGATTGTCAATGCCAGCGACGATGAGCGGCGCTCGTTCGATCACACGGTGAATGTGTTCACCGCCGGTGCCCCGCCGGCGGCGGCGACGTTGGCGGCGATCGAGCCGATGGGCTTCAACATCACCCAGGTCTACGGGCTGACCGAGGTCTATGGTCCTGCCACCGAATGCGTCTGGAAGGACGATGAATGGGCTGGGCTCGGCGCCGAAGAGCGGGCGACCATCAAGGCGCGGCAGGGCGTCGCGTTCCCCAACATGGATCATGTGACGGTGGTCGACCCCGAGACCATGCGCCAGACGCCGATGGACGGCGCGGCGACGGGCGAAATCGTGATGCGCGGCAACGCGACGATGAAGGGCTACTACAAGAACCCGCGCGCAACCAACGAGGCGTTTCGCGGCGGCTATTTCCACAGCGGCGACATCGCCGTGCAGCATCCGGACGGCTACATCCAGATCACCGATCGGGCCAAGGATATCATCATATCGGGCGGCGAGAACATCTCTTCGGTCGAGGTGGAAAGCGCGCTGATGCACCATGCGTCGGTGCTTCTGTGCGCGGTGGTCGCCAAGCCCGACGAAAAATGGGGCGAGGTGCCGTGCGCCTTTGTCGAACTGAAGGACGACGGGTCGGCGACCGAGGAGGAGCTGATCGCCTTTGCGCGCCAGAGGCTGGCCGGTTTCAAGGCGCCCAAACGGATCGTGTTCGGCGAACTGCCCAAGACCTCGACCGGCAAGGTGCAGAAATACGAACTACGCGAGCGGGCGGCGGCGCTGTGATGGCGTTGCCCGTGCTGCGCTGAGGGGCGTCCGGAAAAAAAGCGCCGGGGCGTGCCCCGGCGTTTTTTCATGCGTGCCCGACGCGTCTTACTGGTCGGTCGGCGGCGGCGTGGCGTTCAGGTCGAGCGGCGGCAGGCCGAAGGCGGGCGCCGGCGCATCGCTGTCGCCGCCGGAGGCCGCGCCGTCATCGCCGCCCAACGATGGCGGGCCGCCCAGCGGGGTGAGTTGAAGGCCGGGCAGGCCCGAGCCGCCCTCATTGCCGAAGTTCGGTGCCGACGGCATGCCGCTGCCGCCAATGCCGGGCAGGCCGACCGCATTGCCCTCGGCGTCCTGCCCGCCAAGCGAGGGCAGTTCGATCGTCACGTTGTCGATATCGATCACCGGTGCGTCGTCATTGTAGTGGGTGACGATGCGCGGGAAGAAGATGACCACCATGATGGCGACGAACTGGATGGCGATATAGGGGATGACGCCCCGGTAGATCTGCATCGTTTCGATGCCCTTGATCCGCTCGCCGGTGACCTCGTCGTCCCAGTCCTGCCTTGGCGCGATCGATCGCAGGTAGAAGAGCGCGAAGCCGAACGGCGGCGTCAGGAACGAGGTCTGCAGGTTGATGCCCAGAATGATGCCGAGCCAGATCAGGTCGATGCCGAGCGTTTCGGCGGGGCCGACCAGCAGGGGCACGACCACGAAGGCAATCTCGAAGAAGTCGAGGAAACAGCCCAGGATGAAGACGATCACCGTGACGACCACCAGGAAGCCGGTCTCGCCGCCGGGCAGCGACAGCAGCAGTTCCTCGACCCAGATCTTGCCGTTGATGCCGTAAAAGGTCAGCGCGAACACGCGCGCGCCGATCAGGATGAACATCACGAAGGCGGTCAGTTTGGTCGTCGAGTCGAGCGCTTCCTTGAGTGTCTTGAGGTTGAGCCGGCCCTTGAGCAGCGCAAGCACCAGCGCACCGGTGGCGCCCATCGCGCCGCCCTCGGTGGGTGTGGCGATGCCAAGGAAGATGGTGCCGAGCACCAGGAAGATCAGCGCCAGCGGCGGGATCAGCACGATGATGACCTGTTCGGTCAGCCGCGAGACGAGGCCGAGCTTGAAACGCCGGTTGATCAGCGAGACGCCGAGCGCGAAGAGGGTGGCCGTCGTTGCCGAAGACACGAAGCGGTTCTCGTAGCTCATCCCGGCGTAGAGGAAATTCATGCCGGCATAATGGATGACAACCGAGATGGCGATGATCGCAAACAGCGACAGGATGCCGCCGCCGAGCGTCCGCGTCTCGGGCGGCAGTGCCGGGACCCATTTGGGTTGAACGAGTGTCAGCACGAAGATGTAGGCGCAGTACATGCCCATGATCATCAGCGCCGGATAGAGCGCGCCGACATACATGTCGCCCACCGAGCGGCCGAGCTGGTCGGACATGACGATCAGCACGAGCGACGGCGGGACGATCTGCGCCAGCGTTCCGGCGGCGGCGATCGTGCCGGTGGCGACCGGGCGGTTGTAGCCGTAGCGCATCATGATCGGCAGCGAGATCAGGCCCATGGCGATCACCGAGGCCGCGACGACGCCGGTTGTCGCGCCCAGAAGACCGCCGACGATGATCACCGCAAAGGCGAGGCCGCCGCGCAGGGGGCCGAAAAGCTGGCCGATCGTGTCGAGAAGGTCTTCCGCCATGCGCGAGCGCTCGAGGATGAGCCCCATGAAGGTGAAGAAGGGGATCGCCAGCAACACCTCGTTGCGCATGATGTCGAAGGTGCGATTTGCATGCAGGCCTAGAAAAGTCGGTGACAGGGTGATTTCGCCGGGCGCGAAAATCGACAGTTCGACGGCAAGGAAAAAGAAGATCAGACCGCCGGCGGCAAGCGTGAAGCCGACCGGATAACCGATGAGCAGCATCGCCATGACGGTGATGAACATGACCGGCGCGAGGTTGTGGGCGATGATCTCGATCATTTGTTCTTCATCCGCTCTTCGAGGTCCGCACCGGATTCCATCTCCTCGATCATCGGCGGCAGTTCATGCTCGGCGGTGGGATCTTCGATGAGCCCCCGGATCACCGCGATGCGCTTGATGATTTCGGAGATGCCCTGGAAGCTGAGGAGCACGAAACCGGCCAGAACGAGGAACTTGGCCGGCCACAGGATGAGGCCCGACGCGTTGACCGAGATCTCCTTCGAGGCGAACGAGACCCAGAAGAAGGGCCAGGAGATCCAGACCATGATCAGGCAGAACGGCATCAGGAAGAAGATGTGTCCGAGCAGGTCGATCCAGTCGCGGGTGCGTTTGGAAAAGCCGGAGGTGGCCACGTCGATACGCACATGTTCGTTGCGCAGCAGTGTGTAGGAGGCGGCCAGCATGAAGACGGCGCCGTACAGATACCACTGCAGCTCGAGCCAGGCGTTGGACGAATTGTCGAAGATCTTGCGGATGGTCGCATTGCCGGCGCTGACCAGCACGGCGACCAGGATCAGCCACGAGACCGACCGGCCGATGAACGTGTTGACGGCGTCGATGCCGGCCGAGACTCTCAATAAAGCAGCCATACTCCTCCCCTGAGCTTGCCGCGGGCCCGCGTTCATGGTTGCAAGGCCATGGCCGCCGGTCGCCGCACCTTGTTGGTCCGCGACGGGAAAATCAAGGCGCGCCTCCACCGCGACGCGAACCGGGCAGGGTCGGCAGCTAGCACCTCTTGGGGCGAATGGCAATGAATGGTAAAGATTATTAACCAGTGAAACGTCCGATGGGTGACGCCCGGGCGCCGATTGACGTCGCTGTCCGTTTGGCGTTGATGAACCGTTGGGGCGCAGTCGAGGGCGGATCGTATATGGACATGCATGTGGCGCGCGGGGCCGGCGACCCGCTTTTTTCCGTTGAGGGAAAGGTTTGCCTGGTGACCGGGGCCTCGACCGGGCTGGGTGCGGGATTTGCGCAGCATCTGCTGGCGCGCGGGGCGCTGGTGGTCAATCTGAGCGACACCGCGCCGGACTGGGATCCGGGCGAACTGGCCAACCGTTTCGCGGACATGCGCGGCGATGTGCGCGATGATGAAGATGTGCGCGGTGCGATCGGCACGGCAACCGATGCGTTCGGCGGCTTCGATGTTCTGGTCAACAATGCCGCCGGGTTCTGCGTCGAAAAGGCGGCGCGGCAGGACGCGGGCGGGTTCGGCGCGCTCATGGATCTGAACGTGACGGCGGTGGCCAATCTGTGCCGCAGGGCGCATGAGGTCATGCGCGGCAATGGCGGCGGCGCCATCGTCAACGTCACCAGCATTCTGGGCAGGCGGCCGATGCGCGGGCTTTCGGCCTATGCAACCAGCAAGGCGGCGCTGGAACAGTTGACACGGGCGCTGGCGCTGGAATGGGCGGCCGACGGGGTGCGGGTCAACGCGCTGGCACCGGGCTGGTATCCCACCGCCATGACGCGCGGCCATCTCGATGCCGGGCTGGCACCCATCCTGAAGAACTCCATCCCCATGGGCCGTCTGGGCGTGCCGGACGATCTGGCGGGCGCCCTGCTGCTGCTGGCGTCCGATGCCTCGCGCTACATGACGGGCACGACGATCACGGTCGATGGCGGCTACGACGTGCGAAGCTGAGCGAGCGTAAGCGCGGACTGACCCCCAAAATATTGGGGGGCTCCGCCGCTCCCCGTGTCAGCGCCTGAATTATTTCGGTATATAGTATAAACTCGCCGATTTCCACCGTGGTTTGACCGAATTAACGAATTCTTCATGGACTATATTCTAGTTTCGCTGCGTCACCTCGGCCCGATGTCATGGGCCGCTCCGGTGAAAAGGCCCGGACGGACGGGCCATACTGTCCCGATTCAAGAGCCTTACACCGTTCATTAACGGCGTCGGTCGTATCGTCCTGCCGAAAGGGCAGGCAATGACACGACTGGATCGATCGCCGCACGGCGATGAAGCCGAGATCGACATCTATCTGAACTTTGTCGACAGCCTGTTCGCTGACCGGCGCAGCATGCTGATGGGCGTGACGCTGCAGATCGGCATTGCCTTGTGCGTCTATATCGAGAGCGGCATGACCTCGATGGGCGTGTGGCCTGGCATTTTCCTGCTGACGGCGGCCTACCGCTATTTCCACATCGTTTGCTACGGGCGTCAATCGGCTGCGGCTGCATCGATGGATCGTGAAACGCGCCTGGCCTGGGCCAAGGACTGGGAACGCCGCTACATTCTGTCGTCCGGGCTGGCCGGCCTCGCAGTCGGCATGTTCGCCTGGTTCAGCCTGGAGTTTGTCGGCACCGAGTTTGCCATCATCGCGTCGCTGTCGACGGTCTTTGCCGCCCTGCCGACGATTGTCGGGCGCCTTTACGGCTCTGTGCGCTTGGCGGCGCTGATGACCGTCAGCGTGCTGATCTGGCCGGCGCTCAGCCTGCTGATGGCGGGCAACCTTGCAAGCATGATCGCTGTGCTCTTGTTTCTGCCCTATGTCGGTTTGGTCATGTCGATGGTGCGCCGGGTGCGATCGACCGTCGTTTCGGCGGTGCGCGGGCGGCTTGAAAAGACCGAAATCGCCGAGCGATTCAACCTGGCGCTGACCAACATGTCGCACGGCGTGATCATGTTCGATCGCCACCAGCGGGTCGTCGTCATTAACCGCCGCGCCCGGCTGATCCTGCAGATTCCCCATCATGTGAACGCCGAAGGGCGCAGCTTTTCCGTCCTGATGCGCTATGCGCGCCGGTTCAACCTGGTGCCGTCCGACCACGCCGGCTCTTTCCAGGACGTGGTGTCGAGCCTTCTGGTCACCGACGGAAGGAAGGCCGAAATACGGCTGACGAACGGGGTGCATGTCGAGTTTTCCGGCACGCAAAGGCCGGAAGGCGGGTCGGTGCTGATCCTTGAGGACGTGACCGAGCGGGCGCGGGCGCAGGAGCGCATCAAGGCGATGGCACGGTTCGACAGCCTGACCGAATTGCCCAACCGGACGCATTTCGGCGAAGAGGCCGTTCGCCGCGCGGACGAAGCCGATCCGGAATCGCGGTGTCTGCTGATCGCTTTCGATGTCGATGACTTCAAGCGCGTCAACGATTCGATCGGACACGCCCAAGGCGACGCGCTGCTGCGGGCCATCGCCCGCCGGCTGCGCCGCGACTATGGCGATTGCGCGGCCATTTCCCGGCTCGGCGGCGACGAGTTCATGATGTTCGTCGACCGGCTGCCGGCCGACTTCGAGATCGACGCCTTCGCCGACGGGCTGCGTGACTGTCTGCGGCGTTCGTTCCGCATCGGACCTGAAAAGGTGTTCGTCACACAGTCGTTCGGCATCACATACGGCAAGGCCGGCGATTTCGATCTCAAGCGGGCGATGGTCGAAGCCGATCTGGCGTTGTACCATTCCAAGGCGATGGGCAAGGGCGTATGGTCACTGTTCGAGCGCGACATGAACGACCGCTATCTGCGGCGGCAACTGCTCAAGGGCGAACTGGCCAAGGCGATCGAGCTGGGCACGCTGTCGGTGCGCTACCAGCCGATCGTCGAAGCGGCGACCGGACGCATCGTCGGCTGCGAGGCGCTGTCGCGCTGGCATCATCCCGAGCATGGCAACGTCTCGCCGGCCGAATACATTCCGCTGGCCGAAGAGATGGGCATCATCACGAAGCTGACCGAAAGCGTCATTCGCACAGCGACACGGGAGTGCGCGCGCTGGCCGGATCATGTGACCGTGTCGGTCAATCTGTCATCGATCGATTTCCAGCGTGACGGCATCGGCCAGATCATCCAGAACGCACTGGAGACGGCAGGACTGCCGGCCAATCGGCTGATCGTCGAAATCACGGAGACGGCGGTGATCAGCAACGAGGCCGACATGATCGATCGCCTGACCCGCATTCGCAGAACGGGCGTCGGGATCGCGCTGGACGATTTCGGCACCGGCTATTCCTCGCTGAGCTATCTGCACCGGTTGCCGCTCGATCGCGTCAAGATCGACCGGTCGTTCGTCGCCGGCATCGAAACCGGCGACACGCCGCTGGCTCTGCTGCACGGCATCACCGATCTGTGTCATGGGCTGGGCCTGAAGATCACGGTCGAGGGTGTCGAGACCGCCAGCCAGCTTGCCATCGTGCGCGGATCGGGCAAGATCGACAAGGTACAGGGTTATCTGTTCGGCCCGGCGCTTCCGGCGACCGCGATCGCCGAGATGGCGACGCGCATGCCGGCCGAAAATGCCGCTGCGGACGCGCCCGCCGCCGTTGCGCAACCGGGAACGGCCGCTACCGGCTGACAGGCGTTCCGCCCGCTCCTCAATTCTCCGCATGTTCTGTCTGTATCAGGATAACACAAGTCTGACCGCAAATCGGCCGTTCATTAACAGTTAACCTTAACAGCCGATTACTATTTCTTGGGAATTTACGCGCATTTTCGTAAAAGATAACCTTGCGGCAGGTCAACCTACCAAGGGGACGACGCCGTGGATCGCAGCGCGACAAAAGCACCAACCCGCCAACGCAGCGACGCCGTGGCCGATCGCCTTCTGTCGGTGATGGAGGCAATCGAGTATCGCCGCATCACCACGCCGGAAGATTTTGAAGATGTGGGTGCACTGCGTCTCAAAGCGTTCAACGCCAAGGACGTCTACGAACGCAAATTCGACTCGCCGCTCGTCGAGGCGCTGGACTTCGAGCCGGACACCTATGTGTTCGGCCTTTATCATGCCGACCAGCTCGTTGCGTCCATGCGGCTGAACATGCTGTCGGCGAACACGCCGCCGACACCGGCGATGGAGCTTTTTTCCGAGACGCTTTCGCCGCTGCTGGCGCAGGGCATGGTGTTCGTCGATCCGAGCCGTTTTGCCATCGATGCCGAAGCGTCGAAAATCCAGCCCGCGTTGCCGCTTCTCACGCACCGCCTGTCGACCATGATGACGCTGCACAAGCGCGCCGACTACTGCCTTTGCGCGGTCAAGCTCGAGCATGAGGCCTATTACCGGCGCGTGTTCGGGGCGACGCGCCTTGCCGGCCCCTTCGAGCCGGAGGGTATGTGCGTCCAGGCCGTGCTGCTCGGCATTTCGCGCAACAATGTCGACTACATCATGAGCCGAAATCCGCTGTTTCACTACACCGAGACCGAAGCGCGGCTCCTGTTCGACCGGCTCGAGGATGCGCTGCCGCCGCTGTGCGTGCGGCCGACCGCCCGCTACGCGCTCAACGCCGCCTGAGCGTCGGCGGCTGCCGTCTCGCATGCGCCATTGATGTGCGGCGCAGTTTTCGCTATGCGCACGGCAGCATCCAACACGACGAGCGGAGACCGCCATGGGCGAGCAGACCGAGACCAACCACGACGCCGGCGCGGCAATGGACTATCCGGAACATGAAAAAACGTTCAACCTGTTCCTCGCGCTGACCAAGTGGGGCACGGTCGCGACCGCCGCGCTGCTGATCGCCATGGCGTTCGGCTTCTTCGCCGGCGGCGGCCTGTTCGGCGGCATCATCGTTTTCGTCCTGCTGATGATCGTTTCGCGGTTCGTGCTTTGACACGAAACGTCGCCGGGCGCATTGACATTGCGCGCGTCCGGTCCAGTTAGCTGCGGCGGGGGAGACCGGTTTTGCCACTGACATTATTCGTTGCCAAGGAATCGCAGGCCGGCGAGCCGCGCGTCGCCGCCTCGCCCGACACGGTCAAGCGGCTGGTCAAGGCCGGCCACACCGTGACCGTCGAAAAGGGCGCGGGCATTTTGTCGCGCATTCCCGATGCGGATTTCGAGGGTGCCGGCGCGTCGATCGTCACGGCCGCCGCCGGTTCCGGCAAGGCCGATGTGGTGCTCAAGGTGCGCCGTCCAACATCGCCCGAACTGAAAAAGTACAAGAAGGGCGCGGCGGTCATCGCCGTCATGGACCCCTATGATGCCGAAAAGGCGCTCGGCGAGATGGCCAAGGCCGGTCTTTCGGCGTTCGCGATGGAGCTCATGCCGCGCATCACCCGCGCGCAATCGATGGATGTTCTGTCGTCGCAGGCGAACCTGGCCGGCTATCAGGCGGTGATCGAGGCGGCGGCGGCCTATGACAGGGCCATGCCGATGATGATGACCGCGGCCGGCACGGTGCCGGCAGCCAAGGTGTTCGTGATGGGGGCGGGCGTTGCCGGCCTTCAGGCGATCGCCACTGCGCGGCGCCTCGGCGCCGTCGTCACCGCGACCGACGTGCGGCCGGCGGCCAAGGAACAGGTGGCCTCGCTCGGCGGCAAGTTCATCGCGGTCGAGGACGAGGAATTCAAGGCGGCCGAGACGGCGGGCGGCTACGCCAAGGAAATGTCCAAGGAATACCAGGCCAAGCAGGCCGAGCTGGTCGCCGAGCACATCGCCAAGCAGGACATCGTCATCACGACGGCGCTGATCCCCGGCCGGCCGGCGCCGAAGCTGGTTTCCAAAAAGATGCTCGATGCGATGAAGCCCGGCTCGGTGCTGGTCGATCTGGCCGTCGAGCGCGGCGGCAATGTCGAGGGCGCCAAAGCCAACGAGACGGTGACCACCAGGAACGACGTCAAGGTGATCGGCATTGCCAACATGCCCGGACAGGTGGCGGCGTCCGCATCGCTGCTCTACGCCAAGAACGTGCTGGCGTTTCTCGAGACGCTGGTCGACGCCGAGAGCGGGGCGCTCAACATCAATCGCGACGACGAACTGGTGGCCGCGACGCTTCTGACACATGACGGCGCGCTGGTGCATCCGCGCTTTGGCGGCGAGTCGCCGGCTGCCGCTGACAAGGGGGAAAAGGCCGATGGCTGACGACAGCGTATCCCGGGCGCTCGACGCGCTGGACAGCGCCGTTCAGGGCGTGCGCGAGGCGGTTGCCGATGCGCCACCCGCGGTGGCCGCCGCTGCCGATGCGGTGCAGACCGGCGGCGTCAGCGAGTTCGTCTTCCTGTTCTCGATCTTCGTTCTGGCGATCTTCGTCGGCTACTACGTCGTCTGGTCGGTGACGCCGGCGCTGCACACGCCTTTGATGAGCGTGACCAACGCGATCTCCTCGGTGATCGTGGTCGGCGCGCTGCTGGCTGTCGGCATTTCCGAAAGCGGGCTTGCGACGGGCTTCGGCTTCGTCGCCCTGGTGCTGGCCTCGGTCAACATATTCGGCGGCTTCCTCGTCACCCAACGCATGCTCGCCATGTACAAGAAAAAAGACAAGTGAGGCGCTAGATGTCCGTCAATATCGCCTCCTTCCTCTATCTCGTTTCCGGGATCCTGTTCATTCTCGCGCTGCGCGGGCTGAGCCATCCGACCACCTCCCGTCAGGGCAACATGTACGGCATGATCGGCATGGCCATCGCGGTCGTGACGACGCTGCTGGTGGCCGCCCCGGGCATTGGCGGCGGGTTCATGATCCTCGCCGGCATCGCCATTGGCGGGTCGGTCGGCGCCTATGTGGCGCGCAACATCGCCATGACCGCGATGCCCCAGCTCGTTGCCGGCTTTCACTCGCTCGTCGGCCTCGCCGCCGTTCTGGTCGCCTCCGCCGCGCTCTACTCGCCGGCCTCGTTCGGCATTGGCGATGTCGGCTCGATCAAGGCCGTGGCGCTGGTCGAAATGTCGATCGGCGTCGCCATCGGCGCGATCACGTTTACCGGCTCGATCATCGCGTTCCTGAAACTGGACGGGCGCATGTCGGGCAAGCCGATCCTCCTGCCGGCCCGGCACATCATCAATGCCGGCATCGGCATCGCGATCATCGTCCTGATCGCGGTTCTGGTCGGCACGGAAAGCCACACCGTCTTCTGGCTGATCGTCATCCTGTCGCTTCTGATCGGCGTCCTGATCATCATCCCGATCGGCGGCGCGGACATGCCGGTGGTCGTCTCGATGCTCAACTCCTATTCGGGCTGGGCGGCGGCGGGCATCGGCTTCACCGTCGAGAATCTGGCGCTGATCATCACCGGCGCGCTGGTCGGCTCGTCGGGCGCGATCCTCAGCTACATCATGTGCAAGGGCATGAACCGCTCCTTCATCTCGGTGATTCTGGGCGGCTTTGGCGGCGAGGCGGTTGCCGCCGGCGGCGATGACGGCATCGACCGCACCGTCAAGCAGGGCTCGGCGGACGATGCCGCCTTCCTGATGAAGAACGCGTCGAAGGTGATCATCGTACCGGGCTACGGCATGGCGGTGGCGCAGGCGCAGCACGCGTTGCGCGAACTTGCCGACACGCTGAAGGCCGAGGGCGTCGATGTGTCCTATGCGATCCATCCGGTCGCGGGCCGCATGCCCGGCCACATGAACGTGCTGCTCGCCGAGGCCAATGTTCCCTACGACGAGGTGTTCGAGCTCGAAGACATCAATGCCGAATTCGCCCAGGCCGATGTCGCCTACGTCATCGGCGCCAACGACGTCACCAACCCGGCGGCGCGCGACGATCCGTCCTCGCCGATCTACGGCATGCCGATCCTCGACGTCGACAAGGCCAAGACCTGCCTGTTCGTCAAACGCTCGCTCGGCTCGGGCTATGCGGGCATCGACAACACGCTGTTCTACAAGGACGGCACGATGATGCTGCTGGGCGATGCCAAGAAGATGACCGAGGACATCGTCAAGGCGATGGACGACTGACGTCAGCCAAATCCGGCGCTTTTCGAAAAACCGCGGCACTTGCCGCGGTTTTTTTGTCGGCAATGTCGATCGGACCCGTGTCCGTTCGTCACCCCATTGAGAGCGATGGTGCTCTCGGTGACGAAAGGACAATCATCATGACGCTTCTTCAAATCCTCGCCGCATCGGGCGCTGCGGTCGCCGTTCTGGCGGCATCGACCCTTTTGCTTCCGAGGCAGGTCCATGTCGAGCGGCAGGCGCTGATCGACGCCGACGCCCGGGCCGTTTTGGCGCTTGCGGCCTCCGGGGAAGGCTATCAGCGCTTCAATCCCTACAGGTCCACCGATCCGGACCTGTCGATCACGCTGTTCGGGCCGGCATCGGGTGTCGGGTCGGGCTTCCATTTTGCTGGCAAGGACGGCAAGGGCAGCCAGACCGTCGCGGCGGTCACGGGCGATGCCGTGCACTACCAGATCGATCTGGGCCCGATGGGCAAGCCGCTGCAGACCATCCGCGCCGAGCCGAAAGACGGCGGCGCTCATGTCACATGGTCGATGCAGGCCGACATGGGCTTCAATCCGATCGGCCGGGTCATGGGCCTGTTCATGGACCGCATGGTCGGCCCGACCTTCGAGCGCGGCCTTGCCAATCTTCAAACCGCAGCCTAACCGCATCCAACAGGAGACACACCGATGCGCTACACCTTTCTTCTCTACTCCGACCCCGCCGACTTCGCCGACATGACCCAGGAGGACTGGGCCGCCATGCAGGAGGTCTATGGCGCCTATATCGGCGCGCTCAAGGAGGCTGGCGTCTTCGTCGACACGGACTGGCTGCAGCCGGTCGAGACCGCAACGACGCTGAGCCTTAAGACCGGCAGCAGGACGGTGCAGGACGGCCCGTTCGCCGACACCAAGGAGACGCTGGGCGGCTATTTCGTCATCGACGTGCCCGATCTGGACGTCGCCATGGCCTGGGCAGAAAAATGCCCCGCCGCCAAGGCCGGCAAGGTCGAGATCCGCGCCTCCGCCATGGGCGGCGCATGACCGAGGCGGCCCGCGCCGCCGAAAGCGCGGCGCGGGCATCCTACGGAAAGCTGATCGCCATCCTCGCCAAGCGCAGCGGCGACATTGCCGGCGCCGAGGACGCGCTGGCCGATGCCTTCGCCAAGGCCCTGAAACGCTGGCCGGAGACCGGCGTGCCGGACAACCCCGAAGCCTGGCTTCTGACCGCGGCGCGCAACCGGATGACGGACACGCAAAGACGGCGCGCGCGCTTTCCCGAAACGGACGCGATCCCCGACATGGCAGACAGCGCGACGACAGCCGAAACGATGCCCGACGAGCGGCTTTCGCTGATGATGGTCTGCGCCCATCCGGCGCTGCCGGAGGACCTGCACACGCCGCTGATGCTGCAGACCGTGCTCGGCGTCGAGGCGGCCGACATCGCCCGCGCCTTCGTCGTCACGCCGTCGGCCATGGCGCAGCGCCTGGTTCGCGCCAAGCGCAAGATCAGGGATGCGCGCATCCCCGTTCAGATGCCGGACGAAACCGACCTGCCCGAAAGGCTGGGCGCGGTGCGCGAGGCCATCTATGCCGCCCATGCGCTGGACTGGCTGGCACCGAGCGATGCGCTGGGCCAGGAGGCGCTTTATCTCGCCGACCTGTTGCGTCATCTGGCGCCGGACGACGCGGAGGCGCACGGGCTTGCCGCGCTGATCGCCTTCGGCCACGCGCGGCGCCACGCGCGCATCAGGGACGGTATGCTGGTGCCGCTCGACGAGCAGGACGCAACGCTGTGGGACGGGCGTCTGATCGTCTACGGCCAGACGGCGCTCGCAGCGGCCCATGCACGCGCCGCGCCCGGCCGGTTCCAGATCGAGGCGGCGATTCAGGGCCTGCATCTGGACCGCGCCAAGACCGGCAGGATCGACTGGCTGGCGCTGGACAAGCTCTATTTCGGCCTTGGCCGGATCGCGCCCTCGCTCGGCGCGGCGGTCGCCCACGCCATCGTCATCGCTGAACGGCACGGGCCGCCGGCCGGGCTCGACGCATTGTCGCGGCTCGACGAAAAGGCGACGCGCGCCTTCCAGCCCTTCTGGGCCGCGCGCGGCGCGCTTCTGGCCGACCTGGGCGATATTGCCGGCGCCATCGAAGCCTATGAGAAAGCCGTTTCGCTGTCCGTCGAACCGCCGCTCAGGCGCTATTTGGACCGGAGGATCGAGAGCATGCGCGCCGGCGGCCGGCCCGCGGCGAAAGCGGGGGATGCACGACCGGAGTAGACGCGCAAGGCATGGCCGGGCGGCTCCGGCGGGGGGCGTCAGAGCAGATCCCATGCGGTGATGTTCTGGCGCATATGGCCGACCGATGTCGTGCCCGGAATGGCGATGATATTGGGCGACCTTTCGAGCAGCCATGCCAGCGCCTCGCGCGGCGCCAGTTTCGCGCCGTGCTGCATCGGGTTGGCGCCCAGCGGGCCGTAGGACCGGGCGCTGTCGAAGAAGGTCACGCCGTCATCGGCCGCTGCCCGCAGCAACGAGATGCCGCCTTCCCAGTCCTCATAAGGGCCAAAATTGCCGGGCTGGCCCGTCAGGCGCATGGCGCCAAATCCGATCCGGTTGACCTCGATGTCGCCGCCGATGCGATAGGTCCGGTTGGGTGTGTCTGTCATCTCGCTCTCCATTGTGGCGGCCAAATCCGCCAGTGCCCGCAAACCTATCGATACGCCGGCCTCGTCGGTAGACGAGTGCAAAGAGCTATTGTTATACACTTAACGTATGACTCGATCACTCGACCGCCTGACGCTTCTGGAAACCTTCGTGCGGATTGCCGAGCGCGGCTCGATCAGCGCGGCGGCCCGCGATCTGGGCCTGTCGCAAGCCTCGGCGAGCCGGCAACTGGCCGATCTCGAAGAACGCCTGGGCGCGCAACTGATCGTTCGCTCGACGCATCACCTGAGCCTGACCAAGGCCGGCGAGCGGTGCCTCGCCGATGCACGGCTGCTGCTGGCCGAATGGGAAGGGTTCGCCGAGGGCTTTGCCGGCGACGCCGACCGCATCGCGGGGCCGCTGAAGATCGTCGCGCCCGTTGCGCTCGGCCAGACCGTCGCGCTCGACTGCGCCGTGGCGTTTCAGGCGGCCCATCCCGAAATCGTCCTGGACTGGATCCTCGATGACGCGCCGATCCGCTTTTCGGAGGTCGGCTGCGATCTGTGGCTGCGCGTCGGCGCCGTTCCCGATGAAACGCTGATCGTACAGCCGCTGGCAGAGGTGGAACGCATCGTCGTGGCCGCTCCGGGTTTGGTGGGGCCGGCTGACGGCGATCCACAAGCGCTGGCGAACGTGCCGTGCGCGGCGCTGCACCCGTTCGAGGGCGGGCGATGGCCGCTGACCGGACCCTTGGGAGAGACGGCCGATCTCGATGCCCGCGTGACGTTCGCCAGCAACAACATCGCGACCGCGAAACGCGTCGCCGTGGCCGGCGGCGGCTATGCCATAATGCCGCGCTGGCTGGTGGCGGCGGAACTCGAAGCCGGCACACTGGTCGAGCCGTTGCCGGGGTGGCGTGCCGCGTCGCTGACGATCAACGCCGCTTTCGCGCCGGCGCGGCGTCAGACCCGGCGGCTGCGCCTGTTCATCGATGCCATGAAGGACGGGCTGGCCGGCTTGGCATAGCCATTGCCGAGGCGCGCGCCAATCGCGATCAGCTCACCCGGCTCATCGCCGAGCGGGCGATCGAGAAATCGGGGTCGAGCTGAAGCGCCCGGCGGAAGGAGCGCTTGGCGCGCTCGCGCTCGCCGCGCTGTTCGTAGACGAGGCCCTGACTGGTCCAGCTCTCGGCGCTGCGATCGTCCAGTTCGATGGCGAAGTTGGCATCGGCGAACGCATTGTCGAGCTGGTTCAGCGCAAGGTAGGAGATGGCGCGGGCATTGTAGGGCTCGGGCGCATCGGGCTGCAGCGAGATCGCCGTCGAGAAATCGTCGATGGCGAACTGGTGCTGGCTGCGGCCCTGATAGATCAGGCCGCGCCGGTGATAGGCGCGCGGATCGGTGGTGTCGAGCTGGATGGCGCGCTCGAAATCGCGGAACGCCTCGTCCGTGCGGCCGGCGCGGCGGTAGAGTTCGCCGCGGCCGACAAAGGCCTTGTCATAGCGCGGATTGATCTGCAGCGCGGCATTGTAGTCGTTGGCCGCGCTCGTCTGGTCGCCGAGCAGCCGGTGGATCAGCGCCCGGTTGGCATAGGCCTCGAAGAAGCGCGGATTGAGGGCGATGGCCTGGTTGAAGTCCTCGAGCGCCTCGCGATAGCGGCCGCCGCGGCCGAAGGCCGAGCCGCGCACATTGTAGGCTTCGGCGTCGCGCGGATTGGCGCGGATGACTTCGGTGAGCGAGGCGATGTTCTGGGCGCTGCCCTGTTCGGCCTCGATGCGCACGGCTTCGCCCTGCAGCGCCGATGTCTGGCAGGCGCCGAGCGCCAGCCCGGTCGCGCAGACCAGCGCAAAGCGCGTCAGACGCGCCGCGCCGGCCGTGCCGCGTCTGGCTGAACCCTGATCGCCCATCGTCACTTCCCCTCTCGACCCCATGCACCTTCGCACAAAAATGGCGTGGCCATTGTCAGGTCACGCCATGCTTGCATGTCAATCTGGACAATATCGCGGCGATGCCGTCGGCACCGGTGCCGCGGGGCCTCAGCGGCCCTTGCGGCCGCCCAGAAGGCCTTCGCGCTGGGCGCGCTTGCGGGCCAGCTTGCGCGTGCGGCGCACGGCTTCGGCCTTTTCGCGGGCGCGCTTCTCGGACGGCTTTTCGTAATGGCCGCGGAGTTTCATCTCGCGGAACACGCCTTCGCGCTGCATCTTCTTCTTCAGGACGCGCAGCGCCTGGTCGACATTGTTGTCACGGACAAGTACTTGCAATTTGATCCCGTTCCTTCGGTGTTCGAGGCTTGTTTGGCCGGTTTTCGCGTCTGCGAGGCTGCCGAAACACGGAACGCAAAAATCGGTTCGCAGAGCCGCCGGCCAGACGATTGCCTGCGGCATATCAGCTTCGGCACCACAAGTCCAGTCTGCCCGATGCAGATGACAGGCCTTTGTCGGCGTTGGGAAAAGCGGTCTGTGGCAAGGCTGTGCGCGTCCTTTGCCGTCGCAATCCGGCTGGAAGTCGCCTGCGCGCTATGCTTTTGTGCCGGCCAGTTTGGCATCAACGGTGAGGGCCGATGCGCCGATTTTCCGGATTTGCCGTGGCGCGCGAGGCGATGCGCGCACACAAGGGCTGGGGCCGCCAGTGGGACAGCCCCGAACCGCGTTCGTCCTATGACGTGATCATCGTCGGGGCAGGCGGGCACGGGCTGGCGACCGCCTATTACCTGGCCAAGGAACACGGCATCACCAATGTCGCGGTTCTCGAAAAGGGCTGGCTGGGCGGCGGCAACACCGGGCGCAACACGACGATCATCCGCTCGAACTATCTCTATGACGAATCGGCCGGGCTCTACGACCATGCGGTGAAGCTGTGGGAGGGCCTGAGCCAGGATCTCAACTACAATGTCATGTACTCGCCACGCGGCGTGATGATGCTGGCGCACAATGTGCATGACGAGCAGGTGCTCAAGCGGCACATCCATGCCAACCGGCTCAACGGCGTCGATAATGAGTGGCTGACGCCCGAACAGGCGGGCGACTACTGCCCGCCGCTGAACATTTCGCGCGGCGCGCGCTATCCGGTGACGGGCGCGGCGCTGCAGCGGCGCGGCGGCACGGCACGGCACGACGCGGTCGCCTGGGGTTATGCGCGCGGGGCCTCGGCGCGCGGCGTGCATGTGATCGAGAACTGCGCGGTCACGGGCGTCCGCCGGTCGGGCAACGGGCAGGTGACGGGCGTCGAGACGACGCGCGGCTTCATCGGCGCCAAGAAGGTGGGCGTTGTCGCCGCCGGGCACACATCGGTCTTGATGGAGATGGCCGATGTGCGCATGCCGCTGGAGAGCTTTCCCCTGCAGGCGCTGGTTTCCGAGCCGGTCAAGCCGTGCTTTCCGTGCGTGGTCATGTCCAACTCGGTGCACGCCTACATCTCCCAGTCCGACAAGGGCGAACTGGTGATCGGCGCGGGCACCGACCAGTACACCTCCTATTCGCAGACCGGCGGCCTTCACATCCTCAAGGACACGCTCGAAGCGATCTGCGAGATGTTCCCCGTCTTCACGCGCATGAAGATGCTGCGCTCGTGGGGCGGCATCGTCGATGTGACGCCCGACCGGTCGCCGATCATCGCCAGGACGCCGGTGCCTGGCCTCTATGTCAATTGCGGCTGGGGCACGGGCGGGTTCAAGGCGACACCCGGTTCGGGCCATGTGTTCGCGCACACGATCGCCAACGACAATCCGCATCCGATCAATGAGGGCTTCACGCTCGAGCGGTTCACCACCGGCCGGCTGATCGACGAAGCGGCCGCCGCGGCGGTGGCGCACTGAGATGGTCGGCCTGGCGGCGATGACACTGGCCGCGGGCATGGCCGCCACGCCGGTCGCCGAGCCGGGCGAGCGGAACATCTTCCGCATCCCGCGCGCCGGCGATGTGCGCATGCAGACGCTGACGCGGGCGGGCGGCGAGACGGGCTGGCCCTTCACCGTCGATGAAGGGCTCTTGATGTGCGTGTTCGTGGCCGGCCGGCCGACCGTCTATTTCGCCGTCGTCGAAGAGCATGACGAATGGCACGAGGACCCGCCGGTGCGGATGGTGATCGTGTCGACCGATCCGTTCGACGCGACGCTCGCCAACATGGCCGTCAACGACCTGATCGTCGAGACCGGCGGGCCTGCGGAGCGCATGGCGCTGTTCGCGCCGTTCGAGCGAATGGGACGGCGGCTGTGCGACCAGCCGCGCGGCACCGAGATGGGCCCCGGAGAATTGTAGGAAAGCCGATGCTGTTGATCCATTGCCCCTATTGCGGGGAAGCGCGCCCGGAGATCGAGTTCCGCCACGCCGGCGAGGCCCATATCGCCCGGCCCGCCGACATCGCCTCGCTGACCGACGAGGAGTTTTCGCGCTTCTTCTTCTACCGCGACAACCCCAAGGGCATCACGTTCGAGCGCTGGCGGCACTTGCATGGCTGCGCGCGTTTCTTCAACGCCGCGCGCGACACGGTGACCGACAAGTTCCTCGTCACCTACCCGGCGGGCGAAGCGAAGCCGGACCTGGTCGAGGCGGCCAACGAGAATGCGAAGGGGGCGACATGACCGCGTCCACCGCCATACAGCCCAACCGCGTCGACGGTGCCGGGCGTCTGACGCCGGCCAATCCGGTCCGGTTCAGCTTCGACGGCGAGACCTATCACGGGCTCGCCGGCGACACGCTGGCCTCGGCGCTGCTGGCCAACGACATTCACCTTGTCGGCCGGTCGTTCAAATATCACCGGCCGCGCGGCATCCTGACCGCCGGGCCCGAGGAGCCGAACGCGCTGGTCGGCATTGCGCGCGGCGCGGCCCGCCGGCAGCCCAATGTGCGCGCCACGGTGCAGGAAATCCATGACGGGCTCGACGCGACCAGCCAGAACCGCTGGCCGTCGCTGACCGCCGATGTCGGCGAAGTGAACGACTGGATGTCGCCGGTGTTCGCGGCGGGCTTTTACTACAAGACCTTCATGTGGCCGAAAAAGGCCTGGGACACGGTCTATGAGCCGATCATCCGGCGCGCGGCGGGCCTTGGCGTCGCGCCCGATCAGCCGGACCCGGACCGCTATGCGGCGCGTTACGCCCATTGCGACGTTCTGGTCTGCGGCGGCGGGGCTGCGGGGCTGAGCGCGGCGCTGGCGGCGGCCGAAAGCGGCGCTTCGGTAATCGTCTGCGACGAGCGGGCGGCGCCCGGCGGCGCGCTGGCGTTCGAGACCGATGCGCGGATCGACGGCCAGGACGGCCATCGGTGGGCGACCGAAACGGCGGCGAAGCTGGCGGCGATGGACAATGTGCGCGTGCTGCCGAGGACGACCGCGTTCGGCTATTATGCGCAGAACTTCGTCGCGCTCGCCGAACGGCTGACCGACCATCTGGACGAGCCCGCCCCCTCCATGGCGCGTGAGCGGCTTTGGCAGGTTCGGGCCAAGCGCGTGGTCATCGCTACCGGCGCCATCGAGCGGCACATGGTGTTCGCCAACAATGACCGGCCGGGCATCATGCTGGCTTCGGCGGCGCGGCATTATCTGAACCATTACGGCGTTTTGATCGGCCGCACGGTCGGCGTCTACACGGCCAACGATTCAGCCTATGCGGCGGCGTTCGATCTCAAGCGCGCCGGCGCGGAGATCGCGGTCATCGCCGATATCCGCCAAACGGTCGATCCAGCGCTGCTGGAAGAGGCGGGCCGGCTCGGCATCCGCGTTCTCACCCATCACGCGGTGGTCGCCGCCGGCGGCAAGCTGCGGGTCTCGTCCATCGTCGTCCGGCCGTGCCGGGGCGGCAGCCGTCAGGTGATCCCGGTCGATGCGCTGATCATGTCGGCGGGCTGGACGCCGTCGGTGCACCTGTTCTCGCAATCGCGGGGCAAGCTGCGGTTCGACGAGGACGGCCAGCGCTTTCTGCCCGGTGAATATGCGCAGGACTGCGCGTCGGCGGGGGCCTGCAACGGCGCCGCAAACCTGGCCGCAACGGTGGAAGAGGGCCTTGCGGCGGGCGAAGCGGCGGCCAAAGCCGCCCGACCCAAGGCCACGGCAAAACCACTCTCGATCAAGGCCGAGTCCGGCGGCTCGTGGGACGGGCTGATGCTCGGCGCCGGGCCGAACCCGGAGGCGGGCAAGGTGGTCAAGGCGTTCGTCGATTTCCAGAACGATGTCACCGAAAAGGACATTCGGCTGGCGGTGCGCGAGGGCTTCCATTCCATCGAGCATGTCAAGCGCTTCACCACCAACGGCATGGCGACCGACCAGGGCAAACTGTCCAACATGCACGGGCTGGCGATTGCCGCCGAGGCGCTCGACCGGCCAATACCCGAAGTGGGGCTGACGACCTTTCGCGCGCCCTATACGCCGGTGACCTTCGGCACGATCGTCGGCCATGGGCGCGGCGCGCTGTTCGACCCGACCCGGCGCACGCCGATGCATGAGAGCCACGAACGGGCGGGTGCGGTGTTCGAGGATGTCGGCCAGTGGAAGCGGCCCTGGTACTATCCGCGCGCCGGCGAGGACATGGCGGCGGCGGTCAACCGCGAATGCGTCACGGTTCGCAAAAGCGTCGGCATGTTCGATGCCTCCACGCTCGGCAAGATCGAAGTGGTCGGCCCGGACGCGGCGGCGTTCCTGCACCTGATCTACACCAACCCGTTCATGAAGCTCGGCGTCGGCCGGCTGCGCTATGGCATCATGTGCCGCGAGGACGGCTTCATCTATGACGATGGCGTGGTCGGGCGGATCGCCGAGGACCGTTTCCATGTGACGACGACCACCGGCGGCGCGCCGCGCGTCCTCAATCACATGGAGGACTATCTGCAGACCGAATTCCCGGAGATGAAGGTCTGGCTGACCTCGACATCGGAACAATGGGCGGTGATCGCGCTGCAGGGTCCGAAGGCGGCGGAAGTGCTCGCGCCGTTCGTCGGCGGCTTGGATCTGTCGAAGGAGGCGCTGCCCTTCATGAGCGTTGCCGAAGGCACGTTCGCCGGCGTGCCGATGCGTCTTTTCCGCATGTCGTTTGCCGGCGAGGACGGCTTCGAGATCAATGTGCCGGGCGATTATGGCCGGGCGGCATGGGACGCGCTGCACGACAAGGTCGCCGAGGCCGGCGGCTGCGCCTACGGCACCGAGACGATGCATGTGCTGCGCGCCGAAAAGGGCTACATCATCGTCGGGCAGGACACGGACGGCACGGTGACGCCGCACGATGCGGGCCTTTCCTGGGCCGTCGGCAAGGCAAAGGACGATTTCGTCGGCATTCGCGGTCTCAAGCGGCCCGATCTGGCCGGCGGGGGGCGGCGGCAGCTTGTCGGCCTGAGATCGAAGGACGGCAGCACCGTGCTCGACGAAGGCGCGCAGATCGTCGCCGATCCGAACCAGCCGCCGCCGATGGACATGATCGGCTGGGTGTCGTCCTCCTACTTGTCGGACAATTGCGGCGGGCCGATCGCCATGGCGCTGGTCGAGGGCGGGTTCGACCGGATGGGCGAGACGCTTTACGTGCCGATGCCGGACGGCGTCGTCGAGGTCGAAGTGCGCGACACCAATTTCTGGAACCCGGACGCGGAGTCAGACAATGGCTGAGGCGATGACGATCGAACGGCGCCACCCGCTGGCGGGCCATGTGTTCGCCGGAACGGGCGTGGCGCTGACGCCGGCGCATGCGGCGTTCCGCACCAGCCTGCGCTGCCCGTCCGCATCGGTTCCGGGCTTGTCGGATGCGCTCGGCGTCGCGCTGCCGCGCACGCCCAAGACATCAGTCACCGAAAAAGGCCGGTCGGCGCTGTGGCTCGGCCCGGACGAATGGCTGCTGATCGACGAAAAGACCGATCCGATGGCCGACCTTGGCGGGATCGATGCGCTGCATGCGGCGGTCGATATCTCTCACCGCAACACGGCGGTTTTGGTGTCCGGACCAGGCGCGGCGGATGTCATCAATGCAGGCTGTCCGCAGGATCTGTCGATGGAGGCGTTCGGCACAGGCGCCTGTTCGCGCACCATCTTCGGCAAGGCCGAGATCGTCCTGTGGCGGGTCAAGCCGTCGGTCTTCCGCGTCGAGGTCTGGCGGTCGTTTTCGGACTATGTGTTCGGCTATCTGGCCGAGGCCGCGCGCGACGGCGGCTGATCAGCTTTTCGGCCGGACGATCATCAGCGTCAGCCATTTGGCGGTCATCGCCGGCTTGGTGCTGTTTTCGATTTCAAGCGTCACGTCATAGGTGAACAGGATGCGGCCGGACGGTCTTATGTCCGCATCGGCGAGACCGAAGATCGCCCGCAATCGCGCGCCCGCCCTGACGGCAGCATGGAAGCGCACTTCGTCGAACCCGTAATTGACGCCCATGCGCACATCGCCGTCCAGATCGGGCAGCGCCTCATAAGCAAGGGTCGACAGGAGCGACAGGGTCAGAAAGCCGTGCGCGATCGTGCCGCCATAGGGCGTTTCGCGGGCGGCGCGCTCGGGATCGACATGGATCCACTGGTGATCGTCGGTTGCGTCGGCGAACCCGTCGATCATCGCCTGCGTGACGGTGCGCCAGCTCGAGGTGCCGACGGTGGTGCCGACAAGGCCGGGAATTTCGTCGATGGCGATAAGGGTCTTGGGAGACGCGGTCATGGGCTCGCCTTGCGGTGTCGGTACGGAGTTGAAAAGGGGCGCGGCGGTCTTGGACCAGCGGGGTGGCGCGAGTCAACGCGCAGTTGCGCCGATCAGCGCGATGCACTCTCCCTGCAGGGCACCGGGTAGGTGGTGCGGAACACGCCGTCATCGACGGGGCGCTCTGGATCGAAGCAGGTGACGCGTCCGACGCCATCGGCCCAGAACAAATGCGGGTCCTGGGGTGCCACGATTCTGCGGCCGCGCGTGCGGTGCACTTCGAAATGCAGGTGCGAGATCGCCGCGGCGAGGATGCCCGTGCGGCCCATCGTGCCGATCTGCTGGCCGCGCGCGACCTGCATGCCAGGCTGCACGCGGCGGCTGTCGAGATGCATGTAGACGGTGCGCGTCCGGCGTCCGGTGGCGTCGACGCCGTGATCGATCACCACCCGGTTGCCGTACATGGGCTCCATGAAAGAATCCGTGACGCGGCCCGGCGCGGCGGCGATCACGGGCGTGCCGACGCGGGCGATGATGTCGATCCCCTCATGGAAGGAGGACGGGTTGCTGCGGCCGCCGCGATTGCCTGCGACGCGGAACTGCTGGGAGATCGACGGCGCGTTGGCCGGCATGATCACGCGGATCTCGTCTTCGACCAGCGGGCTGTAGATGGCCGCCGTGCCGTAACCGTCGCCGGTGCAGGCTGACAGGGCCAAAAGTGCCACAAGGGAAGCAACGGCGCACGCGAAGCGGTGAATGCGGTTCATCGGCGTCCCCCCGGGCGTTCCGCCGGCGCCGCTCACGTTCCTTGCCGAGGGAAACAGATGGTGGGCGATACTGGGATTGAACCAGTGACCCCTTCGATGTCAACGAAGTGCTCTCCCGCTGAGCTAATCGCCCATCCGTGTGGGGCGGCATACACCATGAACCGCCTTGACGGTCAAGTGGGGTCGTTTCGCATTGTGGGCAAGCGGCAAGGGCGTGTTCAGGCGGCCTGGATCAGCTTTTCGACCTCGTTGACCAGATCGCGCAGATGGAAGGGTTTGGACAGGACCTTGGCATCCTTGGGCGCCTGGCTGTCGGGGTTCAGGGCGACGGCGGCAAAGCCGGTGATGAACATCACCTTGAGGTCCGGATCGAGCTCGGTGGCGCGGCGCGCCAGTTCGATGCCGTCCATCTCCGGCATCACGATGTCGGTCAGAAGCAGGGTGAAGGGCTCCTCGCGCAGCCGCTCATAGGCGCTCGCGCCATTGTCGAAATCGGTGACCTCGTAGCCCGCCTTTTCCAGCGCCTTGACCAGAAAGCGGCGCATGTCGTTATCGTCTTCTGCCAGCAATATCCGTTGCATGTGATGTGCTTCTCTCACTCGATGCGGGGCGCCGCGCGCGCGGCTGTCGCACAGACATTACAGATCATGGTAAAAATGCGGTATATGCGCCGGCGGGTCAATCGGGCGCGGCTTGTTCGGCGCCACGCTCTGGACAATGGGTGCCGCCCCTGTCAACACTGGTCGCCACCGAAACCGCGCCGCAGGGGAGGCGCCTCCGACGATGCTGATCGCGCCGGACTTCTGCCATCATCCCGCCTTCGAGGTGCGGGTTCCCAAGCGCCAGACCACGCCGTTCGTGTTCAACTCTCCGCACAGCGGGCGCCATTATCCGCGCCGCTTTCTGGACATGACGCGGCTCGATGCGCTGGCCGTCAGACGGTCGGAGGATTTCTTCGTCGACGAGCTGTTCCACGGGGCCACCGAGCTTGGCGCGCCGATGCTGCTGGCACATTTCCCGCGCGCCTATCTGGACGTCAACCGCGAACCCTATGAGCTCGATCCGCGCATGTTCTCGGACCGGCTGCCCTCCTTCACCAACCGCCAGTCGATCCGTGTCGCCGGCGGCCTCGGTACGGTACCGCGCGTCGTCTCGGAAGGCCAGCACATCTATGCCCGGCGGATCGGCTTCGAAGAGGCGCGCCAGCGCATCGAGGGCATCTACAAGCCCTATCATTCCACGCTGCGCGGCCTTCTGGCGCAGACGCACCGGCAGTTCGGGCAAGCCGTTCTGGTCGACTGCCATTCCATGCCTGCCTCGATCCGCATCGGCGCGGAAGGCGTGCGACCGGACTTCGTCGTCGGCGACCGGTTCGGCACCAGCGCGAGCGCCGGAATCACCGAGGCGGCGATCAACATTTTGCGGGCGATGGGCTATATGGTCGCCGCCAACAAGCCCTATGCGGGCGGCTTCATCACCGAGCATTACGGACGGCCGGCCAAGGGGCTGCATGCGGTGCAGATCGAGATCAATCGCGGTCTTTACGTCGACGAGCAGACCTTGCAGCGCAAGCCGGGCTTCGACGCGCTGCGCGAGGACCTTTTCCAGTTCATGGCAACGCTGGTCGACTTGCCCCAGAGCGCCTTTGCGGACTATTCCATCGCCGCCGAATAGGCGTTTCCCGACAGGTTTCGCGCAAAAAAAGACCGCACTCGAACGAATGCGGTCAAAGTCTAGGGAGGAAACGCCCAGGAGGGCGTGACAGGCAAGCCTGTCGATGATCAAGGTATGCTGCAACGCACAAAAGTCAAGAGTTGCGGGCGCAAATCTTTCGCAATTGCGAAATAGCAGGTGATCCACATGACAATGACGCTGCCCGACCGGGCATTTCTCGAACAACTTGCGCGGGCGGCGGCGGCCGAGACCCTGCCGCGTTTTCGCATGGCCGGCGCGGTCGCCAACAAGCTGGGCGAGGGGTTCGACCCGGTGACCGAGGCGGACCGGGCCGCGGAAGCGGCGATCCGGGCGCTGATCGGCGCACATCATCCCGATCACGGCATCATCGGCGAGGAATATGGCAGCGAGGGCGAGGACCGAAGCCATGTCTGGGTGATCGACCCGATCGATGGCACGCGGGCCTACATTTCCGGCCTGCCGGTCTGGGGCACGCTTGTCGGACTGACGGTCGATGGCGTTGCACGGAGCGGCTTCATGCATCAGCCCTTCACGGATGAATTGTTCGTTGCCGACGGAAGCGGGACCTTTCTGCTGCGCGGCGGCGCCGATCCGCAGGCGCTGGAGACGCGCAAAGGAAAATCGCCTGGCGATGCGACGCTCTTCACCACCACGCCGGCCCTCTATGAGGGCGCCGGGCGCGAGGCCTATGACCGTCTCGAAGCGGCAGTCCGCCTGCCGCGCTATGGCTGCGACTGCTACGGCTTTGCCATGGTGGCCGCGGGCCATGCGGACATCGCCATCGAACCCGGCCTTGCGCCCTACGACATCTGCGCGCTGATCCCGCTGATCGAGCAGGCCGGCGGCGTCGTCACGCGCTGGGACGGCGGCCGCGCCGAACAGGGGGGCGACGTGATCGCCGCCGGCTCGGCCGAACTGCATGAAGCCGCGCTGGAGCTGCTCGACGCCTGACGATCAGGCGCCGCCGCCGGGGACGAACGCGTCGAAGGCGGCGAAGAACTGGTCGCGGTAGCGGTCCGCCTCCTGCATGAGTTCGTGGCGGGCGCCGGCGATGGTGATCAGCGATCCGGCGCGGATGCGGCGCGCATAGGCTTCGGCGGCGGTCGACGAAACGACGCGTTCGGCGCCGGCGGCCACCAGCAGCACCGGTATGCGGATGGACGCCATGTGGGCCGGGTCGTGTACGGCGGCAATCGCCCTTGCCGCCGCGCGCAGCCACCCGGCGGTGATCGCGCCGAGACCCAGCCCCCTGTCGGGGTCGAGAATGGCCTTGTTGCGCGCAAAGCGCGCCGCGTCGCTGGTCAGCTTGTTGGTCTCCAGCCGCAGCGCCGTGATGCCGCGCGGGCCGGCGCCGATATAGGTGCGGCCGAGGCCGCAATAGCACATCGCACCGGCCGCGACCGACAGAAAGCCGGGCGGCGGGCCTTCCTCGGACAGGCCCAGAAAGGGCGCGGACATGACCATGCGCTCGATGCGGTTGGCCATCATCGGCGCCGTCAGCAGCGCGATCAGCGCGCCCATCGAATGGGCGAGCGTGAAGAAGGGCGGGCGCGTCTCGGGCAGGATCGCGGTCGAGAACACCTGGTCGAGATCGGTCGCGTATTGCGAGAAATCGTCGACATAGCCGCGCCTGGCATCGCGGAAGAAGCGCGTCGAACGGCCTTGGCCGCGCCAGTCGAAAGTGCCCACGTCGAAGCCCCGGCCGACAAGGCCGGCGATCGTCTCGGCATATTTCTCGATGCATTCATTGCGCCCGTGCAGCAGCACGATCGTGCCCTTGCATGGCGCGATGTCCGTGCGAAAGACGGCAAAGCGCAGGTCGAAGCCGTCATCGGTGCGCGTAAAACCCTGCCGGTAGGGTTCGGGGCAGGGATTGCCATCGAAGGGGACCAGTACGTTCACATCCGACCGCGGGTTTGGCTGCAGATTGGCGATGCGCCCCTGATATGGTCCGGTCCGGACAAGGTCAAAGAAAATCCGGAGGCGCCGGGCTGGCGCCTCCGGTGTCGAACCGGGCAGGAAGGGACGTTGCAGCCCGGCCGATCGGTGTCTTCGGGATCAGTTGAAGCCGAAGGAAAAAGTCACGCCGCCGCGTTGCTGATGCTGAAAGGGCTGGCGATGGCGAGGCGCGTGATAGACGGGCTGAAGCAGCCGGCGGCGAACGATGTGGCCGTTGCGCGGGTCGATCTTCAGGGCGACCACGCCGCGGCGGCCGAGCGCACGGGCGCGCCAATAGCCGTTGCGGAAGTGGACCCGGTGCACGTCGCGATAGCCGCGCCGGTAAAGGCTGCGGACGACCGCGCGGCGCGGCATGGCATGGCGCTCGCCATAGTGCCGGCGGTGGCCGACCGTCTGGATGTCGATCTGCGCGGACGCGGCCGGCGGCGCGTGGATCGGCCGCGCCTCTGCGGGTGCGGTGGCGCCAAGCGCGGTGGCGGCGATGATGCCGGCGGCAAGAAGGGGGGCTTTCATGATGCCGGTCTCCTTTCTGGTTTGGACCATGATGGGCACTGTTGTGCTTTTCTTCGTTGTGTCTCCCGGTACAACTTGCGCCCACCATGCATCGGCACGGCTGAACGCACGCGGAAGCGCCCGTTCATCTGCCGTTCATGTCCGGTTAACCTTGGGAAGAGGTGCGGCGGGCGGCGCCACTGGGCGCAGCCCTTGAAGCGGAAATTCCCGCTCACCATATTCGGGGAGCAGGCGCCAGAAGGGCCTGCCGGCCATCAGCCAGACACGCCGATCCGGGTGTTTGCGGCCGCATATCGTTCAATGTTGCTCACTGGAGGACAGAACCCATGCGACACGTCGATTTTTCCCCCCTTTACCGCTCCACCGTCGGTTTCGACCGGCTGTTCACGATGCTCGATTCGCTCGGTCAGCCCGAAAACGGCCAGACCTATCCCCCCTACAATATCGAGCGGACCGGCGAGAACGCCTACCGCATCACCATGGCGGTGGCCGGCTTTGCCGAAGACGATCTGACGATCGAAGCCAAGGCCAATGTCCTGAAAGTGGCCGGCGCCAAGGCCGACGACGCGCAGGACGACAGCCGTGAAGTGCTGCATCGCGGCATTGCTTCGCGCGCCTTCGAGCGCCGCTTCCAGCTTGCCGACTATGTGGAAGTGAAGGGCGCCGAACTGGAAAACGGCCTTCTGCACATCGATCTGGAGCGCGAAATCCCCGACTCGATGAAACCGCGCAAGATCGAGATCGCCAAGGGCAATGGCGCTTCGACTCCCCAGATCGAAGCGAAAGCCCAGAACTAAGGCCTTTCAATCAGTCCGCATCGGACCTTACGCGCGGGCCTCGCACCCCGCGCGCACGGTTCGCCAGACCGCCGGCGGCCTCCCTCGCCGGCGGTTTTTTCATGTCTGAAATCAGCGGAAACGCCTGGCCAACAAATGGTCGAGCGACAATTTGCCCGGTCCCCTGACGACGATCAGAGCCAGGATGAACACCCACATCAGGCGCTGGTCGAAGATGATCGCGTCCGGCAGCCTGTCGAACATGGACCCGACGAACCGGCCCTCAAGGCCGTGGAAGGCGATGTCCACATAGCTCTGGACGATCACGAAAAAGATCATGCCGAGCGCGGCGATGCGGCTGAACAGGCCGATGACGATCATGATCGGCAAGAGTATCTCGGTCCACGTGCCCAAAAGCACGATCAGATGCCATGGAAAGAAGGGGATGGCGGAGATATCGCCGCCATACTGGTCCATGATCGGCGGCAGGATCGATGCGTAGGCGCCGAGCGACGGGCTGAGAAAACCGAAGATGCCGTCGCCGAGCTTCTGCCAGCCCGAATTGAGGTAGTAGAGCAGCAGCACGCTGGCGAAGGCGAAGCGGGCGGCAAAGCCGGTGAACCAGCCCGCCGTGGCGCGTTCGACGGCGGAAAAGACGCCATGGTGCAGCCGCACGATCAGGCCGATCACGCCGCCTCCGGTTGAAGGTTTGGGCGCGCGGGCGTCCTCATTGGCAAAATCGGTCATCATCCCCTCCATTGTCCGGTGCCGCGACGGCGGCGAACGCGCCGGCCGACAAGAGCGCCGTCAGGGCGCCGTTCAGGTCGAAAGCCGGGTCGGTTTCAAGCGCAAGGCCGGCGGCCTCGCCTAGCGTCGATCCGCCGGCGAGCGCGTCCGCGAACCGCGCCGCGGCCGGCGTCAGATGCGTCACGGTCACCTTGTCGGCGGGCCGGGTGACGAGGATCGCCTCGGCTTCGGACATGTCGACGGGCGCAAGATCCATAAGGTCGCGGTTCATCGAAACGATTCGGAACACGGGGAAAGGCGAGGCGATGACGGCGAACGCCGGATGGGCGGCAAAGCGCGCGTCGGCGATCCTTTCCGGCGGGATCGCGGCGAGCCTTGCCGGTTCGAGCGGATCGGCATCGGCGGCGTGATAGGCGGTCAGCCAGGCGCGTTCGGCGCGGGCGACGTCAGCCAGATAGGGCAGCGGCCGCGCGGGATCGAAGGCGGCGATGAAACCTGGAAAATCCTCGCCGTACCGGAACAGGAGCGGCGATGTGGGCGGGCTGGCGCGGACATGCTCGCGGGCCATGGCGCGGAAGAAGTTTTCCCCGGTCAGCTTGAGAACGGCGGGAAAGATGTCGGCGAGCGCGTCGATCAGGCTGACGGTGACATTGTTGCGGTAGACATTGTAGCGCTTGACCGCGCCCTTGCCGTTCGGGCCAGTGACATGGGGCGGGGCGGCCCGCTCGGGGTCGAGCAGGCCGGCCGAAAAGGCCGCGGTGTCGATGGCGGGTTCAGGCAGGGGCGGCATGGCGCACCTTCGGTGCCGACCGGGCATGGCGGCGCAGGATGGCGTTGGCGCTTTCGGCCTCGGCGCGCAGCACCGGCCATTCGGGCAGATCGCTGTCCCATTCGACCAGCGTCGGGATCGGCCCGGTCCGGGCGATCACCTCTTCATAGAGCGTCCAGACCGGATCGGCGACGGGGCGGTCGTGGCTGTCGATCAGAAGCAGCGCGCCTTCATCGTCCTCCTGCTCGGTGTGGCCGGCGAGATGGATTTCGCCGACATGGGTCAGCGGGAAGGCGGCCAGATAGTCGCGCGCCGAATAGCCGTGATTGGTGGCCGAGACGAAAACGTTGTTGACGTCGAGCAGAAGGCCGCATCCGGTGCGCGCGACAATGGCGGCAAGAAAATCGGTTTCGCTCATCGTCGAATTGTCGAACAGCACGTAGGTCGCCGGGTTTTCCAGCAGCATGCGCCGGCCGGTGACCTCCTGCATGCGGTCGACATGGTCGCACACATGGTCGAGCGTTGCGGCGGTGTAGGGCAGCGGCAGAAGATCGTTGAGGAACATGTCCTCGTGCGTCGACCAGGCCAGATGTTCGGAGATCAGGCCGGGCTCGTAGCGGTCGCACAGCGCCGCAAAGCGGGCGAGATGGTCTTCGTCGAGCGGCCTGGGGCCGCCGATCGACATGCACACGCCGTGCAGCGACAGGGGGAAGTCGCGGCGGACGCGCTCGAGGGTCCGGTGCGGCGGGCCGCCATCGCCCATGTGGTTTTCCGCATGGACTTCCAGAAAGCCGACCGAGCCGGGATCGTCGAGGATCGCGATAAGATGGCCGGGCTTGAAGCCGACGCCGGCCGAGGCCGGAACAGCGCCTTTAATGGCGGCGGGTGAGTCTGCCGCGAACCGGTCCGAAGGCGCATGGCGGTGCGTCTTCGAGGCGGCGCCCTGAGGCGCGAGGGGTCTGGCGTTCGTCATGACGGCGCTTTCCGGTTCGCGGCAGATCGGTTGCGTTCGGCTTATGCCGGCAGGTCGCGGTCGAGCGCTTCCAGCGAGCCCATGCGGTCGCCCGGCAGTTCCATCGAGGCGCAGGTGCCCTCGGGGACATAGGTCCAGGCATTGCCCTGATAGTCGACGGTGGAGGTGCCCTGGCAGGTGGTGCCGGGGCCGGCGGCGCAGTCGTTCTCGCCGGCCAGCGAAACGCCGTAGCACTTCTCGTTGGCGGCATGGGCGTCGGAAACGCCGGCCAGGTTGACGCCGGCAACGGCGGCGGCGACGGCACCGGCCAGAACGGCGCCCGAAAGAACGGTCTTTGTTGCTTTGGACATGGATATCTCCCTTGAGGAACCAGATGACCGGCACAGCGCCGGACGGCCCGACGCTCACAGAAGCGCCGATCAATGGGAAATCAACGGGCCGTTATCCAGGCTCACTTCGCTGTGAGGCGACCGTGAGCGCGGTGGCCCTAACCGGCAAGCGCGACTTCCAGCGCGGCCACGTCCGCGTCGGTGGTGGCAAACGACGCGACAAGGCGGATCATCGCCTCGTCTTCGCCGACCAGATGGCGCTCTGCGCGCGGCGGTTGCCAGTGGCTGAATTGCGCGCCTTTTTCCGCCAGCGCATCGACGGCCTCTTTGGGGCCGACCGCGAACACTTCGTTGCCCTGCGGCTGCCAGGCGAGCCGGAACCGGTTGCGCGCGGCGATGATGCCGGCGACCCGCGCGCCCATCCGGTTGGCGTGAGAGGCCAGATCGAGCCAGAGGCCATCGGCGAAATAGGCCTCGAACTGCGCCGACACGAAGCGCGCCTTGGAGGCAATATGGCCGGCGCGCTTGCGCAGATAGTCCATCTGGCGGCCATGGTCGGGATTGAAGACCAGCACCGCCTCGGCGCACCAGCAGCCATTCTTGGTGCCGCCGAAGGAGACGATGTCCACGCCGCGTTTCCAACTCATCTCGGCCGGCGTGCAGCCGAGCGCGACGACCGCATTGGCAAAGCGCGCGCCGTCCATGTGCAGCGGCACGCCGTGGCCGTGGGCGACATCGGCGATGGCGCCGATCGTATCGAGATCGTAGGCGGTGCCGGCCTCGGTCAGCTGGCTGACGGATACCGCCTGCACCTGCCCGGCATTGAGCCCGCCATCCTCGATCAGGCCGATTGCCGTTTCCAGCGAGGCGGCGTCGAAGCGCCCCAGTTCACCGTCAACGCTCTCAAGACGGGTGCCGGCGGCGAAGAACTCCGGCGCGCCGCATTCGTCGACGCGGATGTGCGCCTCTGAATGGCACAGGACGACGCCGCCGGGCCGGGCGACGGCGGAGAGGCCCAGCGCATTGGCCGCCGTGCCGGTGCCGACATAATGGACCGCGACATCGGTCTCGAAAATGTCGCGGAATGTCTGTTCCACCTGGAGATCGAAGTCGCTGCCGCCATTGGCCTTGACGAAACCGCCATTGCGGCGGGCCAGATTGTCGGCGATGGCGGGATGGGCGCCGGCCCAGTTGTCGGAGGCAAAGTGCATGGTGGCGGCGGGTCCTGAGGCGGGTTGCGTGTGGCGTTTCATCGCGCAGAACCGCTCTGGCTGCAATTGTTGCCGCGCGACCTTGTGAAATGTGGCGAAATCTGCCATAAATTAGGGCAGCAATGCTGTCCTATTATGGCCTGCATCCCGGCAAGCCGCCGGTCGCGGGCCGAAAACGTGCCCGGACGAATGCCGGGCCCTGTCCGAAATGGCGATGGAGCTGATCGCGCTACCGGCCTGATCCGGTGACGGAAACGCCCGACGCCGCTCTCGGCGGACCGAACCGGACAACATCTGCCGCAGATTGATGCGCGTAATGCGGACCATCGCAGACGCGAACCGGAGGGATGAAGATGACGAAGATGACGCCATCGCGCGATTTCGACCGGTCGGTGCCGGCTCGCAAGATCGATGCCCGCCGGACAGCGAACACCGACACCAAGACGCCAAAACCCCGTTCGGGCCTGCCCGCCGCGCAGGGCCTTTACGATCCGCGCAACGAGCATGATGCGTGCGGCGTCGGCTTCGTCGCCCACATGAAGGGCGAAAAGTCGCATGCCATCGTCGCCGACGGTCTGGCGATGCTGGAAAACCTCACTCACCGGGGCGCCGTCGGCGCCGATCCGCTGATGGGCGACGGCGCCGGCATGCTGGTGCAGATCCCCGACGCATTCTTCCGCGCCGTTCTGGCCGAACAGGGCACCGACCTGCCGAAGACGGGCGATTACGCGGTGGCGCATGTGTTCATGCCGCAGGACGATGCGCTGCGCGCCCATTGTGTGAACATCATCCGCGAGGCTGCCGCCGCCGAAGGCGTCGAGGTCATCGCGCTGCGCGACGTTCCGGTCGACAATGCATCGCTGTCGAAAGACCCCGACATCGCCGCCAGCGAACCGGTCCATGTGCAGGTCTTTTTCGCCCGGCCCGAGGGCCTTGACGAGGACACGTTCGAGCGGCGGCTTTTCATCCTGCGCAAGGTGATGTCGAACCGCGTCTATGGCGAGACCGACGGCCGCGACAACGGGTTCTACATCGTGTCGCTGTCGTCGCGGACGATCGTCTACAAGGGCATGTTCCTGGCCTATCAGCTCGGCGCCTATTACGACGATCTGCGCGATCCTCGCTTCGAGAGCGCGGTGGCGCTCGTCCATCAGCGCTTTTCCACCAACACCTTCCCGTCATGGAAGCTGTCGCACCCCTACCGGATGGTCGCGCACAATGGCGAGATCAACACGCTGCGCGGCAACGTCAACTGGATGGCCGCGCGCCAGGCGTCGGTCGCCTCGCCGCTGTTCGGCGATGAGATCGAAAAGATCTGGCCGATCTCCTATGAGGGCCAGTCCGACACGGCGTGCTTCGACAACGCGCTCGAATTCCTGGTGCAGGGCGGATATTCGATGGCCCATGCGGTGATGATGCTGATCCCGGAAGCCTGGGCCGGCAACACGCTGATGAGCGACGAGCGCAAGGCGTTCTACGAATACCATGCCTGCCTGATGGAGCCCTGGGACGGGCCGGCGGCGGTCGCCTTCACCGACGGACGGCAGATCGGCGCGACGCTCGACCGCAACGGGCTGCGTCCCGCGCGCTACATCGTCACCGACGACGACCGGGTGATCATGGCGTCGGAAGCGGGCGTCATCACCGTTCCGGAAGAAAACGTCGTCACCAAATGGCGGCTGCAGCCGGGCAAGATGCTGCTGATCGACATGGACAAGGGCCGGATCGTCTCCGATGAGGAGATCAAGCACGAGATGGCGTCCATGCACCCCTATCGCGGCTGGGTGGAAAGCACGCAGATCATCCTCGAAGACCTCGATCCGGTGCCGGTGCGGCCGATGCGCGACGATGTCACGCTGCTCGATAAGCAGCAGGCGTTCGGCTACACCCAGGAAGACACCAAGATCCTGATGGCGCCGATGGCAACCACCGGCCAGGAAGCGATCGGTTCGATGGGCACCGACACGCCGATCTCGGCGATGAGCGACAAGTCGAAGCTGCTCTACACCTACTTCAAGCAGAACTTCGCCCAGGTCACCAACCCGCCGATCGACCCGATCCGCGAGGAACTGGTGATGAGCCTGGTCTCGTTCATCGGTCCGCGCCCGAACATCTTCGATCTGGAAGGCAATGCGGCGCGCAAGCGGCTTGAGGTGCGCCAGCCGATCCTTACCAATGTCGATCTCGAAAAGGTGCGCTCGATCGGCCATTCCGAGGATTTGTTCGACACCAAGACGCTGGATACGACCTATCCGGTCGAACAGGGCGCGGCAGGCATGAAGGCGGCGCTCGAACGGCTGTGCGAGCGCGCCGAAAAAGTCGTCCATATGGGCTACAACATCATCATCCTGTCGGACCGCCGGGTCGGGCCGGACCGGATCGCGATTCCGGCGCTCCTGGCAACGGCGGCCGTGCATCATTCGCTGATCCGCAAGGGCCTGCGGACATCGGTGGGCCTCGTCGTCGAATCGGGCGAGCCGCGCGAGGTGCACCATTTCTGCTGCCTGGCCGGCTATGGCGCCGAGGCGATCAACCCCTATCTGGCCTTCGACACGCTGGCCGAGATGCATGCTCGCGGCGAGTTTCCGCCCGAGGTCGACCAGTATGAGGTGGTCGGGCGCTACATCAAGTCGATCGGCAAGGGCATCTTGAAGGTCATGTCCAAGATGGGCATTTCGACCTATCAGTCCTATTGCGGCGCGCAGATCTTCGACGCGGTCGGCCTGTCGAGCGCGTTCGTCGACGATTTCTTCTTCGGCACGGCAACGACGATCGAGGGCGTCGGCCTTGACGAGATCGCCGCCGAGACGGTCAAGCGGCACGCGCAGGCCTTTTCCGACGATCCGGTGCTGCGCACCGCTCTCGATGTGGGCGGCGAATACATGTACCGCGTCCGCGGCGAGGAGCATGTCTGGACGCCGGACGCGGTTGCATCGCTGCAGCACGCCGTGCGCAAGGATTCGCGCGAGGAGTATCGCGAATTCGCCGCCTCGGTGAACGATGAGAGCGCGCGGGCCAAGACCATTCGCGGCCTGTTCAAAATCCGCACGGCCGACGATCTGGGGATCGACGCGGTGCCGCTGGACGAGGTCGAGCCGGCCAGCGAGATCGTCAAGCGCTTTTCGACGGGCGCGATGAGCTTCGGTTCGATCAGCCGGGAAGCGCACACCACGCTCGCCAGGGCGATGAACGCGATCGGCGGAAAGTCGAACACGGGCGAGGGCGGCGAAGAGCCGGACCGGTTCCTGCCGCTGCCCGACGGCACCAGGAACCCCGAGCGCTCGGCGATCAAGCAGGTCGCTTCGGGCCGGTTCGGCGTGACGACGGAGTATCTGGTCAATTCCGACATGATCCAGATCAAGGTCGCCCAGGGCGCCAAGCCCGGCGAGGGCGGCCAGTTGCCCGGCCACAAGGTGGACGCGACGATCGCCAAGACGCGGCATTCGACGCCCGGGGTCGGCCTGATCTCGCCGCCGCCGCACCATGACATCTATTCGATCGAGGATCTGGCGCAGCTCATCTACGATCTGAAGAACGTCAACGAGCGGGCGGACATCTCCGTCAAGCTGGTCTCGGAAGTCGGCGTCGGCACGGTCGCTGCGGGCGTCGCCAAGGCGCGCGCCGACCACATCACCATCTCCGGCTATGATGGCGGCACCGGCGCGTCGCCGCTGACCTCGCTCAAGCATGCGGGATCGCCGTGGGAGATGGGCCTTGCCGAAACGCACCAGACGCTGGTGCTGAACGGGCTGCGCTCGCGCATCGCCCTGCAGGTCGATGGCGGGTTGAAGACCGGCCGTGACGTGGTGATCGGCGCGCTTCTTGGCGCCGACGAGTTCGGCTTTTCGACCGCGCCCCTGATCGCGGCGGGCTGCATCATGATGCGCAAGTGCCACCTCAACACCTGCCCGGTGGGCGTTGCGACGCAGGACCCGGTTCTGCGCAAGCGCTTCAAGGGCACGCCCGAGCATGTGATCAACTATTTCTTCTACGTCGCCGAGGAAGTGCGCGAACTGATGGCGGCGATGGGCGTGCGCACGCTGAACGAACTGATCGGCCAGACAGACCGGCTCGAACAGAAGCCATTGGTCGATCACTGGAAGGCGCACGGGCTCGATTTCTCCGGCATCTTCCACAAGCCCGAGGCGCCGAAAGAAGCCATCCATTGGACGCAGCGGCAGAACCATCCGATCCAGGACATTCTGGACCGCAAGCTTATCGAAGACGCGGAAATGGCGCTGCAGAGCCGTCAGCCGGTCCAAATTGCCGAGCAGATTCGCAACACCGATCGGTCGACCGGCGCGATGCTGTCGGGCGAGGTCGCCAAGCGCTTCGGCCACAAGGGGCTGCGCGAGGACACGATCGCTGTGACCTTCACCGGCACGGCCGGCCAGTCCTTCGGCGCGTTCCTGGCGGCCGGCATCAGCTTCGACCTGATCGGCGACGGCAACGACTATGTCGGCAAGGGCCTTTGCGGCGGCCGCATCGTTGTGCGTCCGCCCGACAACACGCGCATCACGCCGGAAGACTCGATCATCGTCGGCAACACGGTTCTCTATGGCGCGATCCAGGGCGAAGCCTATTTCCGCGGCGTTGCCGGGGAGCGCTTCGCGGTGCGCAATTCGGGCGCGGTCGCGGTGGTCGAGGGCGTCGGCGACCATGGCTGCGAATACATGACCGGCGGCGTCGTCGTCGTCATCGGCCAGACGGGCCGCAATTTCGCGGCCGGCATGAGCGGCGGGGTCGCCTATGTGCTCGACGAGGACGGCACGTTCGAGACGCGCTGCAACATGGCGATGGTCGAGCTGGAGCCGGTGCCGGAGGAGGACGACATCCTCGAAAAGCTGCACCATCATGGCGGCGATCTGGCCCACAAGGGCCGCGTCGATGTGACGGGCGACATGACCCGGCACGACGAGGAGCGCCTGTTCCAGCTGATCAGCAACCACAAGCGCCACACCGGATCGACGCGGGCGGCGGAGATCATCGACAACTGGGAGGCCTTCCGGCCGAAGTTCCGCAAGGTGATGCCGGTCGAATACCGCCGCGCGCTCGAAGAGATGGAACGCATGCGCATGAACGTTGCGGCGGAGTGAGACGATGATCATCAGCACGACCAACACGATAGAGGGCCGGCAGGTGGCCGCCTACAAGGGTGTCGTCACGGGCGAAGCCATTTTGGGCGCCAATGTGTTCCGCGATTTTCTCGCCGGCATTCGCGACATTGTCGGCGGCCGGTCGGGCGCCTACGAGAAATCGCTGCGCGAGGCGCGCGAGATCGCGTTCGGCGAACTGACCCAGGAGGCCGAGCGGCTGGGCGCGAACGCCGTGATCGGCGTCGATATCGACTATGAGAACATCACCGCCGGCTCGGGCACCATGCTGATGGTGTCGGTGTCCGGCACCGCGGTGGTTCTGGGGTGATGCTGTTGGATGGTCGTTCTGACATATGCTATGATATATGCCAGAATGAGGTGCGGGCGATGAACGAACATGTCAAAAGCGCTGATGAACGCTTGGCAAGGCTGTTCCGCAACGGCCGGAGCCAGGCTGTTCGGATCCCGAAGGAGTTTGAGTTTGCGGGCGATGAGCTCATCTTGACGCGTCAGCCGGACGGATCGCTCTTGCTTCGGCAAGCGCAAACCGCAGGTCTGTTGGATTATCTGCGTACCGCCGAGCCTTGGCACGGGGACGACTTTCTTGCAGGCATCGACGATATGCCGCCGCTCGATGACGTCGAGCTCTAGAGCGTTTTTAGGCACCGGTTTTGGCATATCTACTCGATACCAACGTGATCTCCGCGCTTGTTCGGAACCCGCAAGGTGCCGTCGCCCAAAAAATTGCAGACGTCGGCGAGGATCGCGTTTTCACGAGCTCGATTGTGTCGAGCGAGGTCTATTTCGGCGTCGACAAGAATGGCAATGACGAGCTTCGAGGCAAGGTCAACCGGATCATGGCGCGTTTGTATATCGCCGCATTTCAGCCGCCTGCCGACAGCTGCTATGCGAAGCTTCGGGCAAGCATGGAGCGTGCGGGACGCAGCGTGACGCCCAATGACTACTTCATTGCGGCGCACGCCGTGTCGCTCGACGCGGTGCTTGTCTCCGGCGATCGCGCATTCGCGCATGTGCCGGATCTGAAACTTGAAAACTGGCTCGACTGACGAGCGCAAACGACTGGAACGACAATGGGCAAGGTAACGGGTTTTCTGGAGATCGACCGGCAGGTGGCCAAATATGAGCCTGCCTCGGACCGGATTCGCCATTTCAAGGAATTCACGATCCCGCTGGAGGATGCCGAGGTCGTCAAGCAGGCCGCGCGCTGCATGGATTGCGGCATTCCCTATTGCCACGGGCCGCAGGGCTGCCCGATCCACAACCAGATCCCGGACTGGAACGATCTGGTCTATAACAACAATTGGGAAGAGGCGATCCGCAACCTGCACTCGACCAACAACTTCCCCGAATTCACCGGTCGCATCTGTCCGGCGCCGTGCGAGGAAGCCTGCACGCTGAACCTCGAGGACGTGCCCGTGGCGATCAAGACGATCGAGCAGGCGCTCGCCGACAAGGCCTACGAGATGGGCTATGTGCGGCCCTATCCCCCGTCCGAGAAGACCGGCAAGCGCGTCGCGGTGATCGGCTCGGGGCCGGCCGGAATGGCCGCCGCCCAGCAGCTTGGCCGGGCCGGACACGATGTCCACGTCTTCGAGCGCGAGGCGAAGATCGGCGGGCTGATGCGCTACGGCATTCCCGACTTCAAGATGGAAAAGCACTTCATCGACCGGCGCGTCGAACAGATGGAAGGCGAGGGCGTGACGTTCCATACGGGCGTCAATGTCGGAGTCGACAAGACCGTGGCCGATCTCAAGGCCCAGTTCGATGCGGTGATCTATTGCGGCGGTTCGGAACGGCCGCGCGATGCGGGCATTCCCGGCGACGACCTTGAGGGCGTGCATCCGGCGATGAACTATCTGGTCCAGCAGAACAAGCGGGTGGGCAAGGAGCAGAGCATCGATTCGGTTGCCTGGCCGTCGGAACCGGTTGTGGCCGGCGGCAAGCATGTCGTCGTCGTCGGCGGCGGCGACACGGCGTCTGACTGTATCGGCACCGCCTTCCGCCAGGGCGCGGTCAAAGTCACCCAGCTCGATATCCGGCCCGAGCCGCCGGAGAAGGAAGACAAGCTGACCGTCTGGCCGTTCTGGGCGACCAAGATGCGCACCTCCTCCTCGCAGGCCGAAGGCGCCGAGCGCGAGTTCCAGATCGCAACGCTCGAATTCGTCGGCGAGGACGGCAGGCTGACCCACGTCAAATGCTGCGAGGTGGACGAAAAGCGCCAGCCGGTCGCCGGCACGGAATTCTTCATCCGCGCCGATCTCGCCTTCATCGCCATCGGCTTTGCCGGTCCGTTGGAGCATACCGGTGTGGTCGCCGAACTGGGCGATGCGCTGGCGATGGACACCGACCGCCGTGGCGGCCGCTCGGTGCATGCCAACGATCGCGACTACCGCACGAGCGTCGACGATCTTTATGTCGCGGGCGACGCGCGGCGGGGCCAGTCGCTTGTCGTCTGGGCGATCCGCGAGGGCCGGCAGGCGGCCCGCGCCGTCGATGAGGCGCTGATGGGATCGAGCGTGCTGCCGCGCTGATTGGCTGGCGCCAGGGTCCTGACCCCAAGTCCTTTGGCTGAAATCGAAAGAGCCGTTGCTTTAGATCAATGAAGCGGCTCCGGCGGCACACGACATTGCCGCCGACCGATTGCGCCACAGGAGAGGTGTCATGTTCTCGCTCAGGTTCGCAGCCTATCTGCTCATCGCGCCGGTGCTTGCCGGCAGCTTCATCGTCGCCTTGTTGACCGTTGACATGTTCGAAGCCTCCTACATTTCGATTGCCGCCATTGCCGGAGCCGTGCTCGGCATTCCCGCCGCATGGTGGCTGGCCAACAAGCTCGACAAGCTGATCCAGCCCAGAGCCTGACCGCCGCGCGGACGCCGCGCGCCAGCATGTTGTGAACAAGGCCCTGTCCGGTTGACGCTTCCTGCGGGATGCGGCAATCGGACGGGGCTTTTGTCTGTGATGGAGTGCTGAGGCATGTCGGACGTCCATGGTGTCGCGCGCGATCATTTGCGCGCCTTCGTCGAGCGCATCGAACGGCTCGAGGAGGAGAAGAAGACGATCGCCGACGACATCAAGGACGTCTATGCGGAAGCCAAGGCGAACGGCTTCGACACCAAGGCGCTGCGCAAGATCGTCGCCATCCGCAAGCAGGACCAGAACGAGCGGCTCGAGCAGGAAGCGGTTCTGGACACCTACATGGCCGCTCTCGGCATGCTGAACACGCCGGACGAATAGCCGCGCAAATGCGTCAGTTGGTGGCCGGGATCTGCAGTTGCAGGGGCCGACCGTCGCCGCCGCCCTGGCCGCCATCGAAGCGCGCCACGGCGAGGAACGTCACCGCATTGCCCGTCAGCCGGCTCGGATCGGGCGGCGGTGCCTTCGAAAAGCCGGCGGTGTAGACCGCATCGGGCGCGTCCCGCGTGGCGTTTCTGAGAAATTCCGGCCGTTCCGTCGGCCGGCCCTCGGCGGTGACCGAAGCGACCGAAACCGTCCAGTCGCCGAACCGGGCCGGATCGATCCGATCGGCGGGCACCACAGGCACGGTGGGCGGCTGCACCGATACGGCATCGCGTGCCGAGGGGCGCGCCGATTTGGCCGTCGTCGTCACGCCCGTGTCGAGCGCTGCGGCAAGGATGGCATCTTCGTCGGCGCGATCGGGGCGCGGCGCGGGGATCGCGATGCGGCCGCCGCGTCCGGTCGTGTCTTCGCTGTCGTCGCTTGCCGACACTGCGGCCGGCGCAGGCGCGGTCGGCGGGACCATCGGCTCGACGGGCGCATAGGCGGCCAGTTGGGTGAGCGGGTCGGCCGCTTGCGAGGCGTCTGCCGGGCGCGGTGCGGGGGCCGGCAATGCGGCCAGCAATGTCGGGGCTTCGCCCGCCACCGGTGCGGGTGCGGTCCCGGCCTCCGCTGCTGCCAGCAGGGCCACGGCCTGGTCGCCGGCGGGTCTGGCGGCGATGGCAGGCCGGTCGCGCGGGACGGGCGGGGTCAGCGAGGCAAGAAGGGTTGCCGGTCCATCGGGTTCGGCGGGCGCGGGCGCTGGCGGCGGTGCCGCGGGCGCAACAACCGGCGCTGGCGCGGATGCCGCTGCGGCAGGTGGCTGTGCCGGCTGCGGATCGCCGACCCGGACACCGGGGATCAGCGCGCGCGGTACAGGAAGGCGCAGGCCGACCGTGCTGGTCGCCGCTGGCGGGGTTTCGGGCGCCTGCGGTGCGGCTGCGATCGTTGCGGGCGCAACGGCGGCGGGTGCCACGGGCTGCGGCACGGCGCGCGGAGCCGCGGCGGGACGCGGCAGATCGCGTCCGGAAAGCGCGGCCAGCGCGGTTCCCGGTGTCTCCGGTGCCGCCTGGCGGCGCGACGGCGCGGAAGGCTGCGACGCGCTTGCCGAGGCGCCGTCGTCATTGTCGCGGCCGAACAGATTGGCCAGCAGGTTGCCGCCGCCACCGCTGCTGCCGCGCTCGCTGTCGCCGCCACCGCTGCGGCGCGTGCGGCCGAAGGTGGGCGGCTGGCCCGAGCGTTCGCGGGCATTGTAGGCGGCGAGCGCCTGCTGATAGCCGGGCAGGCGCCGGCCGTCGGGCGGCAGGTGCAGCGTCTTGCCGTCGGGGAACAGGCGCGTGAGTTCCGATCGGCTCATGCGCGGCCAGGCGCGGACACTGCCCGTGTCCAGATGCACGAACGGTGTTGCCGATTTCGGGTAGTAGCCGACGCCGCCTCCCTGCAGCTTGAAGCCCAGTTCGCGCAGCTTGCGGGTGGGCACGCCGGGAATGAAGAAGTCCATCGCCTTGCCGAGCGTATGCTGGCTCTTGCGGGCCTGGCCGCCGCGCGTGCGGCGCAGCATCGAATTGGTCGCCGGCGACCGGTAGGCGGAGACGACGTGGATGTAATCGCGCGCGCCCGACGCCTGATAGACCTCCCAGACGAGGTCGAACAGTTCGGGATCCATGTTGGTCGGCTCGTTGCGCCGGTGGTCGCGCAGGAAGCGGTTGAGCTTGTTGAGCCCGCTGCGCACATAGCTTCCGTTGCGCTTGAAGGTGATCTCGGCGCGTTCGCCGGTGTGGGTGAAATAGAGTTTGAGCGTGCGCGTTTCGGCGGCGGCCTGGGCCGGCGCGAGCACGGCGCCGGCGGCGACAATGAACATGAGCGCAAGCGCCACGGATCGAAGCTCGCGCAGCCTGTCAGCCCGGTTTGCCCGCCATTGTCGTCCGGTGAGGCTCAAAGCGCACCAATCCGTCTTGTCCCGGCGCCCGGACATCCGCCCGTGACGCGTCCCTGGACGCTACCCGCAACGTGGTTAACCGCTCCTTATCGTCTCCTGCCATCTTGCCGGACGCAAATCAACGCCCTGACCGATGGGAGAGCCGGCCGGAACGGAAGGCGCGGGCTTCCCCGGGCGGTTATGTCCGACCCAAATGCGGTGGAAGCGTGGCAAAACGGCCATAGCGGCCCGGTTCGGGCCGGCTTGGTTACCGATGCGTTAAGGCATGGTTCGGCCCGGCCGCGTCGCGATCAGTGGCGCGGTTCGCCGATCCCGTATTCGCGGAGCTTGCGATAGAGCGTCGACCGGCCGATGCCCAAGCGCCGGGCGATCTCGCTCATCTGGCCGTCATAATGGCCGAGCGCATGGGCGATCACATCGGCCTCGATGTCGCTGAGCGCGCGGGCGTGATTGTCGGCATCGAGGAGCGGCAGCCGATGCGGGTCCGTATCGGGCTGCCATTGCCGGTCAGCGCCGTTGCCCGTGTCCGGCGCGGCGGGCACCGCATCGTTCGGCGCGGGAACCAGCAGCCTGTTCGGTGCGGTCTGGCGCGGCGCCGCCGCCTGGCGCACCGGATCGATCTGGGCCGTGATGTGGGCGAAATCGGCGGCGTCGAGCGTGCCGCTGTCGCTGAGGACGATTGCGCGGAACAGTTCGTTCTCCAGCTGGCGCACATTGCCCGGCCAGTCATAGCTGCGCAGAACGGCCATCGCCGCGTCGGTGATGACGGGCTCCTGGGCGCGGCCCGCCCGGTGCGCCTGGCGGGCGGCAATATGGGCGACGAGCGCCGGCAGATCGTCGGCGCGCGCGCGCAGCGACGGCGTCAGGATCGGAAACACGTTCAGCCGGTAATAGAGATCCTCGCGGAAGCGACCCTCCCGGACGGCGGCGATCAGGTCGCGGTTGGTGGCCGAAATCAGCCGCACATCGACCGTGCGCCCGGCGCGGGCGCCGACCGGCTCGACATGGCCGTCCTGGATGGCGCGCAGCAGCTTGACCTGTGCGGCCAGCGGCAATTCGCCGATCTCGTCGAGGAACAGCGTGCCGCCATCGGCCTCGACGAACTTTCCGGTGTGTTTTTCGGTGGCGCCGGTGAAGGCGCCCTTTTCGTGGCCGAACAGGATGGATTCGACCAGATTGTCGGGGATGGCGCCGCAATTGACGATCACCAGAGGCCGTCCGGCGCGCGGGCCCTTGGCCGCGATCGCGCGGGCGACCAGTTCCTTGCCGGTCCCCGATTCACCCTCGATCAGAACGGGAATGTCGCTCGACGACGCCTTCTTGATCAGCCGGCGGACCCGTTCCATCTCGCGGCCGTCGCCGACCAGTTCCACCGGCACCGGCTTGAGGCGGGCCCTTCCGCGTGCGGCCGTTTCGGCTGGCGCCAGATTGGTGCGGGCGACCTTGACCGCGTCGCGCACGGTCTTGGCGAGCCGTTCCGGGGCGACCGGCTTGACCAGGAAATCGAAGGCGCCCGCACGCATCGCGCTGATCGCCACGTCGATGCTGCCCTGGGCCGTCTGGACGATGACCGGGACATCCGCGCCGCGCTCGCGCAGCGATTTGAGTACCGCGATGCCGTCCATGTCGGGCATCACCAGATCGAGCACCATCGCATCGACCGGTTCGGCATCGGCGCCGGCCAGCCGGTCCAGCGCCGACGGTCCGTCGCCATAGGTCGCCACCGACAGGCCGTCACGCGTCAGCGCGGCCTCGGCGAGGCGGCGCTGGACCGGATCGTCGTCGACGATGACAATGGTGGATGTCATGGCTTGCACTGTCGGTTTGGCGGCCTAGAGTCCCGCCCGATGATGATGGTTCGCAATGCGCCAAGCTGACACAGCGCCGTTGCGATAGCGCTAAGACAGACCGGCGCATTTGATGCAAATTGGAAGAGGACACGCAATGGCCGTATCAGGCTTGATCGGACGGGAACGCCAAAACGCGGCACCGGAGCAGAGCGTCGAACAAGGCCGCGATGCCGATCTGGGCGATTTGCCCACATGGCGTCTGTCGGACCTTTATGCGGCGATGGACAGCGCCGAGCTCCACGCCGATCTGGACCGGTCGGCAAGCGAGGCGAAGGCGTTTTCGGAGCGCTGGAAGGGCAGGCTGGAAGACGCGGCTCGCGCCGGAACGCTCGGTGAGGCGATCGAGGCATTCGAGGCGCTCGAAGACCTTCTGGGACGCATCGCCTCCTATGCGGGGCTGCTTTACGCCACCGACACGTCCGATGAGGCGCGGGCCAAGTTCTATGGCGACATCCAGCAGCATCTGACCGAGGTATCGACGCATCTTCTGTTCTTCTCGCTGGAGATGAACCGGATCGATGAGGCGGTGCTGGACGCGGCCTACGCGAAGAGCGACACGCTCGCCCGCTACAAGCCCTGGATCGACGATCTGCGGCTGGAAAAGCCCTACCAGCTCGAAGACAGGATCGAGCAGCTCTTCCTTGAAAAATCGGTCACGTCGTCGGCCGCCTTCCAGCGCCTTTTCGACGAGACGATGACCGGGTTGCGCTTTGACGTGGGCGGCGAGGAACTGCCGCTCGAACCGGTGCTGACGAAGATGCAGGATGCCGACCGCAGCGTGCGCCGGCAGGCGTTCGAGGCGCTCGCGCAGACCTTTGGCGGCCATGCGCGCACCTTCACTCTGATCACCAACACGCTGGCCAAGGACAAGGACATTTCGGACCGCTGGCGCGGCTTTGAGGATGTCGCCGATGCGCGCCATCTGGCCAACCGGGTCGAACGCGAGGTGGTCGATGCGCTGGTCGCCTCGGTGCGCGACAGTTTCCCGCGCATCTCGCACCGCTACTACGCCATGAAGGCGCGGTGGCTGGGCACCGACATGATGGATGCCTGGGACCGCAACGCGCCCTTGCCCGACACGCCGCAGGCGGTGATCGGCTGGAACCGCGCGCGGCAGATCGTGCTCGATGCCTATGCCGGGTTCTCGCCGGACATGGCCGGCATCGCGCAGCGCTTCTTCGACGAGGGCTGGATCGATGCGCCGACCACGCCCGGCAAGTCGCCCGGCGCCTTTGCCCATCCCACCGTGCCGTCGGCGCACCCTTACGTGCTGCTCAACTATCAGGGCAAGCCGCGCGACGTGATGACGCTGGCGCACGAACTGGGCCATGGCGTGCACCAGGTGCTGGCCGCCGGGCAGGGCGCGCTGATGGCGCAGACGCCGCTGACGCTGGCCGAGACCGCCTCGGTCTTCGGCGAGATGCTGACCTTCCGGTCCATGCTCGATGCGACCGGCGATCCCGTCGAGCGCAAGGCGATGCTGGCGCAGAAGGCCGAGGACATGATCAACACGGTGATCCGGCAGATCGCCTTCTACATGTTCGAGCGCAAGGTGCACGAGGCGCGGCGCGCGGGCGAACTGACCACCGCGCAGATCGGCCAGTTCTGGCTCGAGGTGCAGGGCGAGAGCCTGGGCCCGGCGATCCGGCTCAATGAGGGGTACGAGCTGTTCTGGACCTATGTCCCGCACTTCATCCGCTCGCCCTTCTACGTCTATGCCTATGCGTTCGGCGATTGCCTGGTGAACTCGCTCTATGCGGTCTACCAGAACGCGCAAAGCGGCTTTCAGGAGGCCTATTTCGACATGCTGCGGGCCGGCGGCTCCAAGCGGCATGGCGAATTGCTGGCGCCGTTCGGGCTCGATGCGTCCGATCCGGGGTTCTGGGCCAAGGGGCTCGGCGTGATCGAGGGCATCATCGACGAGTTGGAGGCGATGGACCGGTGAGCCCGCCGCCCCGCGCCGGCACGTTTGCGCGCAACGGTTATGCCGAGGCGTTCACCATCGGGCTCAGACCGCTGACCGATCCCGCCGCCTGGCTCGCGCCGGACACGCGCCTTGCCGCCAATCTGGCCGAAAAGGACGCGCTGATCGCGGCGCGGCGCGGCGATGTGTTCCGGGCGCGCGACGACACGCTGGCCGCCCAGACCGAGGCGCTGCGCCTTCTCGCCGGTCACCTGCCGGCCGCCTTCCCCGACGTCTATCGGCGGGACGGGGCGGATGTCGCGATCGGCGATACGGACAAGCCCGTGCGGATCGACGAACACGATCCGGCACCGCTTTTGACCGCCTCGCGGCTTGTCGCCGACGATCTGGTCTTGATGCGCAAGCATGACGATGGCTGGCGGCTGGTTGCGGCAAGCCTGTGCTTTCCGTCCTACTGGTCCCTCGCCGAGAAATTCGACCGGCCGCTGGCGGCGATTCATGCGCCGGTGCCCGGTTTCGCCGCCGGCACGCGCAACGCGGCGCTGATCGAGCGCATGTTCGACAATCTCAAGCCGGGCACCGTCGTCGGACGGTCCAACTGGTCGGTGCACGACAATGGCGGCCTGTTTCGCCCGCAGCCGCACCCGTCGCACCTGTTCGCCGGCGAGGACGACATGGCGACGTTGGCGAAAATGCATCTGCGCAGCGAGGACCAGACGCTGCGCAAGCTGCCGGAGACGGGCGACATGCTGTTCACGATCCGCGTCGCGACCGATCCGATGGCCGGCATTTTCGACCATGAAGGGCTGGCCGCGTCGCTCGCCGCGCGCTTGCGGGCGCTGGGCGCCGCCGAGCGCGACTATAAGGGGCTGCAGTCCGGGCGCGATCTTCTGGCCGATTGGCTGGAGCGCGGCGGTCCATAAAGCGGGTTCCGTCTTCTCCGCCATTGTCATAAGTTGGCACAGACGGGGCAAGAATGGAGAGTTGGCCATGGGTTCAACTGTGATGAGGGCGCGCGGGTCCGGTCCGGCCCGGGCGCTGAGGTTTCTGGCGGTGGCAGCAGGCGCGGTGGCGTTGGCCGGCTGCACGATTGCAGCGCCCGGCGGCGGCGGCAGCGTGCGGGCGCCGTCAAGCGCCGGCATCATCGATGGCGCATGGGGCGATACGGGCGGCGTCGCAACGGCAAGCCTGACAAACGGGCGCTTCGTCAGCGTCGCCAACGACACCGGCAACCGTGTCGCGGAAGGCACCTATGTCTACACCAGCCGCGAATCGGTCGCGCTCGACTATTTCTCGCTTCTGCGGCAGACGCGCATCCGCGCCAACTGCGTGCTTGCGAACCCGACGACGCTGAACTGCACCAACGACAGCGGCCAGCAGTTCCAGCTCGTTCGCAGCGCCGCCGTTTCCTGAGGCGCGCGCCGGCCCGCATTCGGGCTGCGCAATCGGGTTCGTTTTGGTTCGGCATCGGCGCCGAAAGCCGTTGACGCGCCCGTCAAATGGCTGTCACATAGCTTTCGGACAAGCCGTGGCGGTGCGCCTCGGCGCGGTAGTATGCAGACGGGAGGACCCCATGAAAAAGACGGCGATGCTGATGGCGCTGAGCGTATCGGCGGTGGCTTTGAACACCGGCAGCGCGGCGGCGGATTACACGCTCGACATCCTTCACATCAACGATCTGCACTCGCGCATCGAGCCGATCAACCGTTTCGATTCCACCTGCAGCGCCGATGACGAAGCCGAAGGCAAGTGCTTTGGCGGGGTCGCGCGGGTGAAAGCCAAGATCGACGAGCGCCGTGCCGCGCTGACCGACGAGGGCGGCAACGTGCTGGTGCTCGACGCGGGCGACCAGTTCCAGGGCTCGCTGTTCTACACCACCTACAAGGGTGAGGCGGCTGTCGAGTTCATGAACGGCATCGGGTTCGATGCGATGGCCGTCGGCAATCACGAGTTCGACGACGGGCCCGAGGCGCTCAAGACGTTCATCGAAGCGGCCGAGTTCCCGGTGATCTCCGGCAACACGCTCGCCGGCGCGAGTTCGCCGCTCGCCGACATGATCGACGGCTACATCATCAAGGAAGTCGGCGGCGAGAAGATCGGCATCGTCTCGGTGCTGGCCACCGATACCGACGAGACATCGTCACCCGGCCCGACGATCCTTTTGATCGAGGAAACGGGCTATCTTGAGGGCGCGGTCGCCGAACTGGAGGCCGAAGGCGTCAACAAGATCATCCTTCTGTCCCATGTCGGCCTGCCGCGCGACAAGGAGATCGCCGCGGCGGTCGACGGGATCGACGTGATCGTCGGCGGGCATTCGCACACGCTCCTGTCGAACACGGACGAGAATGCGGCCGACACCTATCCGGTGATGGTGCAGAACCCGTCCGGTCAGGATGTGCCGATCGTCCAGGCCTATGCCTATTCGAAGTATCTGGGCGAGTTGCGCGTCGTCTTCGACGACGAGGGCAATGTGGTTTCCGCCGAGGGTGAGCCGCATCTGCTCGATGCCTCGGTCACCCCGGACGAAGCGTTCGTCGCGCGTGTCGCCGAACTGGGCGGCCCGATCGAGGAACTCAAGGCCCGTCCGGTCGGCGAAACGACCGATGCGATCGAGGGCAGCCGCGAAGTCTGCCGCGCGATGGAATGCGCGATGGGCAATCTGGTGGCCGACGCGATGCTCGACCGGGTGCGCGACCAGGGCATCCAGATCGCCATACAGAATGGCGGCGGCCTGCGCGCGTCGATCGATTCGGGCGAAATCACGATGGGCGAGGTGCTCACCGTGCTGCCGTTCCAGAACACGCTTGCGACGTTCCAGCTTTCCGGCGCCGACATCATCGCCGCGCTCGAAAACGGCGTCGGCCAGATCGAGGAAGGCGCGGGACGGTTCCCGCAGGTTGCGGGCCTGAGCTATGTGTTCGACGTCAGTGCCGAGCCGGGCAGCCGCATCTCCGACGTGATGGTGATCGACGCGGACGGCAACGCGACGCCGCTCGACGAGGGCGCCACCTACGGCGTCGTCTCCAACAACTTCATGCGCAAGGGCGGCGACGGTTATGCCATGTTCGCCTCCAATGCGATGAACGCCTACGATTTCGGCCCCGGCCTCGAACAGGTCGTCGCCGACTATCTGGCCGAGAATGCGCCCTATTCGCCCTATACGGACGGCCGCATCATGGCCGCCGCCGATATGGGTGAAGCGATGGAAGGCGATGCGGAGGAAGCGCCGGCCGAGGAGATGGCCGCCGAGGAAACCGAAGTGGTGCCTCCCGAAACGGCGCTGGCCGCCGAAACGCTGTCGAGCGAAGGCCCGGTGATCGAGACCGAGGAAGCGCCCGCCGAGGAGATGGCTGCCGAGGAAACCGAGGTGGTTCCGCCTGAAACGGCGCTCGCCGCCGAAACGCTGTCTTCGGAAGGGCCGATGATCGAGACCGAGGAGGCGCCCGCCGAGGAGATGGCTGCCGAGGAAATGGCTGCCGAGGAAGACGCCACCGAAGAGGTTGCCGTCGTTCCGCCGCCGACCGCGCTTTCGGCCGAAACACTTTCAAGCGAAGGGCCGATGGTGGAAGCCGAGCAGGAGACCTACGTCATCCAGAGCGGCGACACGCTGTGGGAACTGGCCCGCGAGTTCTACGGCGATGCCGAGATGTGGCCAAAGCTTGCGGACGCCAATCCGGAACTGGTGGCCGAGGGCCTGGAGATCGGTACCGAGATCGTCGTCCCCGCGCCCTGATCCGTTTGGCGTCAGCGACGTAGACAATATGCCCGCCGCAATTGCGGCGGGCATCGTCTTTCTGGCCGTCCCTCTTGCTGCCGGCGGCCGCTTGGCCCAATTGCCGCATTGAATTCGCGTGCGCAGGGCTTAGTTTGTGATCCGATACGGGAACCTGCCATGAACATGAAGTCGACCGTCGATCGTGCCCTTGCCAAACAGGTCGGACCGCTGCCTGACGGGCATCCGTCGGTGCGGATCGGCAAGGTCGGCGTGCTGCTGATCAATCTGGGGACACCCGACGGCACGGATTTCCGCTCGATGCGCCGCTATCTACAGGAATTCCTGACCGACAGCCGCGTGATCGAATGGCCCAAGGCGCTGTGGTATCCGATCCTTTACGGCATTGTCCTGAACACGCGCCCTGGCCGTGTCGGCAAGGCCTATGAGGAAATCTGGAACAAGGACAGGGACGAGAGCTATCTGCGGACCTACACGCGGTCGCAGGCCGAAAAGCTCGCCGAGGCCTTGAAGGCGAACGACAATGTCGTCGTCGACTGGGGCATGCGCTACGGCAATCCGTCGATCGCATCGCGCATCGAGGCGCTGCGCGCCGAAGGGTGCGACCGGATCGTTGCCTTCCCGCTCTATCCGCAGTTTTCCGCGACGACGACGGCCACCGTGAACGACAAGGTGTTCGAGGCGCTGTCCAAGACGCGTTTCATGCCGGCGCTCAGGACCGTTCCGGCCTATCATGACGAGCCGGTCTATATCGAGGCGCTGGCGCGGTCGATCGAGGCGCATCTTTCGACGCTCGATTTCGAACCGCAGCGCGTGATCGCCTCCTATCACGGCATCCCGCAGAGCTATTTCAAGCGCGGCGACCCCTATCATTGCCACTGCCACAAGACCTCGCGGCTGCTCGAACAGCGGCTCGGATGGGAAAAGGGCCGGTTGATGACCTGCTTCCAGTCCCGGTTCGGGCCTGAGGAATGGCTCCAGCCCTACACCGACAAGACGCTCGAAGCGCTGCCCGCCGAAGGCATCACCAGGGTCGCCACCTTCAATCCGGGTTTTGTTTCCGATTGCCTTGAAACGCTGGAAGAGATCGCCGGCGAAGGCGCCGAGATCTTCGAGGAAGCGGGCGGCACCCACTACACCCACATTCCGTGCCTCAACGACAGCCCCGAAGGGATGAGCGTCATCGAGACGCTGGTGCGCCGGGAGCTGCAGGGCTGGGTGTGACGGTTTCGGCGGGCCTCAGGCCACGCCGAGCCGCAACAGATCGTGCAGGTGGACGATGCCGACGGGTTTTTCGTCCTCGACGATCATCAGCGCGGTGATCGAGGCGGCGTTGACGATGGTCAGCGCGGTGGCGGCCAGCGCGTCGGCGCCGATGGTCTTGGGGTTGGTGGTCATCACCTCGTCGGCGCGCATCGCCAGCAGATCGGTGTCGATGTGACGGCGCAAGTCGCCGTCCGTGATGATGCCGGCGAGGCGCCCGTCGGGATGGACGATGCCGACGCAGCCGAACCCTTTCTGCGAGATCTGCATGATCGCTTCGCGCATCGAGGTGCCCGAGGGGACGAGCGGCAGCTTGTCGCCGGTGTGCATGATGTCGCCGACGCGCGTCAGGCTGGCGCCCAACTGCCCGCCCGGATGGAAATCGCGGAAATCGGCGGCGGTGAAGCCGCGCTCCTCAAGCAGCGCCACCGCCAGCGCGTCGCCGATGGCCAGTTGCATGATCGACGAGGTGGTCGGTGCGAGCCCGTGCGGGCAGGCTTCCTCGGCCCTGGGCAGAAGCAGCACGATGTCCGCCTCGCGGGCCAGCGCCGAACCGGCCCCGGCGGTGATCGCGATCAGCGGAATGGAAAAGCGCCGGGAATAGCTGATGATGCCGCCCAGTTCGCGCGCCTCGCCCGACCAGGACAGGCAGATGATCGCGTCCTGGCGGGTAATCATGCCCAGGTCGCCGTGATTGGCCTCGGCGGGATGGACGAAGCTCGCCGGCGTGCCGGTCGAGGCGAAGGTGGCGGCCATCTTCGAGCCGATATGGCCGCTCTTGCCGACGCCGGAAACGATCACCCGGCCGCTGACGCCGCGCATGGCCGAAACGGCGGCGGCGAACGGCTCGCCAAGACCGTTTTGCAGCGCGTCGGCGAGCGCGCCAAGCCCGTCGCGCTCGGTGGAGAGCGTGCGCAGGGCCGACTGCATGGCGTTGGGTTTGGTCAGCATGTGGGTCTTGTCCGCGCGTCGGTCCGGTGTCCGATATCGGTCAGCTATTGCATCGGAGCGTCCTTGTCCATCGGGCCATACTTCCATGGCCGATTCAACGCTTCGTTAACCTCGATTGTTTACCGCTTGGCAAGATATCGGACAATGGCGGGACGAACGCAACGTGGCAGGGCGCCGGCACACAGAAGATCGTCGCAGGTGGCGTGCCGCCGCCGCGCTGGCGCTGGCCGGCAGTCTGGTTCCGGCCACCGCGCATGCCCAGCTTGTTCCGGACCTGCGGGGCGAAGTGGAAGAAAACGTTCTGGGCATTCCGCGCAGCGGCGTCGTCGCGCCCTCGGAAGCGGGTCGAACCGAGCCGGCGCCTGCGGCGGTGCCACGCGCGCGCCCGCCGGCCGATGAACCCGACGACGGACCGGCGGTCATCACGTTCGACGATACCGATCCGCTCGATGCAGCCGAGGATGCCGACACCGATTCCATCGACGCGCTGATCGCCGCTTCCGGGGCACCCGATCCGGACGATCCGGCCCGTTTCGGCCGCGTCGAGGCGACGGGTTCGGTCGGCCCGCTTGCGCGCGGCACCGGCTCGGCCGATGAAAACCCGTTCGCGCCGCTGGGCCTGCGTCTCGGCACCTTCACCGTCTTCACCACGCTCGATCTGGGCGTCAGCCACACGCGCTCGCAAAGCACGTTCGAGAACACGGGCACCACGCCGCTGACCTACGGCACCGCCGACAGCCAGGGCACGTTCGGGGAAGCGGCGCTGACCCTGCGCGGCACCTCGGACTGGAGCCGCCACGCGCTGGACTGGGGTTTTTCGGGCCGGCTGCCGGTGCGGCTTTCAGGCGAGGCGGAGACCGAGCCGACCGCGCAGGCCAATGCGGCGCTCAGGGTCGATATCGACCGGGAGACCCAACTGAACCTTTCGGGCGCCTATGCCTACCGCAAGGACGATCCGGGCTCGGCGGCTGTCGCCATCGCCACCGATCCGCTGCTGTTTCCGGGGCTGGGCACGGTCAACGATCCGGTGACGCAGACATTGTCCGGCGCGGCCGGCCTGCAGCGGCAGGCCGGCCCGTTCAGCGCGCTCGCCGAGATCAATGGCGAGCGGCAGGTGCATGGCGATGCCACGCTGACCGACGGCAGGACCGTCTCGCAGGACGATCTCGACTATACGCGCTACGGCGCGCGACTGCGCGGCGGCTATTCGATCTCGCCGGTGCTGACGCCGTTCGCCGAGATCGAATACAGCCGGCGCGTCATGGATGTGCGGCCGGATCCGGCGGGCATCGACCGCAATGCGGTCCGCTACGCGCTGCGCCTTGGCACGGCCTTCGACCGGGGCGAGAAGCTGTCCGGCGAAATCGCCCTCGGCTATGTGCATGAGGACATCGCCGATGCAACGCTGGGCGACATTGGCGGGCTTTCGGTGGCCGGTGCGCTGAACTGGTCGCCGCGCCGCGAAACCGATGTCAGCGCCGGCCTCAGCACCTCGACGACCACCAGCGGTTCGGCGGGCGTCTCGGGCGCGCTTGTCTATGCGGCCAATCTTGGCATTACGCACCGCGCGCGCGCCGATCTCGAGCTCAATGGCGGGCTCAATGTCGAATATGACGATGTCGTCGGCGCGGCAGAAGACGAGATAACGGTCGGCGGCACGCTCGGTGCCACCTGGTGGTTCAACCGGTTTGCCGGTCTGACCGGCCGCGTTAGCCATGAACGCACCTTCAGCGACGATCCGGCCGAGGAATCCAGCAGCACCAACGCATTTGTGGGGGTCCGGCTGCAACGCTGACTCATTGTCGCCATGGTTGTTGCCACACTTGCGGAAAAACCTCCGACAGACAGGGCGGCGTCATCCAGGCAAATCGGGAGAAAGGCTTGTCATGACGAAGGGGTGCAAAAGCGGGCTGGCGGTCGGACTGGCAGCTTTGATGGCGGTGGTCATGCTGGCCGGCACGGCGCCGGCGCGCGCCGATGCCGGCTTCCAGCAATGGATTCGCGATTTCCGCGCGACGGCGGTGGCCAACGGCGTTGATGGGCGCGTCTATGACCGCGCCTTCGCCAATGTGCGCACGCCGGATGCCGAGGTTCTGCGCAAGGCGCGCTTCCAGCCCGAATTCCGCGACGAGGCGTGGCAATATATCGATGCGCGCGTCAACGAACGCACCATCGGCGACGGGCGGGCGATGTTGCGCAAGCACGGCCGCCTGCTGGACCGGATCGAGCGCTCCACGGGTGTATCCAAGCATATCCTGCTGGCCATCTGGTCGATGGAATCGAGCTATGGCGAGGCGCTGACGCAGCCGGGCCGGCTGCACTATGTTCCGCGCGCGCTGGCCACGCTCGCCTATGCCGACCGCCGCCGCGCCAAGTTCGCGCGCAGCCAGTTGATCGCCGCGCTCAAGATCGCCCAGCGTGGCGATGTGGCGGTTGAGGGGCTGACCGGCTCCTGGGCCGGCGCGATGGGCCACACCCAGTTCATTCCCACAAGCTACAAGGCCTATGCCGTCGATGGCGATGGCGACGGCCGCCGCGACATCTGGAACTCGATCCCCGATGCGCTCTACACCGCCGCCAGCCTGTTGAAGAACAATGGCTGGCGATCGGGCGAGACCTGGGGCTACGAGGTGGTGCTGCCGCCCGGGCGCAAGTTCCCCGGCGGGCAGATGACGCTGCGCGAATGGCAGCGCATCGGCGTCGTGCGCGCCAATGGCGAGCCTTTTCCGCGCCCGGGCCAGCAGGCCGAACTGAAGGTCCTGCAGGGCCGCGACGGGCCGGCCTTCCTGATGATCCGCAATTTCTTCGTCATCAAGCGCTACAACAATGCCGACAAATATGCGCTGGGCGTGGGCCTTCTGGCCGACCAGATCGCCGGTTTCCCGCCGCCCAGCCGCGACTGGACCCGGCCATTCACGCGTCTGACGGTGGCCGAAAGCGAGGAGCTGCAGCAGCGGCTCAAGCGCCAGGGATTTTACGAGGGCGACGTCGACGGCAAGATCGGGCCGATGTCGCGCAGCGCGATCAAGGCCTTCCAGGCAAGCCGCGGCCTCGCCCAGGATGGCTATGCCTCCATGGAGGTGCTAGAAGTGCTGCGCCGGCGCTAGGACGGACCTCGGGTTCGGGACCGCGGCGGCGGGGCGCAACAGGGACAGTGCAATGGACGGTCGGCTCGAAAGGGGCTGCGGTGGTCAAGCAAGTGCGCGTGCATGGCGGGCGCTCATGGCTGGCTGCATTGCCGCGATCGTGCTTTTGACCGGGGCGCCGCTCACCGGATCGGGCGGCACATCGGATGCCCACGCCCAATCCCGTCCCGGCGAACCCGGTCTCTTGCAGATGCTGTTCAACCGCAACAACCGGCAGGAGACGACCCGGCAGCCGCGTCCGCGGCAGGCCGCGCCGGGGCAGCGCACGACGACGCGCGCGGCGCCCGCACGACGTTCATCGTCCGGGGGCGTGGCTTCGGCGCCTGCCACACCGCGCACCGAGGCAGTGGAAAAGGCGGAGAATGCGCGCATCGTGCTGGTCGTCGGCGATTTCGTCGCCGACGGGCTGGCGCGCGGGCTGACCGACGCGTTCGCAGCCTCTCCCAATGTGGTGGTCGAACGGCGCGTCAACGGGTCTTCCGGTTTCGTGCGCGACGATTTCTACGACTGGCCGGGCGAGATCGGCGCGATCCTCGAAGAGGTCAAACCCTCGGTCCTGGTTGTCCATCTGGGCTCGAACGACCGCCAGCCGCTGCGCGTTGACGGCGCAACGCGCGAGGTTCTGTCGGAACAGTGGCGCACCGAATATCAGAGCCGCATCGACGCGTTCATCAACGCGGCCGGGCAGGCCGGCGTCGCGCTGGTCTGGACCGGCAGCCCGCCGTTCCGGTTCCGGTCCATGTCGGCCGACATGCTGGCGTTCAACGAAATCTACCGCGCCCGGACCGAAGCGGCGAACGGCCATTTCGTCGACATATGGGACGGTTTCGTCGACGAGGACGGCAATTTCATCGAGCGCGGTCCGGACATCAAGGGGCAGGTGGTGCGGTTGCGCGGCTCCGACGGCATCAATTTCACGCCCGCCGGCCAGCGCAAGATCGCCTTCTATGTCGAGCGGCAGCTCAAGCAGATTCTCGGCGATTCGGCGCTGCCGCTGGTCACCTCGCTGGGGGCGGACAATCTGCCGATCATGAAACTGCCGCCGCTGCAGACCGAGGCCGATCTGGAGCGCGTCAATCCGATCGCGGTGACCGACCCCGATCTCGATGGCGGCAGCGTGCTGCTGGGCGATGTCAGCGAACCGGAAGCGGCGGCGAACCCGCTGCAGGCCCGCTCGGTTCGCCAGCGGCTGGTGGAAGAAGGTCTGCCGCCGCCGGCGCGCGCCGGCCGTGCCGGAAGCGTCGCACCTCTGACGCCGGACCCGCGGCCGCAGGCGACCGGCTCGCCGCCGCCGCTCGATGCGGGCACCACGCTGCAATAGCGGTCAATCGTGCGCAGGCGCCTTGGCCGCGAAAGCTGCGGCCTGCTCGGGCGTCGCCTCTGTCTGGTGAAGGCGCTTCCATTCGTCATAGGGCATGCCGTAGACGATCTCGCGTGCTTCGGGCCTGGAAAGGTCGATGCCCCGTTCGGCGGCCGCGTCCTGATACCAGTTTGACAGGCAGTTGCGGCAGAAGCCGGCCAGGTTCATCAGATCGATGTTCTGCACATCGGTGCGCTGGCGCAAATGCGCCACCAGCGTGCGGAATGCGGCCGCTTCCAACTGGGTGCGCGTGTCGGGATCGATGTCGGGCATGGTGCGTTTCCCTGTGGATGGCCAGGACCGGCCGCTTTTCATGTGCCCACAATTGCCATCCGATGGATACTTGTCCAGTGCCGCGGCATTGAACGGGTCGGCGCCTTCGGATTGACAAAGACGGCAGCCATGCCAAAAGGAGCCGATGCGCTGGTTCGGGCCTAAGCACATGAAAAGACGATGGAGCGTGGGTCGGCTGGCTGGCCCTTGGCTGCTTTTTGCGGCGGTGGCCGGCGGCGCGAACGTTGCGGGCACCGCACCGGCATGGGCCGACTTCCGCGTATGCAATTCCACCCAGGAGCTGGTCGGTGTGGCGATCGGCTATCGCGCGCGCACCGGCTGGATCACCGAGGGCTGGTGGCATGTCGAGCCGGCCAGATGCAAGACGCTGATCGAGGGCGCGCTCGCCTCGCGCTACTACTATCTTTACGCCGAGGACGCGCTGCGCGGCGGCCGCTGGGACGGGCCGATCTCTATGTGCGTGGCCGAACGCGAGTTCAAGATCACCGGCGTCAATGACTGTTTCGCCCGCGGTTTCCAGCGCGCGGGCTTCCGCGAGTACGACACCGGCAATCAGCAGAGCTGGATGGTGCAATTGGTTGACAATGACGGCGCGGCGCCGGAAGAGACCCCGGAGACATCCAATGTCACCGAGGGGACCGGACAGTGAAACGCAGCCGCAGGGTCAAGATTCTCGCAACGCTGGGTCCGGCTTCCTCCTCCGAGGAGATGATCGGCCAGTTGCACGAAGCGGGCGCCGACGTCTTCCGCATCAATATGAGCCATGCCAGCCACGATCTGATGCGCGACCTGGTCAAGCGGGTGCGCGCGGTCGAGGCGCGCATGGGCCATCCGATCGGCATCCTTGCAGACCTTCAGGGCCCCAAGCTGCGCGTCGGCAAGTTCGCCGAGGGCAAGGTGACGCTGGAGGTCGGCCAGACGTTCACGCTCGACGACCGCGACGAGCCGGGCGATGAAACGCGGGTCTTCCTGCCGCATCCGGAAATCCTCGAAGCGGTGCAGCCCGGCCATCGCCTTTTGATCGACGATGGCCGGCTGCAACTGGCGGCAACGGCGTCCGACGGCAATTCGATCACCTGCAAGGTGGTGTCCGGCACGGTGATCTCCGACCGCAAGGGCGTCAGCCTGCCCGACACGACTTTGGGCGTCGGCGCGTTGACCGACAAGGACCGCGCCGATCTGGACGAGGTGCTCAAGGAAGACATTGACTGGGTGGCGCTGTCGTTCATCCAGCGGCCCGAGGATCTGGCCGAGGTGCGCAAGATCGCGCGCGGCAGCGTGGCGCTTTTGTCGAAGATCGAAAAGCCGCAGGCGGTCGAACGGATCGACGAGATCATCGAACTGTCGGACGCGGTGATGGTGGCGCGCGGCGATCTGGGCGTCGAGATGCCGCTTGAAAGCGTGCCGGGCATCCAAAAGCAGATCACCCGCAAGGCGCGGCGCGCCGGCAAGCCGGTGGTGGTCGCAACGCAGATGCTCGAATCGATGATCGCCGCCCCGGTGCCGACGCGCGCCGAGGTCTCCGACGTTGCGACCGCCGTGTTCGAGGGTGCCGACGCGGTGATGCTGTCGGCGGAATCGGCGGCTGGCGACTATCCGGTCGAGGCGGTGCGGACCATGTCGTCGATCGCCAGCCGGATCGAGCGCGATCCGACCTATTCGGGCATCATCCACGCGCAGCGCGCCGAACCGGAAGCGACCGGCGCCGACGCAATTTCCGCCGCAGCGCGGCAGATCGCCGAGACGCTGCAACTGAGCGCGGTCGTCTGCTACACGGCGTCGGGCACCACCGGGCAGCGCGCCTCGCGCGAGCGTCCGAACGTGCCGATCATTGCGCTTTCGCCGGTCGTCGAGACCGCGCGCCGGCTGTCGCTCGCCTGGGGGCTGCATTGCGTCGTCACCGACAGCGAACCGGCCGATCTGGACGACATGGTCGACCGCGCCTGCCGCATCGCGTTCGCCGAAAAGTTCGCCAAACCCGGCGACCGGATCATCATCACCGCGGGCGTGCCGCTGGGCACGCCGGGCGCGACCAACATGCTGCGAATCGCCTATATCGGCTCGGACGGGCTGAGCGGGATTTGATCTGATCCCAGCCCATCTTTGCGGACGGCGCTGCATTGCCCCCACCCTTCATCCCTCCGCCATAAATGTGGGAGGGAGGACCTCGGCATATTTGCCCGGAAGTTTCTGACCGAGCCTGGCGCGCGGGTCGAAGGCGTCACGGTTGGTTGATGTCCTCCCTCCCACGTTTGCGGGGGAAGGATGAAGGGTTGGGGGTGGTCTTCGGCCATGCATGTGACCCTCACTCCACCCGGTAGCCCGCCGCCCGCACCTCCTTGCGGATTTCCTCGTTGTCGAGGCAGCGTTCGATCGGGCCGAACGCGTCGGAGGCGAGCTGTGCCTCCTTGGTCCGGGCGAGCGCCTGCAGATCCCGCTCCCGGCCCGCAACGCTCTCCAGCGCGGCAACGACCAGATCGGGCAGGACATGGTCCGGCTTGTGGCCGAGATTGTGGATGCGCACCAGTTCGGCGTTCTGCAGGTCCCGAGCCAGCCCGGTCGAGTGGATCGACGGCAGCACGATCGTGTCCTTGTTGCCGGTGATGATCACCGATGGCGTCTCGATCTCGCGATAGCGCGGCGAGACCTCGGCGACATGATCGTAGAGGTTGGCGACATCGACGGCGTTGGCACGGAAATGGTTCGGCCGGAACAGGAGCGGCAGGCGCGTGCGTTCGGCATAATCGGGTGTCGGCCGGTTCGGCGCGAAGACGCAGGCGGTGCCGTCCTCCATGCGCGACCAGCCGCCGGGCATGGCGAGCGTTTCGGAAAACAGCCAGCCGACAATCGGCGTTGCGGTGAGCGTATAGTACCAGCTTATGCCGCCCGGCCAGGGATGGCTGACCGGCGACAGGAAGACCGTGCCGGCGGTCCTGTCGGGATGGTTCAGCGCAAACGAGACCGCGATGGCGCCGCCGAAGGAGTGGCCGACGACGATCGCCTTTTCGATGCCGAGTTCGTCGAGCATGGCGGCGAGCGTTCGCGCCTGTCCGTCGGGCAGGGCATTTTCGGCCGGTCCGCGCGACGACCAGCCATGGCCGGGCCGGTCGACGAACAGAAGATCGGCGCGGCCGCGCAGCCGGTCGCCGTAGATCGTCATCGCATCGTGCAGATTGCCGCTGGCGCCATGCAGGAAGACGACCGGCGGCAGGTCGGCATCGTCCCCGGCGGGAATGCGAACCAGATGCATGTCGGTGCCGTTGGCGGTCACGAAGATGCCGGCAGGCGGGTGGCGCCGCTCGATCATGATGACGCCGATACGCGTGACCGCCATCAGGACGAGAACGAGCGCGACAAGCGCGGCGATGATGGCGGCAAGCATGTTCACGGGGCAGGGTCCGGTGTTTCGGAATTGGTGGCTGCGGCGCGGGCGCCGCGTCAGGCGGGTTCGCCGGCGAGATCGTCGCTGAGGCGGATGACCGCCTCCTGCGCCGACCGCATGGCGGGATAGACCTCCAGCGCGCGCTGCCAGGCTTCGAGCGCGGCCGCCTTGTTGCCGGTGCGCTCCAGGATCGTCGCCATGCCGGTCAAAGCGCCGAAATGGCGCGGCTCCAGCGCGAGCACCTTGTGGATGTCGTTCATCGACTTGGCGTAATTGTTCATGGTGAAATGCAGCGTCGCGCGGCGGTTCCAGCCCTCGGCGAAATCGGGCGCGCGGATCACCACCTGGTCGAGGAAATCGAGCGCCATGGCGTAGCGCCGCTTGCCGGCGGCCTCGTTCGACCATTTCATCATCAGATCGATGCTGGCGCTGCCCGAGCGGTGCCATTGCGCCCAGATGGCGTCGGCGAGGTTGTCGGCGCGGCGCGCGTCGGGCGTGCGCTTGAGTTCGGCGAACAGTTCGTCGAGCCGTCCGGCACGGCCGTCATCGACCAGCGGCACATCGTCGATCGGCGGCAGCAGGGCCTCGGCCTCCGGCTGCTCGGGCTCGGACAAAGGCGCCTCGGGATCGATGATCGTCTGCGCCGCCACGGGGGCGGCGGCAAGGGAAAGGGCAAGGCCGGCAGCAAGGGCGGTCTGGATCGCGCGCATACCGTCAAGGTATCGCCGGCGAGCCCCGCGTCAAACGCAAAAATGCGTGATGGCCTGGCGCACGACGATGCGGCCACGGGCATGCCCGCGGCCGCAGCCAAATTCGAAGGTGTGGTGAACCGGCGGTTAACGCGGTGCGCGTCAGCCCTGGCGCGCCTTGTAGCGCGGGTTCTGCTTGTTGATCACATAGACCCGGCCCTTGCGGCGGACGACGCGGTTGTTGCGGTCGCGGGCTTTCAGCGATTTCAGCGAATTCTTGATCTTCATGGTCTCAACTCGGCCGGTCTGTCGCGCCCTTGGCGCCAAGCGCCGGGCAAACAAAAACGCGCCCGTCCGGCGCGCCAATTCAGTGGGCGGGAGATAGGCGCAAAGGGTGCGTGTTGTCAAGGCGGGGGTGGGTGTGTGGGTCCGGTTTCCGTGCGCCAACGGCGCCAACGTGCAGGTCAACATCAAACTCGCCTCCGCGATAACCCCCGAGGAGTACCAGCGCATGGGGGACGTCCGCCAGAAAACGAAACGTCAAAGTAATCCCGCGGTTCCGGTGGGGCGAGATTTGAGAGCGGGATTGTCGTTCACCAGATCGTGTAGCCACCATCAATGAGCAAATCGTGACCAGTGACAAAAGATGACGAGTCATTTAGCAGGAATTCAACGGCACCTACCACGTCACTCGTTGAGCCCAGGCGGCCCATTGGTATATCCTTCTTCCATATCTCATGTTCCTTGTCCCGACCTTCTGTCATGGGCGTGAGAATATATCCCGGGCTGACGCAATTTACCCGCACACCGAGTTCGGCCCACTCTGCTGCGACTGATCTGCATAGATGTATCAAGCCGGCCTTACTTGCATTGTAATGGCAATGAGGGGCGGTCTTATTTGATATGGAGCCGGATTTTGATGCAATGGCAACGATGGAGCCCGAGCATTTGGATAGTAACGGAAAGAAGGCCTGCATAGAGAGAAACGCGCCTGTGAGGTTCGTATCCATCACACGATTCCATTCGCTGGTCTCGAGAGACGTGGCGGAAACGGTTTTGTTAACACCCGCCGCAATAACCAATCCTGAAAGCGCTTCGTCCTCGTTCGCTATAGTATCACGAGCCTGGGCAAGTTCGTGCTCAGATCGCACATCGCATGCAATGAATTTGCACCTTGAACCCAGTTCCGCTTCCAACTCTCCCCCGCGATGTTTGTCTATGTCCAGAACGAAAACCTTGTGTTCTTGCGCCATGTGCCTGGCAATTTCAGAGCCAATGGCCCCCGCACCACCTGTTATTGCCAAACTCATTGCGCACCCCTGATAACCAAGAACAATTGTATGGCAAATCCAATCAGCCAAACGAAATGGTAAAGTCTAAAAAGATTAGCCGTCGCGAATTGCCAAGGACCTGAAAGCGACCGTTTATGGGCCGAAATCAGTGAATATCCGACCGTAGCTTCGAGCTCGACGGCGCGTCGTTTGAAATTCATCATTTCATTGAAGAGAAACACTTCGTTGAGAAGGCCGACAAGAGCCATTCCCACTCCAATCAGCGGTAATAACCACGACGGCGCGCCTTGGAAGACCGCGCTGGACGTGTTTGCAGCAATCACGGCTGCATGGGCAGCCGACGCGAAAAGAAGGCCCTGCCTACGAAATCTAGCCCACTGTATCCATAGATTTATGGATTCTCTGTATTCAACATGCTCAGGAAGAAAATTGTAATTTGCCGCTGTATTTCCTTCTTTATCTCCGGTTGGATCCGTTGCACTTGAAGCCTTATCGCCGACTTTGGCTTTTTTGGTGTTTGCGGTCACAGCGCGCCCCCTTTCTTTTTAAAAATAGTGTCGTATCGCCAATCAAACAAGTATCTGAACAAGCGTACCGATTTTCTCCGGGCCGTCTTCGCCCCATACTTAGTGCGGCCTCCACGGTCGACATCTCTCCGAGGCCGTTCGACTCACCCGTTTTGTCCTGCCCATGGAGTGGGTCTTGCTGCTGGATGGCCGGCGCGGCGTCGGCAAGACCTGCGCGGCGATCCGCCGGGCGGAGCGCGGGGGCGCGCCTTCTTTCAAATCGCCGCGAAGGGCCAATTGGGTCCATTGCCCGCCTTGGCCTCCCGTTTCCGGTTGTCCCTGTGACAAGCACAGCGATGACGGCGGTAACGGTCACCCACCCCCTACCGCGGCACCAACCGTGTCACATGGCCCATCTTGCGGCCGGGGCGGGTTTCGCGCTTGCCGTAATCGTGGACGCGGACGGCGCCGTCGGCGGCCCATTGGGGCAGCTTGGTGATGTCGTCGCCGATCAGATTGGTCATCACGCAGTCTGAATGGCGGTAGCTCTCGGCCAGCGGCCAGCCGGAAATGGCCCTTATGTGCTGTTCGAACTGGCTGACCGAACAGGCCGCTTCCGTCCAGTGGCCCGAATTGTGCACGCGCGGCGCGATCTCGTTGCCGATCAGCCGTCCGTCTTCCATGACGAAGAATTCGAGCGCCAGCGTGCCGACATAGCGCAGCCGGCTGGCGAGCGCGCGGGTCTTTTCCATCGCGTCGGCCATGACGATGGAATCGAGGCCGCACGGCACGGTCGAGCGGGCGAGGATGCCGCCCTCATGATCGTTGCGGGCGGGCTCGAACTCGTGGGTTTCCCCGTTCCGTCCGCGCGTGACGATGACGGAGATCTCGCAGTCGAACCCGGCCAGCGCCTCCAGTATGGCCGGCGCGCCGCCGATCGCGTCCCAGGCCTCCTCGGGTGTCGGATCGCTGTCGCCGCCGAACCGGATCTGGCCCTTGCCGTCATAGCCGAAGCGGCGCGTCTTGAGGATGCCGCGCCCGCCCATGTCGGCGAGCGCCATGGCAAGCTGCGGCGCACCGTCGATGGCATGGAAATCGACCGTCTCGATGCCGGTCTCGCGCAGGAAGGTCTTTTCGGTCAGCCGGTCCTGGGTGACGCGCAGCGCCCAGGCGTCCGGATGGACGGGCACCTTGCCGGACAGGTGCTCGAGGGCGCCCAGATCGATGTTCTCGAACTCGAAGGTGACGACGTCGCAGAGTGCAGCCAGCCGGTCGAGCGCGTCCAGATCGTCATAGGCGGCGGCGATGTGCCGGTCGGAAAAGCGGGCGGCGGGGCAGTCTTCATTGGGATCGACGACGATGACGGAAAAGCCGAGCCGGGCGGCGGCTTCGGCGAGCATGCGGCCGAGCTGGCCGCCGCCCAGAAGGCCGATCGTCGCGCCGCGCTGGAGCATCAGGCCTCGTCCGCCGGATACAGCGCCACCTTGTCCGATTGCGCTTCGCGCCACGCGTCGAGCCGCTCACGCAGCGCATCGTCCGAGTTGGCAAGAATCGAAGCGGCCAGAAGGCCGGCATTGGCCGCGCCCGCTTCGCCGATCGCCAGGGTGCCGACGGGAATGCCGGCCGGCATCTGGACGATGGACAGAAGCGAATCCCGACCCGAAAGCGCGCGGCTCTGCACCGGCACGCCGAGCACCGGCAGCGAGGTGAAGGCGGCTGTCATGCCGGGCAGGTGCGCGGCGCCGCCGGCCCCGGCGATGATCACCCTGAAGCCTTCGGCGCGCGCGCCCTTGGCGAATTCGACCAGCCGGTCGGGCGTGCGGTGGGCGGAGACGATGCGCGCCTCGTGGCCGACTTCCAGCGTGTCGAGAATGTCGGCGGCGCGGCGCATGGTCGGCCAGTCGGACTGGCTGCCCATGATGATGGCGACGTCTTTGCGGCTCATGGCGGCGGACGGGTGCTCCCGGTGGGTGTCGTCAGGCGATGATGTCGGGGATGATCTGGTCCTCGACCTTCTGCAGCCGGTCCTTGATGGCCAGCTTCTTCTTTTTCATGCGCTGGATTTGCAGCGGATTGCAACCGGTCTTGATCATCGCCTCGATGGCGGCGTCGAAATCGGTGTGATCCTGCTTGAGCTTGGCGAACTGCATGCGCAGTTCGGCCTGGTCCTGGTCGGAGGGTGTCATCGGCACCTTGTGCTGTGCGGGGAGACGGGAAGGCGGCCCATATCACACTATGACATGTAATAAAATGCTACACCGGGCCATTCGACAGCCCCCCATTTTCGTGGCACGATTTGCCGGTTCGCGGAACGATGAAGGAGGAGCTACATGTCACTTGACGGTCATCTCGACGCCCTTCGGCGCAAGCACGGCGCGTTGGAAAACGAAATCAACGACATGCTGACCCGCCCGGCGCCAGACGAGTCGCAGCTCACGCGCCTGAAGCGGGAAAAACTCCGTCTGAAGGACGAGATCGAGAAGATCACTGCGCAGACGCACCACTGACACCACACAGCATTTTTTGTCCGCGCGGAGCGGCCTGCGGTTCATTCACAAGCATCGCTTGTGGATAAGGCGGATGGGTTCACTCGGCCCAGAACTGGTCGAGCCAGAGGTTCAGCGACATGAAGCCGTTGTCCTGGACCGAATAGATGCGCCGCGTGCCCTCTGCCCGGGCATGGACAAGGCCGGCATCGAGCAGAACCCGCAAATGCTGCGAGACCGCCGGCCGCGAGATCGGCAGGCCCGTCGCCAGTTCGCCGACCGTCTTGGCGCCGCGCCTTAGCTCTTCGAGCAGGTGGCGGCGGTTCGGATCGGCGATCGCTTCGAACGGGTCGGTTTTCATGCTGCATGTGTAAGGCTGATCTTACCGCAGTGCAAGATAAATGCTGCAATGCAGCATAATACCTTGGCAGTGTACGGCCGGCGATGCGCATTTGCATCGGCCATCGCGCTGCCGTAATCGGGTGATTGCTGATCCGCCGACACGCCACCATCGGACCGACCATGCCGACCCAGGACATTGTGGACAATCGCTGCCGCCTCGTGCTGGTGACGCCGGCCGACCATGCGGCTGAAGATCTGGCGCGCCAGCTCGCCGCAGCGGGCGGGGGCGGCGATGTGGCGAGCGTGATCGTGCCGCAATACGGGCTCGATGAGGACGCCTATCAGGCCTTGCTCGAAACGGTGGTGCCGGCAGGACAGGCGATCGGCGCGGCGGTGATCGCCGCCGGCGAAGCGCGGATTGCCGCACGCGCCGGCGCCGACGGAATTCATGTGCGCGGCGACGCGGCCACGGTTGCGCGGGCGATGGACGAGCATGGCGGCCGCTGGATCGTCGGCGCGGAGGCCGGCAAGAGCCGGCACGGGGCACTGGAGGTGGGCGAGGCGCGGCCCGATTACGTCTTCTTTGGCCGGCTTGGCGCCGACACCCACCCCGAGCCCCATGCCGGTGCGCTCGAAAACGCGGCATGGTGGGCGGAGTTCGTCGAGGTGCCGGCGGTGCTGATGGGCGGGCACGATCTCAACCATCTGGACCGGGCCGCAGCCTCGGGCGCCGACTTCGTGGCGCTGTCGCATGCCGTTCTCGGCGCCGACGCCGACGCGGAAGCGTCCGTGCGCGCGGCCAACGAGATCCTGTCGCGCCACGTGTTTGCGGAGGCGGTGTGAGACATCGTCCGCGCCAGACCCGTTACGCCATGGCCGTGCTGCTGGTGCTGGCGGCGGGCAATTCCGCATCGGCCCAAGACGATCCCCCGCCGGGGCGCTTTGCCGCGCCGTCCGCCGAGCAGGAGGCCGTAACACCGGGTGTGCGCCTTCCGGCGACGCCGGCACCTTCGCGCTTCGGCGCGCCCGATCCCGATCCCGCCTATGGCGCCTTCCAGCGCGGCCTGTTCCTGACGGCGCGCAACCTGGCCCTGCCGCGCGCCGAGGACGGCGATGCCGCCGCGCAGACACTGCTCGCCGAGATCTATGCGCGGGGGCTGGGCGTCGCGGTCGATTTCGACGAGGCGCGCAAATGGTATGCGCAGGCCGCCCGCCAGGGCGTGCCCGAAGCGCAGCTGCAGATGGCGCTGACGCTGCTTTCGGAGGATGAAGGGTCCGAGGAAGCGCGCTCGCTGATGAAGGCGGCAGCCGATGCCGGCCACGGCAAGGCGATGTTCAACCATGCGCAGCTCCTTTTGAGCGACCGGCCCGGCGCGTCCGGCCAGCGCGCCGCGTTCGACTATTTCCGGCGCGCGGCTGAGGCCGGCATTGCCGATGCGCAATATGCCATGGCGCAGTATTATGTGCAGGGAACGCCGCCGGTCTTTTTCGACGATGCCGAAGCCCGCACATGGCTGGAGAAGGCCGCACGCCAGGGGTTTGACAGCGCCCAGCGCGAACTGGGGCTGATGCTGCTGGAGGGGACGGGCGGACCGCGCGACCGCGAAGCGGGCTATCTGTGGACGGCGCGGGCCGCCCATTCGGGCAATGTCGCCGCCCAGGCGCAGATCGCCAAGCTGTTGTGGACAGGGATCGGCGTTGCGCCCGACGACACCCAGGCGGCGGCCTGGTACGTTCTGGCGCGCCGTGCCGGCCTGCGCGATCCGGTGCTCGAGGATTTCTGGCTGGGGCTTTCGCCACAGACCCAGCAGGAAGCGATCGGCCGGGCCAACCGGCTGCGCGCGCGCTGACCGACCAGGGGCCGGCGGTCTTGCAACCACTGGCCAAGTATGGTCTTGGAAGCCGCAACAGGGCGCCGTCGCCGGCGCTTGCGATTTCAGGTGAAAAACGAATGAAGATGAACGGCAACGAGATCAAGCCGGGCAATGTGATCGAGCACAATGGCGGGCTTTGGGTGGCGGTGAAGACCAATGCGGTCAAGCCGGGCAAGGGCGGTGCGTTCAACCAGGTGGAGCTGAAGAACCTGATCGACGGCACCAAGCTGAACGAGCGTTTTCGTGCGTCGGAAACCGTCGAGCGGGTGCGGCTCGAACAGAAGGACTACCAGTTCCTCTATGCCCAGGACGACGCGCTGGTCTTCATGGATTCCGAGACATACGAGCAGCTCGAACTGCAGGCCGATTTCGTCGGCGACCGCGCCGCGTTCCTGCAGGACGGCATGACGGTCACGGTGGAGCTGCACGAGGAACGGCCGATCGGCGTGTCGCTGCCCGACCAGGTGACGCTGGAGATCGCCGAGGCCGATCCGGTGGTCAAGGGACAGACGGCGACCTCGTCCTACAAGCCCGCGGTTCTGGAAAACGGGGTGCGGGTTATGGTGCCGCCCTTCATCACGGCGGGCGAGAAGATCATCGTCGCCACCGACGACATCACCTATGTCCGCCGCGCCGACTAGGCGGCAGGCGTTCCCGAACCCGATCTGAAAGGCCCGCCATGGCGCGCTCGGCACTGATGAACGTGATGGTCCAGGCGGCGATGAAGGCCGGCCGGGGCCTGGCGCGCGATTTCGGCGAGGTGCAGAACCTCCAGGTGTCCGTGAAGGGGCCGGGCGATTTCGTCAGCCAGGCCGACCGCAAGGCCGAAAAGACGATCTATGAGGAATTGCGCCGCGCGCGGCCCGACTATGGCTTCCTGATGGAGGAGAGCGGCGTCGTGGAGGGCGGCGACAGCCAGCACCGCTGGATCATCGATCCGCTGGACGGCACGACCAACTTCCTGCACGGCATCCCGCATTTCGCCGTGTCGATCGCGCTCGAACGGCAGGGCCAGCTTGTCGCCGGTCTCGTCTTCAACCCGGTGACCGACGAACTCTATTCCGCCGAACGGGGCGGCGGCGCCTATCTGAACGACCGGCGCCTGCGGGTCGCGGCCCGGCGCCGCCTGTCGGACTGCGTGGTCGGCTGCGGCGTGCCGCATCTGGGCCGGGGCGATCATGGCGAATTCCTGATCGAGTTGCGTCATGTGATGGGCGACGTGGTCGGCGTGCGCCGGCAGGGGTCCGCCGCGCTCGATCTGGCCTATGTGGCGGCGGGCCGTCTGGACGGCTATTGGGAGCGGCATCTGTCGGCCTGGGACATGGCGGCGGGCATCGTTCTGGTGCGCGAGGCGGGCGGTTTTGTCACCGATCTTGCAGACGGTCATGACATGTTCGGGCGTGGCGATGTGATCGCCGGCAACGAGGTGGTGCGGCGCGACCTTGCCGCAGCGGTTCGCCGGCCCTTCAAGACGTCGAAAAGCGCCGCCGCGCCTTAACCATGGGCGGTTTCCGGCGCGCGCGGAACCTTTCATTTTCGCCATAGTTGCCATTAAGATCGCGCCGGGTGAGGCCGGTTGCGGCCGGAGAGCGACGGGAGACACGTCCAATGAATGCCCCCGCGGCAGATGAGGCGGCGACCACGGCGCGGCGCAGGTTCGATCCGTACCGGCTGTCCAATCCGCAAGTGTTCCTTCTTTCGATGATCATCTTTCTGGTGATCGTCGGCTTTCTGGCGGCGATCCTTTACCGCCAGGTCTCCGGCGCCTTCATGACCAATCCGGGCCTGAACGGGCTGATCCTGGGCGTTCTTGCCGTCGGCATCGTGCTGGTCTTCATGCAGGTCACCCGGCTCTTCCGCGAGGTTGCCTGGGTCAACTCGTTCAAGGCCGGCGACACGGCCAAGGCATCGCGGCGCGAGCCGCTGCTGCTGGCGCCGATGAAGGCGATGCTCAGCGGTCGCCAGTCGGTGGCGCTGACCACGCTTTCCATGCGCTCGATCCTCGATTCGATCGGCACGCGGCTCGATGAATCGCGCGACATTTCGCGCTACCTGATCGGCCTTCTGGTGTTTCTGGGCCTGCTCGGCACGTTCTGGGGCCTTCTGGCGACGATCGGCTCGATCGGCGCGACGATCCAGGCGCTCGATCCGGGCACGGGCGACACCAACGACATCCTCGATTCGCTGAAGGCCGGGCTCAGCGCGCCGCTGGAAGGCATGGGCACGGCGTTTTCCTCGTCCCTGTTCGGCCTTTCGGGGTCGCTCGTGCTGGGCTTTCTGGACCTGCAGGCGGGCCGCGCGCAGAACCGGTTCTACACCGAACTGGAAAACTGGCTGTCGTCGGTCACCTGGGTGGAAGAAGGCGGCGTTGCGCTGCCGTCGGGCGATGCCGAACAGCTTGCCGCCCTGACCCGGCAGATCGCGACGATGCGCGATGCGCCGGCCAGCAGCCCGCGCCAGGCCGAGGCCCTGGCAAGCCTTGCCGAGGGCGTCAACGGCCTCGTCAAGTCGATGCGCGGCGAGCAGCAGATGATGCGCGACTGGGTGGACGCGCAGGCGCGCGACCAGAAGGTGACGCGCGAGACGCTCGACCGGCTGGCCAAGGTGCTCGCCAAGCTCGAGAAAGGCGCATAGGCCGTGGCGCTGGCACGATCGCGGCGCCGGGCGGCCGGCGTCGATTACTGGCCGGGTTTCGTCGATGCGCTGTCGACGCTGCTGCTGGCGATCATGTTCCTTCTGTCGGTGTTCGTCTTGGCGCAGTTCCTCCTGAGCCGCGAGATCACCGGGCGCGACCAGGTGCTCAACCGGCTCAATGCGCAGATCAACGAACTCACCCAGCTTCTGGCGCTCGAACAGTCGGACCGGCAGGACGCCGAGGACCAGCTTCAGGGCCTGCGCGCCTCGCTTGCCGCGGCCGAGGACGACCGGTCGCGGCTGCAGCAATTGCTCGATGCCGGTGCCGGCCAGGACGAGGAGGCGCGCTCGCGCATCGGTGCGCTGAGCGGCGAGTTGGAAGAAGAACGCGTCGTCAGCCAGCGGGCACTCAGCCAGGTCGAACTGCTCAACCAGCAGATCGCCGCGCTGCGCAGCCAGATCGGCGCGCTGGAAGCCGCGCTCGATGTCTCCGAGGAGCGCGATGCCGAGGCGAGCGCGAAGATCGCCGATCTCGGGCGGCGGCTGAATGTGGCGCTGGCGCAGCGCGTGCAGGAGCTCAACCGCTACCGCTCGGACTTTTTCGGCCGGCTGCGCGACATTTTGTCGGACCGCGAGAACATCCGCATCGTCGGCGACCGGTTCGTCTTCCAGTCCGAAGTGCTGTTCTCGTCGGGCCAGACGGAGATCAACGCGGCGGGCCGCGAGGAACTGGCCAAGCTCGCCGGCGCGCTGCTCGACCTTGAAGAGGAAATCCCCGACGAGATCGCCTGGGTGCTGCGGGTCGACGGGCACACGGACGACATCCCCTTGTCCGGTACCGGGCGGCTGCGCGACAACTGGGAACTGTCGACGGCGCGCGCCACCTCGGTGGTCAAACTGCTGATCGAGGAGGGCGTGCCGCCCAACCGGCTTGTCGCCGCCGGCTTCGGCGAGTTCCAGCCGCTGGAGCCGAACGCCTCCGCCGAAGCCCGCGACCGCAACCGCCGGATCGAACTGAAGCTGACGGAGAGGTAGGGGGCGGCACCGCGCATCATGTGTCGGACAGGCGCGCGACGATTGCCTCGACCTTGCCAATCACCATCCGGGCCTTTCGCGATCCTTCCGCATGGCCGCCCTCCCGCAAGACCTGTTCGGCGGTGCGCGGTACATCGAGCGCCGACTTGGCCATTGCCGGCGATTTCGAGAGCGCGAAGCAACCCGCCTCAGGTCAGCTCCTTCATCCCCGTTGGTGTTTCGATCCGCGCCCGGTAGCGGATCTGGGGGCCCTTGATGATCTTCGGTGGACGGTCGATGCAGAGAGCATTCAGAAATGCGGCGAGGGCGACCGGTTCCGGGTGCTCAAGCGACCATGAGTGGAGACGCGCGCCAAGATCGGGAATGACCGCCATCGATGTCGGATCGCCGCGATGGTCGATGATCGACGGGGCCGCGCCGTCAAGCGGCAGCGCGCCATCGGGCGGGATCGTAAAACCGAAGGCCGGCTCCTCGGTCGGCAGGGACACTTCTTCGCCGAAGACCGTCGGATGACTGGAAAGGACCGAAGCGAGGTTTTCAGCGTTCGCCACCCAGCCGCGCAAGCGCCGACCTTCCGACCAATCTGTCCTTACCTTGTCCTGATCGTCGAGTCCGAACCAGCGAGGCCGGCCGGGATCGCTTCCCATCGGGTCGCGTGCGACGATCTCCAAATAGACCGAACCGCCGAGTTGAAGCCGGTGATTGTGGGTCCCCATATAGTCATGACGCGTTCCGAACGGCACCTCGATGCCGAGGCAATCGCGCACATGGGCCACCCCGTCGGCGAGCGTGGGGGCGATCACGGTGATGTGGTCGAGCTTCAGCATGTCACGCAATGGCATGGCACAGGTAACGCCCCGGTCAAAGCGATGTCCTGCCGCCAAAATCCTCGAACCGGGCCGTCGTCTCGGTCAGTTCCGCCTCGTAATGGTCGATCATCGGCATCGCCACGGGCTCGATCCGCCGGTTCCAGACCGGCCCGCCATAAAAGCCGTCCTTGATCCTGTCGCGCTCTTCCAGCGACGAAAATGCCCGCATCCAATGCACCTTGTCAGGGTTTTCCAGATCCCGCAGTGGCCCGAAGACCAGCATGCCGGCGTCGCGCAGGGCGGGCCGGTTCTTGCGCTCGAAGAAGTCGATGAACGCCTCGCGGCGACCGGGATGCAGCGTGTAGTGGCGGATTTCGATGATCATGGCGTCGGCCTGACTGGCGCGTGTGCAGCGTCGGGTTTCGGTCAGGGCCGCGATCATGCCGCCCGTTCGGCGCCGAACTGCAGTTCGGCAAGGCGGGCATAGACGCCGTCCTTCTTCGACGACAGGCTGGCGTGATTGCCTTCCTCGACGATGCGCCCACGGTCCATGACGAGGATGCGGTCGGCCTTGCGGATGGTGGCGAGGCGGTGGGCGATCACCAGCGTCGTGCGGCCTTCCATCAGCGTTTCGAGCGCCTTCTGGACCAGCGTTTCGCTTTCCGCGTCGAGCGCCGAGGTGGCTTCGTCCAGCAGCAGGATCGGCGCGTCGCGCAGGATCGCCCGGGCGATGGCGACGCGCTGGCGCTGGCCGCCCGACAGCGTCACGCCGCGCTCGCCCACTTCGGTGTCGTAACCGTTGGGCAGTTCGGAGATGAAGCCGTGCGCCTGGGCGGCCTTGGCCGCCTCGGTAATCTCCGCGCGTGTGGCGCCGGGCTTTCCGAAGCCGATATTGTCGGCCACCGAGCCCGACAGGATGGTCACGTCCTGGGGGACGATCGCCATGCGGCGGCGCGCCTCGGTGAGGTCTGCCCGGCGCAGATCGACGCCGTCGACGCGCACAATGCCGGCCTGTGGATCGTACTGGCGCATCAACAGCGCGAAGATGGTCGATTTGCCCGCGCCGGACGGGCCTACGATGGCGACGGTTTCGCCCGGCGCGATCGAAAAGCCCAATGCGTGCGCCGCGCTGTCGTCGGGCCGCGTCGGATAGGCGAAGGTGACTTCGTCGAAGCCGACCGTACCGAGCGGTGGGTCGGGCAGGGGCTCGGGGTTTGCCGGCGAGGCGATCAGCGGGTCCTCACCGAGCAGTTCGGTCAGCCGCTCGGCGGCGCCGGCGGCCTGCTGTATTTCGCCCCAGACCTCCGACAGGGCGCCCAAGGCGCCTGCGGCGAACACCGCGTAAAGGAGGAACTGGCCGAGCGTGCCCGGCGACATGGTCCCGGCGAGAACGCCCTGCGCGCCGATCCACAGGACGGCGACGACCGACGAGAAGATCAGGAAGATGGCAAAGGCGGTAAGCCCGGCACGGGCGCGCACGGCCAAACGCGCGGCGCCGAACGCCCGGTCGACTGCGCCGCCGTAAAAGCGCCCGGCAAACAGTTCGTTCGTAAAGCTCTGGAAGGCTCGCACGGCGCCGATCGCCTCGCTGGCATAGGCGGAGGCATCGGCAAGCGTGTCCTGTGCGGCGCGCGAGCGCTTTCGCACGCGGCGGCCGAAGACGATGATCGGCAGCACGATCAGCGGAATGGCGCCGACGACAAGGCCCGACAGTTGCGGGCTGGTGACGATCATCATGATCAGCGCGCCGAACCCGAGGATCGTGTTGCGCAGGGCGAGCGAGGCGGTGGCGCCGACGGCGGACTTGATCTGGGTGGCGTCTGCCGTCAGCCGCGAGACGATCTCGCCCGACCGGGCGGTGTCGTAGAAGGCCGGCGACAGCGTCATGACGTGCGCGAAGACATCGCGGCGCAGGTCGGTCACCACGCGCTCACCCAGAATGATGACGAAATAGTAGCGCATGGCGCTGGCGATCGCGAGCAGCACCGCGATGATGATCATCATCGAGAAATACTGGTTGATCAGCGCCGCATCGTTGCCGGAAAAGCCGTAATCGATCATCCGGCGCACGGCGAGCGGCAGCGCCAGCGTCGTGCCGGCGGCCAGAAGCAGGAAGAAGGCCGCGCCGGCCAGAAGGCCCTTGTAGCGCAGCATGTAGGGCAGGATGCGCGCCAGCGGGCGCAGCGACCGCGCCGCCGTCTCTTGGTGTGCCGAAGGCCCCTGTTGCACTGCCGTTTGAGCTGTCGTCTGCCCGCTCATTGATACCCCGATCTTCCGGCGGTCCCTGCCGCGCCTAATGCGGCCTGCCGCTCTTGTTTGCCGTGCCGCGCTGGTGTATAGCGCCGGCCATGCTTTTTGAAGCCGTGGGCCGGGCGTTCACGGCTTTTCCTTTCCAAAACCGGCGGCGATGATCAACGGTCGATTTCGCCACACCACTTTAGACGGACAAGACGATGAAAGCCGACATCCATCCCGACTACCACATGATCAAGGTCGTCATGACCGACGGCACCGAATATATGACGCGTTCGACCTGGGGTTCGGAGGGCGACACGCTCAACCTCGACATCGACCCGACCTCGCATCCGGCCTGGACCGGCGGCCAGCAGGGACTGCTCGACCGCGGCGGCCGCGTCTCCAAGTTCCAGAAGCGCTATGAGGGCCTGGGCATCTGAGCCCCGCCCTTCCGCTGGCCTTGCCCCAACAAAAAACCCCGGCTCCGGCCGGGGTTTTTTGTTGGGGCAAGGCCCTCACGGATACCGGCACCAATCAAAACCCCGCCGGGAAGGCGGGGTTCTGTGCGATCGTCAGGGCGTTTGCGGTTCCATGCCCGGATCGGGCTCGTCGCCCTTGCCGCGTGAGGGACGCTTGGCAGCGCCCGTCTTGGGCACGGCTGAACCGCGCGAGGGCGGCGTGTCGTCGCCCATGTCGCGCGAGGGCTTCTTGCCGGCCAGCAGTTCCTTGATCTCGTCGCCCGACAGCGTCTCATATTCCAGCAGGCCCTCGGCGAGCGTGATCCAGTCCTGTTTCTTGTCGGTGAGGATGTTCATCGCGGTCTTGTAGGCCTCGTCGATCAGCTTGCGCACCTCGGCGTCGATCGTCTCGGCTGTCGCCTCGGACATGTTCTGCGTCTGGGCGACGGAATGGCCCAGGAACACTTCCTGCTGGTTCTCGCCATAGGCGACCTGACCGAGTTCGTCCGAAAAGCCCCACTGTGTGACCATGGCGCGGGCGAGCTTGGTGGCCTGCTCGATGTCCGAGGAAGCGCCCGAGGTGATGTTCTCCTTGCCGAACTTGATCTGCTCGGCGGCGCGCCCGCCCATCATGATCGCAAGGCGCGAGATCATGTATTTGTAGCTCATCGAATAGCGGTCGCCCTCGGGCAGCTGCATGACCATGCCGAGCGCGCGGCCGCGCGGGATGATCGTCGCCTTGTGGACCGGATCGGCAGACGGAACGTTGAGCGCGAGGATCGCATGGCCGGCCTCGTGATAGGCGGTCAGCGTCTTTTCCTCCTCGGTCATGGCGCTCGACCGGCGCTCTGCGCCCATCATCACCTTGTCCTTGGCATCCTCGAATTCGAGCATGGTGACCAGCCGCTTGTTGCGGCGCGCCGCCATCAGAGCGGCCTCGTTGACCAGATTCATCAGGTCGGCGCCGGAAAAGCCGGGCGTGCCGCGCGCGATGACTTTCAGATCGACGTTCGGCGCCAGCGGCACGTTGCGGACGTGCACCTTGAGGATCTTTTCGCGGCCGACAATGTCCGGGTTCGGCACCACGACCTGACGGTCGAAGCGGCCCGGGCGCAAAAGCGCCGGGTCGAGCACGTCGGGCCGGTTGGTCGCGGCGATCAGGATGATCGACTCATTGGCTTCGAACCCGTCCATTTCGACCAGAAGCTGGTTCAGCGTCTGCTCGCGTTCGTCGTTGCCGCCGCCAAGGCCTGCGCCGCGATGCCGGCCGACTGCGTCGATCTCGTCGATGAAGATGATGCAGGGCGAGTTTTTCTTGGCCTGCTCGAACATGTCGCGGACACGGCTCGCGCCGACGCCGACGAACATCTCGACGAAGTCCGAACCGGAAATGGTGAAGAAGGGCACATTGGCTTCGCCGGCGACCGAACGCGCCAGCAGCGTCTTGCCGGTTCCGGGCGGGCCGACGAGCAGCACGCCGCGCGGGATCTTGCCGCCGAGGCGCTGGAATTTCTGCGGATCGCGCAGGAATTCGACGATCTCTTCAAGGTCCTGCTTGGCCTCGTCGACGCCGGCCACGTCGTTGAAGGTGACGCGGCCATGCGCCTCGGTCAGCAGCTTGGCCTTGGACTTGCCGAAACCCATGGCGCGCGAACCGCCGCCCTGCATCTGGCGCATGAAGAAGATCCAGACGCCCAGAATGATGATCATGGGCAGCCAGGACAGGAGCACGGCCATGAAGGAGTTGGAGCCGTCGGACTCGGGGCGGGCACGGATTTCAACGCCGCGATCCTCGAGCCGCGCCACAAGTTCGGGATCGCCCGGCGAGAAGGTCTGGAAGGTGGCGCCCGTGTCGCCATAGGTGCCGACGATCTGCTCGCCCTGGATGGTCACCGACTCGACGCGGCCATTGGCGACATCCTGCAGGAACTGCGTGTAGGACACGTCGCGCGCGGCGGCGGTGTCGCTCGGTGCCTGGAACATGTTGAACAGGGCGACAAGCATGAGGGCGATGATCGCCCACAGGGCAAAATTGCGGTAATTGGGGTTCATCAAATGCTTCCCTTGGGCGCCGGTCGGCGGCGCGTGCCGTGACATTGCAGGGAAGATAGGTTTCCGCGCCCGATTTGCCAAGGCAAACCGGGCCCGATGCGACCATTCTGCCCCACGGTTTCAGCTTTTGGTGAACGGCGGCGGCGGGAAGGGCGGCGCTTCGTGCAGCCGCGCCAGCGCATCGGCGAGCGGCCAGTCGGCCGATGGGAGCAGGGTCTCGAAGCAGCGATCGCCCGCCGCCCGGCGGTTTCGCGGTTCGGGTGCGATCGTCACCGCGCCGCCGGTTTTTTGCAGCCGGCATCCGGCCAGCGTCAGCGCCGTGCCGTTCGGTGCGGTGCGGCAGAAGGCGAGCGTTCTTTCGGCCCGCGCGGCATCGGCGATGCGCGGCAGGCGGCCGGTCCAGGCCAGTTCGGCGGCCATGGCGGCCGTCGGCCCGGCGGCGGGCAGGCTGGCCGCGCTGGCGGGCATGAAGCGACTGCCGTCCCCGGTCTTTTGCCAGATCGTCCGGTCGTCGAGGCAGGCGGCTCCATCCATGGCGTCCCTGCGCCGGCGTTCCATCTGTTGCGCGGCACCGGTAAGCAGGACGTTGCGCCGTGCCGGATCGCGCGCGAGGTCGGCCCGCACCCGAACGCGCTCGAAGCGCCGGTCGTCATTGGAGGGATCGTCGATCCAATCGTGGCCGCGCGCCGTCAGCCAGTCCCGCAATTCCTGCCGTCCGAGGTCAAGCAAGGGCCGCACGAACCAGACGCGGCGGGCGCTGAGCGCGGCTTCGTCTATTCCCGCCAGTCCCCGGCCGTCATCGGCCCGCGCGGCGCGCATGGCCACCGTCTCGGCCTGGTCGTCTTCGGTGTGCCCGGTCAGCACGACGGCGCTTTGCTGCCGGACGGCCAACTCGGTGAGAAGCGCGTAGCGGGCGTGCCGCGCCGCGCTCTGGACGCCGGTGCCCGGTTTTGCCCCAGCCCAGCGCAGCGTCACATGGTCGATGCCGAGCGTGTCGCAGGTCCGGGCGACATGGCGCGCTTCGTCGGCGCTTGCCGCGCGCAGGCCATGGTCGACCGTGGCCGCGAGAAGGCGGACATCGGGGCGATGGGCCGTGAAATGGCGCCGGGCCAAATGCAGCAGCGCCACCGAGTCGCCGCCGCCCGAGACCGCGAGGATCAATGTTGCATCGGCGGGCAGTGCGAGCCGGCCGAATGCCGCGCGCGCCCGGTCTTCGGCGGACGAGACCGTTGCGGTCGTGTCGGGTCGGGTCAGCACTGCGCCTTGGCGTACTCGGCCTGAATGCGCTGGCGCAGGCTGGCGGTCATTGACGGATGGGTGCGCAGCGCGTCGGCAAAAGTCACGCAGGCAATGTCGCGGTCGCCGAGCGCGGCCATGATCGTCCCGATCTTCAGCATGGTTTCGGCCGCCTTGCCGGCTTGAGGATGGCGCGCGCGCGTGTCGATGAAAATCTCCGCGGCATCCTCAAGCCGGCCCTGGGCCCGAACGCTTTCGCCCAGCCAGAAGCGGGCATCGGCGACCAGTGCGTCGTCCGGATAGAGCTCGACGAAGCGTTCGAACACCTGCTCGGCGAGCGCATAATCGCCGTTCAGCACATGGTTGTAGCCGGTCTTGTAGAGCGTTTCGGCATTGGCCGTCTCGGGGATCGCATTGGTCAGTTCACCGCCGATGGCGGCACCGATGCCGGTCTTAGAGAAATCGATACCGGCGCCGGAGACCGTCCCGCCCTGATCGATGGTCAGCGTGCCCAGATCGCGCGGCGCCGCGCCCTGCTGCGTGTCTTGAGCGATGCGCGGCGCCTTGTCCTGATCGGTCGATGCGACGGCGCTGCCGCCGCTCTGCGGTTCCAGCGCGCCCTGCTGCCGGTCCTCGAGCTGCTGCAGGCGGAACTCGTTGTCCTCCTGCTGGCGGCGCATCTGCTCCTGCATCTGCAGAAGCTGGAAATTCAGCTCCTCGAGCCGGCCGGTGAGCTGGCGCACCTGTTCCTCGAGCTGGAGAACGCGCGGATCGGTGATCTGCGCGGCGGCGGGCGCGGACCAGGCGGCAAGGCCCAGAAGGCACAGCGCCGGAAGGCCCCAAAGAATGTGTTTCGGTATGGTCAAGCTCGTTTTCCCCGATCGGAATGGCAATTTTTGCGACCTGCCGGCGTCATGCGCCGCCAGTGGGACGAAAATTTGGTGACGGGCGCCGCCGGGTCAACAAAAAAGCGGCCCCGGCACATGCCGGAGCCACCCTGTGGCATTCATGTATCAGTCCGGCGAAGCGCCGGACCGGTCAGCTTCCCTGACCGATCAGCACCGTGACGGCGCGCCGATTCTGGTTCCAGCACGAGGCGGCGTCGCAGGTGGCGACCGGGCGCTCCTTGCCGAACGAGATGGTGCGCAGGCGCGATCCGCTCACGCCGCGCGATTCCAGAAAGGCCTTGGTGGCGGCGGCGCGGCGGGCGCCGAGCGCGAGGTTGTATTCGCGCGTGCCGCGCTCGTCGGCGTGGCCTTCAATGGTGATCTGGTAGTTCGGATACTGGCCCAGCCACTGCGCCTGGCGGGCAAGCGTGGCCTGCGCATCGGCGCGGATCACCGAGGAATCGGTGTCGAAGAAGATGCGGTCGCCGACATTGACGGTGAAATCCTGGGTCGAGCCGGGCGCGGCGCCCGAAAGACCGAGATCTGCGGCGTTGTTCGGCAGGTTGTTGCGGTTCTGGGCGCAGCCGGTGATCGTCAGCGCCGCGAGGGCGACGATGATGGCGGCGCGCGCGGGACGCATGTGAGTTCGGCCCATGGCCAATACCTCTTGGTTCGAGACGGGATCGGCGGCATCCTAACGATGGCCGAAGTGTTTTGGTAACCCTGTTGGAGTTAACCGCCGTTTGAGGAAGACGGTTAACGAACCGTGTTTGAGGCGCTGAACGCGCCGCCGCCCGCGGTGCCGGTCAAATGCGGCAACAACGGGGCGGATGCGCTTTCCTCAACAGACCGCGATCACTCCAGAAGGGGCGACCATGCCGGATCGGACGCATAGCCCTCGACGGGTACGGGCTGCTCGTTGCGGCCGGTCAGATCGATCGAAAACAGCTGCGGTCCGCCGGCGCCGGCATTCTGGCGGAAGAACATCAGATAACGGCCATTGGGCGCCCAGGTCGGCCCTTCATTGTGGAAGCCGGTGGTCAGAATGCGTTCGCCGGAGCCGTCGGGCCGCATGACGCCGATCGAAAACTGTCCGCCGGACTGTTTGGTGAAGGCGATCAGATCGCCGCGCGGCGACCAGACCGGCGTCGAGTAGGAGCCGTTGCCGAACGAGATGCGGGTGGCCCCGCCGCCATTGGCGCCCATCACGTAAAGCTGCTGGCGGCCGCCGCGGTCCGATTCAAAGACGATGCGGCTGCCATCGGGCGAATAGGAGGGCGAGGTGTCGATCGAGGGCGAATTGGTCAGCCGCGTCGTGTTCCGCGAGCGCAGGTCCATCGCATAGATGTTGGCGTTGCCGTCGGGCTGCTGCAGGCTCATGACGACCTTCTGCCCGTCGGGCGAAAAGCGCGGGCTGAACGTCATGCCGGGAAAATCGCCGACCAGTTCGCGCTGCCCCGTTTCGAGTTGCAGAAGATAGACCTTCGGCTCGCCGCCGGCGAAATCCATGTAGGTGATTTCCTGGCGCGAGGGCGAAAAGCGCGGCGTCAGCACGATGTCGCCGCCCTGGGTGAGGTAGCGGTTGTTGAAACCGTCCTGATCCATGATGGCGAGGCGCTTGGTGCGGTTGTCGCGGGGCCCGCTCTCGGCGACATAGACGATGCGCGTGTCGAAATAGCCCTTCTCGCCGGTCAGCCGCTCGAAGATGGCGTCCGAGATGATGTGGGCGACGCGGCGCCAGTTGTCGCGGTTGGTGAAGAACTGTTCGCCGGTCATCTGTTCGCCGGCGAACGTGTCCCAGAGGCGGAATTCGGCGCGCAGCCGGCCGCCGCCTTCCTCGGTGACGCGGCCGGTGACGAGCGCCTGGGCGTTGATGACGCGCCAGTCCTCGAACCGCGGCGCGGCGTCGGGATTGGAGACCTGTTCGATGAAGGCGCCCTTGTCGACCGGCAGGAACAGGCCCGAGCGGCGCAGATTGTCGGAGACGACCTGGCTGATCTGCGCGCCGATGCCGTCGCCGGAGATGAAGTCGGTGACGGCGATCGGCAGCGGCTCGATATTGCCCTGGTTGATGTCGATCTCGACGAGCGCGCGGGCGGGCAGGGCGGTGGCCGCAAACAGTGCCATCATCGCCGCGAACAGGGCCGCCAGCCGGCCGGAACGGTGTGTCATCATCATGGTCAATCCTTTGGCTCAGCCATGGTTTGGCGACCGGTTAGGGGCGCTATGCGGCAGAGATGTGTCAATGGTGTGCGCGTCGCCGCGACAGGAAAATGGCTTAATCATCGCTCAGAACATGTCGCTGGGATCGAAATTGACCACCACGTCGCGCCAGGCGTCATATTTGTCGGCCGGCAGGCTGTAGCCGTTCATCCCGCAGCGGAGCACCGCGCGGCGCGCGCTCTCGTCGGCCTGGCGGTTGCCCGAACTGTTGGTGATCGAAGGCTGGCCTTCGACGCGGCCGGACGGGTCGAGCCGGAACCGCACCGAGACGCGCAGTTCGCCCGCATCGATGACGCCGGCGGGCGGGTTCCAGCAGGCCTGGATCTGGTTGCGCAGCGCGTCCATCTCGCTCTGGGTCAGCGTGGTGCCGCCGGTCGAGCGGTCGCCGCCGAGCGAGGCGGTCTGGTCGGACGAGGCGGCGCCGCCGCCCGACCCACGCTCGCGGTTGAGGAGATTGGCCACTTCGTCGGTGTCGGACTGGTCGTTGGTCTCCGGGGTCGTTGCGGCCTGTTCGCGCGGCGCCTCCTCATCCTGCCGGTTCGGGGTCTGGGCCGTCTGCGCGGGCGGGCGCTCGGGGCGCGCGGTCGGCGTCGGCAGATCCTGCGGCAGTTCGACAAATTCCGGCTCGGGCGCCGGTTCGGGCTCGGCCGCCTCGATCACCTCCTCGACCGGGTCGGGAGCGACCTCCTGTGCCGGCTCGGGCTCGGGCGCCAATTCTGTCGCCGGGGTCGAGGGTTCCTCCGGCTGCGGTTCGGCCACCGGCTCGGGTTCGGGGCGGTCGGCGGGAGCGGGGATCGGCGTCTCGACCGGTTCGGGCAGGCGCGCCTCCTCCACCTCGACGGGCTGCTGCTCCTCGGTTTCGGGCGTCGACTGGTCGCGTTCATTGTCGCCGACATTGACCGCTTCGGGCTCGGGCTCGTCCGGGGCTGCCGGTTCGGGCGCCGACGGGCCTTCGACGGGCGCATCCTGGGCGCCTTCCTGAACTTGCGTGATCTCCGCCAGGCTGACCAGTTCGACGGGCAGGGCCTCGACGTCGTCGACATCGAAGGAGGCCGGCGCGGACAGGGTGATCAGTCCCCATCCGAGCAGGAGCGCATGCAGCGTCGCCGATGTGGCAAGGCCTGCGCGCATCGGCCTACTGGTCCTGCTCTTGCAGGGTCACAAGGCCGAGATTGCGGTAGCCGGCCTGGTTGATGCGGCCCATGACGGCCATCACCGTGCCATAGTCGGTCACCCGGTCGGCGCGGATATAGATGCGCTCGTCATAGCCGGTCTGGGCGATGGCCTTGAGCCGGGGCACGACATCGTCGATGGCGATCTCGGTCTCCTGGATGAACACCTGACCTTCATCGTTGATCGAAATCGTGATCGGCTGGGTGTCCGAATTGAGCTGCTGGGCGCGGCTTTCGGGCAGGTCGATCGGCACGCCGACCGTCAGCAAGGGTGCGGCGACCATGAAGATGATCAACAGCACCAGCATCACGTCGACGAACGGCGTGACGTTGATCTCGGAAATCGGGCGTGCGGCGCGCGGACGGCGGTTGCGCCGGCGCCGCGAGACCCATCCGCCTGCATAGGTGGTCATGGCGGGCTCCTATTCGGCGGCCTGGCGCTGGCCCTGCGCGGCGCGCTCGTCGATCTGACGCGACAGGATGGCGGAAAATTCGTCGGCGAACGCTTCCATGCGCGCGCCGATCTTGCCGGCATCGTTGATCAGCTTGTTGTAGGCGACGAGCGCGGGAATGGCCGCGACAAGGCCGATGGCGGTCGCCAGAAGCGCTTCGGCGATGCCCGGCGCGACGACGGCGAGGTTGGTCGATTCCGACCCGGCGATGGCCTGGAACGAGGTCATGATGCCGATCACCGTGCCGAACAGGCCCACATAGACGGCGACCGAGCCGACCGAGGCGAGAAACCCCAGGCGGTTCTCCAGCCGCTCCATCTCGCGGCCAAGCGCCACGTCCATCGCGCGGTCGATGCGGCTTTGCAGGCTGATCGGCGATCGGGCGCCGCGCTCGAAAGATTTCTTCCACTCGCGCATGGCGGCGACGAACAGCGCGCCCATGCCGGACACCTTGCGGTCGGCCAGCGTGCGGTAGAGTTCCTCGAGCGACTGGCCGGACCAGAAGTTTTCCTCGAAGCGGGCCAGCTGGCGGCGCATGCGGGCATAGGCCATCGACTTGTCGATGATGATCGCCCAGGACCAGATCGAGGCGGCGAGCAGGCCGATCATCACCGCCTTGACGATCCAGCCCGCCTGCATGAACAGGCCGTAGATCGACATGTCGTGCGCGGGTGCGGCCAGCGGTAGCGTTTCCATGGTCGTTTCCTTGAATTCGAAGGGCCGGCGGGCGGATGGCCGACAGGGCAGCATCTTTTGCCTGAAGGCACCGGACCGGACATTTCCGGCTCGCCCTTTCAAGCAGAAATTCGGTCAAACGATGGCGGCCGCAAGGCTGCCTCCGTCCGCCCGCGTTCATAATCGGTTATCCTTAAGGATGGGTTAGGACAAGGTGCCGCCGAACAGCGCGACCCATTCGCGGGGCATGCGCTGCGGGCGCCCGCGGTCGTTGATCAGCGCGGCGGTGACCGAGGCGGTCAGGATCGGCGCGCCGTCGCGCAGGATCGTCTGCGCCATGACGATGCGCGCCTTGTGGAGTTCGGCGAGCCGGGTCTCGACGGTGACGATGTCGTCGATGCGCGCTGCGGCGCGGAAATCGATCTCCATGCGGCGGACGACCCAGAAGAGCGGCGTGTCGCGGCCGGCAAGCTCGGTGTGGTAGACGCCAAGGCAGCGCAGATAGTCCGACCGGCCCCGTTCGAGCAGTTCGAGATAGCGGGCATGGTAGACCGCGCCGGAAAAGTCGGTGTCGGCATAGTAGATGCGCGCCGTGAAGCGGTGGACGCCGTCCTCGACCGCGCCGTCGAGCGGCACGATGAGCGTGCCGCCGGATTTACCATTGTCGGCGTTTTCGCTCATGGGGGCGCGGGCTCCGTGATAGAAGGCGGGCTGTCCTCAATGGAAAATCGCCGCGATGATTGCAAGCCTGCGCGCCGCGCTGACCGTCCTGATAATCGTCTGCGCGCCGCCGGCGATGGCGGCGACATTCGAGGTGCGCCGGGCGATCGCCACCAATCTGTGGGTCGAATGGCCGGATGTTTCGCGCTGGAACGATGCCGACGTCATCGCCAACTTCCCCGAATGGCGGCGCCATCTGGGCCCGCAAGACTTCGCCGACCTGAAGGCGGCCGGCTACGACACGATCCGCATGCCGCTGGAGCCGGCCTTCTTCCTGCACGATGACGACCCCGGGCGGCTGAGCGACGTGCTTGCCGGCATGGACCGGGCGATCGCCACCATCCGGGGCGCGGGCCTGAAGGTGATCGTCGATCTGCACACCATTCCGCGCGGCACGGGCGACGACTATGTCGGCACGACGCAATTGCAGACCGACCCGGAGGCGTTCGACCGCTATGTCGATCTGGTGGCGCGGATTTCGGGCGACCTGTCGCGCTGGCCGGCGTCCATGGTGGCGCTCGAAGTTATCAACGAGCCGACGCTGAACTGCCATGATACGGGCGAACAGGCGCGCTGGCAGGCAAAGCTCGAACGGCTGCACGGCGCGGCGCGGGCGACCAATCGTAACATCACACTGGTCCTGACCGGCGCCTGCTGGGGCTCGGCGGAGGGGCTTGCCGCCGTCGATCCCGGACCGATCGACGATGCCAACACGCTGTGGAGCTTTCACGGCTACGAGCCGTTCTATGTCACCCATCAGGGCGCGACATGGGGCGGCGACATCGTCGCCCATCTGCGCGGCATTCCCTGGCCGCCCGACGCGGGCGGGGCGGCGGCTCTGGACGCGGCGGCCGCCGACAGCGCCGCGCGCATTCGCGCCGCGCTGAGCGGGCGCGACGAACGCCGGGCGCTCACCTATCTCGACGACAGTGTGCGGGAGATGCGGGCGATGGAGGATTCCGCCGATGCGCTGGCGCCGATGTTTGCGACGGCGGCGGAATGGGCCGACGAACACGGCATTGCGCGCGACCGCATCTTCATGGGCGAATTCGGCATGATCGGCCGCGAATGGGGCACCGATCTCGACGTGCCGGCGCAATACCGGCTCAATTACATGCGCGCGATGATCGGGCTGGCCGAGGCGCACGGCTTTTCATGGTCGGTCTGGTCCGTCGGCGGCGCGTTCGGGCTGATTCAGGGCTATGCGGGCGAACAGCTCGACCTGCCGCTCTACGACCAGCTGATCTGGACCCTGACGGATTAGGGGTTGGGGCGGCTACTCTGCAACCGGCCGGTCTGAGCCCGTACCTTCCAAACGCTGCAGCCGCGAACGTGCAACGGTTGCACCTTCAATATCGGGCTTCTAAGCTTCGAGCGTGCAACCGAAAGCAGTTCCCCTGTTTGTTCGCGGTACAGCGAGGCTGAGCACAGAAAAACCTTCCAGTGAACAGCCAACGTAACGCGGGAGTATCCGCACCGTTTACAGGAGGCTGACTTGAACATTTTTTCCCTTATTGCCCATCCTCGCACGAATAGTTTTTGTCATGCGATCTCGAAGGCTGCGCGCAATTGTTTGCAGGCTAACGGTCACACAATCATTCACCACGACCTCTACGCAGAAGAGTTTGATCCGTGCCTGAAGGCCTCAGAAGCTTACACTGTCGGCGACTCCTTGGAAGAGGCACTTCTGCGTTCCAAAGACCCTTTGATTCAAGAACATAGGAGTCAAATCAGTGAAGCAGAGGGGTTGCTCGTTGTGCATCCAAACTGGTGGGGAAAGCCCCCTGCGATCCTCGCCGGATGGATGGATCGTGTTCTCGTTCCTGGAGTCGCTTATCGCCTTGAAACTGCAGATGGCCGCCCAGAGGCTCTCTTGCATCTAAGGAGCGCCGTCGTCTTCAACACGTCCGACACCGATGCGGAAAGAGAGCGGCTCGAACTCGGAGATCCGCTGCAATCAATTTGGGCTCGTTGTGTTCTCCCTTATTGTGGAGCTAAGGATGTACAAAGGCATGTCTTTAGGCCGGTGGTGGGGAGCTCAGAAAAGCTTAGGAAAGACTGGCTTGAAGAAGCTGAAAGTGCCTGTCGGTCCGCCTTCAGGTCTTGAAGCGAAGATCAGCTTCGTCCGGATGGTGTTGACAAAGGCCGCTTGATCACCACTTCGGTGGCTGATTCAGTTTCCCAAGTGATTTGGGAGATTGCCGACGATGATGGGCCCGCGGAAGGAACCACAAGCAGCGCTGTTTTATGAGTTCAGCCTGGATCGGCATGTTCCGGCAGATCATGTGCTGCGCCGGATTGACCGATTTGTGGACCTCTCCGACATCCGCTCAGTTCTAGCACCCTACTACAGTTCCACCGGCCGCCCTTCGATTGATCCCGAACTGATGATCCGCATGTTGCTGGTTGGCTACTGCATGGGCATCCGGTCCGAGCGGCGCCTGTGCGAAGAGGTCCATTTGAACCTCGCCTATCGTTGGTTCTGTCGGATGGATTTGAACGATGCGGTCCCCGATCACTCGACCTTTTCCAAGAACCGGCATGGCCGCTTTCGTGAGAGCGATCTGTTCCGGCATCTGTTCAACACCGTGCTGACACGCTGTATCGCCGAAGGGTTGGTCGGCGGCGAAGACTTCGGTGTCGATGCGTCGCTCATCAAGGCCGACGCGAGCCGCTATACCAAGGTGGAGATGGCGGACTGGTCCGTGCCTGAACAGGTCTCACGGGCCACGCAGGAGTATCTCGACACGCTGGATGATGCTGCCTTTGGCGGTTCGACGCCCGTGCAGCCCAAGGCCATCTCTCCGGCTGACCCGGCAGCGCGTTACACCGGCGCCAATGGTGACAGGCCGTTCTTTGCCTACTCCACCAACTATCTGGTCGATCTGGACAATGCCGTCATCGTCGATGTCGATGCGACCGCTCCGATCCGGCAGGCCGAGGTCGAGATCACCAAGGATATGATCTTGCGAACCAGAGATCGGTTCGGTCTCTATCCTGAGAAGCTGGTGGCCGACACGGCCTATGGCTCAGCGCCGATGCTGGGCTGGCTTGTCGAGGAGGAAGGGATCGAGCCGTACATCCCGGTGATCGACAAGTCCGAACGCAAGGACGGCACCTTCTCGCGCGACGACTTTGCCTATGACCACGAGAATGACAGCTACACTTGTCCCGGCGGCAAACAGCTCGTGCAGTTCCGGCGCCCCTACAAAACACCGCGTTCTGGCGTCGATAAGGAAGGTTTGATGCGCTACCGCGCCAGCAAAAAGGACTGCGATGTCTGCTCGCTGAAACAGCGATGCTGCCCCAAGGAGCCAGCGCGCAAGATCTTGCGTTCCATCCACGAGGGCGCACGCAACATGGCTCGCGACATCACCAAGACCGACGCCTATGTGACCGCCAGCTATGCCCGAAAGAAGGTCGAGATGCTGTTCGCCCACCTCAAACGCATCATCGGCCTCGACCGCCTACGCCTCAGAGGACCAAACGGCGCCAGAGATGAGTTCATCCTGGCGGCAACAGTCCAAAATCTCCGCAAGCTCGCAAAGCTGGTCCCAAACCCAGCGTGAGAGCAAGAACACCCGAACTCACCGACACGATCAGAAATCGAGAAAGGCGACTTTTTCAACGGTATCTCCGCATAGCCAACGTCGTGGCGGCCTGATTGCCGCGGAGTAGCCTTCTCCCGCAGACCGGGGCGGCGACCCTACTCCCCCTCATCGAACAGCCCGGCCTGCTTGGCCGCGAGGTCGGCGGGGGCGGTCAGGCCCAGATGGCCCCACGCATTGGCCGTCAGCATTCGGCCCCGCGGCGTGCGCTGGATGAAGCCCTGCTGGATCAGGAACGGCTCGATAATGTCCTCGATCGCATCGCGCGGCTCTGAAAGCGCGGCGGCGATGGTTTCGATGCCGACGGGGCCGCCGCCGAAATTGCGGGCGATCTGGTCCAGATAGCGCCGGTCGAGTTCATCAAGCCCGATCGCGTCCACCTCCAGCCGCGACAGCGCTTCGTCGGCGACGCGGCGGTCCACTTCGGTCGCACCGGCGACATCGGCGAAATCGCGGACGCGGCGCAGCAGCCGGCCGGCGATGCGCGGCGTGCCGCGGGCGCGGGCGGCGATCTCGCGGGCGCCGTCGCCGCTCATCGGCAGGCCCATGATGCGGGCACCGCGCGTGACGATCGTCTCCAGCTCCTCGGCGGTGTAGAAATTGAGCCGCACCGGAATGCCGAACCGGTCGCGCAGCGGTGTCGTCAGAAGGCCGAGGCGCGTGGTGGCGGCGACGAGGGTGAATTTGGCCAGATCGATCTTGACCGAGCGCGCCGCCGGCCCTTCGCCGATGATCAGGTCGAGCTGGAAATCCTCCATCGCCGGATAAAGGATCTCCTCGACCGCCGGATTGAGCCGGTGGATCTCGTCGATGAACAGGACATCGCGCTCTTCGAGATTGGTCAGGAGCGCCGCCAGATCGCCGGCCTTGGCGATCACCGGCCCGGAGGTGGCGCGAAAATTGACGCCCAGTTCGTTCGCCATGATCTGGGCCAGCGTCGTCTTGCCAAGGCCGGGCGGGCCGACGAACAGCACGTGGTCGAGCGCCTCGGCGCGTTTTTTGGCCGCCTCGATGAAGACCTTGAGATTGGCGCGCGCCGCCGCCTGACCGGTGAAGTCGTCCAGCGTGCGCGGCCGCAGGGAGGCGTCGGCATCCTCGTCGCGCTTGTCGGCGGAGATCAGGCGGGCGGGCTCGGTCATGCGAGAAGTTCCATGCCGGGCACCGTTTTGGCCGCCTTCTTGTCGAATGTGTAAGTGAACGTGCAACCGCTTTCGCGGTTTGTCTCGGCAATCACAATGTCTGCCATGTCCCGGTGCATCGATTGCATCCACCGTGTCCATTCGCCAATGGCAAGGGTCGCCGGCACCGCCATTTCCACGGTGTCCAGAAGGCCGGCCAATTGGGTTCGCGCGACTTGCCGATCTGTTTCGTAGACGCTTTCCAGCACCCAGACTGCCTCCGTTACCACCAGCGGATTGACAAAAAGCGGCCCGTTGTCGCGGGCTGCCTTAATGAGCTTTACGGCCGCCTGGTATTGCGTCTCGTCATCACGCGTCAGCACTCGCACAATGATGTTGGTGTCAATTCCTATCACGCGCGCGCTCATATCGCTCGGTGACAGCGGCGCCAATCGCCTCGTTCATCTCCTCCACCGATACCGGTTTTCGGCCCGGATCATGCAAGATACCGGCGAAATCCAGCGCGCTGCGGTTTTTCGGCACGATCTCGACCCTGCCGTCCCGAATTTCGTAGCCGATACGGTCGCCGGGGTGCAGCGCCAGAAACTCACGGATCTCGGCCGGGATCGTCGTTTGGCCTTTCGACGTGATTTTGGACTCGATGCCCATGGTCCTTGCCCTGCTCTGTTTTCCTTACATTCTCGATATAGTAAGGAAAGAAGTTTGAAACAAGGATTGTTGTTTCACCGCGCCAGCTCCTTCAACCCGTGGCGGATCAGCATGGCGCTGTCGGCATCCTCGCCAGCGCTCTTGAGCGCGGCGGCGACCGCGTTGGCGGCCTGGTCGCGGCTGTAACCGAGATTGGCGAGCGCGGAGACCGCATCGGCGACCGGCGCCGGGGCGGCGTTCTCGCCCAGCTCCTGCTTGAGGCCGATGGCGGCGGCCGCATCGCCGGCGAAGGCGGGCGCCTTGCTTTTGAGTTCGGTGACGATGCGCTGGGCGACCTTGGGGCCGATGCCCGGCGCGCGGGCGACCATCGCCTTGTCCTGAAGCGCGATCGCGTTGGCGAGGTCGGCGGCGGACAGGGTGGAGAGGACGGCGAGCGCCACCTTGGCGCCGACGCCCTGCACGCCCTGCAGCAGACGGAACCATTCGCGCTCCAGCGCGGTCGCAAAGCCGAACAGGCGGATCTGGTCCTCGCGCACATGGGTCTCGATGTGAAGGACCGCCGCTTCGCCGGCGTTCAGGCCCGACAGCGTCCGCGCCGGGCAGTAGGCGACATAGCCGACGCCATGCACGTCGACGATCACATGATCCTCGGCGATCTCGTCGATGGTGCCCTTGAGTTTACCGATCATGGATGGGTGTCCGGTGCGATGATGTCGAGATCGGGGAAGTAGGTGCGGTAACGCTTCGGATCGCGGGTCAGAAGCACATGCCCCGATGTTTCCGCATGTGCGCCGATCAAAAAATCGGGCAGGGTCCGTTCGCGATTTCCACCTTGCCGGCGATAGGCTGCGTGGGCCGTGCCAGCCCGAAAGGCGGCATCGAAGGAAAGGTGCTCGCGTACCGGGCGAAGCCGGCTCAACGCATTGTCCAGTGTTCGGGCGGCTTTGCTCATCCCGCCCAGTTCTGACCAGACAATCGGCGAAAGCACTATTGTGCCCGACACGAAAGCCATTTCCATCGCTCTGGCCGACCACGCTGCGTGCTCGCCACCGCCGAGCAGGTCGAGCAGAACATCGGTGTCAATGAGCGTCGATGTCATCACGCGGACCCCGCATCTCCAGCATCAGCTCGTCAACGGTCTTTTCGCCCAGATCGATTGTGCCTTTGACCTGATCGAGCCAGCGCCGAAACCGGGCCGCCCGGTCCTCGGCATTGTCCTCGACGGCACGAAGCCTCACACCGTCATCGCCGCGGTCCACAAACTCGACCTCGCTGCCGGCGGTGATGCCGAGCTTGTCGCGGATGTGCTTGGGGATCGTGACCTGGCCCTTTCGCGTCACACGCATGAGTAATACCTCCGAGGTATTACCTAGCGGGGATGCTGGAACAAGTCAAGAACAAATGCCTCGTCAGGCCTGTGCAGCAACCCGCCTTGCCAGCGCGGCTGCGCCGCGATGATGGCTGTGGCAGATGGCGATGGCGAGCGCGTCTGCGGCGTCCTCGGTGTCGAACACCGCCCGGGGCAAAAGCGTGCGCACCATCATGGCGATCTGGCCCTTGCCGCCATGGCCGACGCCGATGACCGCCTTCTTGACCGCATTTGGCGCATATTCGGCGACGGGCAGCCCCGCCAGCGCCGGGACGAGCATGGCGACGCCGCGCGCCTGGCCGAGCTTGAGCGTAGCTGTCGCATCCTTGTTGACGAAAGTGGCTTCGACGGCGGCTTCGTGCGGGGTATGCGTGCCCATCACCGCCGTGAGCTGCTCGTGGATCTGGCACAGCCGGACGGCGAGATCGGCGCCCGCATCGGAGCGCACGGTTCCCGCTGCCACGAAGCGCAGCGCGTTGCCCGCGCTGTCGACGACGCCCCAACCGGTGCGCCGCAGCCCCGGATCGATGCCGATAATGCGAATCGTCTCGTTCATCTCGTCCTCACGCCAACGCTATCCGCTTAGCGGTCCGATGTGAACAAAAAGAAAACACTGGGCCGGCCTGCCGCTTGTGCGAGCGGGCACGACATGCCACAGGCGTGGAAGGGGGTCACATGACTGGGTTTCCGCTCGAACTGGATGCGGCGTTCTGGGCCGTGGTGGCCGCTGCGGCGGTCGCGGGGCTGGTGCGCGGGTTCTCCGGCTTCGGCACGGCGATGATCGTCGCGCCCGTCGCCGCGGCCGCCTACAGCCCGCAGGTGGCGGTCATCGTCATCCTGATCATCGAGACCCTGCCGGCGCTGCCTCTCGTGATCCCGGCGATGAAACGGGTGAGCCTTGCCGAAATCGGCCCGGTCGTTGCCGGCTATGCGCTGTTGCTGCCGGCGGGCATCATCTTTCTGACGGCGGGCGAGCCGACCGCGCTGCGCTGGTTCATGTCGGTGGTGATCCTGATCGTCGTCATGCTGCTGTGGCGCGGCTGGCAGTACAAGGGGCCGCGCACGGTGCCGGTGCGGGTCGCCACTGGCGGCCTGTCGGGCTTTCTGGGCGGCGCCACGTCCCTGTCCGGACCGCCGGTGATCCTCTACTGGATGGCGCTGCGCACGGGCGCGGGCAATGTGCGGTCGAACCTTTTGGTCTATCTGACTGTCGTTGAACTCTTCTCGCTGGTCGGTTTTTTCATCGCGGGCATTCTGACCTGGCCATCGATTGCATTGGGTCTGGCCTGCTCGCCGGCTTTTTTCGTCGGCCTGCTGCTCGGCGCGCGCCTGTTCGGTCTTTCCACCGAGACGACCTATCGCCGCGTGGCGCTGTCGATCGTGCTGGTCGCCGCAATCGCGTCCATGCCGCTTCTGGACGGGCTGTGGGGCTGACCGTTTTTGCGTTGCGCGAGCGTGCCGGTCTTGATTAGCTCGGTCGAACAAGGGGAGGCGCATGGACCAGGCGGATGTGATCATTGTCGGCGCGGGGCTTGCCGGCCTTGTCGCGGCTGCCGAACTGGGCGATCGCGGCAAGCGCGTGATCGTGGTCGATCAGGAACCGCCGCAAAACCTCGGCGGCCAGGCCTTCTGGTCGCTCGGCGGCCTGTTCATGATCGACACGCCCGAGCAGCGCCGCATGCGCATTCGCGACAGCCGGGCGCTGGCGGAAAACGACTGGTTCGGCTCGGCCCGGTTCGACCGCCCCGAAGACCATTGGCCGCGGCGCTGGGCGGAGGCCTATCTCGATTTTGCCTCGGGCGAGATGCGGAGCTGGCTGCACGCCATGGGCATGCGCTGGTTTCCGGTGGTCGGCTGGGCCGAGCGGGGCGGGTCGTTCGCCGACGGGCACGGCAACTCGGTGCCGCGCTTCCACGTGACCTGGGGCACGGGCCCGGGTGTACTCGAACCGTTCACAGCCCGGGTGCGCGAACATCAAAAGGCGGGTCTCGTAGACTTGCGCTTCCGGCACAAGGTGGACCGCATCATCATGACCAACGGGGCCGCGAGCGGCGTCTCGGGCACGGTGCTGCGGGCCGACGATGCCGAGCGGGGCGCGTCGACCAACCGCGACGTGGTCGGCGATTTCGAACTGCACGCGCCGTCGGTGATCGTCACCTCGGGCGGCATTGGCGGCAATTTCGAGATGGTGCGCAAGAACTGGCCGCGCGGCCGGCTCGGCGAGCCGCCGGCCTCGATGATCTCGGGTGTGCCCGACCATGTTGACGGGTCGATGATCCCGGTCGCCGAGCAGGCCGGCGGGCATGTGATCAATGGCGACCGGATGTGGCACTATACCGAGGGTGTGAAGAACTGGGCGCCGATCTGGCCGCATCACGGCATCCGCATCCTGCCCGGGCCGTCCTCCATGTGGTTCGACGCGACCGGCAACCGGTTGCCGGCGCCGGCCATGCCCGGTTTCGACACGCTGTCGACCCTGCGCACGATCCTTGAGACCGGGCACGATTATTCCTGGTTCGTGCTGACCCAAAAGATCATCGAAAAAGAGTTCGCCCTGTCCGGCTCCGAGCAGAACCCGGATCTGACATCGAAAAAGTTCACCGAGGTGCTGAAGTCGCGGCTCGGCAAGGGCGCGCCGCCGCCCGTCGAAGCGTTCAAGGAGAAGGGCGAGGATTTCGTCGTGGCCGGCGATCTCGATGCGCTGGTGGCCGGCATGAACCAGGTCGCCGGCGGCAACCTGCTCGATGCGGCGCACCTTCGGGCGCAGATCGAGGCGCGCGACAGCCAGATCGGCAACCGCTTTGCAAAAGACGCGCAGGTGGTGGCGATCAACGGCGCGCGCAACTATCTCGGCGACCGGCTGATCCGCACGGCCAAGCCGCACAGGATCCTCGATCCGGCCCACGGGCCGCTGATCGCCGTCAAGCTGCACATCCTGACGCGCAAGACGCTCGGCGGGCTGCAGACCGATCTCGACAGCCGGATGATCGGCGCCGACGACACGCCCGTGCCGGGTCTTTACGCGGCGGGCGAAGTCGCCGGTTTCGGCGGCGGCGGCTACCACGGCTACAACGCGCTCGAAGGCACGTTCCTTGGCGGCTGCATCTTCTCGGGCACGAAGGCGGGGCGGTCCCGAGAGATTGCCTGACGCCCGCCATCCGCCCGCCAATATACATGCAGGTCCGTTGCCGCTAGTCTGACAGCGGATCGGGCGGGGAGGGCCGGACATGACGGACACGGTGGCCATGCCGTTCTGGCTTGTCCTGATCCTCGGCATTCTCGCCCTTGTCGCCATCTTCGACCGCATCTTCGCGCCGTCCGTGCGCTGGTATTTCCGCCGGCGCGTCAACGATGCCATCGACGAACTCAACGAACGGCTCGATCTCGAAATCCAGCCCTTTCGCCTGACGCGCCGGCAAGGGCTTATCGATCAGCTTCTCTACGATCCCGACGTGATCGCCGCCGTCGATCTCCAACATCGGCAGAGCGGAACACCGCGCGCCGTGATCATGAAGGAGGCGGAAAAATACGCTGCGGAGATCGTCCCGTCCTTTTCGCCGCTGACCTATTTCGGCATCGGCACGCGCGCGGCCAAATGGCTGTCGCAGTTCGCCTATCGCGTCCGCCTCGGCTTCACCGACGATCAGGCGCTCAAGCGCATTCCGAAGAACGCCACCGTTGTGTTCGTGATGAACCACCGGTCGAACATGGACTATGTGCTGGTGACCTATCTGGCCTCAAAGCGCGCATCGCTCTCCTATGCGGTGGGCGAATGGGCGCAGGTCATCTTCCTGCATTCGCTGTTGCGCTCGATGGGCGCCTATTTCATCCGCCGCAACTCCAAGAACCAGCTCTACCGGCGGGTGCTGGCCGCCTATGTGCGCAAGGCCACCAAGCAGGGCGTCACCCAGGCGGTGTTCCCCGAGGGCGGCCTTTCCCCGGACGGCACGCTGCGGCCGCCCAAGCTGGGGCTGTTGTCCTACATGGTCTCCGGTTTCAGGACCGATGGCGACAAGGACATCGTCTTCATTCCGGTCGGCATCAACTATGACCGGGTGCTCGAAGACCGGATCCTGACGGCAAAGCAGGAGCGCGAGGCGACCGGCCGGGACTATCGCGTGCGGGTTTTCAGGGTGGCGGGGTTTCTGGCCCATCTGGCCAAGCTGCGTTTGCAGGGCCGGCTCTACCGATACGGCTATGCCTGCGTCTCTTTCGGAGAACCGCTGTCGCTGACCGAATTCGCCAGAGAAAACGATATCGATTTCTCCGGCCATCACGAGACCGGCGACCCGGTGGAGCGCAAGGCGCGCGAGGCGCATTTCGCCGGTGTGCAGAAGCTCGGCGAAGCGCTGCTCGGCGAGATCGGCGCCATCATCCCGGTCTTGCCGGTGGCGCTGGTGGCAACCGTGCTGCTCGAGAACGAGGACCACTGGATGGGCGATCTGGAACTCAAATCCAGGGTATTCGACCTGATCCAGCGGATCGAGGCCGCCGGCTATCACGTGCACATTCCGCGCCACGACCGCGACTACATGCTCGAGACGGGCATCCGCATGCTGAAGATGCGGCACATCATGGAAGCCAATGACGACGGGCTGCACCGCGCCAACCTGAACGAGCAATTGCTGCTGGAATATTACGCCAACTCCATCGCGCATATTGTTGCTGCGGTGCGGGCTGGCGAAGGGGCGGAAGGGGCCCGACACGTTGAGCGCCAGGGCGCCTCATAGGACGTGGCGGAAACGGCGTGGTCGCCCGCGCTTTCTCACCCTCAAGGGGGGAGAGGGGCGCCGCCCTGACGCGTTCAAGCGCTCAGCCGCTCCATCACATCGTCCGCGATGTCCTCGTTCGAATAGACGTTCTGGACGTCATCATCCTCGTCGAGCGCGTCGAGCAGCTTGAGAAGGGTGCCCGCCTTGTCCTCATCGACAGGCGTCTCGTTCTGCGGCTTCCAGATCGCATTGACGGATTCGGCCTCGCCCAGCGTCGCTTCCAGCGCTTTTGAGACGGCGCCCAGATCCTCGAATGCGCAGGTGATGGTGTGGCCGTCCTCGCCGGTCTCGACATCCTCGGCGCCGGCCTCGATCGCCGCTTCCATGACGGTGTCGGCGTCGCCCGCCTCGGGCTTGTAGACGATCTCGCCGACCCGGTCGAACATGAAGGAGACCGAGCCGGTTTCCCCCAGGGAGCCGCCGTTTTTCGAGAAGGCGGCGCGGATGTTGGACGCCGAACGGTTGAGATTGTCGGTCAGCGCCTCGACGATGACCGCGACGCCGCCGGGCCCATAGCCCTCATAGCGCATCTCCTGATAGTCCTCGCCGCCGGCGCCGGTGCCCTTGTTGATGGCGCGCTGGATGTTGTCCTTGGGCATGGACTGGCCCTTGGCGTTCTGCACGGCCAGGCGCAGGCGCGGGTTCATGTCCGGATCGGTGACGCCGCCGCCCATTTTCACCGCGACGGTGATCTCCTTGGACAGGCGCGAGAAGAGTTTCGAGCGCGCGGCGTCCTGCCGGCCCTTGCGGTGCATGATGTTCTTGAATTTGGAATGACCTGCCATGGCGGTTCTGTTCTGCTTGACGTTTTCGGAATCCCGCGCGCTTTTATGAGAGAACGATTGCAAGGTCCAGTTCCGGGGAAAGATGCATGACCGAATTCGGTGTGGCGTTGGCGATGATCGGCCTTTTTGTCTGGCTGCTCCTGAAGGAGAACTCGCGGCGCGGGGTGAAGACCGTGCGCGCCTATCTGTTCATGAACGCGCTGGAGGAGGGCAAGAGCGTTGCCGAGGCCAACGAGGCCGCGAGGATCGATCCGAAGAATATTCCCAAGAGCCACATTCGCGCGACCATGCTCTACCTGCAGGAGCATCATCGCGGCCGACAGGGGCCGCTGATGAAAAAGGCCGAAGCGGCCGGGCTCCAATGGTGAGGGCGTGATGAGCCATGCATTCCACCAGCGGGGCGGCTGCCAGTGCGGCGCCATCCGCTACACGCTGACCGAGCGGCCCCGGGCCGTCTATTGCTGCCATTGCATCGAATGCCAGAGGCAATCCTCTTCGGCGTTCGGCATATCGGTGCGCGTGCGGCGTGCGGCCCTGTCCGTCGAGGGCGAGACCGCCAAGTTCAACAAGACGTCCGGCGACAGGCTGACGGTATGCGAATTCTGCCCGCACTGCGGCAGCCGGCTGTTTCACAACCGGCCGGCCCATGAGGATCTGCTGACCATCAAGGGTGGAACCTTCGACGACACAAGCTGGCTGAAACCGGTTGGCCATATCTGGCTGAAGTCAAAACAGGCCTGGGTTTTGATCCCCGAAGACGGGTTGCGCTTTGACGCCCAGCCGGACGACTATGACGTTCTGAGCGTCCGCTATGCCGAGCAGTGGGGACCGCCCGGCCGGGAGTGAGAGCCTCTGGCGGACAGGCGCGGGCGTTCTATCCGGGAGAGGGAACCGACGTTTGTTTTCGGGAGTTCCGATGCGCCGCCTTGTAACCGCCCTTCTCACCGCTTCTGGCCTGGCCGCCGCGCTGCCCCTGGGCTCTGCCATTTCAGCCATGGCGCAGGATACCGGCGACGAGCCGGTCAGCCAGTGCCTTGCGATCGCACAGGCCCTGCCGCGCGTGATGTTCGCCTCGGCTAGCGCCAGCCCGCTGGCGGTCGATGGCGATGTGACGATCAGCTTTGCCGGCCATTCCACCTACCGGATCGAGACCCCGGCCGGCGTGACGATCGCCACCGACTTTTCCGGCGTTTACGGCCACACGCCGACGCCGCGCGTCGTCACCATGAACCGGGCCCATTCGACGCACTTCACGCTGAACCCCGATCCGGCGATCGAGCATGTCTTTCCGGGCTGGGACAGCGGCAATCCGGAGGGCGCCGACCACGACACGGTGATCGACGATGTCTATGTGCGCAACGTGACCACCGACATCAGGCGCTGGGACACGACCGCGCTGACGGCGAACCAGAATTCTATCTTCATCTTCGAGGTGGCGGGCCTGTGCATCGGCCATCTGGGCCATCTGCACCACAAGCTGACGGACGACCATTTCGCGCAGATCGGCCGGCTCGACATCGTCATGGTGCCGGTCGATGGCGGGCTGACCATGGCGCATACGGGCATGGCGGAGATCACCACGCGGCTGCGCTCGTCGATCGTCCTGCCGATGCACCTGCGCGGCAATTCCATCGACCGCTTCATCGCCCTGATGGGGACGGACTGGGCGGTCGACTTTCTCGATGCCGATTCGATTACGGTCAATGTGCGCGACCTGCCCGAACGGCCGACCATCATCGTGCCGGCGAGCCTTGCGCGGCGCGGATGAACGGCGGCCGCCACAGCGGCGGCACATTTGCCTTTAGACTGGCGCCGGAGTGAACGCGGAGGAAAGAGCAATGAGACTGGGTTCAGCCCGCCGGATGGCCGGCGCCGGCCTTGCCGCCGCACTGGGCGCGGCGATGCTCGCCGCCTCGGTCGTTCCCGCCGATGCGATCAGCCGCGTCCGCAGCGACCTCAATTCCTGCGCCGCGGTGCAGGCGGTGGTGCAGCGAGAGGGCGCGGTGATCCTGCAGCACGCCTCCAAGCGCGTGCCGAACTATCTGCTCTATGACCGCTATGTCGCCAATCGCAGCTTTTGCGCGTTGGGCGAGGTGCTCGAGCGCGAAACCGTGCCCGCCGCCGATACGGCGTCGTGCCGCGTTTATGTCTGCAAGCGCTACGAGCCGCGCTTCAACGACGAACGCTTCATCTTCCGGCATTGATGTTTCGGGCCGACCGCGTGTTCAGCGCTGTTCGGCCAGCGCGAACAGTTCGTCGATGAACTCGTAGCACATGACGATCTCGACCGTGTCGAGGTCGTACCAGGCATTGGCTTCGCCGCAGTCGGCGGCCACCAGCGCCGGCACTTGCGGCCAGCGGAAGGTCTCGCCGACATAGCCGGCAATGTCGGTCATGATGCCGGTGTCCGCCAGAAAGGTCCGCATCTCAGGCAGGGCGCTGTCTTCGAGCGTCACCGGGGCCGGCGCGGCGGAGGCGCCTTCTTCTCGCAGATAGGGTTCGAGCAGCGCGTCCCAACTTTCGATCGCGGTTTCCGCCTCGATCTCGCAGGCCGCCTGCTGGTCTGGGTCCATCTCGGTCCAGCGCACCGCCTCGTCATACCGCTCGGGGTCGAGGCCCACGGCGTGGCAGACGATGCGCAGGCCGCGCTGGATGTCGAGATCGTGCACGCCGAAATAGTCGAGCGGCGTGCCGCCGGCCTCGGTCAGATCGTGCATGATCAGCATCGCTTCGGCGGCGTCGAGCAGGATGTCGACGTGATCGTCATAGATGGTCAGCACTTCGAGCGTGGCGAAGCTGTCGGCCGCATCCTCCTCCTGGCCGATGACCGGCAGGGCGAACTGGTCGATCACCGCATGGCCGATCTCGTGCAGCAGGATGTGGATGATGTTGGAGGCGACGAAGGCCTCCGCTTCGCTCATCTCGTCCTGGGCGGCGGCCGGCGGCGACCAGAGCAGCGGCAGCGCGAGCATGAGGGCCGGGACTGTCTTGCGCTCTGGCATCAGGCACTCCTTCGCCGATCGGGCATCGCGCGCATGGCGTCTACCACCAGGACGGCATCGTTTCTTCGAGCCGCGGGCCGATGCGGATCGGCGCGATCCTTTCGCACAGGCCCGTACGGTCGGAGATCTCGACGGCGACACCGCACAGGGTCGCCGGACCCGTTGCCGCCTCGAACCGGCCCCTGGGCACCTTGGTCAGGAAGCGGTTGAGCGGCTCCTCCTTTTCCATGCCCAGGGAGTGGCCGTAGTCGCCGCACATGCCGACATCGGAAATATAGCCCGTGCCGCCGTCGAAGATGGTGTGATCGGCGGTCGGCGTGTGGGTGTGGGTGCCGACGACCAGGCTGGCGCGGCCATCGACGAAATGGGCGAAGCACACCTTTTCCGAGGTTGCCTCGGCGTGAAAATCGAAGACGACGCAATCGAAATCGCGGCCGAGCCGGCCGCCGTCGAGCTGGCGTTCGGCGGCGACGAACGGATCGTCCAGATCGGGCGACATGAAGACACGGCCCATCAGGTTGGAGACCATGACGCGCGCGCCGTTGCGCGCCTCGAAGACGCCCATGCCGCGGCCGGGCGTGCCGTCGGGATAGTTGGCCGGCCGTAAAAAGCGCTCCTGCCGCTCGGCGAAGACCAGCGCCTCGCGCTGGTCCCAGACATGGTTGCCCGTGGTCATCACGTCGGCGCCCGCGTCCAGCGTGTCAGTCAGGATCGTCTCGGTCACGCCGAAGCCGCCCGCCGCGTTCTCGCCGTTGACGATGGCGAAATCGATATGGTGGTCGGCGATCAGGCGCGGCAGCCGTTCGTAAACGGCGGTGCGGCCCGACCGGCCCACCATGTCCCCCAGAAAGAGCAGTCTCATGAAGCCGTCCTATCGCTGCGCCGGCAGAGCCTGCAAGCCGTTTTCGGTCAGCACTGTGTGAAGCGGCACATCGTGGGGTTCGGCAGGGACCCGCTCGACGCGCTGGCATTCGAACGCCAGGCCGACGAGACGGGGTGATCGGCCCCTGGCGTGAAGCCGGGCGATGGCGCGATCGTAGTGGCCGGCGCCATAGCCGATGCGGTTGCCCGCATCGTCGAACGCCGACAGCGGCACGAGTATCAGGTCGGGATCGAGCTCTTCCGCTTCGGGGCCCGGCGCCCTTGTGCCGAACGAGCCTGTGACCAGCGGCATGTCCGGGTCATGGCGGCGGAAGACGATTGTCTGGCGGTCGATGACGGCGGGCAGGACGATCATGGCGCCGCGCGCGGCGAGCGCCTCCATCAGCGGGCGCGGGTCGATTTCCGAGCGGATCGGCCAGAAGCCGGAGACGATGTCGCCGGGCTTGAAGCCGATGGCGTCCGCCTGGCGGGCCAGCGCCTGCGCGGCATGGGTGTGGCGATCGGCGCCGAGCGCGTCGCGCCGGGACAGCGCCATGGCGCGAATATCGGCTTTGTCGGCGCTGGTCCCGTTCATTGTTCCATCCGGCGGCGTGCCCGGCCGGTACAGGCCGGCGACGGTTGCCAACCGCGGCAGTCGGTGGAGAACGGCATCCCGGGAACCTACAGAAGTAGGTGGGTGCCAGATGATCGGGTCCACGGACCCGGCCAGCGCCAGCTCCCTTAGGATGCGTAAGGCCCCGGGGAATTGTCTCCTGCCACAAAGCGCAGTCGGCGTGAGCAATATAGGACCGGAGCGGGCTCGCCGCCAGTGGTCAGCGCCGCCTTTTGGGCGGGGCCTGCGCCCTGGAGCCGGCCTATGCCGTCATGATCGCGGCAAGGACGGATCTTGCCGGTTTTCCAGGCCTGTCGGGATGCATATGTCTAAGGGCAAGGGACAATGAAGGAGCACACAGATGCGCGCAGCGACCCATGACCGCTTTGGCGGCAGCGATGTCGTGACGATCGCCGAGATCGACGAGCCGGCAATCGCCGACAACCAGCTTCTCGTCGCGGTTCACGCGTCGAGCGTGACGACGGCCGACTGGCGGCTGCGCGCTTCTGCGTTTCCCGGCGGCATGTGGCTGGCCGGCCGTTTGATGACCGGCCTTTTCCGGCCGCGGAACCGCGTCCTCGGCATGGAGTTTTCCGGCGTGGTCGCTCGCACCGGTTCGAAAGTGACCCGTTTTGCGACTGGCGATGCGGTCTTCGGCAATGCCGGATCGGGCGCGCATGCCGACTATCTTGCCATCGACGAGGATGGGGCGCTGGCCGCCAAGCCGCCGGCTCTGTCTCACGCCGAGGCCGCCAGTCTGCCGTTCGGCGCGGTGACGGCGCTTGTCTTCCTGCGCGATTTCGCCAGGCTGAAATCCGGCGAGCGAATCCTGATCATCGGCGCCTCCGGCGGCGTGGGTGTCCATGCGGTGCAGATCGCGCGGCACATGGGCGCCCATGTCACCGGCGTGACCAGCACGGACAATGTGAAGCTTGTTGCGGATCTGGGTGCCGATCGCGTCGTCGATTATCGCAAGGAAGACCTGAACGAAATCGGCGGGAACTTCGATCTCGTCTTCGATACGGCCGGCATTGTGCGCTTTGCCCGGGCGCGCCGGCTTTTGAACGCCGACGGGCTGTTCCTGCCGCTGGAGTTCGGCATTGGTGACGTGCTGACGGCCATTCGATGCGCCATCACAAGGAGCCGCCAGCGGATCGGGCTGCACGTTTCGGGCGACGCGCAATCCGATATCGAAGCGATTGCCGACATGGCCGCTGCGGGTGCTCTCAAACCGGTCATCGACAGCCGCTACCCGCTTGCCGAGATCCGCAAAGCCCATGAGCGGGTCGAGACACGGCACAAGCGCGGCAGCGTCATCGTCAACGTGCGGCCGGACGACGAGGCGCCGCCCGCCGCGTGACGGCATTGACGGCGCCGTCAGGCGATCTTCGCGGTCACCGATTCGATCTTGTCGGCGAGCGCGGTCAGCCGTTCGGTCAGCGTCTCGTCGACCCGGTCGGCCTTGGACAGCGCCTCGTCGCGGGTCTTGCGCACGCTGTCCAGTTCGCTCTCCAAACCCTTGACCCGCTTTTGCAGTTCGGAGAGTTCGTCCATGATCATGATGCCGGCCATAACCGTCAGCCGCAGATCGCCGATCTCGCCGAACGAGCCTTTCAGGTGGGTGACGTATTTGTCGAGCCGGCCGGCCAGATCGACCAGATGATCCTCCTGGCCGGGATCGCAGGCCATGCGGTAGCTTTTCTGGTCGATGGTGACGGTGACCTGGCTCATGTCGGCTTCTTTCCCGTTGCGGCGCTCAGCGGTCGAGAACGGCGCGGATCGTCTCCATCGCCGTCACCAGCCGCCGCGACACTTCCTTGTTGACGTCCTCGAGCCGCACGGCGCGGGCCTCGGACGCATCGAGTTCCTCGGCCAGCCGCGCGCGATCCGCGTTCAGCCGCTGCACTTCTTCCTCGGCGTCCGAATATTCGCGACGGATTTCCGCCGACCGGTCGACCGCGTCGTCCAGGGCGGACAGCGCCTTGTCGAGACGGTCAAAGACCTGTGAGAGCGTTTGCGGACCGTTCATGGCGGTGGGTTTATGGACTGATGATCGATGTTTGTCAGCAACAATAAGGCGTTAGCGTGGCTCAATGAGACAGGGCTTAAACCTGCCCGCGCACGGGCCGATCGGCAATGCCCCGGCCGGGCCGATGCACAGTTTTCCTGTGCCTGGCGCCGTGCCGGCGGCTTTGTTGACTCCGCATCCCCACCTGCTATGTGTCGCGCGCAATTTTCTGGTCCGGAAATGCCCCCGCGTCCCGACGTTCCGGGACCCGCGCTCAAACCCGATATCAGCGGAAATCCTCTCATGATCCCACGCGAAAAACACGACCGGATGGCCAATGCGATCCGTGTCCTGTCCATGGATGCGGTGCAGGCCGCCAACTCCGGCCATCCGGGCCTGCCAATGGGCGCCGCCGACATTGCCACGGTCCTGTTCACGCGCTTCATGAAGTTCGATCCCAAGCAGCCGAACTGGCCCGATCGCGACCGCTTCGTGCTGTCGGCGGGCCACGGCTCGATGCTGCTTTACAGCCTGCTTTATCTGCTGGGCTATGAAGACATCACGATCGACGAGATCAGGAATTTCCGCCAGTTGGGCTCGAAGACCGCCGGCCATCCCGAATATGGCCATGCCGCCGGGATCGAGACGACGACCGGACCGCTCGGCCAGGGCCTTGCCAACGCGGTCGGCATGGCGATTGCCGAGCGCAAGCTGCGCGACGAGTTCGGCGCCGATCTGGTCGATCACAAGACCTATGCTCTGGCCGGAGACGGCTGCCTGATGGAAGGCATCAGCCAGGAAGCTATCACGCTGGCCGGGCATCTGAAACTGTCCAACCTGATCGTCATCTGGGACGACAACCGCATCACCATCGACGGCGCGGTGTCGCTGGCGGATTCGACCGACCAGCCGGCGCGCTTTGCCGCCAGCGGCTGGGCGACCGAGACCGTCGACGGCCACGATCCCGACGCGATCGCCGCCGCGCTCGAACGCGCACAGAGTGCCGATCGGCCGACGCTGATCGCCGCGCGCACGACCATCGGCTTCGGCGCGCCAACCAAGGCCGGCACGGCCAAGGCGCATGGTTCGCCGCTTGGACCCGAGGAAATCGCCGGCGCACGGGCGTCGCTTGGCTGGGATGCCGAACCGTTCGACATCCCGTCCGACATTCTCGACGATTGGCGCGTGGCGGGCCTTGCGGCCTGCAAGCAGCGCGTTGCCTGGGAAAAGCGACTTGAAGAGGCGGGCAACGGCAAGCGCAGCGAGTTCGAGCGGCGCATGCGCGGCGATCTGCCGGCCTCGTTCGGCAATGCGGTCGCCGACTACAAGGCGCAGCTCGCCAAGGACAAGCCGAAGGTCGCCACGCGCAAGGCGTCGGAGATGGCGCTCGAGGTGATCAACGGCGCGCTGCCCGAGACGCTGGGCGGTTCGGCCGACCTGACCGGCTCCAACAACACCAGGACCGAACAGACAGCGCCGATCACGCCGGACGATTTCTCGGGCCGCTATCTCCATTTCGGCATTCGCGAGCACGGCATGGCCGCCGCGATGAACGGCATCGCGCTGCATGGCGGGCTGATCCCCTATGGCGGCACCTTCCTGGTCTTTTCCGATTATGCGCGGCCGGCGATGCGCCTGTCCTCGCTGATGGGCATTCGCGTCGTCTATGTGATGACCCACGATTCCATCGGCCTTGGCGAGGACGGCCCGACGCACCAGCCGGTCGAGCATCTGGCGGCGCTGCGCGCCATTCCCAACCATCATGTGTTCCGCCCGGCCGATGCGATGGAAACCGCCGAATGCTGGGAGCTGGCGCTGGGCGAAGCCAAGACGCCGGCGACAATCGCGCTGACGCGTCAGGGCCTTCCGGCACTGCGCACCGAGACATCGAGCGAGAACCGCTGCGCGCTGGGCGCCTATGAGATGGCGACTGCCGGCGAGCAAACCGCCGTGACGCTGTTCGCCTCGGGCTCGGAAGTCCAGATCGCCATGGAAGCGAGGGCGCGGCTCGAGGCGGCGGGTTGTCCGACGCGTGTCGTCTCGGTGCCCTGCATGGAGCTTTTCGAGCGTCAGGACCCCGACTATCAGCGCGCCATCATCGGCGAGGGCGGCGTGCGCATCGCCATCGAGGCGGGCGTCTCGCAGGGCTGGGCGCGGTTCATCGGCGAGGACGGTGTCTTCATCGGCATGGACAGCTTCGGCGCCTCGGCGCCCCAGGAAGAACTCTACGCCCATTTCGGCATCACCGCCGACGCGGTCGTCGCAGCCGCCGAGGCGCGGCTCGAGCGCCAGACCGACGCAGCCTGACCATCGCGCCACTCCATCTGCTTCTCACGACGGGAGACCAACATGTCCATCAAAGTTGCCATCAACGGATTTGGCCGCATCGGCCGCAACGTGGTGCGTGCGATCTACGAATCGGGCCGCACCGACATCGATATCGTCGCCATCAACGATCTGGGCCCGGTGGAAACCAACGCCCATCTGATGCGCTACGATTCCGTGCATGGCCGCTTTCCGATCGACGTCCAGGTCGAGGGCGACACGATCAAGGTCGGCAAGGAGAGCTTCAAGGTGCTGTCCGAGCGCGATCCCAAGAACCTGCCCTGGGGCGAGATGGGCGTCGACATCGTCATGGAATGCACCGGCATCTTCACGGCGCGCGACAAGGCGGCGCTGCATCTGGAAGCCGGCGCCAAGCGCGTGCTGGTCTCGGCGCCGGGTGCCAATGCCGACAAGACGATCGTCTATGGCGTCAATGACGATGTGCTGACCGCCGACGATCTGGTCGTCTCCAACGCGTCGTGCACGACCAACTGCCTGGCGCCGGCCGCCAAGGTGCTCAACGATGCAATCGGCATCGAAAAGGGCATGATGACGACGATCCACTCCTATACGGGCGACCAGCCGACGCTCGACACGATGCACAAGGATCTCTACCGCGCCCGTGCCGCGGCGATGTCGATGATCCCCACTTCGACGGGAGCGGCCAAGGCGGTCGGGCTGGTGCTGCCCGAACTGAACGGCAAACTGGACGGTTTCGCCATGCGCGTGCCGACGCCGAACGTGTCGGTGGTCGATCTCAAGTTCATCGCCAAGCGCGAGACCTCGGCCGACGAGATCAACGAGGCGATCCGCAGCGCGGCCAACGGTCCGCTCAAGGGCATTCTGGGCTATACCGACGAAAAGCTCGTCTCGATCGACTTCAACCACAATCCGCATTCGTCGATCTTCCACACCGAGAAGACCAAGGTGATGGACGGCACCTTCTGTTCGATCCTGACCTGGTACGACAATGAATGGGGCTTTTCCAACCGCATGGCGGACACCGCCGTCGCGATGGGCAAGCTGATGTAGGGCAGGACCCCAAACGGAACGCGATCAGGGCCGCCCGCCGGGCGGCCCTTTGCGTTCGCGGCCCGCCAGGATGAACCGCACACCCGCCGAGTGACGCGTCCGCCCGATAATCGTTGAAATCGCCGGCCTGACTTCATAGGACACGGGGGTCACCGCTTCAAAAAAGGTCAACGCCATGCCCTTCAAGACCCTCGACGACCTGACCGGCCTTTCCGGCAAGCGCGTGCTCGTGCGGGTCGATCTGAACGTGCCGATGGAGGATGGGCACATCACCGACACGACACGGATCGAGCGGGTCGCGCCGACGATCCTCGAGCTGTCGGCCAAGGGCGCCAAGGTGATCCTTCTGGCGCATTTCGGCCGGCCCAAGGGCAAGGTGGTGCCCGAGATGTCTCTGGAGCCGGTCGCCCGCGCCGTCGAAGAGGTGCTGGACCACCGGGTCTTCTTCACCCCGGCATGCACCGGAGACGCCGTCGCCAGGCGCATCGAGGGCATGGCGCCCGGCGATATCGTCCTTCTGGAAAACACCCGCTTCCACGCCGGAGAGGAGGCCAACGATCCCGCCTTCGCCAAGAGCCTTGCCGACAATGGCGACATTTTCGTCAATGACGCGTTCTCGGCGGCGCACCGGGCGCACGCCACCACGGAAGGTTTGGCGCGGCTGCTTCCTGCCTATGCCGGCCGGACCATGCAGGCCGAACTCGAGGCGCTCGAAAAGGGTCTTGGCAATCCGCAAAAGCCGGTCGTCGCCATCGTCGGCGGCGCGAAAGTGTCGACCAAGATCGACCTTCTGGAAAACCTGGTCGCCAACGTCGATGCGCTGGTGATCGGCGGGGGAATGGCCAACACCTTCCTCGCCGCCAAGGGCATCGATGTGGGCAAGTCGCTGTGCGAGCACGATCTGGCGGACACGGCCAACGCGATTCTTTCCAAGGCCAACGAGACCGGCTGCGCCATCGTTCTGCCGGTCGATGCGGTCGTTGCGCGCGAATTCAAGGCCGGCGCCGACAGCGAGACCGTTCCGGTCGATCAAGTGCCTGCCGATTCGATGATCCTCGACGTCGGGCCGGCAACCGTCGGCAAGATCAATGGCTGGATCTCCCAGGCCAACACCCTGGTCTGGAACGGCCCGCTCGGCGCCTTCGAGATCGAACCCTTCGATGCGGCGACGCTGGCGGCAGCCCGGCACGCTGCGGCCGAAACCGCCAGGGGCGAACTCGTCTCGGTGGCCGGCGGCGGCGATACGGTTGCTGCGCTCAACAAGGCGGGCTGCGCCGCCAGGTTCAGCTATGTGTCGACGGCCGGCGGCGCCTTCCTTGAATGGATGGAAGGCAAGACCCTTCCCGGCGTTGCGGCGCTTGAGGGCTGACCGCACCGGTTTCTGCGCGGTCTTCGAGCGACTGGGGGCCGGCCTGGTGTGATGCCAAGGGGTTGGATCAGAAGGTCCAGCAGCCGCCGCAACACACCTTGCTGCCGCATTGGAAGCAACACGTGCTGCATTCCATGTCGACGCCGATCGATTGTGCGCTGTTCATCAGGCTGGCTTCGGCCTCGGCGAATTCTTCGAGATCGACGATCGGCGTGAGTTCCACCTCTTCGAATAGAGACGGATCGTCGTCGGCGGCCTGGAGGAACGCTGACATGCTTGGCGCAATGCGGCTGATCCGGGCTTCAAGCTCCTGCACGTCGCCCTCGCCAACATGCTTGGCAAAGCGCAATTCCATGGCAATACAGCATACCGGATTGCCGCAAATCGGCGTGCAATTGGAGCGTGCAATCGTCTCTTCGACATAGCCAATCGTGACATCCGGGTCGAACGTCTCGATCATGTCTTGATCTTGGGCTTGCGCCATGGCGACGCTTCCAAATATCATCAGAAAGATAGTCAGTACGGCTCGATGCATATCTTCCTCCGTTAGCAAAATTATACATTGAAATGTTTGAACGAAACGCAGCGGGCGGCAAGTATCACTTTGGTCGGAAGTCCGCAACGATGATGAGTATGGTGCCCGGCGTTGCGGCGCTTGAGGGCTGAAATCGCACGGCTTTTAACCTTGTGCGGCGAATTCAACAGGTTTGAACCGGTTGAATTCCTTTCAATCGATTGAGTGGACGTTCGTCGCCTTTGACGCGCCAAACCGGTCTGCTATGCGAGCGCAAATTCTTCCATGGAGAGACCGCATGAGCGAACGGCTTGAGGATATTGCGCAACAGATGGTGGCACCGGGCAAGGGTATCCTTGCGGCCGACGAATCCACCGGCACGATCAAGAAGCGCTTCGATTCCATCGGCGTCGACAACACCGAGGACAATCGCCGCGACTATCGCGAGATGCTGTTCCGGACCGACGATGCAATGCGCGAGAGCATTTCCGGCGTCATCCTGTTCGAGGAGACGCTGCACCAGAAGGCGGCCGACGGAACGCCCTTCGTCGATCTGATCCGCGCAGCCGGCGCCGTTCCCGGCATCAAGGTGGACAAGGGCGCAAAGCCGCTGGCCGGTTATGCCGGCGAAACCGTCACCGAGGGGCTGGACGGGCTGCGCGAGCGGCTCGATACCTACTATGATGCGGGCGCGCGCTTTGCCAAGTGGCGCGGCGTGATCGCGATTTCCGGCGCGCTGCCGACGGCCTATGCGATCCATGCCAACGCGCATGCGCTGGCCCGCTACGCCGTCTTGTGCCAGGAGCAGGGCATCGTGCCGATCGTCGAGCCGGAAATCGTCATGGACGGCGCGCCGGGCGACCATTCGATCGACCGCTGCGCGCAGGTGACCGAGGCGGTGCTGACCGAGGTCTTCTCCGAACTGCATCAGGCACGCTGCATGCTCGAAGGCATGGTGCTCAAGCCCAACATGGTGATCGACGGGCAGAAGGCACGCACCGCATCGGTCGAAGAAGTCGCCGAGAAGACCGTCGCCGTGCTCAAGAAGACCGTTCCGGACGCGGTCGCCGGCATTGCGTTCCTGTCGGGCGGGCAGTCCGACGAGGAGGCAACCGCGCATCTTTCGGCGATGAACGCGATGGGCGACCTGCCCTGGCCGCTGACCTTCTCCTATGGCCGGGCGCTTCAGGCGGCGGCGCTGAAGGCGTGGAGCGGCAAGGCGGAAAACGTCGCCGCCGGCCAGCGGGCCTTCGCTCACCGCGCGAAAATGAACGCGCTTGCGGCAACCGGCCAGTGGAGCGCCGACCAGGAAGCGGCCTGATCGCAGTCGGGCCGTTTCGCCAAACGGCCCGCTTCCAACCGGCGCGGTTTTTGCCTAATGTCTCGGCCCTGCGGACCATCAGGCAGGACCATGACCGATCTCGAGAAACCGCCGACCACAACGGCGCTCTATTCCTGGGCCATGTTCCCCGTCTATGCGTGGCAGGGCATCCGGCTGCGCATGCGGATCGAACGCCTGTTGCCCGCGCCGGTGCCCACCCAGGGCGCATTTCCCGGCAATTCGCCGGAAGTGCGCCTTCTGGTGATGGGCGATTCGACCGTCGCCAGCGTCGGCATGGAGACGCTCGAGGACACGCTCGCCTTCAACATCGCCAAGGCGGTCAATGACGAGACCGGCTGGCCTGTTTCCTGGCGCGCCGCGGGCGGCAATTCGGCGACAGCCTCGGACCTGCGCGATTTCATCGTGCCGCATGTCGAGCCGCGCGACTGGACGCATATCGCGCTGTCGGTCGGCATCAACGACATGAAGAACTTTCACATGGTGCGGCGCTTCAAACGCGATTTCGGCGCACTGCTCTATTCCGCCCGCGCACGCTTTCCCCAGGCCCGCATCGTCTGGTGCCCGATCCCCGACATGCGCCAGTGTCCGGCGCTGCCGCCCACGCTGGGCCGCATCCTTGCCGCCCGGGCCGAACTGATCAATGCGATGGGCGCGCGCATGTGCCGCGAGCGCGGCGCGATCGTCACCGATCCGGTGCCGCCGCAGAGCGTCGATGCGTTCGCCCGCGACGGGTTTCATCCCAATGGCGATGGCTACCGCGTCTGGGGCCGGCACTTCGCGCGCTGGATCGTCCCGCCGCGGGGCGAGGCCGATCCGCTGCCCGACGAGGTCACGCCCTTGCGCCGCACCGGTTGACGCGCCGGCATCGCGCCCAAACCATCGTCGGATGGACGGGCCGCGCCGGCGATCCTATGACAGGTCATCGAGCAGGCGGGTCGGCAGGCGCAAAAGCGCCGCCTGGGAGGGCCGGGGCCTGCGCCGCCATCGAGGAGGAGCGCAGATGGGCAAGCCGTCGGAGTATGGTCGCGTGTACGCGGCATGGAAGGACAGTCCCGAGGATTTCTGGGCCGAGCAGGCCGCGCAGATCGACTGGTTCGAGCCCTGGACGCGCGTGTTCGACCCCGATGAGGGCGTCTATGGCCGCTGGTTCGCCGGCGCCAAATGCAACACCTGCTTCAACGCGGTCGACCGGCATGTCGAGCGCGGACGACCCGGCCAGCCGGCAATCATCCATGACAGCCCGATCACCGGCACCAAGACGGTGATCACCTATCGCGAACTGCGCGACGAGGTTCAGGCGCTGGCCGCCGTGCTGCGTGATCTGGGCGTCGCAAAAGGCGACCGGGTTATGGTCTATATGCCGATGGTGCCCGAGGCGGTCGTTGCGATGCTGGCCGCGGCGCGGCTCGGCGCGGTCCATTCGGTCGTCTTCGGCGGCTTTGCCGGCAACGAACTGGCGACCCGGATCGACGATTGCCATCCCAAGGTGATCGTCACCGCTTCGTGCGGGCTCGAACCGAACCGGACGGTCGAATACATGCCGCTGATCGAGCACGGGCTGGAGGAAGCGGACTTCACGCCCTCAAACCTCGTCGTCCTGCAACGGCCGCAGCATGAGGCGCAGCTCAAGGACGGGCGCGATGTGGACTACCGCGCCGCGGTCGATGCCCACAAGCAAAAGGGGACATTGGTCGAGTCCGTTCCGGTCGATGCGACCGACCCGCTCTACATCCTTTACACGTCCGGTACGACCGGCCAGCCCAAGGGCGTCGTCCGCGACAATGGCGGGCACATGGTGGCGCTCAAATGGTCCATGTCGGCGATTTACGACATCGAGCCGGGCGAGGTGTTCTGGGCGGCCTCCGATGTGGGATGGGTGGTCGGCCATTCCTACATCGTCTATGCGCCGCTGCTGCATGGCGCCACAACCTTGATGTTCGAGGGCAAGCCGGTGGGCACGCCCGATGCGGGCGTCTTCTGGCGCGTCATCGAGGAGCATCGCGTGGCGGCGCTGTTCACCGCGCCGACGGCGATCCGCGCGATCAAGAAGGAAGACCCAAAGGGCGGACTGGTCGGCGATTACGACCTGTCGGCCCTGCGCACGCTTTTCCTGGCCGGTGAGCGCGCCGACCCGGACACGATCAAATGGGCGGGCGCGACGCTGAACGTGCCGGTGATCGACCATTGGTGGCAGACCGAGACGGGTTGGGCCATCGCCGGCAATCCCGTCGGCCTTGGCAAGCTGCCGGTCAAGATTGGCTCACCTACCGTGCCGATGCCCGGTTATGACGTGCAGGTGCTGGACGATGAGGGCCATCCGGTCGGGGCCGGCACGCTCGGCAACATCGTCGTCAAGCTGCCGCTGCCGCCATCGTGCCTGCCGACGCTGTGGAACGCCGACGAGCGGTTCCGCACCGCCTATCTCGAAGAGTTCCCCGGCTACTACAAGACGGCGGACGCCGGCTATATCGACGAGGACGGCTATCTGTTCATCATGGCGCGCACCGACGACATCATCAACGTCGCCGGCCACCGCCTGTCGACGGGCGGCATGGAGGAGGTGATCGGCGGCCATCCCGATGTCGCCGAATGCGCGGTGATCGGCATTGCCGACGAGCTGAAAGGCCAGTTGCCCGCCGGCTTCCTGATCCTCAATGCGGGCGTCGACAAGGATCCCGCCACGGTCGAAAAAGAGGTGGTCAGGCTGGTGCGCGAGGAGATCGGACCGGTCGCCGCTTTCAAGATCGCGCTGGCGGTCAAGCGCCTGCCGAAGACGCGCTCGGGCAAGATCCTGCGCGGCGTCATGCAGAAGATCGCCGATGGCGAGCCCTACAAGATGCCCGCGACGATCGACGATCCGGCGATTCTTGACGAGATCGCCGAGGTGGTGAAAACGCGCGGCGTCGGCGCGCAGGCACAGAAGGTGGCATGACAACCATCGGCTTGCACGCAATTCCTTTTGCGGTCACAAATTGTGACAGCAAAAGGGGCGTCGGGGATGGTCAAAGGCGAGCGGAATGTCGATGCGTTTCTTTCGAAGATCTTCTTGGCGCGTGGCCATCCTGTCATAGCCGATAGTGATCTTGCCGATCTCTACGAAACGACCACAAGCGCCCTCAATCAGCAGGTCAAACGCAACATGGAGCGCTTTGACGATCTGTTTGCCTTCCGCCTGACGCGCGACGAGTGGGCGGATTTGAAATCACAAACTGTGACCGCAAAGAAGGGGCGGGGCGGAAGGACAAACCCGCTTATGGTCTTCACGCAAGAGGGCATGCTGATGGCAGCCACGGTTGTGCGAAGTCCGCGGGCGACCGAGACTGTCAAATTGATGGTGCATGTGTTCCGGACGGTGTTTCCCCAGTTCTTCTCCGGTTCAGCGCAAATGGAAACCAAAAGCGCCACCTCAAACAAGCAGACGCAACTGCTCGATACGATCGGCAACATCATACGGGACATCGGGAAGGTCGGAATCGATCCGGCAAGCGACGCGACGATCGCCAGCGAGCTGCAAAAACTTCCCAAGGCGGCCAGCGACTACGTTCAGGCCAAAATGGACGGCCCAACGGTTCAAAACGAAGAGACCCGGGCACAGATCCGCAAACTCGATGCCGAATCGGAAAAACTGCGGGCCGACGCCTACAAGTCCCGCATGGAAGGACTGCGCGCGGCAGTCGAAGCCTACACGATGCTCGAAAGCCGTGATGCGAGCCCGGTCATCGAGATGATGAATTCGATGACCGGATACAGCAAGGCCGGTCCTATGATAGATATCACGCCGAGCGGGCCGGATTCGAAATCCTGACATGGCTCGCTGCCACACTTGGACGGAGAACCAGCCATGGCCCTGGACGGCAAGATCGCAATCGTCACCGGCGGTGCGCAGGGCATCGGCTACGGCATCGCCAAGCGCTTCCTGCAAGACGGGGCGCGGGTCGCAATCGCCGATCTCGACAAGACCAAGGGCGAGGCGGCGGAAGAGGCGCTGTCGGAGCTGGGCGATGTCCAGTTCGTGGCCACCGATGTCGGCAGCCGGCTGGACGTGCACAACATGGTCGCCGCGGTCACCGAGACCTGGGGCGACATCGATGTGCTGGTCAACAATGCCGGCATCGTCCACGGCGCCGACTTCCTCGAGATCACCGAGGCCGATTTCGACCGCGTCCTGCGCGTCAACCTGAAAGGCGCGTTTCTGTGCGGCCAGGCGGTCGGCCAGTTCATGGCCGACAAGGTCAGGGAGGGCGGGCCGGCGGGCGCGATCGTCAATATGAGCTCGATCAACGGTTCGGTGGCGATCCCCAACCAGGTGCCCTATTGCGTCTCAAAGGGCGGCATCAACCAGCTTACCAAGGTGATGGCGCTGTCGCTGGCGCCCTACGGCATCCGCGTCAACGCGGTCGGGCCGGGCTCGATCATGACCGAGATGCTCGCTTCTGTGAACGCCGATCCGGCGGCGCGCAACCGCATCCTTTCGCGCACGCCGCTGCTCAGGATCGGCGAAACCAGCGAGGTGGCGGCGACCGTGGCGTTTCTTGCCTCCGGCGAAGCCAGCTACATTACCGGCGAGGTGCTGCACGCCGATGGCGGGCGGCTGGCGCTCAACTATGTGGTGGACGTGCCGGACGAAGAGTAAGGGCTGCCAACGCTCCTGACAGAATGCTGTCAGTTGGACCATGCGATAGCTTCTCCGCCCGATCGGGGGCAACGAGACAAACAGGGAGAAGCGGACATGAGCGACAAGGGCAACGAACACGCGGTGTGCTGGGCGGAGATTCCGGTGACCGACATGGAGCGCGGCAAGGCGTTTTATGGCACGGTTCTGGGCATCGAACTGGTGGACAACAATGCCGGACCGAACCCGATGGCTGACTTTCCGACCAGCGACCCGAAGAAAGGCATTGCGGGCCATCTTTATCCCGGCAAGCCGGCGCCCAAGGGCACGGGCAACACGATCCATCTGGTGGCCAGCGACCCGCTCGACCGGGTGATGGAACGGGTCAAGGCGGCGGGTGGCGAGGTGGTTTCACCGGCGATCGACATTCCGGCCGGCAGCTTCTTCTACGCGCACGATCCGGACGGCAATTCGATCGGTCTTTTCAACTTCAAGAGCTGATGGAACGCCTCTAAATTCGTCACCAGGGAGACAGCGGTGAGTGAGAACAAGCGCATGGGCCTTGTCCTGATCGAGGCGTTCGCGGACTGGGAGTACGGGCTGCTCGCGGCCAGCGCGGTCGCCTGGTTCGGCTGCTCGCTCACCGTTCTGACGCCGGGCGCAGGCATCGTGACCTCGATGGCAGGCGCCAGGATCGCCGGCGAGGCGGCGCTTGAAGGCGCAAAGGCCGAGAGCTACGACGCCTTGGCGCTGATCGGCTCGGATCGTTGGGAACAGGGCGCGGCCACCCCGGCCGATGACCTCGCACGCGATGTCCTTGAGCGCGGCGGCACGGTCGGCGCGATCTGCGGCGGCACTGTGGCGCTTGCAAGGTCCGGCCTGCTCGAGGGCCGCACCCATACCAGCAATGGCCGGAAGTGGCTTCGAGAGGCCGCCGGCTCCTATGCCGGCGCGGAGCACTATCGCGACACGCCGGCAGCGGTGCGCGACGGTCCCGTCGTCACCGCACCGGGCACGGCGCCGGCAACGTTCGCCATCGCCATGCTCGAGGCGATGCTGCCCGGCCGGGCCGAACAGGTCGGCCAGATGCGCGCCATGATGGCAGCCGAGCACGCTGCGGCCGGATGATCCCATGCGACGCGCGGACCGCCTCTTCCAGATCGTTCAGCACCTGCGCGGCGGGCGCCTGACCACGGCGGCGCGGCTCGCCGAGCAGCTCGAAGTGTCCGAACGCACGATCTATCGCGACATTGCCGATCTGCAGTCGACCGGCGTGCCGATCGATGGCGAGGCCGGCGTCGGCTACATCATGCGCGAGGGGTTCGACCTGCCGCCGATGATGTTCACGCGCGACGAGATCGTCGCGCTGGTCGCCGGCGCGCGCATGGTCAGCGCCTGGGGCGGCATCGCCATGGCGCGCGCCGCCCAGGAGGCGCTGGTCAAGATCGAGACGGTGCTGCCCGACACGGCGCGGGCGCGGCTCAAATCGGTGGAAATCCGCGCGCCCGCGCACCGCATGTCGGCAGAGGAACGCGAAAAGCTCGACACGCTCGAACGGGCCTGTGAGGATCGGCTGGTCACCGCGCTCGCCTATACCGATGCGGAGGGGGCTGCGACCGACCGCTCCATCTGGCCGCTGGGTCTCTGGTTCTGGGGCGGAAGCTGGACGGTGATCGGCTGGTGCCTGAAGCGCGAGGATTTCCGCATGTTCCGCATCGACCGGATCGGCACCATGACGCCGACCGGTGCGACCTTCAGACCCGAGAAGGGCAAGACCTTGCGCGACTTCTACGCGCAGATGATCGCGTGCGGCGAAGTGCCCAAGGGTTTCGATTTCCTCGGCCCGGGCATATAAGCGGGAACCGTCTGGGCGGCCGACGCGGGCTATTCGGCCGCGACCATTGCCGCCTTTTCGTCAAGCGCGGCAAGCTGGTCCTCGACCCATCCGGCGCGGCGGGTGGCGTCGATGAAGCCGCCGCCCAGAACGCGGGCGCCCGATCCCTCTCCGTCATAAAGCACACAGGCCTGGCCGGGCGAAACGCCGGTTTCGCCGCCGACCAGTTCGACGATCGCCGTGCCGTTTTCGACGAACAGGCGCGCGGGCTTGGGCGGCCGCGTCGACCGTACCCGTGCCAGGAGATCGATGCCGCCTGCGGGCAGTTCGTCGAGCGGTGTCGCGCCGAGCCAGTTGACCTCGCGCAGGACGATGCGCCGCGTGTCGAGTGCGTCCTTAGGGCCGACGATGACGCGCCGCGTGCGGGCGTCGATCCTGACGACATAGAGCGGTTCGCCGGTGGCGACGCCCAGCCCCTTGCGCTGGCCGATCGTGTAATGGAGGACGCCGTCGTGCCGGCCGAGCACGCGCCCGTCCATGTGCACGATCTCGCCGGCCAGCGCCGCGTTCGGGCGCAGCCTGGCGATGACGTCGGCATATTTTCCGTCCGGCACGAAGCAAATGTCCTGGCTGTCGGGCTTGTTGGCGACGACCAGCCCCAATTGTTCGGCCCGGGCGCGGGTCTCGTCCTTGGTCATCGTGCCAAGCGGGAAGCGCAGGAAATCGACCTGCTCCTGCGTGGTGGCGAACAGGAAATAGCTCTGGTCGCGATGGGCGTCGGCGGGCCGGCGCAGCGCGCGGTGCGCGCCGTCGGGCGTCGACAGGATGTAATGGCCCGTCGCCAGACAATCGGCGCCCAGATCGCGCGCGGTCTTCAGGAGATCGGCGAACTTGACGGTCTGGTTGCACGACACACACGGGATCGGCGTTTCGCCGGCGACGTAGCTGTCGGCAAACCGGTCGATCACCGCTTCACGGAAACGGCTTTCATAATCAAGCACATAGTGAGGGATGCCCAGCTCTTCGCAGACCCGGCGCGCATCGTCGATATCCTGGCCGGCGCAGCACGAACCGGTCCGCCGAACCGCCGCGCCGTGATCGTAGAGCTGCAGCGTGATGCCGATAACCTCATAGCCTTCGGCGTGCAGGATCCCGGCGACGACGGAGGAATCGACGCCGCCCGACATGGCAACGACCACGCGGGTGTCTTCGGGCTTCTTGGCGATGTCGAGCGAGTTGCGCATCACGGTCCTTTCGCGCGCAGCATATAGGCGATTGCCGCCGCGAACGCCAATCGCCCGGTGAGCGCTTCGTTTTCACGGATCGTGACACAGTGTAACCGCCGATTGAATCTTACCAATCCCTTAGCGTCACCTTAGGCGTTTTTTAAACGCTGGGGGACTAGTGTGGCCGCTGACGAGGTCGTGTGTGTTGAGAGTAGTATGACCGATCAGATAAGACCCCGAGTGAAATACGTCATCGGTCCAGACGGATCGCCGCTGACGATCAACGATCTGCCGCCGACATCGACCCGCCGCTGGGTCATCCGGCGCAAGGCCGAGGTCGTCGCTGCCGTGCGGGGCGGGCTTTTGAGCCTCGACGAGGCGTGCGAGCGCTACCGGCTGACGGTCGAGGAGTATCTGTCCTGGCAGGCCTCGATCGACGAGCACGGCCTGGCCGGCCTGCGCACCACGCGCATCCAGCAGTATCGCCACTGAACGGGACGCGGCCCGCCGCCTCCCGTCTTTCAACCAACCCGCGGCGTTCTAAACCCCCCCACATGCGTGGATGGCGGCAGTGAACGACCGGGGCTTCAACATCGCATCGCTGATCGTGCTGGGGCTCGTCGTCGCCGTCGTGCTCGGCGTCGTCCTGTTCGGCGGCTAGGACGGCTGTTTCGGCGTCGGCGTTAGAAGCCACGCGGCAACGGCACTGGCCAGCGCCGATCCGGCGAAGAACCACAGACCCGGTTGGCTGATGGCGGTGGCCAGCCCCGACGTGCGGGCCGCGAAGATCGCCAGCGCCACGAGCATCACGTCGAGCATGGACCATTTGGTGAAGATGCCGACCGCGCGGTCGAGCGGGCGCGCCCATGCCGGATGGCGGTCGGGCGGCGTGGCCGCAAGGGCGGCGCTGACATGAAGGGCGGCGATCTTGGCGGCCGGAAAGACGATCGAGGCCAGCGCGATGATCGCGGCGAGCAGCGGATCGCCGCTGTTCCACAGGCCCGCCACCACGTCGATCAGCGAGGGCCGGTCGGTCAGGACGAACAGCCGCTCCATCTCGAGCAGCGGCAAGGTAATCCCGAGCGCGAGGCAAAAGGCGGCGGCCGCCAGCAGCAATCCGGTCAGGGCAAGCTTCATGCCCAAGCGATAGAGGCGGGCAGGGCCGGCTGCAACCGCCGGCCCCAAATGTCAGCCGATCATGGCCTGCCGGTCATAGGCGCTGGTGCGTGCCGACTGTTCCTCGGCGACGCGGCGCGCCTCGCGAACGTCCAGTTTTTCGGCCTTTTGCAGCTCCGCCTCGGCGTCCATCAGGGCCGCCTCTGCGGCATCCTTTTGCGACTGCAGGTCCCTGATCGAGTTGAACAGATTGTCGCGCCGGGTGCGCGCCGCCTTGGCAAAAGTCGGATAGGCGAAGTGATCGACATCGGTGATGCCGCTCTTCTTCTCCTCGTTCTGGATCTGGACGTCCAGTTCGCCGGCCATGCGCTCGAATTCGGCAATCATGGTTTCGAGCTGGTTCACCTGGCGATGCTTCTCGGTCACCTGGAACTGTTTGACCCTGATCAGGCTGTCTTTCGGCTTCATTACTCAATACTCCAACCATAAAGCCGGGCAGGGCCCGGTGACGCGGGACGCAGCCGCCAATCCCGCTCACAGATACGGGATTGGTAACACTTCGTTTACGTCCTGCATTAATGATAGGCGCTAACCTTTAAGGGCGGGTAAACCGACCCGCCGCCCAAGGCGGCAATGGTGCCGACATCGGTTTGTGGAATCCAATGATTGGGTTACCGGGAGTTCCTGACAGATTGATTCAGGTTCCCGACGCAAAAAATGTGTGAAAATCAATCATTTCGAGGCGGTGATTAATCTGCTGAGTGATCTTGCATTTCCGGAACAGGTTTTGTTAACCATTTGGATGCAGGGTGATTTGCGCGATTGTGGGCAAGCCGGGACGGGCCACCGCACGCTTTCGAACTCGTCAAGGGGATAAAAATGCGTGTTTTGCTGATCGAGGACGACAGTGCGATCGCACAAAGCATCGAGCTGATGCTCAAGTCCGAGAGCTTCAATGTCTACACCACCGATCTGGGCGAAGAGGGCGTCGACCTCGGCAAGCTCTACGATTACGACATCATCCTTCTGGACCTGAACCTGCCGGACATGTCGGGCTATGAAGTGCTGCGCACGCTGCGCCTGTCGAAGGTCAAGACGCCGATCCTCATCTTGTCGGGCATGGCAGGCATCGAGGACAAGGTGCGGGGCCTGGGCTTCGGCGCCGACGATTACATGACCAAGCCCTTCCACAAGGACGAACTGGTCGCGCGCATCCACGCCATCGTGCGCCGATCGAAGGGCCATGCCCAGTCGGTGATCACCACGGGCGACCTCGTCGTCAATCTGGACGCCAAGACCGTGGAGGTCGGCGGGCAGCGGGTGCACCTGACCGGCAAGGAATACCAGATGCTGGAGCTGCTCTCGCTGCGCAAGGGCACAACGCTGACCAAGGAAATGTTCCTCAACCACCTCTATGGCGGTATGGACGAGCCGGAACTGAAGATCATCGACGTCTTCATCTGCAAGCTGCGCAAGAAGCTCGATGCGGCGTCCGGCGGCGTCAACTATATCGAGACCGTGTGGGGTCGCGGCTACGTGCTGCGCGATCCCGAGCCCGCCCAGATGGCCGAAACCGGCTGACACGCGGTTTTCTCCCGACCAACAAAAAAGCCCGGCCATGCGCCGGGCTTTTTGATGTGCGCAATCGCATGCCTCTCAGGCGGCGGCGGCCGTCACCTGTTCGAAACGCGACAGAAGCTGTGCCCGGTCGAACGGCTTGAGCAGATAGTCGTCGGCGCCGGCGCGCTTGGCCTTGGTCATGCACACAAGGTCCATCTCGATCATGGCAACGATGACAACCGGTTCGGCGCCGCCTTCCATCTGGCGCAGCGCGCGGATGAACTCGACCAGTTCCATATCGGCCGGGTCGGCCTCAACGATGATCGTATCGGGCATCTGCGCGTCGCACATGGCCAGTGCCTCCGCGGCCGTTTCGGCTTCGATGATGGAACGGTCGTCAGCGCCAAGAATGCGCTTGGAGACCTTGCGGACGACGGCCGATTTCTCAACGATCATGCAGCGTGACATTGTCACCCCCGACTCGTGTTGTTCGGGGACGGTTCTATCACCGCCGGTTTGCCATCGGCTTAAGCGCCGTGGTTTACGCCGGCATAACGCAACCGGTAAAATCCGGCGCAATCGCCGATCGGAGCCTATCGCGCCGTATAGGTGATGGCGTCGTCGCTCATCTCGGCGGTAACGGTCATGCCCGCCTCGTTGGCCAGCAGCAGCGTGTAGTAGAACTGCACGGAATGGGCATCGATCGGCTCGTCGTCGAACCGGCCGTCGAGGAAATCGGCGAATTTCTGCGGAATGCGCATCAGCTTGCCGGCCGCGCGCAGCGTGATGACGGGCCTGTCGCCGCCGGTCTGCATGGCGCAGTCGAGCGTACCGCCGCGCGGGATCGAGCCATTGGCGACAAGGAGGAGGTTGAGCACCAGCTTGACCTGGTTCTTGGGCAGCAACGCCCGCTCGGCGGTCCAGGTGAAGTCGGCCTTTTCGCCCTTCATGAAGGCCAACGCGACAGCCTGCGCGTCTCCGGTATCGATCTCGACGCCCGCCGAGCCGGCCGCGCCGAAGGCGATGCGGGCGAATTGCAGGCGTGCCGAGGCGTTGACCGCGCTGGTGCGGATCAGGTCCATGGCGTCCTCGTCGGCGCCGCCATCGTCGAGCAGTTCAAGACCGTTGTTGATCGCGCCGACCGGCGAGATGATGTCGTGACAGACACGGCTGCACAGGAGCGAAGCCAGTTCCGATGGCGCAAGGTCTTTGAGTTGGTGCATTTTACGATCCGGAATTTCTTGAAGGAATCATGGCCCCGCCCCCGGGACGGAGGTTAGCGGGCAGGCTGGGTAGGGGCAATGGTGCGGGCGGCAACCGCAGGCATTGCTTAACAAGGCGTTGCTTAACAAAGCGGAAACCAGAATTCCCTAAAGTTTGAGCAATGAGCGGCCGCGCCAAGGGCGCGCCCGAATTGGCGGTCACGCTGGTCGTGACGTCAACCAATTGCCAGGAGGTCATCCATGAACGCGATCGCAACCCGGTGGGCATCCGCCGAAGAGACGATGCGTCGCCTTGCCATGACGGTGCTGGGCGCGCTGGCCGTTGCCGCGGCGCTGATCTTCGCCGCACCGGCGCATGCGCAAAATGCCCAGGCGCAGCCGAGCCCCTACGGTCTCGAAGAGGTGGTGGCGGCGGGCCACGGCTTCTTCGGTTCGACATCGGGCGCCATCGCCACGGCGATCGAGCGCGCCTTTTCCATGTACGGCCTGCCCAACGGCTACATTCTGGGCCAGGAAGCCGGCGGCGCGTTCGTCGGCGGGCTGACCTATGGCGAAGGCACGCTCTACACCAAGAATGCCGGCGACCACAGCGTCTTCTGGCAGGGACCGTCGCTGGGCTGGGATTTCGGCGGCGAGGGCGCGCGCACGATGATGCTCGTCTATCACCTGCCGTCGGTCGACAATCTTCAGGGCCGCTATGGCGGCGTCGCCGGCTCGGCCTATCTGGTCGCCGGCGTTGGCATGCACGTGCTCAAGCGCAACAATGTGCTGCTGGTGCCTGTGCGCACCGGTGTCGGCGCCCGGCTCGGCGTGTCTGTGGGCTATCTGAAGCTGACCAACCGACCGACCTGGAACCCGTTCTGACAGCGAGGCCCTGACGGGGTACGCCCTGTCGATCGGCGCCACGCTGGATTGTCGCGCCGATCCGTGGCAGACCGGCCCGCAGCAATCGGCACGCGGGTGAGACTGGTCCCTTGATCGAAGCGGCTCTTTACATCGCAACAGGGTTTCTGGCGGCCGTTCTGGCGGCCATGATCGTTGCTCCGGCGATCTGGCGCCGCGCCGTCTATCTGACCCGCAAGCGCATCGAGGCGTCCGTGCCGCTGACGGTCAGCGAGTTGCAGGCGGACAAGGACCGTCTGCGCGCCGAACACGCCGTCGCCGAAAAGAAGCTCGACGTGGCGCTGCGCAAGCAGCGCGACCTCTCGACACGGCAGGCCGCCGAGATCAGCGACATGAAGGCCACCTTGAAGGACAGGGACGCGTCGATTGCCGAGCGCGATGCGACGATCGGCGATCTGACCGGGCAGCTGGACGCAACGCGCGAGGAACTTGGCCGCACCCGGGCCGATCTGGAGGCGACGCGGCTCGAACTGAACACCACCAATGCGGCGCTCAGCGCGCGCGGCCGAACTGGAAAGCACGGCGCGCCTGCGGGCCGAAGCGGAAAAGCAGGCCGCCGCAGCCGCCCAGGCCCTTGCCGATCAGCAGACACGCTATGGCGCGCTGGAAGACCGTCTGGGGGAGACCCGCGAAAAGCTGCGCACCCAGCAAGGCAAGGCGCGCGACAGCCGCGCCGAAGCGCGCCAGACCGCCGAACTGCTGAAAACCGAGCGCGCCAAGTCGGCCGAGATGGACACCCGGCTCGAACGCGCCATCGCGCGCGCCTCCGATCTGGAAGACAAGCTTGCGCGTCGCGAGAAGGAAATCACCCGGCTGCGCGACGCGCAGGCAGGCGAGGAGGCGGACCTCCAGGAGCTTGAACAGCGCGCGCTCGACGCCGAGCAGGAGCGTGCCGCGCTCGAAGAGGAACTGGGCGACCTGACGGTGCGCGTCGCACGCATCACCAAGCAGTTGGACGGTCAGGAGCCGGAGGCGGTGATCGGCGCGCGCGATGTGAAGATCGCGCAGCTCGAAGCGGATCTGAAATCCGAACGCAAGCGCGTCAAGGCGCTGACCGAGCAGTTGGAAAAGCACGAAGCGACCTCCGCCGATGAGGGCGAAGCCGCGCTGCGCGACGAAATCGGCGCGCTGGCCGCCGAGATCGTCCATATGGCATCGCTGCTCGAGGGCGAGGGCTCGCCGATCCCCGATCTTGTCGCCGAAGCCGACGATGGCGCGCCGCAGGGCACGGTCAGCCTCGCCGCGCGCGTGCGGGCATTGCAGGCCAAGGCACGGCGCGGAACGGGCGCCCCGCCGCCCGTTGGCGAGAACGGCAAGGCGGCGGAAACGGACGCGGTGTCATCCTGACGCCGGTCCGGTGCGCGCATTGCGCACATGATGCAGGACCAGTGCCGCGCTTGTCGCCACATTGAGGCTGTCGAACCCGTTGGCCATGGCGATGCGCAATGTCTGCGTCCGGTCCATGACGCGATCGGGCAGGCCCGGTCCTTCCGTTCCGAGGACAAGCGCCACCTTTGCCGGCGGTTCCCAATTTTCGAGCGCCGCATCGCCGCGCGGCGACAGGCCGGCCAGGGCGAAGCCGTTCGTCTCAAGCCAGTCGAGCATTGCGTCGGCATGGCCGAAACGATGCCATGGCACGGTCAGCACGGCGCCGACCGAGACGCGCAGCGCCTTGCGGTAGAGCGGGTCGCAGCTTTGCGCGTCCATCAGCACCGCATCGGCGCCAAGCGCCGCCGCGTTGCGGAAGATCGCGCCCATATTGTCGTGGTTGGCGATTTCCGACAGGGCAACCACCGTTCGCCAGCGCCGCGCAGTGTCCGGTGCGGCATCGGCATCGTCGCGCCGAAGACCGACCGCCAGAACGCCGCGATGCATCGGAAAACCGGCAATGGCGTCGATGACGTCGGACGATGCGACATAGACGCGCGTTTTCGCCGGCAGCATGCCGAGAATGTCCGCCACGCCGGCAAACCGGTTTTCGAGGATCAGGGCGCTTTCGATGCCGAAACGCCGTTGCCCCGCCAGGACGCGCAGCACGCTCGTCCCCTCGGCGATGAAGCGCTTCTGATGGCGCACCAGGTCCCGCTCGCGGATGCCGCGATAGGCCGCGATGCGCGGATCGTCCGGATCCACGATCTGTAGCGGTCTTCTTGCGTCCGTCATGGGGTGCGGTCGGCACCATGCATGAGAAGATCGTCCACCACGTTGCCCGACACGCCGTTCGAGAGGGGCGTGAAGTCGCCATGGTCGAGCATGGCGCGGGTGGCATCGATCATCACCTTGTGCGTGGCGCGCGCCATTGCAGAACCGATCGACACGCGCCTCACGCCGGCTTCGGCGAACTGCTGCAGGCTCACCGATGTGAAGGAGCCGGCGGCCAGCGCGTTGAACGGTTTCGTCACCGAGGCGACGATGCGCCGGAGCGCGGCCATGTCCGGCGGCAGCGGCGCGTAGAGAAGATCCGCACCGGCCCCTTCGAACGCGCGCAGACGGCGGATTGCCTCTTCGGTGTCGTAGTGACCGTTCATGATGCCGTCGGCGCGGGCGCAGAAGACGAACGGCCGGCCGAGTGCCCGCGCGGCGGCGGAAGCAGCGCGCACCCGTTCGACGGCGAGGTCAAACGGATAGGGCGGGTTGCCGCCGACCATCTGCGTGTCCTCGATCGAACAGCCCGAAAGCCCGGCTTCGCCGGCAAGCCGCACCGTTTCGGCAACGCCATCGGGATCGTCGGCAAAGCCGTTCTCGAAATCGCCCGAGACCGGCAGGGGCGTTGCGGCGATCAGGTCCTGGGCATGGGCGAGCGCCTCGTCGCGGGTCACCCGGCCCCCGTCCGGCTTGCCGAGCGTGAAGGCGTGGCCGGCGCTGGTCGTCGCCAGGGCCCTGGCGCCGCAGGCGGCCATGAGCCGCGCGGAGCCCACGTCCCACGGATTGGGAATGATGAAGCAGCCCGATGCGTGCAGGGCTTCGAAACCGGCATGCCGTTCGGCCAGTGCGTTCATGGCATCAATCCTCCATTGCGCGGGCCGCATCGGCCATCTGTTTGAGCACCTTGCGCAGATCGCCCGCGCGCTGCAGCGGCTCAGGGTAGAAGATTCGCGCCCGTTCGTCGCCATCGCCCAGATCCATGCCTTCTGAATCGATGGTCAGCAACTGCCAGCCGCCGGGTCTTTTGCGCGCCAGCTTCTGCGCGTAGAGCGCGATGGCCTCGGCATGGTCGGCATTCATGTGGACGACCGCGCCATGCTCCAGCGCGGCGATGCCCTCGAGATCGCCGGCCAGCGCCAGATCGGCCGCGCCCAACTCATAGGCCTTGCCGAACCCGCCATTGAGGCTTGCCGAATGCACATTCAGCCGGAAGAAGGCGAAATCGCCGAAATCGGCATAGAGCGCGGCCTTGGGGTGGCGCGCCAGATGCCGGCGCCGGATTCGGCCATGGTCATCCGTGCCGCGCGCGACCCGCGCACCGACCGTGCGCAGCGTGATGCGCGGATGGGCCAGCGGGTCGCCCTTGCCCGGCTCGCCGATCAGAAGCGCGCTTTCCGGCACGGTTTCGAGCGCGCCCAGATGCGGCGACAGGGCCGAGATCAGGATCACCGGCGTGCCGTCGAAATCGGTGGAAAGCTGCACCCGGCTGACACCGGGAAAGCCGTCGTCCGAGGGGTGGACGGCCAGCGCGGCGTGGCGGGCGGTCGCAATCAGCGTCTTGGCGAGGCGGATCGCCTCGCCGTCGGTCTCGCGCAGCACGCTTTTCTTTTCCGCCTCGCCCATCGTCACCCGCCGCTTGCCTGTTGAGAACGCCGTCCAATGCGTGGCACGGCGCGGCCCCGTGGTCTATCCCTTCTGGCGACCGGCAGGCAAAGCGACGAAACGGTGCGGCGATGGCCAAGCTCTATTTCCACTATTCGGCAATGAACGCCGGCAAGTCGACCATGCTGCTGCAGGCCTCGCACAATTATCGCGAACGGCACATGACGACGCTCCTGTTCACGGCGCGGCTCGACGACCGGGCGGGTGAGGGGCGGATCGCCTCGCGGATCGGGCTGGGCGACGAGGCACTGACCTTTGCGCCCGATGACGATCTGTTCGCCATCGTGCGCGACCACACGGAAAACGCGCCGGTGCATTGCGTCTTCGTCGACGAGGCGCAGTTTCTCACCGAAGACCAGGTCTGGCAGCTGGCGCGGATCGCCGACCGGCTGGGCGTACCGGTCATGGCGTACGGCCTGCGCACGGACTTTCAGGGCAAGCTGTTTCCCGGCTCGCTGGCGCTTCTGGCGATCGCAGACGATCTGCGAGAGGTGCGCACCATCTGCCGCTGCGGCCGCAAGGCGTCGATGGTGGTGCGGCTCGGGCCGGACGGCAAGGTTGTGCGGGAAGGCGATCAGGTCGCCATCGGCGGCAATGACCGCTACGTGTCGCTGTGCCGGCGCCACTGGGAGGAAGAGATGGGCCGCATCGACGCCGAGGACATGATCGGCTTTACCGCCCGGTGATCGTGCCCCGCGCTTGACGCAAGGCCGACTTTCAATTGTCATCACACCAACTTATATGCGGCGTGAAGTCGCTCAGAGGGGTTGGTCCATGGCAAGCTTGCAGAATTTCGATTCCGAGATCGAACGCACAAAACAGGCGGTCGAGCAGATGCAGACGCGGATCGAGCAGTCGAGCGACGTGCTCGACCGGTTCGCCAAGGCGGATGCGGCCATCGGCGACGCCGATTTCGACATCGAAAACGCCCGCATCCAGGACGTGCTCAAGCAGCAATCGGTGATGGAAGCCAACATTGCCGACCTGATCATCGGGCTCGAGGACGCGACCAACGTGTTCGGCCAGGAATTTGAGTCGATGAAGTCGTACACGACCTGGGAGAGCATTGTCGGCATGTTCTCCAAGCAGCGCATGCAGCGGATGCGCTCGGAGCGGGTGCGCAACATGTCGCTGGCCGGCAATCTGCAGGAGCTTCTGACCAAGTCGGACACGATCGTCGGCATTCTCGACGGCCAGCGCACCATCCTCGACGAGCGCTATGAGACCTCCGAGGCGAGCCTCCGGCAGGTGATCGACCGGCGCACGGGCACGATGGAACAGCTCGAAAAGACGCAGGAGCGGATCGAGGAACTGAACCCGATGCTGCTCGACATCGAAAACCGGATCGCCGCCTCGACCAACCAGAAGGAACGGTCCGAACTGGAAGGCAAGCGGTCCGAACTTGCGACCGAGTACAATGAAATGCAGGCGCGCGAGCAGACGCTGCTCGCCGAGAGCCAGACGCTGGAACGCTACACGTCCATGTTCCAGACGTTCGTCGACTCGCTCAACAATCAGAAGGCGGCGCAGTCGACGCTGATCAACAAGCTGACCATCGACACCGAACAGCGCATCGTCCTCTACAAGGCGCTCGAGGATTCGCTGAAGACCGCCGCCCAGCAGGATGTCGCCCACAAGATCAACACGCTGGGCAGCCAGGTGGACACGGCTGCCGAAACGACGATGGCCGGCATCGGCGCGGCGGCGCAGAGTCACATCGGCGACCTTCTGGAAATGCATGAAGGCAACATGGCCGCGACGCAGGACATCCAGCGCCGCAAGAAGCTGGCGGACGACGCGTTCGCGCGGCGGTTCGAAGAGGTGCTGAAAAAGCACAACGCCGCCAACTATGTTCAGCCGTAAGGCCGCGGGAGGGCGCCGGTGAGCCGGGCCACCCACGCCGCCGCCAGTCCGGTCCTGCGCTATTTCAGTTCGATCGGGGCGGCGCTCGACGGGCTGGACGTGTTCCTGCGCGACGACAATTCGCCGCTTTACCAACATGAGTTGGTGGCGCGCACCGTCGTGCCTTATCTCGCGCGGCTCGCCGCCTCGTTCGACAGCTGGCGCAACCGGCTCGATTTTTCCGACAAGTTCCGCATTTCGCGCGCCGACAGCGGATTTCCGGTCTATCAGAACGTGCTTGAACTGGAAAAGGACCGGCGCTCGGCGGAAAGCCGGCTCGACGCCATTCCCGATCCCGAGACGCTGCGTGCCGACATGGCCGACTTCATCCTGCGTCACAAGGCGTTCCCGAAGGAATTGCAGGACCGGCTGGCCGAGCGGCTCTATCTCGAGACGATCAGGGACGGCTCCTTCTTCACGCCGTTCGTTTTGCCCGAGACGATCAAGGTCTCTGTGAACCCGAAGACGGGGCGGCCCTTCTATGTCACCCATTGGGGCGTCTTCGACGGGTCGGCGACGCTGCCGATGATCTATTCGGTGGTGGTCGAGGATTCGACGCCCGACATGGTGCAGACCCTGGTCGGCAAGGACGGCAAGCTGAACCGGGACGTGGACATCCCGCTGCCGGTGGGCGGGCTTCTGAACCCGGCGCTGGCACGCGCCTTCGACCAGTGGGCCGAGGCCAATTCGGCCTTTTCGCTGACGCCGGCGACGGTCGCCGCCAACATGGACGAGCAGTTCGAGACGCTGCATCCCAAGCAGCTCCGGCGCATCGTGCTCGGGCCGTTCTACTCGGCGGGCATCACGCAGAACAATGACACGGTCTCGGCGATCCTGGACGAGGTCGGCGAAGCGGAAAACGCCTGGCTCCTGAGCTGGACGATCCAGGACATCTATTCGAAGCACGAGCGGCCCGGCCGCAAGGGGCTGTGGTCATCGTCGCCGCCGCGCGAGGAATTCCACATCGAGACCGCCGATCTGGAAGCCGCACGCATGGGGGTTTCCTCGTTCGAAAAGCATGCGCTGATCCCGCACGAGGCCTATCAGGCGCTCTATGCGGCGGGCCAGACCGATGCGGTCTTTGCCGGATACAAAACGCACATCGTCTCCGGCGGGCACGTGATTTCCGATGTTTGAGATGATGACTGGCCACACCCTCGCCCTTCGAGGCTCGCCCCATCCCCTCATCCTGAGGTGCGAGCTTGGCGAGCCTCGAAGGGGCAGGGGATGGTTGCTCGCACCTCAGGATGAGGGTGTGGAATAGGAGCGTTCCCAATGGACACCGGCCTGACGCAGATCGACGAAAAGGACATCGAGAAGCACCGCGCCACAGCGCAGTCGCTGGTCACGCGGTTCGTCGTCATGGAACGCACCGACGGGCGCTCGTCCACGCAACTGGCCGGGACCGGCCGGCGGTTCGTCTCGACGGTTTCGACCGGCGGTACGCGGCGTACCCGCGAGGTGGAACTGGCCAGGCAGATCGGCGCGATCCGCGCCGACGACCAGATGCTCTCGCCGGCGCAGCATGGTCTTTTGTATCGCGCGCGGCGCGGCGCGGCGATCGCGCTGGCCGTCTCGGACATGTTCGCCCGGCAGACCGATCTCGAGAGCCTGAAGGCACGCAATGCCACCGCGCCTTTGGAAGGCGATGACGCCAACCGTTTTCGGGGGCTCCTTGGCGCATCGGCCTATGTGTCGGCCTTCGCGTTTGCCGCCTATCTGCTCGCCATGCTCGAAACCGACACCGAGCCGGGCGAAGACCTGTCCGAGCCGGACTATGATTTCGACACGCCGCAGGACGCGGTCAAATCCGTGCTGGCCGGACTGGCCGCCGCGATCGAGGGCGCGCCCGACGATGTCGCGATGGGCCAGCGGGCCAAGGCGTTTGCGCGCGTCACCGTCGAAGGGCTGTTGCAGCGCAAGGGCCGGTTCGAGGCGCTCGGCGCCTTCGAGGACAGCCATGTGCGCATCGAAAAGGACGATTTCACGCTCGACGGGTTCGACGTGGCGCCCGGCGCTCGCCGCAAGCCGCTGACTATGACCTTCAAGAAGCCCGAGGAGATCATCGGCAACCACATCGCCAAATACCAGGCGATGAAGCTGGCCAAGATGCTGGTGTGCCACGATTTCCAGCGCGGGCTGAACCCGTTCGTCGAACTGGGCGGGTTCCTGTTCACCTTCATCGGCGACGGTGCGCCGGGGACGGGCAAGACGATCATGATCCAGATGATCGCCGGGCTGGTCAACGATTACTGCCAGGTCGCCGGCTATCCGTTCCATTACGAGAATTTCGGCGTCGACCAGATTTCGTCCTATCAGGGCAAGTCGGGTCAGAACTGCAAGCAGTTCGTCTCCAACGTGCTCGATCCCAAGGCGATCGGCTTCGGCACCATCGACGATATCGACCAGGTGGCGGCGCGCCGCTCCGACGATCGTGCGTCCGCCGGCCAGCAGGAGGTGACGGCGGTCCTGATGGAGAGCTTTGCCGGCGCGATGACGGTGGTGCGCGGCAATTGCTCGTTCGGCATGTTTTCCAACTACCCCGAGAACGTCGATGATGCGCTGCGCCAGCGGGCCGGTGCGCGCTGGCTGGTCGACGGGCCGCAGACGCGCAACGACTATATCGACATCTTCCACCTGCTCGCCGGAAAGAACCATGCCATTCCGCTGGGCGACCACGAGCTTTACGCCGACCAGCAGATCCGCGACGCGGTGCGGGCGGCCTATGAGGGCCACGACCGGCCGGCCGAGGACGGGCTGATGACCATCTACGACCGGTTCATCGAGACCCATGGCGCGCCCAAGACCATCGCCGACATCGGCACCTATCTGCACATGATCAAGGAGGCCGAGCCGCGCTTCACCGGCCGGGCGATCAAGAACGTCACCGATGCGATCAAGATGCGTGCGATGGACATCGAACTGCCCGACGCATGGTTCGAAACGCCCGAGACCTTCCTGCACAAGTCCTATGACGAGAAGCTGGCGATGATTTCCGAACTGCGCGAGCCGTTCACCATCGGCATGGTGATGCAGGAGATCAACCGCTACGCCGATTCCGAGTTCCGCTATTCGGACAAGGCCGACGATGCGGCGGTCGCCGAGATCATCCGCCGCCAGCGCCAGACCGAACGCGCCGCCCGCGAGATCACCAAGCGGAAGGAGAAGGGGATTTGGGAGGGGTGAGGCGGTACCATCTTGTGATTGGTTGCTCGTGCACATAAACTCTAGCCACAATGGCCAGAATGGAGGTCAGTCATGGACGAGATCGGAATTCTCGACGCGCGCAACAATCTCAGCGCGCTTGTCGAGCGCGTCGAGAAGGGTGACGAGGTGATCATTACCCGTCACGGAAAGCCGGTGGTCAAGATGGTTGCGGTCGAGCCCGCAGACGAAGAAGAGCGCCGCAGACGGGCGCGAGAGGCGATCAAGGCGATCCGCGAAATGCGCAAGGAGGTCAAACCGCTTGGCGACATCACGATCAAGGAACTGATCGAAGAGGGCCGCAGGTATTGAGCGTCGTCGTGGATTGTTCGGTCACGCTGTCCTGGTATCTGGACGACGAGACGGAACCGCTTTCGATCCTCATCGAGGACCATGTGGCTGAACATGGCGCGGTCATTCCCTTCCATTGGCACGCCGAAATGGCCAATGGCCTGCTTATGGCGGTGCGGCGTGGACGCATTGCCTACGGGTTCATTCGGCGTGCGTTTGCCCAGTTCGAAGAGTTGACGATCGTCATCGACCATGAAAGTCGGGAAGCTGCAAAGGAAGCAGCGATTTCGCTGGGCCAGGAGCATCGATTGTCGGTCTATGACGCGCTCTATCTGGAAACCGCGATGCGTCGCGGACTGCCCTTGGCGACCTTCGACGAGGCGCTTCAAAAAGCAGCCGGGTCCGCCGGCGTTCCGGTTTTCCAATCGGCAAACCCGTGACATTTCCGAGCGCGACGGCCCTGCTCATCAGCGCGTTGTTATCGGGCTGACCTACCCCAGAATCTCCCGCTCGGCCGCCTGCGCGATCAGGCCGGACCGGGTCATCTTGCGCTTGGACGCTTCGGCGTCGATGGCGTCCAGCAGCCCCTTGTTCAGGGTGATGTTCACGCGCGTCGTCTTGTTGGTGTTGGCGATATGCGGGACGGCAATCAGATAGGCGCCAGCGGCGAGTTCACTGGCAATGCCGGGATCGGCGGTCAGCGCCTCGAGGTCGCGCGAGTGCGGCGCTTCCGGCACATCATCGAGATAAAGTTCGATGGCTTCCATCGCATTGGGAATAATGTCGTCCTGCGTGTCGGCGGCGGAAAAGCAGCCGGGCAGGTCCGGGAAGCTGATCCCGTAGGCGCTTTCCGCATCCTTGTGCACCAATGCGAAGTAATGGGTCATCTGTTTTGGTCCTTCAGCCAACCCGCCTGTTTGGCAATCGCGCGCGCCGTACCCTTGGGCAAATCCTTCTTCGGATGTGGCACGACAAGCATCACCGAGCCTTTGCGGAACTTGTGGTGCGACCCGCGAACCGCTACCAGTTCAAAGCCTTCCTTTTCGAGGCGGGCGATGATCTTGCGTGAATTGGTTTCCAGCACGGGGCGCCTCGTTCGTGCACACTTATATACACACTCCAAGGCTCATTGCCAAGCACCGATGCCATGAAACGCCTTTATGAAAACGCGCTGATCTATGGCCGGCTGTTCACGGTCGACCGGCCGCATCTGGTCGAGCGCTACAACAAGGCGCTTGAGGCCTTCCGCCTGCCGCCGACAAAGCTCGACCGCTTCGACATCGACCGCACCGGCTTTTCGCCGCAGGTGGCCGAGGAGCTTGGCGATTTCGACTATCTGGACCCGGCGGGCATCAACCGGCGCTTCATCATCCTGACACCGGGGCAGGCGAGCCTGCCGGTCGTCCACACGCGCTTTTCCAACACCGGCGGGCTGATGCATGAATTCTACACCGCCAATGCCCGCGCCATCCACGCGCTGACGATCAAGGACGTCATCTATGGCGAGATCGAAGACAATGTGTCGGCGATCGAGGACATCGAGGACCTTCTGTCGATCGAGCAGGTGCAGTTCAAGGTCCTGTCGGCGGAGAACGTTCTTGCCAAGGCGGCCGAGCTGCGCACCCTCGTCGACCGGCTGAAGACCGAGCCCGACGCCTGGCGCGACGATGCGATGCTCGAACAGATGGTGACGCTCGCCCAGACGACCGGCGACATCCGCTCGAACCGGCTGGTGCCCGACCAGGTCGTCTTCCGCCATTCGGCCTTCTGGACGTCTCATTTCGGCGGCACCTACGTGTTCGTCGACGACAAGATGACGACCGTGATCTGCGATGCCGACGCGCCGGGTTTTCGGCGGTCCCGTCCCTGGCAGGTCAGCTATCTGGACATTGGCGACCATCGGCGGGTGTTCGATTTCCTGTCGCGTTCGGGCCGGATCGACTTGCCGAGCGCCTCATGGCTAGAGGGCGGCGGCTTCATCGATCACCGGGCCGATCTGGCGCTCAGGGGGCTGGTGCATGCGATCGATCCGGATGCCGATCTGACCGCCGCTGACCCCGTCTGGCTGCAGACCTTCGTGTCGCGCAACGCCGGTCCGATCCGCGAGGACGGCACCTATCCGTTCCTCAATTCCGCCCGGCGGGAACTGGCGCGCACCGGCCGCATCGACATTCGCGACGTGCCGCACGCACTTCGCTTCCAGATCGTCCGCGGCAAGCCCGACCATCACGACGCCTGGCTGACCAACCGTTTGATCAGCGAATATGTGCCGCGCGATTTCGTGACGCTGTACGTCTTCAACAAGCAGCGCTTTTATGCCGAGTACGAGACTTGGGATGACCGTTTTCGCGGCTTCGTTGTGGACACGCTGAAAAACACCTATCTGACGGACAAGGCCGGCCTGCGCGCCCGGCTGTTCGGACTTGATTGATTGATCTGAGGAGCCCAGCCGATGCTTGATCCCATCATCGCCTTCTTCCGGCGCATCTTCGAGGCGATCGGCCATGGCATCGGCGTCGCCATCGGCTGGCTCTTGTGGCCGTTCCTTGCCTTCTGGGCGTGGCTCGGCGGGCGCGGCTGGATCATCAAGATCCCGGTTTTCGCCATCCTGCTGGGCCTGATCGCCGGCTATGGCTATCTGTTCTACATCACCCAGTTCTGGCGCGGCGACGATCCCAACTATGTCGCCAGCTACAACTATTCCGAGATCACCACGGCCGCCGGCGAACAGTTGCCCGACGGCACGTGCCAACCTTCGGCCATGGTGCAGATGACGGCGGACCTGATCGACCGCAACGTCAACCAGGATATCTGGGTGCCGTCCAATCCGCTGCACAAGGCGGGTTTTTTCTTCGTTGCCGACTGGAAGGACACCCCGTTCTTCGACAACAAGGCGGCGTTCCAGCTCGGCACCAACCAGGCGATCCGGCGCACGGCGGTGGAACTGGTCGACCGGCTGGGGCGCGTGCGCGGCACATCGTCGGTCAACCAGAACCTTCAGGAAGCGCGCGAAGCGGCCAACTATCGCGAGGATGCGTGGATATTCACCTTCAGCCCGCCCTTCCTGCAGCCCTCGACGCAGGCCAAGCTGCGTGAGGCACGACAGGAACTGCTTGCCTTCAACGCCGAGCTCTCGGCCTGTCAGGCCGATTTCGATGTGCGCGCCGACAACCTCCTGCAATTCATCGATCGTGTGACCGCCGATATCGGCTCGACCTCGGAAATCCTGCAGCGGCGCATGGAGGCGGCGAGCTTTTTCGGCTTCGACCGCCGCGCCGACGACCGCTTCTGGTTCACCTATGGCCAGCTCTACGCCTATTACGGCATCCTGTCGGCGGCGAGTGTCGACTTTCAGGACGTGTTCACCCAGCGCAACCTGACGAGCCTTTGGGCGCGCATCGACGAGCAGATGAGCGATGCGCTGCAGGTGCGGCCGCCCTTTGTCGCCAATGGCAGCGCGTCGAGCCTGGTCAAATCGCATCTGGAATCGATCGGTTTCGATCTGCTGCGCGTCCGCTCGAACCTGGTCGAGATGCGCGACGTTCTGGACCGGTAGGACTTCGCTGCGTTCTGCACCAGCCGGCTTGACCCCCACCCTTCATCCCTCCCCCTTGTGGGGAGGGATGAAGGGTGGGGGTCGTTTGAACCAGACCCGGCACAGCGCTTGCGTGTCGCAATTCGCCTAACGCGTGGCTCTATTGCGATTGCGGTGGCCCCTCACTCGGTGGTCAATGGCCGGGCGCGGGCATGGCTGCCCAGCCGACACCGAGTGGGGGAGCCCGATGGCCGAATTCAAGACCGATATCGAAATCGCGCGCGCGGCGGCGAAGAAACCGATCCAGGAGATCGGCGCGAAACTGGGCATACCGTCCGACGATCTTCTGCCCTATGGCCATGACAAGGCCAAGGTTTCGGCCGAGTTCATCAAGTCCGTTCAGGGCAATGAGACCGGCAAGCTGGTGCTCGTCACCGCGATCAACCCGACGCCGGCCGGCGAGGGCAAGACGACGACCACGGTCGGGCTTGGCGACGGCTTGAACCGCATCGGCAAGAAGACCGCCATCTGCATCCGCGAAGCGTCGCTCGGCCCCTGTTTCGGCGTCAAGGGCGGCGCGGCCGGCGGCGGCTATGCCCAGGTCGTGCCGATGGAGGACATGAACCTGCATTTTACCGGCGATTTTCATGCGATCACCTCGGCGCACAATCTGCTCGCCGCGCTGGTGGACAACCACATCTATTGGGGCAATGCGCTCGACATCGACATGCGCCGCGTCGTCTGGCGGCGGGTCGTCGACATGAACGACCGGGCGCTGCGCGAGATGGTATTGTCACTCGGCGGTGTCGCAAACGGCTTTCCGCGCGAGGGCGGGTTCGACATCACGGTGGCGTCCGAGGTGATGGCGATCCTGTGCCTTGCCACCGACATCGCCGATCTCGAAGAGCGGCTTGGCCGGATCATTGTCGGCTACCGGCGCGACAAGTCGGCGGTCTATTGCCGCGACCTGAAGGCCGAGGGCGCGATGACGGTGCTGCTCAAGGACGCGATCCAGCCCAACCTGGTGCAGACGCTCGAAAACAATCCCGCCTTCGTGCATGGCGGCCCGTTCGCCAACATCGCCCATGGCTGCAACTCGATCATGGCGACCACGACGGCTCTCAAGGTCGCCGACTATGTGGTGACCGAAGCGGGCTTCGGCGCCGATCTGGGCGCCGAGAAGTTCTTCGACATCAAGTGCCGCAAGGCGGGGCTTTCGCCCGACGCGGTGGTGATCGTCGCGACGGTCAGGGCGCTGAAGATGAATGGCGGCATCGCCAAGGAGGATCTGGGCGCGGAGAATGTCGAGGCGGTCGAAAAGGGCTGCGCCAATCTGGGCCGGCATATCGAAAATGTCCGCCAGTTCGGCGTGCCCGCCGTGGTCGCCATCAACCATTTCCATTCGGACACCGATGCCGAGATCGCGGTGATCACCGACTATGCCGAGCGGATGGGATCGGAAGCCATCGTCTGCCGCCACTGGGCGGAGGGCTCGGCGGGCATCGAGGCGCTGGCCACCCGCGTGGCCGAACTGGCCGAAGCGGGCGCCTCGCAGTTCGCCCCGCTCTATCCCGACGAGATGCCGCTGTTCGAGAAGATCGAGACGATCGCCAAGCGCATCTACCGCGCCGAGGAGGTGATCGCCGACAAGGCGGTGCGCGACCAGCTTCGCGACTGGGAAGCCAAGGGCTATGGCGACCTGCCGATCTGCATGGCCAAGACGCAATACTCCTTCTCGACCGACCCGCTTCTGCGCGGCGCGCCGACCGGCCATACCGTGCCGATCCGCGAGGTACGCCTGTCCGCCGGCGCGGGCTTCATCGTCGTCATCACCGGCGCGATCATGACCATGCCCGGCCTGCCCCGCACGCCGTCGGCCGAAGTGATCCGCTTCAACGAGCAAGGGCTGATCGAAGGGTTGTTCTGAGGCCCGGCCGGCCGGCGGACATGGCTCCTCGGTATCTGCCGCCGCCGGTAGATCGGTCGCGTGATGGGGCCGGTCGCCCTTCCGCCGATCATCGCCATACAACGGCAAAGCCGATTGCGTTCCGAACACGGTGGCGCTAAGCTCGCGCCATGATCAACCCGAACGCACATGCTTGGTGGTGGGCTTCGCTCTAGGCGGGGGTTCACGCATATGCATGTCCAACAACCGCCCGATTGCCGTGGCGGTTTTTTTGTGTCCGTCCGGCGGGCATGAAAGGACCTGGAGATGACCGCCCATATCGCAGCCACGGCGCCGGTCGATGCCTATGTCACCGCCGGGGGCGTACGCGTTGCGCGCCGGCAGGAACAGGCCGATTACCACACGGCGATCGACCGGATGACGGACGATCTGGACAGCCGCATGGGCGCCGTCCTGTCGTCCAACTATGAATATCCGGGCCGTTATACGCGCTGGGATACGGGCATCATCGATCCGCCGGTGATGATCTCGGCGCGCAAGCGGCAGATGCGCATCGAGGCGCTGAACGCGCGCGGCATCCCGCTGGTGGCGATGATCGGCACCGCGCTTTCCGGACATCCCCACATCGAAACGCTGGACCGGGCCGATGGCGGACTGGATATCGCGATCACCGAACCGGGCGAGATTCTGACCGAGGAGGACCGGTCGCGGAACCCCTCGGTCTTTTCGGTACTGCGCGCCATCGTTTCTCACTTCTCGTCGGACGAGGACGAGGATCTGATGCTGGTCGGCGCGTTCGGCTACGACATCGCCTTCCAGTTCGATCCTGTCGAAGAGACGCTGCCGCGCGATCCCCAACAGCGCGATCTGGTGCTGTTCTTCCCCGACCGCATCCTGGTCGCCGACAATCACGCGGCGCGCGCATGGATCGATTGCTACGAATTCTCGGCCGGCGGCGTGTCGACCGAGGGCATTGCCCGCGCCGAAACGCCGGCGCCTTTCGTGCCCACCGAGACCGTGCCGCCGCGCAGCGACCATGAGCCGGGCGAATATGCGCGGCTGGTCGACCGGGCCAAGCAGCGCTTCGCCTGCGGCGACCTTTTCGAGGTCGTGCCCGGCCAGATGTTCTACGAGCGGGTGGATTCGAAGCCCTCGGCGATCGCCCGGCGGCTGAAGGCGACCAATCCGGCGCCCTATTCCTTCTTCATGAATCTCGGCGAGAACGAGTTTCTGGTGGGCGCCTCGCCGGAAATGTTCGTCCGGGTGACCGGACGGCGCATCGAGACCTGCCCGATCTCGGGCACGATCGCGCGCGGCACCGATGCGATCTCGGATTCCGAGCAGATCCTCAAGCTGCTCAACTCGAAGAAGGACGAGAGCGAACTGACCATGTGCTCCGATGTCGACCGCAACGACAAGAGCCGGGTGTGCGAACCGGGCTCGGTGCGGGTCATCGGGCGGCGGCAGATCGAGATGTATTCGCGCCTTATCCACACGGTCGACCATGTCGAGGGGCGATTGCGCGAAGGCATGGACGCGTTCGACGGGTTCTTGAGCCACGCATGGGCGGTGACCGTCACCGGCGCGCCGAAACTGTGGGCGATGCGCTTCATCGAAAAGCACGAAAAGAGCCCGCGCGCCTGGTATGGCGGCGCGATCGGCATGGTCAAGTTCAACGGCGACATGAACACCGGGCTGACGCTGAGGACCATCCAGATCAGGGACGGCATCGCGTCGGTGCGGGCCGGCGCGACGCTCCTGTTCGACTCCGACCCGGACGCCGAGGAGGCCGAAACCGAACTCAAGGCATCGGCCATGCTGGCTGCGATCCGCGAATCGGGCCGGTCGAACGCCGATGCCGGCCCGCGCGAGACGCGGCGCGTCGGCGAGGGCAAGCGCATCCTGCTGGTCGATCACGAGGACAGTTTCGTGCACACGCTGGCCAACTATTTCCGCCAGACCGGCGCCGATGTGCGCACGGTGCGCGCGCCGGTGCCCGATGCCGCCTTCGACGACTTCCGGCCCGATCTGGTCGTGCTGTCGCCAGGACCGGGAAAGCCGAAGGATTTCGACTGCAAGGCGACGATCCGAAAGGCCCGCGCTCGGGACCTGCCGATGTTCGGTGTCTGCCTCGGGCTGCAGGCGTTGACCGAAGCCTATGGCGGATCGCTCCGTCAGCTCGGCTATCCGATGCATGGCAAGCCTTCGCGCATCCGCGTGCACGAGCCCGGCGCGGTGTTCGCCGATCTGCCGCGCGAGATCGTCGTCGGTCGCTATCACTCGATCTTCGCCGATCCGTCGCGCCTGCCCGAGGCGTTCACAGTGACGGCGGAGACCGAGGACGGGATCGTGATGGGCATCGAGCACCGGTCGGAGCCGGTCGCCGCCGTCCAGTTCCACCCCGAATCGATCATGACGCTCGGCGGCGATGCGGGCATGAAGATGATCGAAAATGTGGTCGGGCGGCTGGTGGAGCGGGGACAGGCGACGGGGTCGCCGCGATGAGATGGTGGCTGGCTGTGCCTGTCGTTGTGGCCGCGGCCGGACCGGTCTCGGCCGATGAGCTGGCCTTTGGCCGGGCTCTGGTCGCCGACAATTGCGCCCGGTGCCACGCGATCGACGCCGGTGATGCAAGCGCCCACGACGAAGCGCCGGCGTTCAGCACCCTCTTGCGCGATTATCCGGTGGACGCGCTGGAAGAGGCGTTCGCCGAACGGATCGTCACCGGCCATCCGGACATGCCGGAATTCACGGCGACGCCCGAGCAGATCGGCGCGATCATCGGCTATATCGAATCGATCCAGCGGTGACGTGCCGCTTGCAACCGTTGCATCGCTGGCCTACACAGGGCGTCATGATCGACGCCCGCACCATTTCCGCCTCCGATGGCGTGAACACCCGCCCGGCACGCGCCGGCGGCAAGGATGCGTTCGGTCGCGCACTCGGCCTTCTCCTTCTTATCGGCGGCTGCCGGGCCTGATCTTGCGACAGGGCGCCCGGTGGCCGTATCAGACGGCTCCGTTTGACGCCGTTTCGCCCCGTCTTCTTTACATCGTCAATCGAATGGATCAGACACCGCTTGAGAGGCGACCATGCGTCGCCGCCGGGGCGGGCGAAGGATGAAGATCATGAACACGCACGTCACAGCCGCCAAGACGCCGACCAGCGCCGGCATGCCCGACGCGGCCCGAAAATACCGCGCCTATCCGCCGGTCGACCTGCCCGACAGGACCTGGCCGTCGAAGACGATCACCACGCCGCCGATCTGGTGCTCGGTCGATCTGCGCGACGGCAACCAGGCGTTGATCGAGCCGATGGGGCACGAGCGCAAGACGCGCATGTTCGCCCATCTGCTCAAAATGGGCTTCAAGGATATCGAGATCGGCTTCCCATCGGCCAGCCAGACCGATTTCGATTTCGCACGCTGGTGCGTCGAAGAGGGCAATGTGCCCGATGACGTGTCGCTGCAGGTGCTGGTGCAGTGCCGTCCCGAACTGATCGAACGGACCTTCGAATCGCTGGAAGGCGCGCGTCATCCGATCGTCCATTTCTACAATTCCACCAGCGAATTGCAGCGCCGGGTCGTCTTCGGCAAGGATGTCGAAGGCATCAAGCGGATCGCCACCGATGCCGCCAAAATGGTCACCGACATGGCCGCCAAGGCCGGCGGCGGCTACCGGTTCCAATATTCGCCCGAAAGCTTCACAGGCACGGAGTTGGAAGTGGCGCTGGAGATCTGCAACGCGGTCACCGAGATCGTCCAGCCGACGCCCGACCACAAGCTGATCCTCAACCTGCCGGCAACGGTGGAGATGTCGACGCCCAACATCCATGCCGACCAGATCGAATGGATGTGCCGCAACATCGACAAGCGCGACTGCGTCATCGTCTCGCTGCATCCGCACAATGACCGCGGCACCGGCATCGCGGCGACCGAGCTGGGGCTGATGGCCGGCGCCGACCGGGTGGAAGGCACATTGTTCGGCAATGGCGAGCGCACCGGCAATGTCGATCTGGTCACGCTGGCGCTGAACATGTTCACGCAAGGGGTCGATCCGAAGCTGGACATCAGCGACATCAACGCGCTGCGCGATGTCTACGAGCACTGCAACCAGCTCGCCATACCCGAGCGACACCCTTATGTCGGCGAACTGGTCTACACGGCCTTTTCCGGCTCGCACCAGGACGCGATCAACAAGGGCATGAGAGCCCATCGCGAGGCCAGGTCGGACCTTTGGGAGGTGCCCTATCTGCCGATCGATCCGGAGGATGTGGGCCGCAGCTACGAGGCGATCATCCGCATCAACTCGCAGTCGGGCAAGGGCGGCATCGCCTATATATTGCAGGCCGATTACGGGCTGAACCTGCCCCGCAATCTGCAGGTCGAGTTTCGCGAGGTAATCCAGGAGATCACGGACCGCGAAGGGATCGAGCTGTCGTCGGAGCGCATCCACCAGGCGTTCATGGCAACCTATGTCGATCTGCCCAGCCCGCGCATCCGCTTCGTCGGCCACACCACGGCGCCGGATCCGGACGATCCGGAAGGGCGGATCGTCGATGCGGTGCTGATAGACGGCAATGAGGAAATCGGAATTCGCGGTTTCGGCACCGGGCCGATCGACGGGTTCGTCGATGCGATCAATCGCCATTACGAATTGTCGATGACGGTGCGCGACTATTCCGAGCACTCGCTTCAGCACGGTTCGGACGCGGCGGCCATTTGCTACATGGAAATGGACAATGCCGACAAACGCGTCTTCGGCGTCGGCATCAACAAGAACATCGTCGCCGCTTCGCTCGAAGCGATCGTGTCGGCCGTCAATCGGGTTCGGGCGGCTCCGCAAGGCTAGGTTGCGCCCTGCCTGTGAAAAACACCCGCCGATTGCGACCTGCTGCTTTATGCTTTGTTGTGATCGGCGCGGGTTTTGGACTAGGGTCGGGACGGGCCGGGGGGCGGCCCGTCAATGAACAACCATTCAGCCAGGGATCATGAACACGGCAAACGGGACTTCAAGCGGCAGCCAGAACGAACCGGCCGTCAGCCCGGAAGAGGTTCGCGCCGCGCTTGAAGTGGTCGTCAACAGCGAGACCCTGGCCCGCGCCGACCGGGCCCGTTCGCTTCTGGCCTATCTGGTCAAGGCCGAGCAGAACGGCGAGGCCGCGCGCCTGAAGGGTTTCACCATTGCCCAGGACGTGTTCGGCAAGGATGACGATTTCGATCCCGCGATGGATGCGGTCGTGCGCGTCCAGGCTGGCCGGCTGCGCGAACATCTGACGAGCTTTTATGCCGGCGAGGGCAAGGACGAACCGGTCCGCATCACCGTGCCGAAGGGCACCTACGTGCCCTGCTATGTCCGCCGCCCGAGCGCGGCGGGCGCCGCCAGCGCTCCGGCGGCGCGACCCAACGGCAGCGGCGGCCGCCCCGAGGCGCCCCGGATCGTCGATTTCGGAGCTTCGGCGAGCGCGTTCAAGCTGGACCGCACGATCGAGGACGCGCCGCTGGCGGCAACGCGCTCCCTGTCCGACAAGCCGCCGGCCGGCGCTCAGGATGCGCTTCTGAGCCCCTTCATCGTGCGCAACGTCAAGCGATTCTGGCTGGCGCTCGCGATCATCGTGCTGCTGCTGACGGTGATCCTGTTCCTGGTCTGGCGCTGACGCGCCGGTCAGCGCCGGGTTGCGGTGCAAATGCGGCCGGGGCTCTCGCATTGCGCCGGCAAACTTGTTAGGTTCGCGTTAACCATTTGTTGACGGGCAGGGCCGCCATGAGCGCCGACGAGCACAAAGACAATCCCAACACGCGCCTTGTGGACGCGGTGCGGCAGGTCAAGATCGCCGCCGCCGAGCGCAACGATGTCGTCGTGGACATGAAGGAGGCCGACCGCGCACGGCTCGAAATCCTCGCACAGGAACTCAAGCCGGTGTTCGACGATGTGCCGGCCGACGATGAGCGTTTCGATTTCGCCATCTCGTCGGGCCTGCAGCCGCGCTTGTGGATCGATGCGACCGCGCACGTGATGATGGGCCGCGACCGGCGCACCTACCGTTTCGTGCGCGACACGCGGCTGGGGCGGACGATCCTTGCCGAGGCGACGGCGGTCGATCCGGTGATGTCGGCGGTGACGACCTATATTGCCGAGCGCTTGCACGAACGCGAGATGGCGTTCGCGGCGGACGAGATGGTGACCTATCGGGCCGGCGTCAGCCAGCGCGGGCCTGCGCCGGTCGAGGATGCCGCGGAAACCGCATCAGGCCCCGGCGAGGCAGAGCGGGCGGGGGATGATGCAAGCGTCGCCGAGGCGGCGCCGCTGTCGCGGCGCGAGCGCACCAGCGTCACCCGCATGAGCCGGGTCGGCTGGCTGCTGATCGGCGGTTTCATCGCGCTTGCCGCCGCCGCGCTCTATTTCCAGGATCTTCTGGTCCCGTAGACCGGCCATCGTTTCAGTCGCCGGGATGCAGGTCCCGCTTGTCGGTGAGTTCGAGCGGACCCGTGCCGGTCGTCGCAGACCATTCCTGCAGCGTGCAGGTCCAGCGTTTCGGGTCGCCGTCGATCGAAAACAGATTGTAGGCGCCGGGCGGCCGCCTGGCGCCGGGGGACTGGCCGGCCGCCGGCACGCCGATCACCGGCACGCGCCCACCACCGGGTCCGGCGATCTGGTGACGCTGGGCGAGGTGGGTGTGGCCGTGCAGAACGAGCTCCGCGCCCGCCTGGGCAATCACGTTCTGGAAGAGCGAGATGCCGTAGAGCCGCTTTCGCGGGATCGTCGCGCCGCGCACCGGCGGATGGTGGATGAGAACGATGCGGAACAGGCCGGCATTGCCCGCCTGTTCGAGCGCTTTGCGCAGATTGCGCGCCTGTTCGCCCTCGAACCGGCCGGCGGCGACGAAGGCGGGTGTCGCCACGGCGCTCGATGCGCCGATGATGGCGACCGGGCCGCGCACCCGGACGAAGGGGAAGTCGTCGTTCGAGGCGGGCGCGCGCCCATCGTCGCCGGTCATCCAGGGCGCCCAGGCGTGAAAGGCACGGTCGAGCGCGCCGCGCACATAGGCGTCATGATTGCCCGGCACGATGCTGACCCTGTCGGGCACGCCCAGTTCTTCCAGCCACAGCGCCGAGGCGCGCAATTCGGCCTCGAGCGCCAGGTTGGTCAGATCGCCGGTGACGGCAATATGGTCGGCGCCGCTCTCGGCGGCGGCGCGCGTCACCCGCTCCAGCGTGGATTCTGCCAGCGCACCGGCGCGGCCGCGATGCCAGTTGATATAGCCGGTGAGCCGCTTGGACATCAGTTCGCGCGCAGAGACCGCCGGCAACGGCCCCAGATGGATGTCCGACAAATGGGCGAGCGAGAAAGTCATCGCGGCTTGGTAAGGGGTTTTTCCGGGAAGTCAAAACCGGCATGATCGGCGTGCGGGCCGGCGGGCGATTCGGCCCCATATCGAGCCGTCGAGCCGCCCATGTCGTTCCGTACGCGCCTTTTTCACCTGTTCTTCATCCTGACCCGGCCGGTCACGCTGGGCGCCCGCGCCATGGTGATCGATGCCGACGAGCGCGTGCTTCTGGTCCGGCACACCTATGTGCCCGGCTGGCACCTGCCGGGCGGCGGCGTGGAGCCGGGCGAGACCGCGCTCGACTGCGTGATCCGCGAGGTGCGCGAGGAGGGCAATGTGGTGGTCGATGGCGAGATGGTGCTGCACGGCCTGTTCCACAACAACGGCGCGTCGCGGCGCGACCATGTGGCGGTCTATGTGTGCCGGACCATCACACGGCGCGCGCCCAAGCGGCCGGACCGGGAGATCGCCGCCGCCGACTTCTTTGCGCTCGACGGTCTGCCCGAAGGCGCGACGCCGGCGACCCGGCGGCGCATCGAGGAATGGCGGACGGGGCATCCCCCGGCCGCACGCTGGTGACGCGCGTCAGGCCGCTTTTGCGTCCAGACGGTCGCGGCCGTGCGGTTCCGAAAAATCGATATCAGGCCCGGCGGGAACGATGCGCGTCGGATTGATCGTTTCGTGGCTGCCGTAATAGTGCGCCTTGATGTGGTGCATGTTCACCGTCCCGGCGACACCGGGCATCTGGTAGAGTTCGCGCGTATAGGCCGAAAGGTTCGGATAGTCCGCGATGCGGCGGATGTTGCATTTGAAGTGGCCGACATAGACCGGGTCGAAACGCACGAGCGTCGTGAAAAGCCGCCAGTCCGCCTCGGTGATCCGGTCGCCGACCAGATAGCGCTGCCGCGACAGGCGCTCTTCCAGCCAATCCAGCGTCTCGAATAGCGGCGTCACCGCTTCCTCGTAGGCCTCCTGGGTGGTGGCGAAGCCGGACTTGTAGACGCCGTTGTTGACCGTGTCGTAGACGCGCTCGTTGACGGCATCGATCTCAGCGCGCAGCGCCTCGGGATAGAAATCCTGCGTGTCGCCGGTCAGTCCGTCGAACGCCGAATTGAACATTCGGATGATTTCGGAGGATTCATTGGAGACGATGGTTCCGGTCTTTTTGTCCCACAGCACCGGGACCGTGACCCGGCCGGTATAGTCCGATTTGGCGCGGGTGTAGATCTGGTGCAGACGGTCTGCGCCGAACAGCCTGTCCCCGGTGGCCGCATCATCGGTTTCGAAGGTCCAGCCCTGATCGCCCATGAAGTGGTGGACGACGGACACATCGATCATGTCTTCGAGCTTTTTGAGCTTGCGAAAGATCAGCGTGCGGTGCGCCCAGGGGCAGGCCAGCGACACATAGAGGTGATAGCGGCCGGCCTCCGCCGCAAAGCCGCCGTCGCCGCCCGGCCCCGCCGTACCGTCCGGCGTCACCCAGTTTCGGAAAGACGAATCCTTGCGGACGAAACGGCCCTTCGTCTTTTTGGTGTCGTACCACTGGTCGTGCCATTCGCCGTCGATCAACAGGCCCATCGCCGTTTCCTCCGTTGCTGTCCCGTATGCCTTCGGCCGGAGATAGGACAAAGTGCGCCCAGGGTCACCGCCCCTATGGCGAACGCACCGTCAACCGATCCGGTTCCCGCCGACATTTTTGCTTTACCGGCCACGCGCTTGGTGCTAGCTCGCTCGGATCATGTTTGCGATCCCGATGCGACGACCACGACGATGAATTTTGCCGGTTTTCCGGCCCCTTGCTGACGTCGTTTTTCCGTATCCGGACCCTTTTCCCATGACCGACCATCTTATTGCGCCCGAACGGGCGGAGTGCGCCGACGCGATCGAAGCCCTGCATGCCGAGGCGTTCGGGCCCGGCCGCTTCACCCGCGCGGCATTCCGGCTGCGCGAGCAGGGACCGCACGATCCCGCGCTTTCCTTCGTCGCCCTGTCGCCGGGCGGCGGTCTGCTCGGTTCTGTGCGGCTGACACCGGTCGTCACGGCGGAAAGCGGCCATCGCGGCCATCTGCTGGGGCCGCTGGCGGTGGCGCCCGACTACAAGAACCGGGGTTTCGGGCGCGCGCTGGTGCGGCGCGCGGTGGATGCCGCGTCGGCGACGCCGGGCAGCGCTTACGTGCTGCTGGTGGGCGATGCGCCCTATTACGCGCCGCTCGGTTTCCGGCAGGTGCCTGCCGGGCGCCTGCGGCTGCCCGGCCCGGTCGATCCGCGCCGGCTTCTGGCTTATCCGTCGGGCAACGATGAGATCATCCAAGAGCTGGCCGGTCTGGTCGGCTACGACCACGGGCAAGCCGTTCCGGCTGCGCAAGGCTGCGCCGGCTGACCCGGCGCCGCATACGACCGGGGCGGACCGTTACTCCGCCTTGCCCTCATCGTCCTTTTTCAGCGCGTTGAGCTTGGCGAAGACGGCATCGGCATCGATCTCGTCTTCTTCGCTCGCAGGTGCGGGCGTGTGGGTGTCGCCGCCCTCGAAGACCGGCATGGATTCGGTCTGAGCGGCGGGCAGCAGCGTGTCGCCGGCCTCGGTCTCGGGCTCGGCCGGGCGGTTCTTGGCGGCTTTCTGCACTTCCATGTCCAGATCGATCTGCGAGCACAGGCCGAGCGCCACCGGATCGACCGGCTGCAGATTGGCCGAGTTCCAGTGAGTGCGGTTGCGCACCTGTTCGATCGTGTTCTTGGTGGTGCCGACGAGACGCGAGATCTGCGCGTCCTTCAGCTCGGGATGGTAGCGCACCAGCCACAGGATTGCGTTGGGCCGGTCCTGACGCTTGGAGACCGGCGTATAGCGCGGGCCCTTGCGCTTGGCCTGCGGCACGCGAACCTTGGGATCGGACAGTTTGAGCACATGGTTGGGGTCGGCTTCGCCCTTTTCGATCTCTTCGCGCGAAAGCTGGCCGGTGGTCACCGGGTCGAGCCCCTTGATGCCCTGCGCCGCTTCCTCGTCGGCGATCGCCTTGACCTCGAGCGGATGCAGCGCGCAGAATCTGGCGATCTGGTCGAAGGTGAGGCCGGTATTGTCGACCAGCCAAACGGCGGTCGCCTTGGGCATGAGAAGCTGGTTTGCCATCTGCGTGAACCTTTCGTGCGAATAAAGCTTTCCCGTTCGTCCGCGCCGGTGTCGCGGGCGTGGGCTGAGCCACCAATGTCCGGAAGATTTTGCCGATATACGCCGCGCGGCGCCCAAGTGCAATGCCGCGCATGGCTGTGAACAGTCATCTTTGTTTCATCAAAGCGTCACGTATCTGTCACCGGGCCGGGAAAAGACGGCTCCATCGCTGACCCGAGGGAGCTTCCACCATGCGCACAATCCTGTTGTCGTCCGCCGCCGCTGTCGCCTTGTCCGCCAGCCTTGCGGCCCACGCCCATGCCGACGCCTTCAACCGTGTCGCTTCCTTTCCGGTCAACACGAACATTCCCGACGCGATGGGGCAGGAGAGCGAAAGCTCCGCCGAGATCATCGACGCGACCGGGGACGGCATGATGCTGGTCTATTCGGACAGCCCGCTGGGCGGCATCGGCATGATCGACATTTCCGACCCTGCCAACCCGGCCGCCGCCGGCTTTGTCGCGCTCGACGGGGAGCCGACCGCCGTCGCCGTGCGGGCCGGCCACGCCATTGTCGGGCTGAACACGTCGGAAAGCTACACCGAGCCGTCGGGCACGATCGTTTCGGTCGATCTTTCTTCGGGCGAAGTCGCCCATAGCTGCGATCTGGGCGGCCAACCCGATTCGGTCGGCATCTCGCCCGACGGTTCGCTGGTGGCGATCGCCATCGAGAACGAGCGCGACGAGGATCTCAATGACGGCGTCATTCCGCAGATGCCGGCCGGCTTTGCCGTGACCTTCGCGCTCGATGGCGGTGCGATCGATTGCGACAGCCGGGTCGTTGCCGACCTGACCGGCCTGGCCGAGGTGGCGGGCGATGATCCGGAGCCCGAGTTCGTCGACATCAACACGGCCAATGAAGTCGTCGTCACGCTGCAGGAAAACAACCATATCGCCATCTTCAACGGCGAGACCGGAGAGATCGTCTCGCACTTTTCCGCGGGCGCCGTCGATCTCGAAAATGTCGATGTGGACGAAGAGCGCGCGCTGACCTTCGACGGCACGCTCCAAGGCGTCGTCCGCGAGCCCGATGCGGTGAAATGGCTGGACGAGAACCGGATCGTCACGGCGAACGAGGGCGATTATGAAGGCGGATCGCGCGGCTTCACCATCTTCTCCAAGGACGGCGACGCGCTCTACGAAAGCGGCCTTTCGTTTGAATATGAAGTGGCGATGATCGGCCACTATCCCGAGCGTCGCTCCGGCAACAAGGGTGTCGAGCCCGAGGGCATGGAGGTCGCCGAGATCGGTGGCGCGACCCACATCTTCCTCCTCAGCGAACGCGGCTCGGTGATCGGCGTCTACCGGGACAATCCGGAGGGCGAGCCGGAACTGGTGCAGATCCTGCCGACGGCGCTGGGCCCGGAAGGCGCGGTGGCCATCCCCGGACGCAATCTCGTGGCGGTGGCCAATGAAGTGGACCTGATCGAGGATGGCGGCGTGCGCAGCCATGTCACGATCTACGAGCTGGGCGAGGGTGAAGCGCAATATCCGACGATCCGCTCGATGATGGACGATGCGGGCCGCCCGGTCGGCTTTGGCGCCCTGTCGGGACTGGCCGCCGATCCCGAGCAGCCGGGCATTCTGTACGCTGTCAACGACTCGTTCTACGCGATGCAGCCGACGATCTTCACGATCGACGCCAACCAGACGCCGGCCCGGATCATTGCGGCAACGCGCGTGAGGCGCGGCGGCGCCAATGCCCAGCTTCTCGATCTGGAAGGCATCACACCGGACGGAGAGGGCGGGTTCTGGCTGGCCTCGGAAGGCCGCACCGACCGGATGATCCCGCACGGGCTCTACCATGTGAATGCCGATGGCGAGATCGAGGAAAGCGTCGCTTTCCCGCCCGAACTGCTGGCGGTCGAAAAGCGGTTCGGCGCCGAAGGCGTGACCAGGGTCGGCGATACGCTGTGGGTCGCCATCCAGCGCGAATGGGCCGATGACGAGGACGGTTTCGTCAAGCTGGTCGCCTACAACACCGGAACCGAAGAATGGGGCGCGGTGCGCTATCCGCTCGAGCAAAAGGGCGCCGGCTGGGTCGGCCTGTCGGAGATCGTCGCCCATGGCGACCATGTCTACATCATCGAGCGCGACAACCAGATCGGCGCTGCGGCCGCGCTGAAGAAGATTTTCCGCGTGCCGCTGGCCGAGATGCAGCCGGCCGCACTTGGCGGTGAGCTTCCGGTCGTCAGCAAGGAAGAGGTGCGCGACCTTCTGCCCGATATGGCGGCCTTCGGCGGCTATGCGCTCGACAAGGTCGAGGGGCTCGCGGTGGACACCAATGGCGACTTCTTCGCGGTCACCGACAATGACGGCGTGGACGACTCAAACGGCGAGACGCTGTTCATGCGCCTCGGCCAGCTCGAAGGCTCCTGATCAAAGGCTGCCCGTCGTATCAGAAATGAAAACCGGGCCATGCGCCCGGCCTTCCTTGTTTTGCCGAGGCTCAGGCGACGTCGAGGACGATCTTGCCGGTGTGGGCGCTTTCCTCCATCCGCTCATGGGCGCGCCATGCGTCGGCGAGCGGGAAGATCATGTCGATGACCGGCGCGACCTTGCGCTGTTCGAGAAGCGGCCAGACGGCCTCGTCCAGTTCGCTGGCCAGCCGTGCCTTGAACTCGACTGAGCGGGCGCGCAGCGTCGAACCGGTATGCGTCAGCCGCTTCATCATCAGCTTGGAGAAGTCGGCCTCCGCTTTGCGGCCTTTCAGAAAGGCGATCTGGACGATGCGCCCGTCAATGGCTGCGGCCGAATAGTTGCGGTCGATATAGTCGCCGCCGACCATGTCGAGGATGACGTCGGCGCCGTGCCCGTCGGTCGCGTTCCTGACCGCATCGACGAAATCCTCGCTGCGATAGTTGATCGCCCGGTAGGCGCCAAGCGCGACGCAGGCCTTGCATTTTTCGTCGGTGCCGGCGGTGACGATCACCCGTGCCCCGAAGGCGACGGCAAGCTGGATCGCGGTCGTGCCGATCCCCGATGCGCCGCCATGCACCAGCATTGTCTCGCCGCGCCCGAGGCCGCCGCGCTCGAACACATTGTGCCAGACGGTGAAAAAGGTTTCCGGAACGGCGGCCGCTTCGGTGAAGGTGAAGCCGGCGGGTAGCGGCAGGCAGTTGCTGGCATGGGCGATGCAATATTCCGCATAGCCGCCGCCGGGAACCAGCGCACAGACCTGGTTGCCGGCGGACCAGCGCGAGACGCCCTCGCCGAGCGCGTCGATCGTGCCGGAGACTTCAAGCCCCGGCAGGTCGCTTGCGCCCTTGGGCGGCGGGTAGGCGCCCTGCCGCTGGAGCATGTCCGGACGGTTCACGCCCGCGGCGCGCACTGCAATGCGCACCTCGCCGGGTCCGGGTTCGGGGATCGGTCGCTGGACGGGTTGAAGGACCTTGGGGCCACCCGGTTCCGTGATGGCGATTGCGTTCATTTGCGGCATGTCTGATTATCCTGAGGTCTGGAATTGGGGCGTCTGTTGACGAGATGGTTGCGAGTGGCAACAGGCGAAGATTTGGGAGGCGGACATGATGGACGATGAAAAGCAGACGGCCTCGACGGCCGCTCATGTGATCGGCCGGGACATTGCGTCGATGTCGGTCGACGAGTTGGAACGGACTATCGACCGCCTGCGCGAGGAAATCGCGCGGATCGAGGCCGAAATCGACGCCCGCGCGGTCACGCGCAGTGCCGCCGATGCAATTTTTCGAAAATAATGCGTCAGTGCCGGCCAATTCGCAAACCCGTTAACCGTGTGTTAAGCTTTACGGGTGTTAACTGGAATGGTTCGAATTTTGTTCGAATTCAACCAGAGTGACTTCGTTGCTTTGTTTGACGCCTCCCTGTTTAACTCCTGAGAGCCGTTTTTACGGCTCTTTTTTTTGACCTGATCTGGGATGGGACCGGCGGCGTGGGGCGTTAACCCTCCGTTAAGGATGCGCTTGCCCTCCTGTGCGAAAAGTCGGACAATCGTGGCGTTCAGCAGCGCGGCGCGCCAAAAGGTGCCTGCGAACGTCAGCAGGGATCGATCGGCATGTCAGGCGGCTCAAACACCATCCGTTTCATCGACCACAAGGTGGCATCGTCGTCCTTCACCGAGCTTTACGGCGAGGGGATGCAACTGGTCGAGGAAACGGCGGCCTATCTGGACGGGGAAGGCCGCAAGGAGGCCAAACGGCTGGGCCGGTCGACGGCGACGCTCTATGCGGCCGAGTCGATGCGGCTGACGACCCGGCTCATGCAGATGGCATCCTGGCTGCTGCTGCAGCGGGCGCTCGCCAACGGCGAAATGACATCGGACCAGGTGGACAGCGAAAAAAGCAAGATCCGCCTCGACACGATCTCGCCGGCTGCCGATCTGGAAAACTGGAACAATCTGCCCGAACGGTTCCGGGCGCTGGTTCACCGGTCGCTGCGCCTGCAGGCGCGCATGCAGCGCATGGATCTCGACCTTGGCGCCGACGATGCCGCCCGGTTCGACGACATCTCCGCCGACAATCCGGTCAACACGCAGATCAACCTGCTCAAGACGGCCTTTGGTGACCGGTGACCCTCTGGTCCGCCGTCCGATCACGCGCCGATACCGGCTGAAAACTATTTGTTCCTTTGTTTCAGCGCGGCGCTGTAATATGGCGCGCAGGGCAATGGCAGGGGCATTTTCGGGGATATCGGCATGACACGACGCTACTTCGGCACGGACGGGATTCGCGGCACCGCCAACAAGTCGCCGATGACGCCGGAGATCGCGATGAAGGTGGGCATGGCCGCCGGCGTCGCCTTCCAGCGCGGCCGGCACCGCCACCGCGTGGTGATCGGCAAGGACACCCGCCTGTCCGGCTACATGATCGAGAACGCGCTGGTTGCCGGCTTCACCGCCACGGGCATGGACGTGTTCCTTCTCGGCCCGGTGCCGACGCCGGGCGTTGCCATGCTGACGCGGTCGCTGCGCGCCGATATCGGCGTGATGATCTCGGCGTCTCACAACGCCTTCCAGGACAATGGCATCAAGCTGTTCGGGCCGGACGGGCACAAGCTGTCCGACGAGATCGAGATGAAGATCGAGCGGCACATGAACGAGGATCTGTCGGGCAAGATGGCCAAACCGACCGACATCGGCCGGGCCAAGCGCGTCGATGGCGATCTGTTCCGCTACATCGAGTTCGCCAAGCGGACCTTCCCGCGCGCCATGTCGCTGTCCAAGCTGCGCGTCGTCGTCGATTGCGCCAATGGCGCGGCGTACAAGGCCGCACCCTCCGCGCTTTGGGAACTGGGCGCCGATGTGGTGCCCATCCACGACAAGCCCGACGGCATGAACATCAACCGCGATTGCGGCTCGACCAACCCCAACTCGCTGCGTGCCAAAGTGCTGGAAGTGCGCGCCGATCTCGGCATCGCGTTCGATGGCGATGCTGACCGCATGCTTATCGTCGACGAAAAGGGCACGGTGGTCGATGGCGACCAGCTGATGGCCACGATCGCCGATGACTGGAAGCGCAACGAGATGCTGCGCGGCGGCGGGATCGTCGCGACGGTGATGTCCAATCTCGGCCTGGAACGCTATCTCGATGCTCAGGGGCTGGCACTGGCGCGCACCAAGGTGGGCGACCGCTATGTGGTCGAGCACATGCGCGCGCATGGCTACAATGTCGGCGGCGAGCAATCGGGACACATCATCCTGTCCGATTATGCGACGACCGGCGACGGGCTGATCAGCGCCTTGCAGATCATGGGCTGCATCGTCGGAAGCGGAAAACCGGCAAGCGAGGTGTGCGCCAAGTTCGAGCCGGTGCCGCAGGTGCTCAAGAATGTGCGGTTCGGCGGCGGCAAGCCGCTGGAAGACAAGCGGGTCAAGAGCGCTGTCGACGATGCCCGCGAAAAGCTCGGCAATACGGGCCGTCTCGTCATCCGCCCGTCGGGCACCGAGCCGCTGATCCGCGTGATGGCCGAGGGCGACGATCCGGTGCTGGTCGAGAGCGTTGTCGACGGGATCGTCGGCGTCATCGCCGATCTGAAGACGGCCGCCTGAACAAACCTTCCGCACATCGCTCCGCCGGCGCGCAGGTGCCTGTCAGTGCTCGTTGTCGCCTGTTCATGGTCAACAAACATGGTCAACAGACACGGTTAAGTGCACTTTAACCTTTCATGGTCATTCTTCCCGAGAGCTTTAACCTTGCCCGCAGACGAGCATGCCGGGTTGTTCGAGGGAACGAGTATGAACCATGCAGCCATGAAACTTGCTGCGTCGGCCGCCATGGTGGTCACGCTTGGCATGTCCGCAAACGCGGCCGACATCATAGAGCCGGTCGTCATCGAGACGCCGGTGCATTACCCCGAAGCCGTTCCGGCCAAGGTGTCAGGCTGGTACATCCGTGGCGATGTGGGCTATCTTTGGAGCGACTTTCGCGGCGCGGACTATCTGACCTATGGCGCGGGCGTTGCCGGTCATCCCGGCCTGCTGGAGGGTGAACTCAAGGGCTCGTTGTCCGTCGGCGGCGGCGTCGGCTACCAGATCAGCCATTATCTGCGCACCGATCTGACGCTCGACTACAACTTCAAGTCCGATTTCACCGGTACCTCGTCCGGCACCTGCACGATCGTCGGCGGCGGCGGACCCGCGGCTTGCTCGTCCACCGACACCACCGGCTACCACGCCTGGACGCTGCTGGCGAACGCCTATGTCGATCTGGGCACCTACAAGGGCATCACCCCCTATGTCGGCGCAGGTCTCGGCGGCGTCTACATGAAGTGGGACGATCTGAACAACACGATCGGGCCGGGCTTCGACCAGTCGGGCACGATCACCCACAGCGGTACGTCCGACTGGCGCTTTGCCTACGCGCTGATGGCCGGTGCCTCCTATGCGGTCAACCATCGGCTGTCGGTCGATCTCGGCTATCGTTACAAGCACATTTCCGGCGGACGCATGTTCGAATATGCCAGCGCCACCGGCCCGGGCTTCGACCGCGCGATCAATGTCCACGAAGTGCGGGCAGGCCTGCGCTACAAGTTCGGCGAATCGCACCAGCCCTACACGCCGCCGCCGCCGGTCTACGAGCCGCCGGTCGTCTACAAGTAAGCGGCCTTCCGCCATCATCGCATAAGCCCGGCTGTCCTGCAGCCGGGCTTTTTGCCGTCTGCCCAGGCGGTGATGCCGATGCGTACGACCGGTAGCGTTTGTTCGGGCCGGTCTGCACCGGGTTCCACGAGCCGTCGGCCGGCTGGCGGTTTTTTCCGTAGGCGGGAGTGTGTGACGGTGACGGCTGATAGAACCTGACCAGCTCATGATGTTTTGTCCATCATGACCAACCATCGACATCAACGCTGAACTTGCCCCGTGGCTATCCCGCCGTGGGCTTTTTTGTCGGTCTCAAACTGGTTTCGTCGATACGCGTGTCAGCCATGCCCATGCAAGGAGCTGTTAGGGGGAGTTGCCTTTCCGGACAGCTTGCTGATTATTTGGAGCTGATCCCAGCCAATCGAGCCGAGCGCATGTCCAACAATTCTGATCAATCTTCGCCCGTTTCACTGCGCGAGATGGAGCAGCGGGTGGCGCGACTCGAGGATGATGAGCTGGCAGCCGCGCGCAAACTCTACAATCACGCCCGTTGGATGGTGTCGCTGTTCATTGTGTTCATCAGCGTGATATTCGCGACGGTCGCGTTCATTCAGTTGTCCCAGTCAAATACGTACTTTGAGCAGATCGAGGCCGTTCTCGATCAAGGTCGAGAGGACATTGAAAAACTGACCGGGGGCGCTGGGTTTACCGGATACAGGCTTGACGGTGAATTCATCGACAACAATTTTCAAATGTATTGGAATGGTAGAAGTATTTATAGCGAAGATCGAAAGGCCGCTGAGCTTGTTTTTATTGGTAACATGTCAATGTATTCTATCGATGATCGGGTTGGTGATCTGGTGCTATCCGGAATTGAGTGGGATCATCAATCAATACTCACTCGTGTGTTCAGTGACTTGAGGGAAGATAGCCCATTGTACTACAGGGCAATTGTGAGTAATGCGTCCCGGCCAACTGTCGTCAAAGAGGTATCTCCTGTCGGACAAACCGTCGGGGTCGTAATGCCTTTCCGGTATCGAGCAGAGTTCAACAGTTGCGATCAGTATGACAGGTTTGTGGCAATCGTACGTGGTGATCCGCCGCATCTGAGGACGGTGTTCACGCCCTTGTTTGCAAATGCAGTGCGGCCAGTTGGTCCGACTGACATCGCGGTCGAGCTGGTCGAGACGTTTCCGTTCCCCGAATGCGACTCGCTGCCAGCGTCTTTCAGCGTGCGCGAACTCATGCAGGAAGGCGAGACGGAGCAGTAGTTTGGATTGCGTCGATGCCGAAGCCTTTGCGGCCCCTTTTTGATTGCCAAGTACGATTTTGTTTCTTTCATGTTCCGTTGTTGAACGGGGATGGATGCCATGCCGCAGCGCACCCGA